TTTTTCTAATAAAAAATAAACTTCTTTAATATAATTTATCTCTCCCAAAAAAACTCCAAGATTATCAAATTTAAAAAACAAAAATAATTTTTTAAAATTAATTACATCAGATTGTTAAAAGTATTCTTCTTTAATTTAAAATGTTTATAATTTATTTAATAATTTTATTGATACATAATAATTAGACTTTATTATTAAAATTTGAAATTAAAGAAGAATACTTCTAACTAACATTCTGATTATTGCGATTTTTCCTAACAAAATATATGTGCGAAATTTCACGACTTTTGTTTCTATGTCTTCATACCTGCCCGTGTTTTTTTCAAGGAACTTTCCTTTGAAGTCGAATTTCATTTGTCTCGCTGCCCTTTTCGAGCAAATACTGCGTCCCAGCGGAGAATATTGCCTCAGCACGACCTCCCTATTTATTTGAGAGTGCTTGATTGCAACCGCCGAGGCACGTCGCAGACACGGTGAAAAATTACGAGACGTAATCCAGCTCTGGAAAGATCAAGTCGTATATTTTCTGTGATGGCAAAAAAAAACTGACTCACTGTCCGACGATAATGATGAAAGAGAAACACGATGAAATTACAATGCCAGTATTTATTACCCTTGTTGTGAGCGATTGGGGATTGTTCCTGACATCCGGATTACCGCAAATTCGGTTCGAACAGGGAACGGAATAAACTTTTTTTATCATTTTTTTCTTCCTTCCGATAGTGGACGGAATAATTTTGCAAAGTTTCGCCGGCGTAATTCAGTTTTAATTAAAAATCTGGGCGGGTGATTAGCCGAGACGGAGAAGCTGCGTCTGGTGAGTGACTTGAGCCTTTATTACCGGCAAGTGTATCAAAGAGAGTCGTTAGAATCGGATTACATTGTAGCAGCGCCGAGTCAAAAGGATATGAGGAAGGACACACGGAGAGCTGGAAAGACGCGCGGCGCGCGGCCAATTGAATTCGCAATCCCTCCCCGGCTATTGCCAAGGGGGTGAATCGAGAGATACGAACGTGATGTGACCCCCTCGTCGCTTTTTTCATCCCCCGAGGTCCGAGCTCGAAATGGAATGAGAATGAGAAAAGGTAGAGCCGAATAATGCGGCCGGTTGCATAGAGGGTAAGACACAAGAAATTGCTTCCAGCGAGGGGGAGCAAGAGGAAGAAATTTCCTTATTTCTTTCACCTTGCCGCGCCGTGTCCCCTTGAGTGCATTATCTTTGCATAGATAACAAGATATAGAAATTGAGGTGGCGTCGGGGAAACACATTTCAAAATAAAAGCAGATTTCTCCGCTGGAGAAATGAATTATTATTATTTTATTTTCGGGGAAATTTATTTTCGAAGCAGCGGAAAAAGCGAGTTAAAAATTTAAACTCCTCCGGCTTTTTCTTTCTTTCCTCTTTTATCTTTTGTCGGAGCGGAGAACAGGGGACTTAATTAAAATTTAAACTTTGTCCTAGGCGAGTACGTGCGGCATTCGGAAAGAAACTTACTTCTTGGCCTTTGCTCGGTCCTTCTCCCCTGGGGAACGAAAAAGGAAACGAAAATAAAGTTTGGCCGCTTCAAGTGAATTGCGCGCTCTCCTTTCTGCAAAAAAACGCGTGGGTCTGCGTTTGCAAAAAGCGTTTTTGCGAGTGGAAAAAAAAGATGGCCGATCATTTAGTTAGCCGAGATTGATGCTCGCAATGAAAAGGTCCCCATTATGGAAGAGCCGAAAATATATAGACTTGTGGCGACAGCTTCGCAGCGCTTAGGGGTTTGTCACGTGTCTCGCCGCTCTTGTAAGAGGAAAAAAGCAGCTCCACTTGCATTTAACAAGCATTTTGTTGTCGTGATGAACTCCTTTTATCGCGAGAGAGGACAAAGGCGCCGCACAATGGCGCTCGAAAAACAAAAGCCGCGGCAAATGCTCTCGCCAAACACACCAAATCCGCCGGGATTGTTTTTGTATTAATTGAGAGAGTCGTTGAAATTTTCAAGGATTTGCAGCGCCGTGTGTTGTTTTTTGCATCGGCGAATCCAATATGTACTGCGGGTTTTCCACGCAGCCGATGCGAAACAATGGGGAAAACGGAGAGGGAGATGCAGTCGGCGTGCAGTGGGAAAGCAGAAAAACAAAATAAACCGCTTTAAAGCGACGAAGATTTCGTCTCAATCGATGAGATGGAATTCGATTTGATTCTGTAAAACGAAATCCCTCTGCTTTCACAAACTGGATTTACAAAATATTTATAAAAAAACGCAATCTAATAATAGTTATTCGAGAGATGGATTGTAAAAGTTAAAACCTTGCAAAAGAAAAATAAAAAAAACTTTCCCCTATAAAATAATACTAGCTCTTTTAGGATCTTCTTAACTTTTAATTTTTTATTTTCTTAATATTTATTATATTTTCTGGTAAACCTTGGCTGGGTTTTAATTAAAAGGCCTAACAATTAAAAAAAAAATGGATGTATCTCCAAAAATAACTATATAAACTTTTTAACTTCTACAAGTTTTGACCTTTTTGGTGAAAGAGTATCGAGGCTGTCGTCCTTAAGCTGGGCTAACCATGATTGATTTGACGACAGGCGGCCTTCTGCATTGATATAATATCTAGTGTGGATCCTGCTAATGGCCAGACTCTGTGCTGTCCACTCGAATTTTCATTCAGCCGTTTTTTTTCTTGAGGAAAATTTTTCTCTCTGGCTTTTTAAGTGCAAAAAGTTCTGCCGTGCAGGAAAGTTCGTTCTACCTTCGCTTTTCTTGAAGCTCAGGCACGTGCTTGCCTCCTTATATTCCCATCACATAATAAGTTCGCGTCTTATTCTTGCCAGTTCGCCGGCTCGTTTGCAAACATGCTAATTATAAAGTAACACGAGCATCCGCCGGTAGGATGGGTGTGCGTTTCAAAGAGAGACTCGTTTCAATTTATTCCAAAAATTTAACAGTTAAACAAATAGTTTCTTACTTACAAATAAAAAACAAGAAATTGTTTGCTTTATAATTTAATTATATTTTTATTTTATTATTAAAATGTTTATTTATTCATTTTTATTTAATAAAATATAAATAAATGTAAATGCTTTAATAAAAACGTTTTAAATGTTCAATTTTATCTATAAAAAAATAATATATAAATAAATAATAGTGCTGGTTGCAGTTTATGGTTTGAGTAGTGCCGACGTTCAGTGCGTTTGTCTTTAGTCTCTACATTGACTTAGTTTAAAAATTTTGTGCCTGAATAGGTATATTTATTGATTATATGACGAACTAGTTAATTAAAGTAAATATGTTTCTATTTTAAACTCTTATTTCTTTTTTCCTAAATCCAATTGTAAATGGGTGTATTACATCTGGAAATACTCAATATGTGTTGTCACACCATAAAAGAATAAAAGAGTTGCAATAATTAATAATTTAATTAAAGAACGTAATAGCACACTATTTATTTTCCAAATTAAAATTAAATTTATACCGTTAACACTTACATAATTTAGAAATCTTTCTTGAATAGTAATTATAAATAGTTAAAAGTCAAATAGTTAAAAGACTTTTATTTGTTGAATTTTGGACTTTTGTAATGGAAATGTCAAATGTTGTTCAATTATTTACATTCATTGAGTTCTTGGCTATTCACATCAAACAAATAGTAAACACAAGTCCTTCTAAAGAGTCAAACTAAATTTGAATGAAGCAAACTCAGACTGAGCGACTAAATTTATTGACATTTGGGCTTCAAGGTGAGTTGGGCGTGTAATTGAAATGCCACGTGCCGTGAACGCGTTTACCAACCAACTGGTAGCCCAAATTATTTTTTCAGTCGTTCTATTTGTCGTCATCACCGCCAAATTTCAAATCGGCACAATTTTCAAAACTGCGCAAATAATGAAAATGACCGTTTATTTATTTCCCAGGCGGCGTCGCGGAAAAGTGTGGCAAACATTTGCGATTCATTTCGCGTGCAATTTCTGGTAGTGCCGACAAATGGGAATACACGCGTTTCCTTCCGGCCAGCAAAAGGTGGCAGCGTGTGTGTGTTTCCTTTGCTACTCTTCGGACGCAAAAAGTCAAACAACATTTCAACATTTCCCATCTCTCCAGAAGGTCCTGACCCGTGGGGACACAATCTCTTTGAGCGGCGCCGCCCTCGTAATTTCGGGCCCTCCCCAAGGAGGATTGTCACTCAAACTGCCCTCGCAACACGAAAGAGAACATCGGGCGCGCACACGTGTTTTCAAAAATAAAAAAAAATGCCCTGATAAAGGGTCACGCACACAAATGCACACTTTTGAATAAAAAGTTCAAATGCTCTTAAACGAACTTGGTCTAATTTTGATGAAAATAAAGATAAAACTCAATTTTATTAGGAAAAAATATACAAACACTTTATATTGTTAAGTCGAGAAATGAAAAATAAAATCTAAAATTTGTAGATTAAAGCAACATCTGACTGACTTTTCTGATGTTTTCTAAAATATGCATACAATTAGAGTGAAAAAAATTTTTTAGCTACATTAAATATTTTTCAGTCACGTTTTTAGCACAATAAGATAATTAAGATTACACGAACTCCTGCCAGTTTATTTTCAATCAAATAAAACGTCTTTAATTTTAAAACATGCATTTTTTACACAAAATTATAGTTTGTAGAGCTGTGAAAACAATTCCTCTATAAATGATAGAAGTTGGTAGAAACCGTCTGAAAAGGCCTGATTTGATTTAATCAAAAAGTTAACAATCGGTGCAAATCTACGAGAAATGAAAATTATTTTAATTTAACTCTGCACCAATAAATGTTTTACCTATTTTAGTGATTTATGCAACCTGCTATACATCCGTGTAAGGCAAATCGCATAACTTTTCTGCTTCAATAATGTCCCTTTGTAAAAAAATGCGATGGAATGGATCACATTGAGCTGTGTTTACTGAATTTGTATTCAGTTCTTTCTTTTTTTTTCGTAATTTGACTCAATCCTTTTGTTTGTAAACTTATATGATTTATTTTTTTGCTTTCAGGCGAGAAGCCGTACCGCTGCTCGTGGGAAGGTTGTGAGTGGAGGTTCGCCCGGTCCGACGAGTTGACGCGTCACTACAGAAAACACACGGGCGCCAAACCGTTCAAGTGCCGGCACTGCGACCGCTGCTTCTCGCGCTCGGACCACCTGGCGCTGCACATGAAACGCCACGCGTAATCCTGTACATACACACCTAGCGTTAGACAGACAGACAGAGATGATTGTGTTAATAATTAAGATACCCATGACCCTCCCCAAGCACTGCCATACTCTCTCCAGGGATACATTATTACATAAACACGATAATCGGGGCCAGTGTATGTGTGTAAATCTGACGCGCTATTCATCTCATGTAAATATGCAGAAAAAAACACGAGAAAAGTCTCCCAGGAAGACACCGCCGGTCTTTTTGTATGTTGTTTTAAATTTTATATAGAGAGAAAGAGATATAATTTTGTTTGTTCTGCTATATTTGAAATTTTATTGTGTTCAATTTCCTTCTAAATTATTGAATAATTAGGTTTAAATTAAATTTTACGGTTTAAATTATTATATTGTCGGTTTGACGTACCTTTCTGATTTACCATCAGCGTCAGTATTCTTGTGTTACCAGTATTTTAGGAATCTAAGTTTTTTGCTATTCACTTTGTGATTACAAATTAAAATATTATTATTTTTCAAGTCTAACTTTATTATATATATTTGGTGTATAATTTTATGATTTGTGTACTGATATAAATGCATATTATATAAATAATTTTATTTTTGTACGTCATTCAAACTGATGAATATGGCAAATCGATAGTTCCCACCGCGACGTTATGTTCTGGAAGAGATTTTTGGCAGAGGGTATGAATTAATTATCGCAATCCAAATCAAGCAAAATTCTTTATATATAAAAAACTGACGGACACGAAGATCAAGAGAGTTCAATGTGTTTCATTGAGACGCAGAAAAATGGTTATTTAAAAATTGTGATGAACTTCTATTTAAGATTAGGATGGGTATTTTGTAAATATAGGATAGTGATAAAGTGTTAATCATAGTGTTTTTTAATTAAACTTTGAGAATTTATAAATTGATTACTGATAATTGTACACGTAGGAAAAAAACTATGCAAAATAATCTGTTTCCTCAATCATGGGCCATTTCATCATCAGATCGAAACCAAATTTGTTTGTGTTACTCGTAAAATCTGGCGAGGGTAAAATCATTTCCAAAGACTTAAAAAACTGCTTTTCGTTTTATAATTATATAACTTTATATACTCTAAGCACACCTTAAGTTATTGATGATCACAGATCAAAAAAACTAGGAGGACTTTCCTGCAAAAACCATTCAACGTCCGAATTTTTCCAAAGAAAAAGTCTTCCCTCGAGATAATAATCGACAAAGTGAAAATTCAGAGATTTGGATGAATACGAAGCACAAAATTATTCTTCAAGAACGCAGCACAAATTATATAAAGTTTTTAGAAACATATAAAATACTCTCAAGTGGAAGGTTTTTCAGGAATTACTCCCGGTTTTAATGTAAAAGATGGGCCGGCATAAGAAATATAGATTCAGTTCTAGTTGGTAATAGTAATTGTCAAATCAATCCAGGCAGTTTTTCGCTTGCTCAGTGATCATGGCACCCACTTTTCTCAAATCTGCAGAGAAATAAATTTAACACGCGAAAATGAAACATTTAAATTTCACATCCTCACCTACAGTTAATTAAACTCTTGGTGGTTTCTCTATAATTCTTCTCGTATGTCGATTCGATTTTGATTGCTTAGCTTTAGTTCTTTGGAGCAATTAGTTGTAACGGATTTAGTCTGTATTGTAATCATGTGTAGCAGGAACTAAAGTTTTTTGAAATAAACATACAAAAAAAAACGAAACACACAAACACACACTCTCGATTTCTTACTGTGTACGATAATAACAAAAAAACAAAAATCCGCAAGAAAAGAGAATTAAACCATTGATAAATAAGATACAACGATGATGGATGTTCAACTTTTAAATTGTCTTATATAGAAATTTTGGATTTTTGATGTTGAAAAATATCTCTCTTTGGTTTCTAGACGCACATATACGCATCAAGATTGTAGAGAGCGCGCTATCCTCGGTGGTAGAACATGTGGATGCTGTTGATTCACGAGACAAAAAAAAGTAATGTCAGTTATTTTTCCAAAATGAGAGAAGATATTGTGAGAGATTAAGCAAGGATTCAATAGAAGCAAATGGGACAATTATCTTGATATTTTTATAAAAATGGTTTTTTTAAAGACACACAAATATTAGCACAAGCGCAGCACCTGCATTGGAATGGAAACGTGACGAAATGATGATAAGATGGATTGAAATTTAAAGTTTTTTACTTTTATGAACTGTTTTTGTACAGACTTAAATATGTAAGGTTAGGCTATAGGAAGGCAAGATCGCAAAGACGAGAAAATTCCCACTTTTCGCCTCCAGTGCGAGGCAAAAGTGGATGGAAAAAAATTATAAAAAAATCCTAGTGTATAATATCGTTGTTGTCGATGCATTAAACTACAAAAAAAAATATTGTGCCATGATTTGTTGCACAAAATAAATTTCAACTGCGTATTCTCGTGAGAAATAGTTTTGTACGCATTCGGCAGTGTTTGGTAAAAGCAAACGCGACGTGTTTTTCTGTTACCGGCGATGGAGAGAAAGAGAGTTGCATCTGCGTTCCCCCTCTTCGATTTCCAATAATTCACTGTCATTAATATATTCCCGATAATTTTTAATAGTGTATCAACATTTTGCAATAAGGACTAGATTTATATTTATAAGTTCAATTTTTGTACAACTTATGATTATGCGTATTACATATTTAAGGATTTTTATAATTGAAAAACCGCGAAAATAAACATTCAACTCCGCTACACACTTGATTGTTTGGTTGACTGATTAATTTTTTTTTTTAAATCTCTTCGCTAAGTACGAATATACGTGAGAAAATTATTTTTACGCGCAATCATGTACAGCCTGGGGGAATTCCAAATTGAAATTGAGTGAAATCTGCGCGGCAAGAAGTGATAAACTCCATTGGTGAAAAACTATCAAACCTGATTTGGAAAGATATATTAGCAGACTGATTGAGGAACCAGGAATTGAAAATAAAAATGTATTCGTGAATTGATTGTAAACTCGTTCGAGTGGAATTTCGAAATAATCCAACAAAACTCAGTCATTCACCATAACACAGAATAATTATCTCTCCGGCATGAAAATCAACCCCACGAAATGTCACTGGAGTATACAATAATATGTAAGATGAAAAAATGTGAGATATTCCCTCAGAGTAGCACTGTAAATTTAGGAGAAAGGATTTATATATGAAAATTATAAGAAAACTCGTCGGGAAAAATGTACAATTGCGGTATGGGAAAATGAGGAAAAATTGTGTGTAAATTTAAGGATAATGTGCATGTCATTGAGTGAAGATAAAATTAAATAAAGTATGTTCCTGTTATATGTTTCGAAATAAACGTTGACTTTTATTTACTTTGGCTCCAGTCAGAAATCTCTCAATTATTCAATACAATTGAAAAATAAATCAATGAAATTTTTTCATTTTTTCGACTTCCTGACTTTGGACAACTTTTTGATCTGGACCCAGCAGTTGAGGAAAGTCTGCAGAGAGGCGCACAAGTCGTCGCCGTAACTCTTGTCGGCCAAAAGCTCGACGGCGGTCTGCAGGAAACGCGAGTGCTCCTTGCTCAGGTGGTTCTCGAACTTGTCGGCCGGACAATGTTCTCTGCAAATGGGACACTCGAACAGGGGGTGCTGCGCTCGGTGTTCGGCCTTCTCAGTCGCCGAGTCAAAGTAAATCTGGCAAATGTCGCACTTGAGCGTCTTGATCTGCAGCATGTGCTTCAGCCTTTGCTCGGGGGTGCTGCCCAGCGACCTGAGGCGGCCCAGGTGCTTCGCCAGGGCAGGTTTGCAGACCTTGAAGTGCTCGGCAAGGATTTTGCGGCCCACGAACTCCAGGTCGCAGCCGTCGCATTTGCGCGGCGGCTCGTGCACCGTCTCCAGGTGGGTGGGGAAGTCGAGGTGCGGCTGGGCTCGGTCGGCGCAGCCCTTCACCCTGCACACGACAATGCTCAGGTGCCTCATGGCGTGCACGACAAACTCCTGCGTCGAACTGCGGAACGTGGAGAAGTTGCATTTGCTGCACTCGATGATGTTCTTGGCAATGACGATCGCTGCAGGATCGCTCAAGACGAAATTGCACTTGGAGCAGGTGAGGGTGAACTCGGTGTCCTGAAAGCGGTGCTGCGAGAAACGGTCCCAGTAGTTGCTGTTTTCGTGCAGGAAAAGTGGCCGGTCGTGTTGGAAGCACATCGAGTTCTGCGTCAGGTCACACTGGCTGCAGCACGGGGTCAGGTGGAGAAGGAAGTGCGGCTTTCGGCCCTCGGGAGAGATGCCGTGTCTGCACAGACTGCAGAAATTCTTGTAGGTGAAAACTTGCATGGCTCTGATGTCGCTGAACATGGACAAACTGGCAAGTTCCTCTTGCAATTTTGCATTTTCCGCCACTTCTTGTGACATTCTCTGGATGCTGTCATCGATTTTGTCAATATTCATTTGATCTGACACATAGTTTGGATGGGAACTTTCCAAGTGGTCCTTCAATGACTTGACAAAGCAGACGCAAACGGGGCATTGGTATTCGTGGTGGCTGCTGATGTGCATTTCTTTGTCATTCTTTGAATGCAACTTGGCGCCGCAGATTTCGCAAATTTCCGGAATCAAATATTTGCACATTGCCAAAAACCGGTTAATCTTGGGATCAGTTTTGTCCAGTCTGGCGAGTCTGACGAGAATGGCGAGGGTGCAGTGCTTCAGGTGTTGGCTCTTGTCTTCTCTGGGAACCCTTTTCATGCAGTGCAGACAAGTATCTTTGCGAGTTCTGCTCTTGATGTGCAGATGACCTTTGATGTGTTCAAGCATTTCAGGGCTCGACGCGGTCATGAAGTTGCAGCAGAAGCATTTTTTCAGCACCGTCTGCTGCATCTGGTGCACAAAAAGCTCCGACTTGCTTCCGAAGAAAGTGCAATCTGGACATTGCTCGAAGCAGGCCAGGTACGGTTTCTTGGTGCTCAGGCAGCAAACTTTGCACTCGTAAACCTCATTTTGCTGTTGAAAATTGTGCATGGTAAGTTTTGAATAGTACGGCTGGCCATGGGTGAAGATCATTTCACACTTCTTGTCTTGATTCGCTACAATTTCAGTCACTCTTTTCTTGTTGCACGGAGTGAAGTGCAGCAGGTAGTGGGCGTTGACGTCTTCCGGAGTAATCAGGGCCTGCTGACAGACAAAACAGGCCTCCTTGTTCTTCCGGTCGACAAACACCAAAGCCCTCTTGCCTTCCCCAGGAGGCAAATCCAGTTCACTCAAGGCGACCTCCAGCTTTCCTTCAACACTTTCGTCTCTCTTCAGTCGCTCCTCCTGGACAAAAATCATTGGATGGAACTCCCTGTAATTTGCGTCCAGAACTAATCTTGGTTGTTGGCTGTCGGGATGTATTTTGTCCGAGTGATTGCTCAAAATGCCGAAGCTGAAGGTTGAGAATCCACAGTGTTTGCAGACGTGGTTCCGCGGAGGACCTTCGTGCGTCTTCCTGTGTTCAAAGAAATGCCTCCTGTACTGTGACGTGAAAATGAGGAAGCACTGATGGCAGACAAACGTTTCTACTACTCGATCTTCCTGCTCTTTGGCAACAGATTGGCACAATTTCGAGATTCGTTTTTCCTTGTGAGGCGTTTTTTGCAAGTGCTCCACGATCTCGTTGATGCTGAAAAAGTGTCTGTTGCCACATTCTTCGATGCAACGGTAGTTCACTAGGTGGGTGGAAATTTTGTGATGTAGCATGTCAGTTGTTGAGGGAAAATTGGCATTGCAGATGTTGCATTGCAAGTGAAGCGAGTCTGGGTGAACTTCCTCGATGTGTTTCACAGCATTGGTGAATGAAATGTAGATCTTGCTGCAGTCCGAGCAGGAGAACACGGGACTGATGAAGGCACTGAAATCCTCTCCATGAGACCAAAGGAGGTGCCGCTCCCAGAGATCCTTTTTCCCAAATGTGATGTCACACTTCTGGCAAGCCTGGAAATTTAAATGATTTTTTATAGATTTTTAAATTTTTATAATGAATCTGATTAGTCAGAATATTCTTTTAAAGTAAATAAGTTTGCTCCAAATATTACGATTATAATACAATATTTCATAAATATTGCACATTTTTTAAAGAAAAAATTTTGACCCGCAATATTTTTTCTTACTAACCCATTTTTCTTGATTGTCTGATTTGGTATTTGTGCCACTTGTGCGCTGTCCACAGGAGACGCTTTGGCTAGCCCAAGAGGTGGTTGGAGAGGAATCTTTGTTGGATTTTGAAGCAGAACTTTTCAAAATATTAGGTCGTCTCAAGATCTGCAATTTTGGAATGAATTTTTCTACATTTTTATTTTAATTGTTTCTAAACTCTAAAAGTTACCCCTGGCTTTTTAATAGTCATGGTTGGCTTCTTGACAGCAATAGTGACTGCAGACACTAATTCATCTTCGTGCTTAACCTGTTGGAAAAAAATAGTTCATTAGTTTTCAAGCACATATTTTTTATTACATAAAAAAAAATGAACAATTTTAAATGAAAAGTTTCTTCCATTTCATGATACCTGAAATTCACTTGCACCGGGTGTTGCGTCCAAGCATTGCCTCTTAGGAAGAGAGGCAGAACCATCATTTTCTGCATCGTCGTTCTCATCAGCATCGCTTTCGGGCTCCCTCTTAATATCTCGTTTTGTTCCGATTCCGTCCATTTTCAAAACTGGAAACACACGAAAATCAGTTTAAAAAATCATTTATAAAGTTTGCAGAAGTAAAACACCGATGTTTAAAATAAGATTTGTTGAAAATCACCAATCGATATACACCCAAATAAAAATAATACATACATCATCTGTACATATGTAATAATTGTACATAAATTAAGCTTTACTTTTGCAATAGTAACGTGCTCAAAAATATTTTCATATTTCTTTCTGCTGATTAGCTGACCAGCAAAAAGAACCAAAAAATATTACAAAATCCGATTACATACATAAGTGTAATTACAAATGTATGTAACTTTACAAACATCCGTTTCCTCTGCGACCTTTGTTCTATTTACCTGTGTTACCTGTTAATCCATGGAAATACTTCAATTGACAGCAAAGATATAACCGGAAAATAACTCTTGTTTTTGGTGGTTTTTGGAATTAAGAAAAAATTTTGCGTCTTTCTTGTGTTTTGGTTTTCGGTCGTATGGGCGCGGCCTCCGCGGCCTCTGTCGATCTGTCACGTGTGCAGGGTTACGCCCCCCTCTTCATAGGCCATCAGGCCTCCGGCTAAAAATTATATTTTATTTTTACCAAATCCGATAATTAATCAAGTAGTACTTATGAGTTTATTTGGGTCTAGTACTTTTAGCATTTAGTTGAAAGTTGCCACGAAGCGCTGACCATTTTTTTCATCTTTGTGTGTCACGATTTTATCCTAAATAAATTTAATCGTGATGGAGTCGAGCAGCGAAACGATCAAGGTTGGATCAAGGAAAAGCGAAGTAAAATATTCAAGTTTGTTTAAATCTTGAATTCACCCTGACCTTTTTCAGCTGGCATTGATACAGACTAACAGCGTGATAGAAGCCTTAAAGAAACACTACCCACAAATGAACTTTGAAATAGGTCAGTTGACGGCAAAATTTAAAACAATCCATGCATATGGATTTTTTCTGATTATACAGATGTTTTGATTTTAATTTATCTTGAATTGCAGTGAAGATGAATACGACTGGAGACAAAATTCTGGACAAGCCACTGCCAAAGATTGGGGAAAAGAGTTTATTTACAAAAGAACTGGAGATCGCACTTGATGATAAATCAGTAGATTTTGTTGTGCACTCTTTAAAAGACTTGCCCACCACGCTACCAACCAATCTGGCCATTGGTGGAATTTGCAAGTATGTTTTTTTTTAATTTGTGCATTTTTAGTAAAATCAACCATTTTTTAATATCAGGAGGGAGGATCCGAGAGACGCCGTTGTTATTCACTCCAAATTAGAAGCAACCTCCCTCTCGACCCTTTCAAAAAGTAGTGTTATAGGTAATAGGAAATTAACCTTTAAATGAGAAAATTTCTCTAAAAAATTTTCATCCAAAGGTACCAGCTCGCTTCGGAGAGTTGCACAGTTGCGTCAGCACTATCCTCACCTGGACGTCCAAAGTATAAGAGGCAACTTAAACACCCGCCTCAGCAAACTGGAAAATTCCGTTGTTGTCGAAAGTAACGAAGAGACAAGCAACGGCACAAATCCTTTGAAGTACTCGGCCATAATATTGGCAGTGGCTGGAATTGAACGAATGGGCTGGAAAGAAAAAATCAGCCAGGTGCTGGAGCCTTCGGAACTTATGTACGCAGTTGGCCAGGGAGCGCTGGCCATCGAGTGCAGGTCAGACGATGAGAAAATACTGGACTTGTTGGCCCCCCTTCACGACAGAACAACTGTACTTCGAGTGGTGGCCGAACGCTGTCTGCTGAAAAAGCTTGGGGGTGGTTGCAGCGCCCCAGTTGCAGTAAACTGCACACTCAAGTAATTAATCACAATTTTATTCTGATCTTGTTTTATTTGGGATATTTTCAGTGCTCAGAATGACTCTCTTTCACTGGAGGCGGGAGTGTGGAGTTTGGACGGAAAGAAAAGTCTGAAGAGAACGAAAGAAACCACGATCAAAAGCAACGAAGAGCCTCCTAAGAAAATCGCCAAGGCTGACGTTTTGTTTGCTGGAATCAAAGCGGGGAAGTTGGACGAGCACGAGCTGAGGTTGGCGCAGGATTTGGGGATCCAAGTTGCGGAAGACTTGATCAAGGCAGGGGCCCTTGAAATCATGGACGAAGCAAGAGCCGAGAACGAGACGCCCGAGGCTAAACAAATTGTTGAGGATGCAAAGAAAATGGCCAGCAGTGGCCAGGCAGAGGTGGTGAAATCGTAACAAATTTAGGTTAAATTGCAGTTCGTGGTCTGGATTGCGAAAGGTCCTCGTTGTTGTTTTGCTATGATTTTATGTAGCAAAATTCTTAAGGTGCCAAGCCCTAAAGTCTTGGGTACTTAAGAATGCCCTTATTTGGTGTTAATAAAGATATTTTTGTTAGCTATTTATAAATAAACTGTTGGAAGTTAATACACATTTTGTTTCCTTTCAAGCGTTGTCAAATAAAAATAAAAAAATGATAAGATCACACATTAGTTAAATTTTTTTAAGCAATTTAATTTTAAGGCTTAATGCATCACATGCTTTGTGTTGCATTAGAAAAAAATTTAAATCTCTTCATTTTGCCAGCAAAAACGTCAGCAATCAATATTGGTTTTATAATTATCCTCTTTGAACAGTTGTTTGAATGCACTAAATGTGGATTGAAATAACAGCACTTTTTTGGTACATTAACCAACTTTAATGGATTAATAATTTTTATAGTCTTCCAAAGCATTGATGCATTGTTATTGCCTTAAACATGAATTCAACACATAGCGGAGGAACCATTCTAAAAATTTTGGAACAGAAAGTGGCTTAATACGGGTAAACCAATCTCTGCGTGATGCTGCTGGAATTTTAAATGCCGCGGACTTGTTTTATTGCAGACAAAGTCTGTTGGAAAGTGTCTTTGCACAGTGCCTTAAAATTGCTACTATGTTAGGCTGGGCTTCAGATGAGGACACACACAACTACACTACACGTTGATACGAAGCCAACTCTCGCCAGATTTTTATTCTCTTTCTACTGTGCCCCTTTCCTTATTCAACATCGTCCTCAGAAACTGTCACGGTGGCGCCAGAGAGACCCTGCTCAAAATTGGCAATTAATATTTATTTCTCAGGCTTGGTTGTGAAAATCATTACCTTGTTCATGACTGCAGGCAACTGTTGCATGAGCAGGTAGAAGACTTGAGGGGGCAGAGTTTGCTGAAGCACCTGAAGGAGCTGCTGGGGCTGTCCGCAGACGGAAACTGCGTTGGCCAAGTGCTCGACTCCACCTTCAACGTCTCCCTGTCCCAAAAGCTCCTCACCAAGTTGAACCTGAGAATTGATAAAATGAGTTTCGAATTGACCGATAAGTTCAACGACGTGCCTCTTGTATGAAGAACCTCTGAACAGCCTCGTGGTCGTTCATGTTCGGCAACTTCGAGCTTGTGTTTTTCAGGTTGGCCTTCAAATTGCGGCGGCCTAAAACAGATCATTTATGTAATCAAATCTATCGTGATTCACTGAGGAATGCTTTGAAGATGAAAGACGTCATATACAAAGTAGTCATTACAGCACAAACGATGCGTTTTATTGGAAAAGAAGCAACGCAAAAAACACTCACGTTCCCTCAGCTTCTTCTTGAAGTTGGGGTCGTTTCTCCTGCATCTGTCGAAGTAGAAACAGTAGCCCAGGAAAATGGTCCCGCAAATTCCAGCAGCTATACCAATAGTTGTTTTGGAAATCATTGTCATGCTGCAGGCAGGAAATCCCTGATGCCAAATTGGGGAGACCAAATATCAACCCCCGAAGAATTTTGTGGTGCGGCCTTGAAAGGAAAACAAATGAACAATGAAACACATGGGATGGGACCAATACAAGGCAGCCAACAAAGTAAAAATCAATTCTTTAATCGGCTCTCTCGGAAAAGAATTATAACTTCAGTTGTCGTTTTTCTCACTATATTCACATGACATTTTTGTAATTTTTTAAATAATGCAACGTGTTTTTTGCCTTACTATAATGAAAATAATGATGTAATTATTTGCAAAATTAATATCATTTTAGCTTTGTTTAGCTGGCATGTCGATTTTATTGGTAATTTTTAAGCGAAAGTGCTGCCACCTGTAAGGTTACTAACTTTTGTGAGACTGCCATGCTGCTTACCTGCCCGACGAGGACAAAACATCCGTTGTGAATTTGAAATTGATTTTATCGGAGTGATTTTGAAATTGTTGTCTTAACTGACTGCACACATTTCCTCGATTGGGCAGTCTCCGTGCCGGACGTAAAATTAAGCTCGTGCAGTCAGAAAAATGGGAAACGTGATCGCATCAAGTTCGCCGCCCCCGGCAGCGGTCCCCATTCCTCTTGGTCCCTCCGAGGCGAGCCCTGCCGAAGAATCGAAAAAACCTGAAGTCTCCTTACTAAGTAAAGATCCTAACCTCATAAATCCCGGACCCATGGAGGAGCTCCACAGGAAGTGCAAAGGTTTGCTTATCGCCTGATGGTACATAAAATAGAGAAAATTAAAATTGCGCAATGAATTTTCAGAGGTGTTTCCCATGACCTTTGAAGGGGCCAAGTTCATGGTTAACAAAGGAATCAGCCAGCATTTCCAAATCAGCCATACATTGAATATCAGCTCAGTAAACCCAGCGCAGTCAGGGTACAAATTTGGAGCTAACTACGTCGGGACGCAGCAAATCAGCCCCTCGGAAGCTTTTCCTATTTTAGCCGGAGACATCGACCCCAGTGGCACATTGAATGGCAACATCATTCACCTCCTTCACCCCAGGATATTGGGCAGATTTGTGTCCAAGGTATAACTCTATAATTTCTATAATTACTCTCTTAATGTAAAGTCTTTAATTTTTTATGTAAATCTTGAACAGATCCAAAGCAACAAGGTTGTGGGTATGCAGGGCACTTTGGACTACAAAGGTGATGACTTCACCGCCTCTCTGACAGCAGCTAACACAGACATTGTCAATAGTTCTGGTAGATGATTATAAAAATTAAGTAGATTTTAAAAATAACTTCCTCAAATTTTAGGCGTTCTCGTGGGCCATTATCTCCAGTCGGTGACAAAGAACGTAGCACTTGGTGCTGAAATTGCGTACCAGTACGGACCTCAGGTGCCTGGCTTCCATGCGACGGTCATTAACGTTGCTGGTCGGTACGCTTGTGACCAGTTCACGGCCAGTGGAACATTTGGCGCATCAGGTGTTCATGCCTGCTATTACCAAAAGTGCAGTGACACTCTCCAGGTAAAATCATAAACTTCATCAATAATTTACATATGTAATAGTTTTTTTTTTTATGAATGTGTGGATTACAGAAATTAAAAACATTACTTTTCAAAACCTATTCATATTTTTGAAACTATTAAATCTAATAAATAAATATTAACAAGTTATTTCATGTATTTTCTAAGAAGAAATATTATTATTAATTTTTTTTTTGCCATAATTTTTAATTTATCTATTGACGATAGTGGCACTGGGGGAGGTAAATCATGAAATAAATTATGAACTGGGCTGTTCCTTGTGGAAAAGGGTTTTTATGTTAAATGTTTTTAATAATGCACTCAGCCCATCTTTGGGACTCATGAGGTATTTTTTGAGTTCCTTGGGAAGGGTGCAACATTAACTGAGATCCCGAGAACTGTGAGAGTAGAGCTGTCTTTCAGTCTTGTTCTCCCAGTGAAACATCTCAAACACGCACTTTAAATAAGGCTGAAGTTGGTTGTCAATTTTTTTAGTTTAAAAACTTTTAATATTTAAAGCTATGTTTTGCTAAAAATATCTTAATATTTGGTTGAAAAAAAAAATGTATTTTATTCTGGCTTCAAATTTAGATTGGAGTGGAAATGGAAACAAATTTAAGGATGCAGGAGTCAACAGCACAAATTGGCTACCAGATTGATCTTCCCAAAGCTAATTGTGTTTTCAAAGGTTAATTAATTTAAATTAAAAAAAAAAAGAAAAATGTAAAATCCTTTTAATCACAGGCATGGTTGACACCTCGTGGACTGTTGGAGCGACGTTGGAGAAGAGACTGCTGCCCATGCCATTCACGCTCAGCCTCTGTGGGCAAATGAACCAGCGCAACGGACAGTTCCGTCTCGGCTGTGGTTTTATTCTAGGCTGAGCAGATTATGTGTGTGCATGTTAAGCAGAAATAGAAATGTTGTTTTGTTCAAAAAACAAGCAAAAATAAAAAGAAAGAAACAGTTGAATTTCTTGTTAGCCGCCTGACTTGAAACAGGTGGCGGTCGGTGGCTTTTCGACCAATTAGTTTTTTCTGTTAATGCGTGAGAATTTATTGCATGCCTCCAACTGTTTGATTTGACAAAAATTTAATTCTGTTTTAACTATTAAATTTAGTTACTTTAAGCAAATAGTATGATAAGGGGCATCAAATCTCGGAGGCATGCAACGCACAAGACCGCCACTGCTTTAAGCATTACTAAGCCACCACATTCTCACTACCGCATTTCTTGCAATTGTCTCAACTCGATTACTGTTGGCTGACTAGTCAGGAGCTCCTAAAATTTATCAATAAAAAATAGTCTTTGCCTCATATCCATCGAAGGCTAAGTTTTGTCTAATTTATTTTCTGATTTATCAGATTGCTGCCTGATAAACTCTTTATTAAAACGATGAGCCAGAAAATTCTCATTTCAGAATTATTAACAGTTTTGCCTAGAGATCCTCTAGTTTGGTCACGGTGATGTCAGTAAATAAATAAAATGCAATTTTTTGTTTACCATAAATTTTACTTGCCACTGGAAGTTGAATCATACTAAATTGATTAAACACAATAATACATAATTATTTGGGTGAAAATTGCTGATGAAAAAGAGCACTGTTGCAAGTCAAGATTGGTTGTCAACAAGAGTGCGAGTTCGCACCTTTTATAAGGCAAAATTCAATCATCTTCCAAGTTGGGCATGACGCGAATATTAAGACAAGACCTAGAAGATCCAAGCAACTTGGAACAGATTGGTTTGGTTTCGGAAAGTATAACTTCCACATTCCATATAGACAATAAATCTCAGTTATCACATTGGTACAAATCATGGCTTGCTTACAGACAGTATTAATTATTCTGGAGAATTTTAATTCGTTACAGTATTACGTAATATATTTTTGAAGACTAAGCAGATCGAAGACTTGGTGAATAAAGTTAATTTTTTTTTGGAATGACAAAATCTTTGGCCAACTGAATGCGTCAATAACATGGTTACATAATTTACAACTATTATTGTCTACCAACAAACGACATAATTATTGAGTATTTGGAGCATTTTGAGCAAAATATTTAACAAAAAATTTTAACAGTAATACTGCATGATTAATGAATTTAATTAGTGAATATTATTAGCTATATTTGTACGCTTCTGATCTTAATTAGTATATAAATTTTGATTTTAACATACTTTTTAATATTTTGGAAAAGTTATTACTTTTTAAATTAATACGCATCCACGAAAACAAATAGGCAGGTATAATAATATTATTTGTCACTAAGCTGGAAAATTTAATTCTACATTTCAATTAGAGATTGTCAATCCTGTGAAAAAAACGCAATCAAAGTGGCACTAATTAAAAAGCTTCGGTGCTATAATATTGTGTATTTACACAGTAAGCAAAAATAAAATGGCAATTATATGGCAATGTAAATTGAATCATTACAGTGCAGACAGTCTTAACAAAACAAACGTTTGTGCTCAAAAACCGGGAGGCTACACCCCAGCTGAACAGAAATCAGGTATACTATCATATTTTATTATATAAATGGAAATATTCTGGAATTGTGAATACTTTCTTAAGGGTTACAAGAGGGAGTGTGTTAGTCGCAGTTGGCACTTGATTGACTATCCTTTGACTCCGAGTGACTTCTTGACCTGATGCCTCCCAAACGCTCGGTCAGTGAGACTGACCTTGTAAATGGCCCACTGGGAGGACATTCGTCTACGGGAGAAGGTTGAAGCCTAGAGTGCCCTGCCTTGTGCTTCAGTCTTTCCACAATGTCATCATCCTTATCAAGGGCTAAGTTTTGAGTGTTGTACTTTTCTCTCAACTTCATGCGTCTCTCCTCCTTATACCTCTCTATTCGCTCCCTCCGCATCGGATCGTCCAAGTCCAGGTTGGCTACACTTTTCGGAATATCAATGGCAGCACTGGGAGTGGGTTTTGTTGGACTCAGTGGAGGTTTGCCACTCACAACCGACTCATCCATCTTTTCTGGCTGGTCTCTCGGCTCAGACATGTCGGGCAGCGTGTTGACTCTGGTCATCTCTCTCGCGGTCTCGTTGAATCTTTTCTCGTCCAACGACCCACTCATGGCCGACGCCAGCTGACTTTTGACCGCTTTGGAGCGCAAACATGGAGGCAATGACTTATTGGCCTCTTCAAACCTGTTCAACAATTCTTTGACGCTGACCTTGCGATTCTCCAAACGCCTTGTGTCTGCCACACTCAAGGTCTTAGCGGGCTCTGAACTTCTCCTCAAAGTCAAAGTAAGTCGAATTGCGCTTGATGTGGGTGCAGAGATAGGCCTATCGTCTTGGACAACTTTGGAACGGAGCTCTACCCCAGTGGAGGGCGTCTCCTCAACACTGAAACAAGTCAAGAAAAAAAACTATCAATTAATTTTTATGCAAACTGAAATTTTGAGCTAAATTGGCAGGGCCATATTTTAAGCAGTAGACCCTCCTTATATAACAAAATTGCAGAAATTTTTAATTTGATTATAAAAATGTACCTGGCTGATTCACTAATAGGTTCCAGCATTGCTTCAGGATCCGAATCTGCGCCAATGTGAGTCTCTAGAAGAACAGGACTAGTGGGAGTAAGCAAGCCCCTTTCAGGTGTCTGAGGTCCAGTGGTGGCTGACTGTGTTCTGCTGGAATCTTCGACTGTCACAAATGTCAAAGTTTTGCTTTGGTCAGGAGTAATACAAGTCGGAGTAGATCGAGTCGCTGGTGAATTTTCCACTGACCCTTTTGTCTTCAAACCCTGAAGACATAGACTGAGAGCTTCCAAGTTATTCAGTTGCTCGTTGACGTTGGTGGAGCATTCGCTCGATTCACTGGACAGACACGAACTGATGCCTGACTTTGCGCCTGGTTCGTCTGGACTGGGAGTTACATTGCTTCCTGGAGTGGTAAGGCCTGAAGGAATGGGATTGGTGGAGGAGAGAGGGTCGACGCCAGAACTGGTGGCGCTGCTCAGACTGGTCAAGGAGCCGTCAGAATCGATCAGAGGCATGGCTGTTGTTGTGCCTTTCTGGGAGGTGTGGGACGAGATTGCCAGACTTGACGGAGGGGACGCGCAAAGGCGGTGTTCAGATCTGCTGGGACTTCCACAAGGGCTTGCATCTGCTCTCACTCTCTCCAGTTCTGTATTGATGCGACGCTCTCGAACCAATTCCCGGCCAATTTCACAGTCAAACCTTAAAGGTTATATTTATATATTTAGAATCATTTTGATGCATGAAATCAATAAATAATACCTTCGTCGCAAATCTTCAGAATCTACAGATTGATTAAGTGGTGACCACGACTTTCTGGCATTTTCGACCATTGGTGATGATGCACTAATTACACCAGTTGAACTAGAAATTATTTGTGATAAAATGTTTCTTCGCAAAAAAAAGTTATTTTTCTTACCTTCTTCTCATGAACTCTGTCACTTTAGGGGGAGATTCACCAGTTGGAGAGATTTCCATGAGATCGTTGACCTCGGCCACAGACCGCCTGAAGAACTTGACCTGCTGATACACCGCCTCTCCATCAACACCCACTTCGGTGTTTATGTCAATAGGTGCAATTTGCATATCCTCAGGGGTCGGTGTAGCCACAGGCGTGTCTTCCGTCTTGCTCATAGGAATGATATTCTGATAGACCAGTTTTCCTGCCCTCTCAAGTTTTTCCCAGTTGCCAGATGCAATGTTGTCATACAGGCCTTCGATGGTCAGGTCTTGAGGTGTCACCTCCCCAGAGTTGGGCTCATTGTCGCTCAGCAATTGAGTGTACCTTGGAGGTGTTGTAGGTGTGGTGAGACCTGAACTTCCAGAGCTCTGAATTCCTTTCGGGTTGCGTTCATTAACGGCACACAATTTGGCGCAAGATTCCGAGTGCTTTTGCATCACTTCGTAATCCGAATCGCCAGTGTGCATATTGCTGTGCACGTCTGAGTCAGATATACTAGTTTGCAGGCTGGGACCTTCAGGGAAAGTCAAATTTGAAACGCTGGGTTCTGGAGAGTCGATGTACCGGAGTTCGTCAACTTTTACAACAAAATTTTTTGACGTGTCAATTTTTGACCTCTTACGAGAACTAGGCGAATTTGTGCTCATTTTACGATTTTTCTTTGGTGATGGATCAGCAGATGACATGTCCTCTACTTGGGCTCTGGGCACATACTTCAGTTTAGGACTGTTCTTGGCCTTAACTCTCTGACTGAACGAGGAGGCGACAGAGTTGCTTGGACTTTCAGCAGATGTCGAAACAAGGGTCTCGTCTTCGGAGAAAATACGCATTTCATTGTCTTCCAGGTCAAAGTTCAACTGGATTTCACTAAGGTCCAAACTATCATCATCATCTTGCTTTGCAGAAAGCTGGTCAAAGTAAGAGTCATGGGACACCGATCTGTTGTGACTAGGCTTTGAGGATAAAAACGAGGTGTGCACCATGATAGAGGGCAATGGTCCCAAGGGAGATTCTGGACTGGCAACCTCAAGGATTGTCGAATTTCGAGCCGATCCCTGAGCTGAATTTTTGCCGCTTGAGTTGAGGGATTCTGCGCTCTTGATTGGTCGTAGAGGTCGCTTGGGCTGGAGGACTTCCGACTCCAAAACTTTCATTTCCTACAGATAAAAATTCAAAATGAATAAACTAAATAAAACTAGCTACTGAATATTTACTCTTTCAAGCATGGGAGCTGAAATTCGAGATGTAGAAATTTTTGTGGATCTCACAGAACCTGTCGAGCGAACTTTGCTTCCAAACAGAGACCGCCACCCTAGAGGCGATCTCTTGGCTTTGAGGCTACTATCTCTTTTTCGAGAACCACCAGGCAAGTCAATGACTGTGTGATACTTTTCAGGTAGCTTAGACGGCCCACCACCGACTTCGATGTACTCTTGCAAATGTGATGCTTGACCAAGAGCTCTCTTCCTAGCCTCTTCCAGGGTTAGCAATTTGGTAGGTGTTGAAATCGCCAATGACTTAGGCCTGTTGGAGAGCCTCAATGTTGAAGTTGCTGCGATTTATCATGTGTGAAAATCATTTCTTTTTTTAGTGTTTCAAAAAATGATCACCTTGCTCAGATATTTGTGGAGTGTTGGGTGCTGCCGGTAGTTTATCACAGAAGATAAGGTCTGCACAGCAAACAAGAAACTCAGTAACTACAGCCTGCACGCCAACGCCCTGCAGTGCAGCCACTCCACCGACTTCTAGCTCCTTGCAGCGGAGCAAATTAGGGGCCCACACGATGGCTACATTTCTCGGGGTCATTCCAGTCTCGTTACCTCGAGAGGCCACATGAGCTAAATGCTTAATCAAATACTCCAGGGTCCTATGCAAAATGAAAAGTTTAACAAATGTAATTTTATTTTCGGAAAAAAATATCAAGTACCTGTAGTGAGGAGGAGGAAGTTTCTGCACAGCCTCCCTCATTTTAAAAAGTCTTTCATTCTCCGATGACTGAACAGCAGCCACGAAGTGTGAGTACAGCTGATACGTACAAAGGGGATTGGGAAGTTCACGAAAGTACATTTTGAGCAGTGATGCGACAGAATGTATGTCTTGAGTAATTGTGCTGTCATCATATAAAGCTGGTATTCTGTCTTCGTCAAAAGCATTCCTGTGAATGTAACAATTTAGTGGGCCCAGTCTTTTGGATAACTTCACAGTTACCTCAGCTTTTGAATATTTGACGTTACTCCAGAGAGCCGATAAATTCCATCAACAATGCCCCGAGTCTCGATAAATTCCGCACAACACTTTAGCACCATTGGAACTGGAAGATAAAAAACATTATAAATATTATTTAAATGAGGTTGGTTTTTTATTGACATACTTTCATGCCCAGAATTTTGAAGATGTTCTCCTAAATCACAACCAAAAACCCGTTCTTTGAGAATGCCCGACTGTTTTAACCTTCGTCTTGAGGGCCGATTTAGGATGAAACTTCTAAAGAAGGCAATAAGTTTTCCATGTTTGCGTAGCACCGGTTTGCTTGGTTGAATAGCCTCAGCAGCCTGGATGGCTGGCACAATTGGTGGGTTCATAGGATTGTACAAGGCTAGGCTGGAAAAAAGTAAAAGAATAAACATTACAAATTTTTGAAATTTTTAATAAAAAAAAAATTCCATACTTGCTATACAAAAATTTAGAGAAAAACAAAAATTTAAAAATGAGCATAAATAAAGTTACAAATAAAGAATATTTAAACAATAATTTAAGACTAGTTCTGTGAAATATACAAACTTAAAAGATACAAACTAAAAGAGGACATTAAAAATTACAATATACCTGTGAGAAGGACCAGGATACGAGGAGGCACAGGCTGGAGGAGGTGCCGCGGAGAGATGCAGATTCTTGGGCACCTTCTCGCCAATCACGGCAACCGTGTCGCAGGGGAAAAAGCCCACTTCGAAGCCTCGTTTTCCTCGCCACCAGACGCTCTCCACGGCCGGCGGCATATCAATGACAGAAATCATGTCGCCAACCTGCATTCATTTCACGTCTCATTAGCAAATCGGCGTCGGAAAAAGGAGAAAGAAAGCGGCCTATTATATATACACGCACCTCAAACGAGATTTCATCGGCGGCCTGGGCCACGTAGCGCCGGATGGCATACGCGGCAGCCACTGCCGGTGTGTTGATGGCATTGTCCTCTGTCACAATTAGCCGGTGTCCGCGATTGTCCAGCTCGAGCCAATTCAGCACCGGGCCGCAATTGATCGTGCTGCCGGCCAACTCGGAGAACTTGCTCAAGTAGTCGCTCAATGCATTGCTTTGTTTCGCATCCTGTAATGTATTTTTTTTTTTTTTTTAAATACGTCATTGAGATGGAAATTTAATTTAAAAGAACAAAATTTTTAATTTTAAATGTATCGAAGTTTCCAGAAAAAAGTGAAGACATAATTATATAATGTTGGCGTTACAAAATTTATCTTCATGTGTTCATCACTTGCGTTTACCTAACGTGTTTGCTTGCACGTCAAGCCACTTTTGCGCGTTTCATGAAGCCTAAGCATTGCTGAAAATAACCGTTTGCTCGCAGCAAAATTTCTAGCTTGCTCAGTTTTATTTTGAGTCGAGGTTGAAAATTAACTCAAGAATTTCAGCAGGCGCGGATATTGCTCAAAATTAAGACGGCTCAGTTCTATAAAAAGAAAATGCCTAATGCAAATGGCAAAGTATCTAACTAAAAAGTCCATCTCTTAGCTGATATAAATTAAAAGGTGTAAAGACGACGACGTCTTCAGAGAGCACCCAATGTTTTTCTAGTTATCTGCGATTATGTGCAGTAAAAGTAATTTACGACATCGATAAAGTTTGTGTGTTTCAAATGCGTCGGTCCATCTTCTCAAGGGCCAGGGCATTAAAATCGTGCCGGGTTAACATGCATGGGGGGCCAGCAGCAGCTCTTTAAAGTAGTTAATTTAAGAGATGGCGCGTCTTTCAAGAGGTCACAATTGGTGCTCGTTTTTATAATCGGACTCGATGATTTCAGATGAGGGACGGAATTCCTTTGAGCCTGAATCACAGCCGAGATTGGATATTTGATATTTTGATGTGTTAATCGCAGATATACACGCTGGGGCGTGTGACGTTGCGAGAGCCATTCAGATTATGCAAACGTTTGCTTTTGTTCGCTGCATTTATGAATAATTAACGCGAGCCTTGGGGACAAATGGCAAATAAAAAAGGGGAAGAATCTGCATTTTTACTTAACAAGGGATGTTCAACATTTGTCGTATCTCTTTCGCAAGGTTTACGAGCAGATATTTGAACTAAAAAGGTGCCAATTAATGTAGAGATCTAACGTCACTGTTAACTAAATAAATAGTTCAAGGCGCGTTTCGCAAACTCTATCCTTTAATTCCTGTTATCGCTTTTTACTATCAACTCGTTAAATACCGAGGCGACATTATAAGTTTAAAGAGCAGATCCGTCGAGTTGAGTTCAATTTTCCGAGACGAATTATTATTCAAATTGCAATTTAACATTCTGTTAAGCGACGAGCAGCTGCTGCGTCAATTTAATTCGCATTCGTTTCAACTCGAGCTAGCCAGTGGAATAGGAAATGAGAGACGATGGAATTCGTTTTTTACGCAGCATACATAAAAGTTTCGGGACGCGGTTTTGGCGCTGCTGCCATTTTAGGAGCACGCACAAGGATGTGGGCGAGTGAGAAGACACAAAAAATGCCAATGATTTTTTTTCCTGAGCGCCAGCATCTCATTCTCTCATGATACATATCACACGCGCACATATGGGATAGGCAAAGGAAGTTTGTATGACGTCTAATGTGCGCGAGAGGATCCGCCGCCCGTGAGCTCACTTAACAGCGCTCGGCAGATGCAAATTACATTATCAAGACTGCGCCGCCTGTAACCGAGTTGTCGTCTGCGCGAATTGCAAACCAGCAAAGCAGAAGGGAAAATTTCCAAAAGGGAGGCAAAATTAACAACAAAATTTCTCACGCCTTCCGAATGTAAATTTCCCCATGATTAATAACGATGAAAATTAATGCTGACTAGAGAGGGAAATTGGATTTTGATTGTGGGAAAATTCAAACAATGGTGACGGCAGAGAAAAATAAATAAATTCTATTTGAACTGACCTCCCGTTGCTGCTGCGGATCGGCCACCAGCTCAGGCAGACCGGAAAACTTTCTATCGTAAATGCAGCGGTGCAGTTGTTGGTCAAGGGTACAGAAATCCTTGAAGTAGCGCCTGAGCAGCCAGGAGCGACCCTGAGAGGTCACCTGCACGCAAAATGGTGCGTTCCCGGCCTCGCCATCCTCTTCCACACCCAGAGGCTTCAACTCCTCCGAGTAAAGTTGCACCTGAAAATTTAAAAAAGAAATTATACAATATGTAGAAAATTTTTCCTTAAAATTGCTTTATTTTTACACATTTTAAGAAAATAATGATGGTAATTTGCAAAGAGTTTCATTCATTTGTAGATTCAACTTTTTTTACATTAAAGGTAGAATTAGTGTGTTTTTAATTGAAACTCGGCTATACTATAATAAATTTTAATGTTTTTTTGGACGATTAATTAAATTAGAGGAAAATAACTAAAACTGACCTGGAGTGGTCCAAGTTCGACGTGGTCGTAGTGGAAGTGGGCGCACTCGTCGAGCCTTGGAAACCTGGCAGGCAACTCTTCGCTGCCTGAGCAGAGCGAGCTGGGGGCACTGGAGGCGGCGGCGGCGGCCGCACCGGCCGTCACGTGCTGGATTCGGATCGAGCCTCCCCTCGAGGTGCCCATTTCGGAGGTGGCACACAGGCCACTCTGAAACAAACGCCAAGTGCAAAATTAGTCTTGAGTGCATGTCGAAAAGCCGAGAGGTTTCTCAGCTGCTCTCGTCTTTTCGCAGGCCTGTGTAAACAAACTACTCGGCGCGGTTGAATCATTTGGTTTTCAGCAAAGCTTTGCAAAACATTCTTGGACTTTTCAATAAATAAATAAGAAACGAAAAATAAACCAAACTTCAAAATATTTTCAGTGGGATTTAAGAGATTAAATTGGACAAGATTGATTCTTCATGGATTTGCTTCGATGATTTATAATCCAAAATGAAATTAAACGAAGAGGTCTAATAAATAAATTTTAATTTCAGGATTTAAATTACATGAGGTTTGAGTAAAAACCTTAAACAATTATAAGATGGAAAACGTTTAAATATTTTAAAAGGTTCCAAGAGATGGAAAACGGCATCCCGGTTTTTTCCAACCGGAACTCGACGGGTGAGAGGCTCTTTGAACTTGGAAAGTGGAAAAAAGGCAACAAACCAGCCCTTGAGGAGGGAGGGTGTTTGCGCGTGGGTTTGAAAAGAACTCTTACGGTGCAGCACTCCCTCGCCACCTCCAGACAGGAGCCAAACATACGCTCCGTGTACCGCCTTGTCTTGGCCATGCCTCGCAAGCGCGCGACTTTATGCAATCTTATCTTTTGCAGCGAGCCATGAAAAATAAATTAACGCCGCTTTTGCACGCAACAAGCATTCGCCGAATGCACCTCCGATCGATCGGCGAGGGAACGCAATCGCTGCTGCCCCATTTACTCGAGCGAAAAAATTCGCCGCCCAAAAATGGAAGGAGAAGAAGAAGTGCAGGTGATCAATCGGCAAAGGTTTCGCTCGACTCGCACCGACGGCCAAGTCAATAAAAAGTCAAGTGACCAAAGCGGACCGTTTTCTTGAATTTGGATGTTTTAATAAAATAAAAAAAATATGGTAAAATTTGAATCAGATCAGTGCGAATTTTAAAGAAGCAAAAGCACACCTGTGAGATTCTTCCAGAAGCTCTCTAAAAATTCCTAGAAAAAGCCAAAAGATTTGTGCAATAGGCAAATATTTGCGATAAAAAGTTACCTTCGAATAGAAAATATATTGAAAATTTTAGCTCAATTAGAAAAAGTTACAGTGCAAAGTTTGAGAGGTAGAAAAAGTTCACATATAGATATGAAGCATTGACCGCTCGAATGCCTAATTTGTGCGGCCAGAGTTTAAAAATGCAAATTCGAACGCGGCAGCAAATGAAGCCGAGCGAAATTTGACAAACTGATCACGGAGCGGCGTCGGCAGCAAAGGAAATGCAGCGGCAGGAAACGCTCCCTCGGGAAGGTCCGATTTCAGAAAAATGACGCCGCCCGAGCGGACTGGCGTGAGCACCAGCGGCAGGCCAAAACCAAAATATGCCCCGGCAGCAAGGGTTGGCCGCTGCCGAGGAATTAAGGGTAGCAGGCATGCGCCCCATCGATCTGCGTTGGCTTCGCGCGCGCCTCAGCTCCAGTACTACTGCTCTAAAATAAGACAAAGGCAGCATCCCTTGTTTAGGCAAAGGCCCGGTCCAGCCTCTTTCATTTCCCAACGCGAGTCGGTTTTTTCTTCCAATTAGTCGCAATTCCTTTCATTTCGCCCACTTTTATTCACATTGAAATAAAAAATTAGGTTCTTTGATCCAAATGTGTAGACAAGTTCCAAAATGAAAACAAATTCTGATGATTTGAAAAAGTTCTGCTTCAAGCAATTTTGGAGATTTTTTAATTTTTACTAAAATTAATAAAAATCGCCTCAATCAATTTATCAAAAATAAAATTCAATAATAAAATCCACCAACTTCAAAATTAAGTGCAACCTTTTTTCAATCTAATTAATTAGGAAAGATTTGGTGATTTGGAATTTCTGTGCTATCTTAACGAGCTGAGCATGAAGTTTCCATAGAAAAATAATTAAGCTTCAAACTTGCTTTGTGTTGTAAAAACTACATAGTTTCAGTGAAATATTAAGATTGATTCCCTCCTTAAAATCAAGTAATTGTTCCCCAGTGGCAAATAAATTGAAATTTCAAGATGAAAAAACTACAAGCACTTTTTTAAGTAGTTTATGCATCAAAATGAAATATTTTGTCACTTTTCTAAAAAAAAATTATTCTGAAACGAAACACACTCGACAAAACGTCAATCTATTTAATTCTGTTCCTAAATTGAAATCGGTGCCGGGAAGGGAGGACGCTTCTTTGATCCCCATTTAGACTGGCGGAGGAAGCACCCCCGAAATATCAACCATCAATTCAACTGAGCGCACCTTCAGTACCTTTGGCTTTTTATAGAAACAAGACTCGGTTTTCTTATTTTAGACGCGCGGGCTGCCAAAACAAATTGTTGTTTGGTTTCCGCCCTGTCATTTCTCGCGATGCGGATGATGCGTTAATTGATCGATCAATACAAATAGACGTACGTACGAAAAGCAATTAATAAAAATTAGGCGCGGTCTTTAAAGGGTCTGGAAACCTCAAAATCAAATTAACAATATCCGGAGGGATTCAAACAATTTAATTTTATGACAAACATTCATTTCAGAATTTTACTAAAAACTACCACTCAAGGGAAACTTTGGAAGTAAATTACTTATAAAATTTAAAAAAAAAAAACCTTATTTTGTTATTTTGATTTTCTGAAACTTGCAGGAATCTTTAAAATGAAGAAATTGGAATTAATTTTAATAATACCAAAATTTTCTCATGATTTTTTCTTCTTCTTATATTCCTATAGTAAATAAACGTTGAATGGAAACTAAAAATTAATCTGAATAATGAGCGTCGGCTGTGCCAGACTTTGCCTTGCAAGTGGTCCATCAGTGAAATTGATTCGAACAAGCCGTGCACCTGCGCCTCCTCTGGGGTTCGCCTTGAAAGTCGCACAGCAAGCAAGTGGCATGCGCCGTTGGAATTTTATTAGGCGCGGACAATACCTTGGGAAGATTTAATAAATTGGCTGTTGACCCATTTAACTGCCGGCGGCGCAGACTCCGCGAATTACTCGCACTCGGCACGTAAAAACGACCAATTTTACGCTGGAATAAATAATTCTTGGAAATTTATTGGATCAATAAATTGACTTCAAATTTACTAATGGCGATCCTCATTTTAATTTGACCCACTCTTGATCATCCGATTTGAGCTAAAATTGGCCGATTGGTTGGATTGCGATATTAATTCTAGCCAATTTTAACAAGTTGTTTGCAGTTAAAGCTATTATTAAATAATATAAAATATTGTGCTTTGAATTTGAAATCAGTTTTTCCTCAATGGATTTTGCGAGTTATTTATTGTTAAAGAAAAAGCAATATTCTGCTCTTTTTTTCTAAAACAATAAAGAACTCACAAAACCCATCCAGGAAAAGCCGATTTTAAATTCAAATCACAGTGAATCAACCCTCAATCGTGATTTTCTACCATAAAATTTAACAAATTAAATATTTTTCTAGCAGAAAAATTAATATTCAGGCTCCAAAAGGTCACCTTCAACTTTGGTCACCATTGCAAAGTTTGTTCTCTACAACTTTGGTAACAGGAACATCTTGAACATGATAATAATTCCGTTTTTTTTTTTAATCAACCTTCAAAAAGATTTCAAACTTCCCTGTCAAATAACAATTTTAATAATAATTTTAATACTTTTCCATGATATATCCTCCACTACTTTTATACAATCAGCCAATTTTTATCCAAATCTATTTTCCAAAATGGTCAAAATGAAATGAAAAACACTGATTTTTTTCGCTATACAAAAATTTGTAAATAAAATATGAACAAAATCGGAGCTGATTTATATTCCGTTGGCGAGTTCTTTAGCTTTCTTCCTCAAATGACAACCATTAATTAAAAAAATTATCTTACACAGATGGTTAGATAATAACGCGTCTCACGTCAGCCACCGGACCGGACGGCAGTCGCAAAGAAAGCTCTTTCTTGTCTTGTGGTCGCGCGCGCAGAGAAAGTTTGCCCTTTTCGCAGAAGCCCGACCCGTTTGGTTATTTACTCAAAACCACTTGAGTCGAATTATGATTCATAATATGGGCGATGTACATTGCATGCAATCATTGGATGCGATTCGCTGGAGGAAAATGAGGCAGAGACCGCTTCCGCCGTTGCGCCGATCGGATGCAGCGAATTTTCATGTCTGACGAAACTGCATTTGAACGAATAATAAAAAGTTCCAGGCTTTTATGCCAAGTAGAAAGAAATTAATATATGACGATTTGCGACCGCAATGCTGCCTTTCGTGGCGGTTTTAGTAACAGTAGGGTAAATAACCACTCGGTCAGTAACTGTAAGGTACGATTATAATGTGGTGAAAAAAAAGAATGAAATGACAAGGACACGGTGAACTGCAAGACAAGAATTGATACAATGATTTTAAAACCCAAGGATTTTCAATAAAATAATTAATTATTTTATTTTTAAATTATTAAGAATTTTATATGTTAGGGGCATTAAATAGCAATAATTTATAATTTCGTAATTATTTTTATAAAAATAGTTTGTAAAATTATGGTTGCATTAAATTTTATTTTTTATGTTTTGATTGATAATTAATTATAATATTAATTTAAATAATAATTTTGGCCATTTTATGATTTGCTAATGTAATGGGTTTTTTAAAATATAAATTTTGTATATTTTGGAATGAAAATGAGAATAATTGCCTTGAAAAGCGACTCTGAAAGGTGACACTTGAAAGCAGCGTTGGTTTTTTTCTCTCCACAAAGTTGACATTCTAGAAGCGCGGCACTCACTGCGTACAAGCTTGGTTGATTTTTAAATAAAAGCGACTCTTTATTCTTTTTTAAATCTGCTCGCATTTTGCATCTCCCGCATGAGGATCGATAGGCGACTTTTCGGCACTGGCAAGGTGCCGACTGTAAACTTACAACCGCTGCGAAACGATTACGTGTCAAACTTTGCAGTGTTGATCAAAGTAAAGAATGCGTCGCACTGAAATTTGCGCCCCAAAGTCTGCAAAATCTCAACTAACAGTCCCATAAAGTTCAAAAAACGTCCACTGAAGGTTTTTTGTTAGCTTTACAGTATTTATAAACCTTTTTTTATCAATTCTTCTTATATTAAGTATTAATTCCTTTCAGAAAATTTTAATTATATTTGCTTCATTTTTCAACTTGGAAATAAATTTCTTTTAATTCCTCCTGACAAATATATTTCAACAAATTTAAAATCTTATTAAGAACAAAATAATTATTAAAAATTCAAATTTGTTGTAAGTCTGGTCGCTGTCCCGAAGAACTTTGATTGTCAAACCCATTTTTGTGTAATCATTCTAATTTTTTCCGGCATTGCGGTCGAGGCATAACTGATTCTTTCCACTTGGACTGTTTGATAGAATTTTCGCAAAAACAGTTAGCGAATCCATTAAAGAATCTCACGGGCCATTAAAAAGCATGAAGCACTTGATTTCTCTGCTTTGCTCAGGCCGGTGGCAAACATCATTAGCTCTCATTTGGGCGGTGCAGTTGAAAGAAAAGGTGCTGCGTCAGTTGGTTAATGAGAGGAGCCCATTGAGAGAGAATCTCGCCATTTCCAGGCAAAGCCGTCTTCGACGAAAACAAACAATAAAAAAATATAAAAAGGGTCTCTCACCATGGCTGTGTAAGACGGATCTATGTTGTCAAGACATCTGGCTCTGCGCTGGCTTGAGCGCAGGGCGGCCGTGCCAGATGGGCCAGCTGCGTGCCCAGGGGCAGTGTCGGCCACCTTCAGTGGAGCGGCTACCCCTCCCGAGGACCTCCGGTATCCAACAGACACTGCAATTAAAGGCAAAAGTAATTAATAATGTAACTATTAGAAGAGAAAATAATAATGGAATAAATTGGAATAAATAATTCATTAGTAAAATATTAATAAATTCTTGTTTCCTTTTGATAAATAAAAGCATTATATTAAAAAAATCCCATTTTTTAGTTAATTCATTAATAATTATTATTGAAACTCTTCTATTATAGTTATAATAATAATAATAATTCAAAAAATTATTAGAATTGAAACAGGTTTGAATTTGTTTATTTTTTTGAATTAATTATATAAGTTATGTATTGAAAAAATTTTGACTTACATAATGATAAAAAAATAATGACTTCTAATTAAATTTAACACCGACTTACTTATGCTATGCTTGAGAAGTTTTGGTCAGCAAATTTAGGTAGTTCAGGTCTTGGATCCTGTACGTCTCGGTGGACTCATTTTGGTCTCATCAGCGTCGTCAAGGACTCGGTTCGACAAAAAAGGTATTCCCGGGCGTGACTCACACCCTCTGCTCAGTCCTGCGACGATCGATCACAACCCTTTCATCTCGGGGTGCAGTTGCAAAGCGGGTCAGTGCATCTGGAGTATCTGGATGCACTCGCTCGTTTTACCAGGCGTCTCGACAAAGAAGAAGGTTGGGCGTGCCAAATAAAGGGGTCTTCGCACCCGTTCGCGGCACAAGGGCTCTGGAAGGGCGGCAGGTGTCGGAATTCGGTTCAAGGACTTCTACCTGGGATGGTCCGCCCTGTTCGCCTGCTGTTCCAAACGACGGCCAGCGGACATGCCGTGACGGCGACGGTGTTCACTAAACTTGCTGCTGGTCGGTCCGCTTGCCTTGTTTTTTGCTTTCCAGTGGGTTGGATGAGTTGTGTGGTGGGATGCGCCAGCCGAATGCGACAATCTTTCTTCGGACAGGTGACAGCAGGGTCCGCGAGGGGCGCTGCCTTTTTGCTGGTGGAATTTGGTAATTTCGACCCCGGTCGTCAGATGGCCTTGCAGAAGCGAAAAGCCGGTTCCGTGCCAGCCATGTTTGGTTCAGCGAGCGTCAACACGTGTTGAAACTTGCTTGAAAACGAATGAAAGACAGTGGAGGCCAGTCGAATTCAGTCACTGAGAGGATTTAATTTGAAGAAATTCGGCTTTTTAAATCATGGGTGAGTTCAATAGCTGAAAAATTCAATGTCAAATTAAAATATTAATCGACTTTAGGCAGATTTTGTTTGAAAACAAATCAATATTTGTCAGAAATTGGCTCTTAATATGGCACGTGTTAGCGTGTGTTTGTCTTAATTGTAAAAAAATTATGCTTCTAAATAGTTTATTTATTCGTGACGTGAATCTGATTCTTTTCAGGTTACGTGCCTAGAGGCGGCGGTGACCGTGGAGGAGGCGGCAGAGGCCGCGGTGGAGGCGGCTTCCGTGGAGGTGGAGGCGGCGGTGGCTTCCGTGGAGGAAGAGGCGGCGGAGGTGGCCGTGGAGGATTCGGAGGAGGTGGTGGCCGAGGAGGATTTGGAGGAGGAGGAGGCCGTGGAGGCGGTGGAGGAAGAGGTAAAATAATATGAATTTGTAATTCAATGTACACATAGAGTCACAAGTCATAAGAATCAATCAAAAAAATAATTAAAACCTCGAAAAGAATTAAAATAATTTTTTTTAAATTTGAATCTATAATTTTTTTATTATTATTTCGATAACATTTATTTCAATCTTATAATTGTGCAAAATAGCAAAATTAATTTGTTTGTCTATCTTACCTATGTTTATATTTTTCCTGCAGGTTTTGGAGGCCGCGGTGGAGGCAGAGGACGAGGAGGTGGTGGCCGTGGAGGACGTAAGTTTCAACAGATTTTGAATAATATTATTTGACGTCAATTTCTATTAGCTGGTGGTATGAGTGGTGGCAGAACAGTGGTGATCGAGCCCCACAGACATCCTGGAGTGTTCATCGCCAGAGGCAAGGAAGACGCTCTGGTTACCCTGAACATGGTCAACGGCGAATCAGTTTATGGCGAGAAGAGAATATCTGTCGAGGACAAGGAAAATGACAAGAAGGTGGAATACAGAGTTTGGAATCCTTTCCGATCCAAGTTGGCAGCTGCGATTCTTGGTGGGGTGGACCAAATCCACATGCCTCCTGGCAGCAAAGTCCTCTACTTGGGTGCTGCATCTGGAACCACGGTTTCTCATGTTTCAGACATTGTTGGTCCTGTAAGTATTTACGACACAAATTTTGCAATCCAAATCTTACTTTGACCGTTTCAGGAAGGACTGGTTTATGCTGTCGAATTCTCACACAGATCAGGTCGTGACCTGCTCAATGTAGCAAAGAAAAGGACAAACATTATCCCTATCATTGAAGACGCCCGCCACCCACACAAGTACAGAATGCTTGTGGGTATGGTAGACTGTATTTTCGCCGACGTTGCGCAGCCTGACCAGGCCCGTATCGTAACCCTGAATGCCAGTTACTTCCTCAAGAATGGAGGCCACTTCGTTATCTCCATTAAGGTAAAAATTCAAAATGTCAATTTTTAAACTGTCCTCTTGACTGACTTGATGCGCAGGCCAACTGCATCGATTCCACTGCCCAACCTGAGGCTGTCTTTGCCGGAGAAGTGAAGAAGCTGCAAGCAGACAAGATGAAACCTCAGGAACAGATCACACTAGAGCCCTATGAAAGAGACCACGCCGTGGTTGTTGGTGTTTATCGCCCACCTGCGAAGGGCCAGGCCTAAAACTTTCCAATTGCATTTCAAACCCTCTGACCCTCCCAAAAAAATGAAGATCCGTTTTTAGAATATGTGTCATTTAATAAATAATGAAGAATTTAATTTGATCGTATCTATTGTTTTATTAAGCAAGCTCAAAGAGACCTAATTATTTTTAAAGAAGGTGAAATTTTAATTTATCAACAAATTGAGTTATCTATGGTCTTCAGATTTATCGGGATTAAAATTGAGTAACAAATATTTGAGTTGTCGAAGCACACATGGTGCTAAATTTATTTCAAGTTACATGTTCGTATGCTAGTAGAACCTTAAATTGAAAATAAAATTGAATGGACCCTCAACAAGAAATTAATGGACTGAGGACACAAATTGTGGCCTTCACAATATATTGATGGCTAAAAATTTGGTAAGACATGATGCAGAACACAAAAGAGAAATACCATGAGTGCTTGGATGCGGACAAGAAATACAGATGATAGAAACAACAATTTCTTTTTTCCATACTTTTAACAATATTTATAAATACAAATTTCTTTTAGACTATTTCATACTTTTCAGCAAAGAACATGACCTCCGAGGAAAACTTCACTGGAGAATCATCATCAACGTTTACAACTTCGGTAATCTGAAATTTGACAATTTTAAGTTTAATATCAACTGAGGAAGGCCATAAAACTTACATTGATATCTGCATATGGCTTTCTCGAGGCAAAGGAAACGGTCACTGGGAAAAAGTCTTCAGGTGACCCAGGAGCGGAAAATTCGAGGGCTCCCGTTTTTGTGTTTTTATCAACGACGGGAACCATCCACTGCAGGTGTGACTTGCGAGGATCAAAATTGTATTCACCCTCGCATTCGCTCACAATTGGAGATGAACCATGTCTTCATAATGATTATAAAATTACTTTTTTTGCTTTCGCGAGGATCTCTTAATACTTACAGCAAAGGGATTGTTATGTTGAGGTCATTCAATTCCAAATTTTCATTCATAAGTTCAAACTCGATATTCACATCACATCCGCCTTGACCATTCTCAGAGGGCCAGCAGTTTACTAAAAATTCATACTTAAAGATATGTCACAAACAAAATTCAAACTCACTTGTTAGTGGAATACAATTTTCATCTTGGGTTTGGAGTCTCCACTTCAACACCCCAACATCAGTGTGCAGAGGGAATGCTTTTGATGCGTTTTTAAGCCCGATTTCACCCTTGCTTCTGAACAAATCTTTATCCACATTAGGATGAGTCTGTGAAGAGAAAATTAAACACAGCTCTTTCATATTCTGAATTAAAAGCATCACCTGTAGCTGAATGCCTTTGTCGTCTTGATTTTGCAGAAGCACTTTGATCCTTCCGAACTTCTCATTGCTGATTCTCAAAGTGACCAAACCGTGCAACTCGAAACTCCTTAGCCCTCCATCTCTTCCGATCACAACTAGCATTCGTTCTTCTTGCCTCAAATGAACGCTACGTAAAAAGTTAAAAACTCGTCAATTTTAAAGAACATATCATTACTCTTCAGTGTTGACATTTGATGGTGGCAATGATTTCATCGGACCAGATGAAGCGGCCGGCTTTTGGCTCATTGCAGAAATGTGCTCTCCCTCAGACTTGAGCTGATCAACAAAACTGTCAACATCCCTTGATTTGCTGCCTAATTTCATAGCTTTGTTGCTGGCATTGGTTTTCCTGTTTATCAAATTTTTTTAGATAAAAGTAATTATTATCTTTTACACAACTCACGGCATGGAGTAGCTTGGCTTGCTGACGTGTTCCATTGCGTCCACAACAACAGGAGTAGAGGAGTAAGCAGCACTGGAGGAAACGGAAACTCCAAAACCTCCACTTGCTCCGTAGGCTGGTCCTTTGATGCCACCCTTCTTGGCCGCCTCCATCCGTTGCCGTTGCAGCTCTTTGGCTTTTTCTCGCATCTTGTTTTTCGCTTCCCTTTCTTGCGTCTGTTTGGAAATATTTAGATTTGTCCTCAATCTTCTTTAAATTGCTTACCTGGCGCACAGCTTGGTAGACTTTTTCCTCATGGGAGTCCATTTCGACAAATGTTCTGATCTGGGCCAGATTTACACTTTCTCGGTAGCCGAGGGCAACAATTTCGTCAAAGGCGAAGATCAAATTAAATGCATTGTCTGCAATTTCACTTTCTTCCATTGAGCGGCAGTATTCAGGAATCTTGAAAGCAAATTTCAGTTTTTAAATATCGTAAATATTAGGAAATTCCCAAGCATACCACTCGGGAGAAAAGTCTGAGTGTCTCGAGGTCCTCCAAGATGTTGCTGGCTTTGGTAGTGATGAGCAACATGTAGAGTTTCTCTAGTGGCTGGTATACATATCGGACAGATTCAGTTTCGACAAACGTGTGTTGTTTCCCCGAAGACATGAGTTTCGGGAAGGCGGCCAGCAACCCTTCGATGCGCGCTTTGGTCATCTCTACAAACTGCCTGGACACGATCGCTGGTGAGGATAACAAAATTAAATTTATTATGCAAACAAACACACCCCAGTTAAAAATGCTTACCTTTGCCCGATTTCGTACATACTGCTGCTGCAATTAACACCTGCAACAAAAATGCGACCTTATTAACTTCTGGAAAATTTGCATTCAAAAACTATAAAAAACATGACATATTTGAACTACTTAAAATGAATTTATTGCCAAAATTATACATGAAATCAATGTGGGTGCGGTGTTAGATATTTTTAAACGATTAAACTTGTTTTAATAATTCAATAATTAATAATTCAATGTAGACACATCTGACGGAATTTCAAATTTAAAAAAATCATTGTATCATATTTAATGAATTTAAGTTATTTGCCTTCGTTATTTGTACGAAACCCCAAATGAAAACGGGGTTGCCTCTGGTATTTTTGTTAAATTGATCAGACGAAACAGAAACCGGGTCCCTATATTTTTGTGCCGCACCGACGTTTAAGTCGCGTTGAAGTACATGAATGTGCTGCAAAATGTAATTTATACTAGTGAGATTAATTTCTTACCATTTTGAGTGATTTTTACGCCACTTCTGAGGTGAAAATTAATGAAAAATGGTCAGATTTCAGCTCAACAACATGACAAGTGATGATATGGCTGCTGATGACGTGGTTACTGGTGCTGCCTCTCGTGGCCAATTAGAGAAAAACGCCGGAGAGAACAGCTGCCATAGAAAACGTAAACAAGGCAGCTTGGAAAATTTTTCAAAACAATTAATTACTTTGCAATTTTGCGGTTGTTCCGTTTTGGAAAGTGTATGCGACCATCTAGAAAATGAGTTCTCAATCAGAACAAGAGAAAAACAAGACTGAAAAATCCATTGATGTTTTACAGGTGGGTAAAAAAATTATTGAACAAATTTCCGATTAGTAAATTTTCTTAATTTATTTTCTTGATTCATTTCAACAGAACAAAGTAAAAAAGCTCTATGAGTACAGAGATTTCTACTTATTAAAAAGGCCTTTGGAGGATGCTTTACGAAAAGACGATGATGTCAAAAAAGAACTTCAAGAAACTCTTAAAATTTTTGATGAACTGGCTGGTAGGAACAAAATCAAATTTCCAGTTTAAATGATTTACTAATGAATGAACAGACAAAGCTCAAAATGAGGACAAATCAAGGTTCTTTTACCTGAAGGGCAGAGCTTTAAACGTGACACAGGAACATGACCAAGAGGCGGAAAAGCTGCTGTCTAAAGCACTCAAGCTCAACACAAATCTGCTGGAGGCGTGGAACGAGCTTGGATTTTGCATGTGGAAGCGAGGAGATTCATTAGGGGCCAAAAAGTGCTTTTTAAAAAATGTAATTGTAAATAATTTTTTAATTAAATATGTGTTCATGTGTTTTATTTTTAGCCTAAGGACAAGGTGGCTCTTCGTAGCTTAGCAATTGTTTTGAGGCAGCAGCCTTCGACGACCAATGACGAGAAAATCAAAATCATTGAAGAGTCTCTTGCCAAAGCCACTGAATCTGTTGAGCTGGATCCCAGTGACGGACTGTCATGGGTTGTCCTTGGAAATTCATATCTCGTGTCCTTTTTCTCAATTCTTCAGTCTCCAAAGAAAATGAAACAAGCTTTGGCAGCTTATTTGCAGGCTGTATTAAATTAAAATTGTGTTCAATTTTTATGTTAACACATATTTTTTCAGGAAAAGGATGTGATAGCACAAGTTGACCCTGATTTGTTCTACAACAAAGGAATTGTATATAAAAACAATTAACGGATTTTAAGAAATAAAAGCAATTCTTTCCTGTAGGCCTTGCAATATCAAGAGGAGTTTTTGCCTGCCCTCGAGTCCTTTTCGAAAGCATCTTCTTTAGATCCGACTTGGGATTTGCCTAAGAAAAAGGAAAAAAAGCTTTTAACTTATCTCGAGACTGCCCAGCATCTTGTTAGCACTCATGGAAAGCAAAGGCCTAAAAAACTGCACACCATGCTTAAAGTAAGGTTGCTCTTGAAGATTTTTTTAAAATATTCATAAAATTTTGTCAATAAATAGATCATAATATATTTATAATAAAATATTCACAGGGACTTAGTCTGAAGCACTTGGGCCCTTACGAAGAAAATGCCGTCTCGAGTGGGGAAGGCAAGGTCTCTTTTACCCTCGTAGCTTTGAAGGACTTGGAGGAAGGACTGAACAAGGACAAAGTCATTCTTGGAAAAGTCGTCAGCGGGCTTCACTCGGAAGACTCGGTCGCTTTGTAAATCTAATACCTAAACACCTATAATTTTTAATAACTCGCTTTCCACAGCTCATTTTGCATTACTGACAAAAACGAGACCTGCGTTGTGGTGACTGTCTACAATTTGGCAGAAGGTCGCGGGTTCATCATTGGAGATTCCGTAGCTATTCCAGATCCTTATGTCAGCAAAGTGTGTTTCCATTACAAAGACAAGGTATTGTTTTAAATTTTTTTGTTATAATTATGTTTAAATTTTATTTTATTTAAAAAGCTACTATGAGAATTTGAAGAAGCACCATTATAAAAATAATTAAATTTCTTTGGAATTTTTTCCAGACCTTTGATTTCAACTCGATCAGGGTAGCCACACCTTTGGTCCTTGCTGTCAACGGCAGAAGATTAAGTCGAGAACACCATGCTTGCACCACTGTTTCCACTCAGGTTTCCAGCGCAGCCCAAAGTGGACCTTCTTCTTGATTCTCTGACCCTAACAATAAGCGCTTGTCTAACACAGTAATTTCCGTAATTATGACTAAAATGATCTCACTAACAAATAAGCGCAAATTATAATTAGAGCTTATTTAGAACACTAAACAGTCCAGAACTGGCACACTTCTAAAAAAATTAAACTCAAAAGTTGTTTCAAAAAATTTTGTCTAGAGAAAGAAATCCTAATTTATTTTTATAGCATACCGAAGTCGATCGCACTTAATTTTATGTAATATCTGTGATAACACGTCAGCATCATAAAATCAACTGCAATTACTCAAAGCGCGCTTCATAAAATTATACGAACTGTGCCAAAGTTCAAGCTTTGCACTGATTTTTACTTGAGGGGGAAAAACAACCGCGCCGCGGATGGGGAATAACACTTTCAATATTTTAACACAGAAGCATTAATTCAATTGCTAATTGAATAATCTTGATTGGTTGATCCTGGGTTCATATATGACATTAACCTACTTTGGAATAGAGCGTTTGAATGAAAAAGACGGCGCAAATAAACCAATTTTTTTTTACCAGAAAACTGTTCGGTGTATTATTTAAATTACATCATATGGCTTGAGTGAAAAGTTATTTAAAATTATGGAGATTTATCACAGCACTGCTCTGTCGATAAATAAAGCACTAGTCAAAGTGTTCATGGCACAACAGTAGTTCTACATGTTGGACTCCCACAGTTTGATCTGGTTGTCCAGGGTCTTTTCAAAAAAGTACTTCTGCTTTGGCTCTTTGAAAACAGGCGTCACCGTCCGCAGGTCGAGCTGCAGCACAGCTTCGTTGAGCAGCATCTCGTCAAGTTGCCTCAGCCTTTCGGCGTCGCCGTGCAGTCGAAGCAGCGAAGGGAAGGTGTACAAGTAAAAGGAGGTGAGCAGATTTTTCTCGGCCCACTCCGTCACCGTCCGGTTTCCGCTGGCCGACATGATCTTGCCCATCTGGACCGCGTGCCAGGGTGAGAAGTAGCCGCCGAGCTCAAACGAGGACAACTCGGAGATGCCTTTGGTCTTCAAGCGTTCTTTGATTGTGGCGTACACTGAGGGAGTGTAGACGAAAACCTGAAAAAAAATAATAATAATTGTAGAAAATTATTTAAATTCGCAGAGCTTATGGGGTTAAATTATGTGTATCGGGAGAAATTCTTTTTAACTTCAAATTCTCAAATTGTGCCAACATAAAAGTTTGCATTGTCAGTCTCGTCTTACAAGCTCAATTATCGGCATGCAGCGGTGTAATAACTTGAGCATTGTTAAATAAAATCGCTGCTGAATAGTAGCGGTTGGGAAAGAGTTGTAACACTTTATATCGCTGCTTTATATATTGTCATTGACTTCTCTCGTGAGCCGCGTGGAATGCGTGATGCTCTCCGCACGTCAACCACCAGACCAGATAATTTTTTGTCTGCTCAGTGTCTCGAAGGAGAGCCTTCAAGAGATCAATCTGCGTATTCTCACGGGAAAATCAATTTCAGGTGTACTTCACATTATGTCTGATTATGTCACAACCGAGGTTTGGAATCATATAAGTGTCTAAAAAAATGAATAATGAGAAATGATTTGAAGAAAAGTTTCAAAAATAAGTACAAACAAAAAATTAAACTGAAATTTTTATTTTTTAATTGAAAATAAAAATAATCCTATGTGGCCTGTCATCTGGTTGTAGAGAGGCAGGAAGTCCCTTCTTTTTTTTCAATGTATTCTCAATTATTCGCTGTGATTATATATTGAATAGAGAGGTCGGTAGCAGGTGGTTAGCTGCAAATTGCTGGCGCCTTATGCCAATTTAATGCTCTCCTTTCAAGGATAACACGTTCTTGCTCCGACACGCATGGTCTCATATTTTATGTGAAATGCATTGGATAAGGCGCTGCGCAAAGAAAAAGTAATCATATATTTACATTTTGAGCTGCAGTTTATAAGAAGTTGCGTTCTAACCTATGCAATTCCTCCTACAGCACAGCGGTTGTCGATCGTTTTGATCATTACCACGAGAGAGGTAATAAAACAAGACCTCCAGCAAAAGAGGTGAAAATTTTCTTCGGGAATATAAGTTTAGAGTTTATTAAATTGCAGAAATTATTTTTTCAACTTTAGAAGAGGATTGCACAAAGTTAAGAACGTGAAATTTGTTTCAACAAAAATTTATCTCTCTGATATTGCGTAGACTTTGCCGACGCTTTTTTTTACACCTCGCGCGCGCACTCGACTGAACTCCAAATAAGAAAAGTGTGGAGAAGCGTGAAGCAACCGGCGCGAAGTGTCGATATGCATATAATTGTTTTTTTTATTTGTCCGCAACAAATCAGGCTGTGACCTAATCAATCGGACGTGTTACCGCAACAAAAAAGTCGTGGGACCTTCGTGTAATTAGAACAGCACAAACCAAAACTCTTTGACGGCTTCTAATTCAGCCTTCAAGGAGGCGATTGATTAAAATTGTAATAAAATTCCTGACAGGAAAAATCGATCGAAGATAAAGGGAGAGGCTCGTTATTTCCTTGACTGATTCGGAAGTGGTAAAATTGTAAGGATTGGTTTGACGTAAATTATTTTGGATGAGTAAAAGCATTTATTGGAGCGTTAACGCAATTGCTTTACAATCATTTTAGATTTAAATTAATTTAATATTTTATTCGAGCAAGGAGACAATTAATTTCTACTGTTGCATAAGATTTTTGAGAAAATTTCAACTCAAAATGAAATAAAATAAAGAAATTTTTGCAAGAGAGCGATGTTAATGCAACCCACATGTCACTTGCAATCTATTTGTAGGATACTCGTGTAGAGTGTTTGCCATTCAAGGTCTGACTGTGACCCTCCAAATGAGTTATACATCAATTCCTGTACAACTTTGTGTCGCATATGTTTAGCGCGCGACAACTTCCTTAATTTCGAATGCAGCCAGATGTGCGTCATTCATTCTCATCAAGGATGGTGCCGCCGATTTTATTTTTAAATTTATGAAATTTATTCCATTTGCCTCTTTTACCACAGGTACATGATTAATTCCTCTAAGTGCAAAAATCTAAAAATATCCGCCGAGCTGGCGAATTTTGTTTTATTTTATGCCCATGATTACTATCGCATCTGACGAAGCGAAATAGATTGTGTAAAAAAAAATGATTCATTTTTTTTAATGCTGGACGAAATTTGGTTCATTTTTGTTGGTAGTGCGCACTGAGTGTGGCGTTTATTTTAGGCGTCATCACTTTGTTTCTGTAATGAGGAAATGATAAGCAGCTCGTTTAGAGAACGACACGCTCGCGTTGATAATCCAACAGCCGTCAGCGAGAAGAGTGACGCGCGAGTGCATTTTTATCACAGCAATACCGAAAACGTAAAAAGCTCTAAGATTTACTTAACAAAATTCTCCTCCACTTTTTTAAATGGAAATGAAAAGTGAAATAAATTTTACAAAATTATTAAATAAAAATGTATGAAGAAAATTCGTGGTCTAACCTACACTGATAATTAATATTTCCGTCAGTAAAAGTGACGAACTAAAAAATTTCATGTTCCTGCGTAAATTAATCACTGTCGCAATAATTAGAGTCTAGCAGCTCCTGACTTCTTTCAATAAATGCAACAAATTTTTGTTATTTGAAAAATAGGCTCTAAAAATTAGAAATCTTTTATAATATTTAACTCAATCCCAAGAATTATATACTAATTAAAATTTGTGTAAATATTCCTGAACAGATATTTTAGCCCGATTTATTTCCGCTTAAAAGTTTTCTAAAAGAATAATAGACTTAACATTTATTTAACGGTCCTGTACTTGTTTGAAAAAAAAATATTTAGCTACAAACTAGTTTCAGTAAATTAATAAAAAAAAAATGCAACTTCCCTTAGCATCTTCTATGAATTTACAATAAATATAAAAATATCATTGTTTGTATTAAAAAAAAAAAAAATGAAGGAATTTGAGGAAAGAATTTGGTACTTGAGGAAACGTTCATGGAGTGCAAAATTGAAAATTTGCATTATGTTGAAAAAAAACTTCTTTTTAAGAAACTTTCAGAAACATTTTATGATTGTTTTAGATTGTGACCAATTTGATCTTAAAATTTAAATATTGGAACAGAAATCATGGGTTTCTGGTGCTCAAGGTTTCAACGATTTATATGTAATGATAACTACATAATTATATGAAATAGAAAACGATGGATCGAATGAAAATTAGAGAATGCGCAAAGATTTTGCAGAGTTTCAACAAAAGGAATTTTTCTTGACTTTTGTGCAATGAACAAACTGCAAACTCCCTAAATTAAATCCATTTGCGTCCAAATTTTCTATTTTTTCACTGCTCTCACGAGTTGCACATTTTTATTAATTATTTTCTCCCTGCTATATTTCCTGTTGATCAGTTCTTTTATAAACAAATTATGTGATCCTTACATATTTCGAATACGAGGAGTTCAATACTTTTTACTACATAAAATATAATGTGCTAAATTTGTATTATAACTTACAAATAAGCATTTTTTTTATAAAACAAATTAAATTTAATTAAATAGAATTAAAATAAAATGATAGTACCTGATAGAGCGCGTTGCCGGTGACAAAGGAGTGGACGTAGTGGCTGCCGTAGCTCTTGACAAAGTTGACTACGCTGGCCTCGTCGCCGATCTTGACGTTCTCGATTTCCTTGGCGACGGCGCCGATGGGCAGCTGGTTGGAGGAGGCGGACATGCGGCCGCTGTCCCGCCATCGGGACACACGCACCAGGATGAAGCTGTGGCCGCTCTGCGCGGTGACAAAACTCGCGTTAATTCCAAGCTCGCGGGCCGCCGCCGCCGAGCTCCAGCTGCCCGTGAACGCCTTCCACGGCTTGTCCAACTTCTCGATGTTGAAGTCGCGGAAGTACGCGTGGAACAACTGCCGCACGTTGTCGCAGAACTCCATGTGGAAGTCGCCGTGGAACACCACCTTCTGGTCGTCATCGCTCGCGATTTTGCGCCCGTTGCGCGACTTGAATACCTGCCAATCAACAAAATTGCAAAAATTAAACAACACAAAAATAATTTTTCACGAGGAAATCGTTTTTAACCGCTTTTTCTTGTGGCTTGCGGCGAGAATAAATAGTTCATGATCAGTGAGGTGCATTTTGTTTTAGAACCTTGAATTATAAGGAAAAACTGTATAACTCATATTTTATTTTGCTTTAGACTTTTTTACTTGTGTTATGAAATGTGAAATTTTAATAGTAAGACCAATAAAAAGTCTATAGTGGCAAGATAACTTGAAATTTGTATTTTTTTTTTCAAATAACGTTAAAATTATTGCAATTTAATTAATGGAAAATTTATCAATATATAATTTAGAGCGTATATACAAATTACAGAAAAAATCAGTATTTTATTTAGCTGTCATAATCTTGAGGGTTGAGATATTAATGGTTCCCTTCAACCCTGGAAACACTTCATTGAAATTTTCGCAAAAAAGGTAAAAATTAAAAATTGGAAAGAAACATGTTGAAAAAATTAAATAAAAATTATGTTACCTTTTGAACTATATATATAGAAAAACGTTTTAGTGTCATATTCATAATTAAATTTGAAATATTTATAGTTACCATAGAGAATTATATAAAATTAAAAATTGATCTTGTTTAAATTTTCAATCAATTACTTTAATCAATCAAATGCAAATTGACTCCCACGATGGCCACGATTTTGACATTCACGCTGTTCAGCAAATAGCAAATCTTTATCACTTTCTTTCTGCCGCCGACGCTTTTGACCTTACGGAGAAAAATACTCACCGATTTTTTAACTGAACTTGGCATTTAAAGACAAACAAGGAACATTCACCTATCAAAATTATTGCACACAAGTTTTTTTAGTTCACAGGTCCTTTCTCCTGAAGCGTGAATTTATTTTGCCCTTTATTTTCGCGCTGCGTCAACTGGCAATTTTATAAAAACGTGTGCCTGTTGAGTGAATATTCTAACATGATGAAATTAATGGACCTTCAAACTGAATGAAACCGCCTCAGGCATCTTAGGGTTGCCCTTCGCCTTGTGCGTGAAAAAAAAACATAATACAATGCGCGGCGGCACCTGTGTGGAAAAATACGCGAGAGGAACAGTTTGTCATATCCTGTTTTCAATCTGTGGACCTCTAACTGACCATATGATGCTCCAGGCGTTTCCACAATCAGTGGATAATTGTGATAATAATAACCAAAAGTAATTTTTGTTTCATTGAAATAATGAATTTATAAAAAAAAACTCAATTTTAATGAACACTGAGCAATATATAAGAGAGTTTTAATTAGGCTTGTAGATTTGAAAGAAAAAAAAATACTTTAAAGTAAAATAAACTGAATTTTAAAAAGTTGAAGGTTACATTTTTCTACATTCTAATTATGTACCAAATTTGATTTTTTTTTAATAAAATTTATAAAATTGAATCTTTTGTGGAGTTAAGTTTTAATTTAAACAATTTTAATCCAGCACATCAGCTAAAAATTTGCCTGATTTTGATAAAGATTTACTAAGGATCTATGTTTATTTATCATTATCATTACTTTTTCCTTGAGAACTTGATTTGTGAAAATTAACAATTATTTTATAGTTCGTAGTTTTGGAATTGATTTTTTAGTAAATATTATTTGGTAAAAATAAAAATTGGTTGTAATTCAATTAATTAATTATTTCATGTCACCGTAACTGATTTAGCAAAATAAAATTATTAGATAATATTATAACGTTTGCATGAAACGATTTGATTATCAAATATAATAAATTACATCAATTCATTGCAGAAGAGTGGATATTTATCAATATAATTATACGGTTATTTTCTTAGAAATAATTCAAAGAACTAATGAGAAACTCGTACCCTTGAGAGTAAAAATTTAATCTCAGCAATTAATAAGTGATTAAAAATTGCAAAGAAAATAATCAAGATTAATTTGTGATAAAAAAATTTAACCTACCTCAGGTTTGACCTCTTTGAAGATCTCGACGGTGGGTTCCCTGAAGAGCCAGCGTTCGCTGTCGTTGCGCGGCACGACGCGCATGCTGATGGTGAGGTATCCGTAGCGCGAGAAGAGGTTGATGGCCCTGCCAATGTCGAGGGTCTGCTCGTGGGCGGCGAGGGCTGCGGCGCCGAAGATCAGCGCCGCCGCCAGCAGCTTTGTCGTCGCCATCACTCTTAGACCGCCGGACCTGCCATGGCCAAGGTTAACGTCGGCGCTGCACCTCCATGTCTCGCGTTCGAGCACCAACTGACTGTCAGTCAGACACACGCAACTCTTTCACCTTGCCGCGGCTCCCCGCTCGCTCAATCGCTCTGCCCCTCTACTTTCACTATCGACGGCGCGGCGGATGGACGCTCTGCACGACCCTCCGGACACCGCGGCCCTTGCAACTTACTAAAATCCCTTTTTTCCAAACCCAAGATTTTTCTAGATTTTTAGATCAATAAAAATAATATCAACAATTTCGATCGAAAAATGTTAAATATTAAATATTCGATCGTGCACGTTATATAAAGCTTCATTTTATCTGAGTGTTATCGGAGAGTTTATCATTTCAGTTTCCTTTCGAAACACTGGGAAAATTTTGTTAGTCGTGCAGGAAGATGATTGACAATTCCAGTAATCATTTGTAATTTCAGGGAATGTTTTGCAGTAAGGTTCAGTCCAATTAGTTTAATGAGCAAGAAGTCTTTGCTTCACATATAATGAGCTTTGCACACTCTACAATCAAAGTTTTTTTTTTAATAATTCAGGGATTTTTTTAAATTTAAAAATTGAATGGGACTGGTAAGATTTGGAATTCCATTTACCCCTTTAAATCAATTTTTTTTTGCAATTTTGTATAGCGCCGGAAAAGTGAAGGGAGCTTCGAAGTTCGTTCTTGTTGTGCATGTGTAGTGATGGCCTGGCTTGATTGTATCACTCTGTTTGTTGATGTCAGCACGAGTTTTGCAATATAATTATTTCCCTACGGGTTTAAAAGCGCATTGCTGGTATTCTATTATAATCGTCATTATTTTCGTATAAAAACCACTGTCATCTAAAATCTAAACTCAATGCAAATTTAATTTTGGTTCCTAATTTTTTGGCAAATTCAAAATAAAAGACAATCAAAGTTGCCTTTTTTTATCTTAGAAGTTCAATTTGTAACAAAAATAAAATGATTTACTTTTAATGCTTTTTATTCCATTTTAATAAAATCTATTAAATAAAATTTAATTTTACCTCATTTGAAAAATTATACTAACATTATGTCACAAATGTGTTGATAAGTTGCGCTTCAAAGAAAGTTCATAATCATAATTCTAAAACTAAAAGCATTCAATTCACAAGAAAAGGACGGAAGAATTACATGAATTTGCAAATCATGAAACCACTCTAGTGCTCACTGCTCCTTAGCCAAAATAAATGTCACTTGTGATAGCACAAAAGACGAGTGTGCTTGTGTTTCAAAATGAAAACACTTTCATTCAAAAAATTGCACATGCATAAACTAGTGTTGTATTTATTTCAAAATTTCGTATTTACCATACTGCGTAATTAAAAACGTTTAAAGCAACTGCGTTTCAAAAATACATTTTTATATTTATTTTGATTGTCACGAAAAGCACGAACGAAGCATTATCGTCGTTGATTCTGAAACTCGTTCGACTTCTTTCTTCAAAACCGCACAAACATTTCATTTTTTAACTGCATCAGATAAAAACAGTTTGACAAACAATTTTTTAATTTAAAAAAACCTACTGCTGAATTTCGGCAAGCTTTGTACTAATATTTCCATAAATAAATAATAAATTAAACCGCACGAGGTATAAGGAGCCAAAATCACGCGCAATTAAGCACGCATGACTTTTAAAAACGAGACTCGGTTGATATGATCTCATAAGACCGCGTGTGCTAGGTCACATTCATGAGACAAGTAGTGGCGGGAGGGCAATTACATCGTAAATAATCGTGTGTGGTTTTCACGAGCGAGTAGAATCGAATATATCTGACGGAGGACACGCAGAATTAAAAAATCAAGTTCAACAGACAAGGTCGCGCGCCGCGCGCTTTTGGCCAATTTCCTCTCGTGTGCTTTACCTGAAAACAATAATTTGGCAGCGGTTTCCTCACTCGCGCGAAGGAAGGAAAGGTCGCCTTGCGAAGCAGCTGAAATTACAAAATAAACATAATCTCGGCAGCTAATTCAATTTTTATGCTCGTGTGCGGCCCCTCCATGAAAATCGTAAAAATCTTACTTTTAAACAAGTCCTAATTCCTCGCCCGTGCTTTTACAATCGGAATATCACTTAACTTTCAAAACATATATGCATTGCACCACGAGCTGGGTAATTGTCGTAATTGTATTTAATTTGAAATGATTATTTTTTTAATCTTTGCTAATAAAAGATTATTTTCATGTAAAAACTAAAAACGAGTACCTATTTCAGGTGATTATTTTCAATTACACATTCTAGTTGAATAAAAGGACAAAATGATTAAAAGAAGGATTGATGCTGATCGAGATGTTAGGCTAAAAAACAAAACAAAAACGCGTCCTACAGCCTACAGAACACAATTTTTTATTTTATAATTATTGTTTATTTGTTCAAATCATAACAAATAGTGACAAAATGTATTGAAAAAAGAAATTGTTGAGAGGGAAACAAATAATTGTTGGACTAAAAATTTTACTGAAATTAAATTTTAATGCAATTTAAAAATGGTAGACTTTTACAATATGTTTAAAAAAAATGTGATTTGATGATTTTTCATTGAAGAGGACAAGTGGAATAATTAAAAATATGGGTTGAATTTGAATCTTGAGAGTGCAAAATTTTCTAATTACTCTTTCACTTTTTAGATTTTAACTTTTCCTTTTTTTTGTATTTTCTAAAATAATCTTTACAACCTTTAAAATTATGACCTTTGTGGACGTGCAAAAAATCATTCCCCGTTTCGTTTCACGAAATACGCGTCGCTTTACGACCTATTGTTCTGCACACTTGACTTGGCAACACCTGGGGCAATCGGAATGATTATCGAGTTATTAAACAGAGGGATTGGTACAACAACTATCAAGTTGCCAAATTGTCGCTCCATTAGAGCTCTATTTATTTTCGTTTGTCTCTGGGTGCACCACCACCTCTTCCACCTCTCTGCCTGAAAAGCGGCGAGTAAACGACCCTGATGGACGCAGCGACGATCCTTTAGTCATTCGACCGGTCGACCTTCAAAACGCACAGATGGAATTATTGCGGAATATAAATAATAATTTCGCCCATCATTAGCCATGCCGGAGAAGGGAAGGTTCAAAAATTCCTTTTTACTTGTTTTACCTGGAAGCTGGATGCATTCTCAGACTATTTAGTTACCTGAGCGGCGGATTAATTTCAGTTTTGCGGAGGCGTTTTTAATTCTCTGGCACCTTCTCACATTTGTAAAAATAATTACGCATTGGCTCTTTGCCCTTGGCGTGACCAGTGCGAAAACACGCGGATGATCAAAAGACCTGTTTAACGAACTCTCTGGATTTTGCTCTTAAAAAAATATATTCTTAAATTTAGCTACACCTCTGTTCAGACAAAATACAACTACATGTGTATAAAAAAAATAATTTAATAAAAAGCAACAATTAATCAATTATTGAGTTTTCTCATTTCATGTATAAAAATAATTTTTTTTTTTATGAAATCACATTTAAGTTAACTTACAAATCAAAAATTATTTTTTAATCTAACCAAGAAAAAGGAAAAAAAATGGAACTACTCGTGATTTTTGTTCACTTGTGTTTTACAATTAATAATATTTTCAATTTTCTCGATTTGTTCAAGTGGAATTTCCAGACAAATAATCAAATAACAGCAGACAAAAGAACTCAAGCAGAGTGTCTCATTACCACCGCATCATATGCAATAATAATATAAATATCGTTATCGGATCGTTGCACGTCTGCTGGTAAAATTGAAAGTGCCTGATTATACCGTGCATGTGTAGTGCGCTTCATGACGTAATTTCCAACATCATGTATATAACGCGTGCATATTTGCATCGTTCAACACCGTTAAAGGTAATATGTACCCCTGCTCTTTACTTACACGAGACGTAAATTCTTCTTTGATAAAAATTAATATTTACTTTTTCATAAGCATAAATTGTCTCTCCTAAAATTTACTTCTTTTTAGAGAAAATAATAATAATAATTTTTTTATTTTTTTTTATAAAATTTTTCTATGCCCAAGTTTCTTATTTTGTTCAGATGGCATTGTGTTTAGATGAAAATATTTTTAGTTTATTTAACTTGTTCTTTGTTCTTCTTCCGGCCCCCACGATAATATTTCCATACTTCCTGCTCAATATCCTTTCCCTCCTATATTTTCATTTTAACGAGAATTGCAGCCAAACCATATTAGAAATTTAATTCGGCCTCCTCAGTTTATAGAGCTTTGACTTTCGTCAATCGTTTTCAAATCACTCATTACTATTTCGCGCTCGTCTGCGAATTATTTTCATGAAGGGCACGTGCGAAGAAGTGTGGAAAACTGGATGTGTATTGTTTGGCCAGCTTTTTTTCGTACTGCGACGCACACGCTTCACTTTTCTCGCAATGCCACGCCGACCGCATCCAAGTTGAAAAGCTAGTCTGGCTTCAAAGTCATTGAACCAAAATGCAATCTATTAGGTTCGAATTTGGCGAAGAAAAAATACACACATAATTGGAAATGTTATAAGCTGCAGTTTTCTCTCTGCAACGGTGATCAAACTGTGAAGCGAAATTTCTCTCCGGAAGTATAAAAGAATTATTATTGTGGTAATTATATTCACGTCTGTGTGAGGTACATGATAGAAATTTTTGTGTGATTTTAATCACAATCATTAGTAAAGTAAGAACTAAATTTAAATTTTTTTACATTTAATTTTTAATGCTTTCCTATGAACATTGTTAGTGTCCTTTCTAAAATTATCGAAAGGCAGCATTGCAATTTTACCAGAGGTTTAGTGCCTATGTCAGCAATTTAAGATTTTTTTAGCTTCAGCATAAATATAAATCGCACTGTGAATAGGACAATGCAAAAAGCGGAAGTGCATTTTTGCCTCGCTTAGCCATAGCAATTTTTATTTCTTTCTTTTATAATAAATTACCAAGCACGCGATTTGGAACAAACAATAGCGTCTGCGGCACTGCTGCTTTTTATCCGCAAAAATTTACTGCCTGTAACGCTGCAGCAGAGTGAGTGAGAGTGAAAAAAACGACGAATGCTTATAGAGCTCGCTGCCAGCTGGATTAGCTCGCTCTTCTCACTTTCAAAAGCCGTCACCGTCAGCTCACCGCTATGTTTTTGCCGCATTTGCATAATACACTTTATAACTTTAATTGCACTTTGGAAGTGCTGGATATGTGGGTACTTTTCAAATTATTAATATTGTGCAATTTTATGTACAATTATTTTAGGCAAAAAATTAAAAGCAAAATTGCATTGCAACACGAGAATATTAAATATTATTTATTATATTTTTTCAAAATTAATACAGTTTATAATTATTGTGCTTCATTGCATTCTTCAATCTTGGGCTTCCTTGCGCAATACTTCATAGCTCTTCAAACTCTGCAATTTAATGAATAAATAATAACAAAGAACACAAGTTTCAAAATTGTATTGATACAAAGGGGATGGTTATGCATACAGAAGGATTAGTTCGCTTTTAATTTTTTTTTCGAAATCTCAGGCAATAGATATTGAAACAATAAGAATTAATAAAAATCAAGATCTTACGGTCCACATGTTATCGTCCCAGCTTGGGAATAGCGACGTGAAGGACTTGTCTTCGTGCCCCTGTCGCAAAGTGAAGATCAGAGCCTTGTCATGATTGCGGTCAGTCGGGTCTGTCTTCAAATACTCCTCAGCCATTTTCAACGACTGCTCCCGCTCACTCTTGGAAGAATCTTTTCCAATCCAGATGTAAATTTCGTCTCCAGCGTCCAACACCATCACATCCTCTTCGTTAAGATCCTAAAAAATAAAAAAAATTTTATTTTTAGCTTTAATTTTTCTTTGGGAAATTTCACTTCTTGGGTGTAGTCGTCGACCTCCTCGACCTTCAGTTTGCCTCCGTTTTCCGGGATGTAGCAGTGGAAGAGTCTAGGCGCCAGTAAAGGTCTGTCGTCCTCCTTGGGTTCGCTAGTGTAAGGACCCTTGCCACCGAGGACCTTCCAGAACTCCTCAGGTTCGGCTCCTTCCTCAACTTCAATCACTTGCATGCCGGGCTCGACCATCAGCTTGGAAATGTTGCGAGCCATATCCCTTTCCTCAGGCGAGCTGTCCTGTTGACAAAAAAACGTTAGACCTAGTACAAATAATTTAAGAAAAGTTACCTTTCCGAACCAAAGGAAATCGTCCTTGTTTGTGACCAGATAGAAAGCGTCGTCGGAGTTGAGGGATTGCGTTTTTTCCTCCACCTGCTCGGCGCGGACGTCGTCGGGACAAGTACCACGCACCTGAAATTATTTTTTAAATTATATAGTTCAAATTAAAAAAAAATATATTATCACCTGGAAGAGCATTACTCCGTCCGTATCGTAAGTGTCATGGTCGCGAACGTTTTTGAAGCCACTGGCATGTCCACCCATGAAAATAACCATGCGTCCTATTATAAAAAAATTACAAAATTAATCGATTCAAATCCAATCATCCACAGTTAGAGTGTTTTCATGCAAATAGTTTCTTTTTATGAAAACAGCTTGATTAGTTCCAAAATAGTTGAAAATTTAAGGTGTATTGTGTTAAAATAATGCAATAAAGGACAAACTGACAACAAATAAACTGACCCATTTGATGAAAACTTTTTCAAAGCTGAACAATACCAAAATAAAACCTAAATAAGAGTTGAAGCTGATTTTTGTTTTCACACATTTATCATTGTATTGCAAAAAGCAAACAAAAGACTAAAGTTATTACAAGCTTACAAATACAAAAGGTCCATAACAAATAAAAAATAAATTTAAAAATTATTCCTTTTACCCTGAAAAATGCGTAGGAAATGGCGTGGTTCGTTTCCCTGGACAACCCTGACCTGCGTGGCTCTGCCGCCGAGTTCATTATCCAGACGGACTGCGTGCAGGGCTGACGCGGCCTTTTCATCTTGAGAGCTGTCTTTGCCCTAGAGAATAATATTTTCATAAATTATAAAATATAATTTATTATTTTTCATCTTTAATTTTACCTGCCAGAAATAAATAACGCAGTTTTCCTTGTTTCCCTTCAAATAAGTGTATTTAATGACGTACGAGTCTCCACCGAAGAAAAATCCAGGCGTGGTTTTGGTCACAGGGGCCAGCTCAAAGTTCTCGACGCGGAAAACCTCAACTTTTCCTTTGCCGTCGTCAGGCATGAAACCGAAAGCGCGGCCAGAGCTCTTGGCCAGCAGGCGCATCACCTTCTCAGCGTGCAGAGAGGCCGGATTGAAATCAGCCTCGGGCATGGCCTCTGCAAATATTAAATTTTTAATTATTTCAACGCTCAAGTGAATATGCAGCTCTTGTAATTACCGGAAATTTGCTTCATGTCGTAGACACGGCCAGAACCAATCGAACGTCCCACACGCTTCTCACGCCAAGTGGTGAAGTACTGCTTGAAAGCGACCGGTTCACCATCCTCAACAATTCTTTGCACCTATTTTTTTTATATATAAATATAATTTGTTAAAATTATTGGATTCAAAGGAGTTGCATTGCATACACTCGTCCAGGCTGGGTACTTGTTGTCCTTCAAAAACTGGTCAGCTTTCTTCAGAGCCTCGTTCTTCTCATTTTTATTGCAACTGCGGCCGATCCAGACAAAAATTCCAGAAGTCACAGTGTCCAAAATGAAGCAGTCCTGTTTTAAATTTAAGTAAGTTAGTTGATATAGGGCAAAGCATCATAAAATAATGTTACTCTTTTAAATGAATCCATTAAATCTACAAAATATATTATCAAATAAATTCCAAATAGATATAATAAATATTATTCAAAAACGTTATATTCCTATTTATGTTAAAGCTGATTTAAGCTAGGCAACCTGTGCGTCACCTGAGTTTGTGTTGGTTGCATACATTTCAGATTTCCAGGCGTTTAGCATTAATTAAAAGACCATTGCTATGTGTATACTATTATATGTACAAAAATTGTTTCATTACCTGAGCACCGCCTTCTGGCTGTTGGTTGGCGAGTATAGTTGTGGAAGGGAAACATTTTTTATTAGTAAGCAAAAACTGTCAACCCACTCGAGAAAAAAGGAAATATGCATAAATGAAAATTGGAAAGCAAATTCCACACTTGAAAATGTTCAAAGTGAGTCAAGAAAAAAATTAATATTGGCTTACCGCCGACTGGAGGAGATTTTGGTTGAGGGGTTTCTCACCAACTTTCTCCACCTTCATGGTACCTGAAGCGTCACTTACTTTGAAGAGGGCCACTTTAGTCTAAAACAAATTACAAAAAACTTAATTATTTTTCCAAATCGGAGCCTTCAATACTTAAATCTAAATAATCTTAAATTCATCGAATATTTAAATAAAAATTAGAAAAAAATATTATTACGTCTTGGGCCTTTTCAAAAGCATCATCGTCCCCGCCAGTTGACTCAGGTGGAACTTCTGCCCTGGAGCCGCCACCAAGCTCCTGAAAGTACTTTTGCACTTCCGAGTCGCCACTGAAGTTGTCTTTAACCAAAGTTTTTCTTTAATTAAAAAATTTAGATTCGGATTTTATTTCTACCAATAATGTTGACTTTTGGTCTTCCTCCATGGTCCTGATCTCTGATCTGGCCTGCCGCCTGAATCGCCTTAAGTCTTTCCTGGCGTTTGCTGTTCATGCCGCAGTAGACAAAAATCTCCTTGGTCACGTCAAGGATGAAGCAGTCGCCCTTGTTCATCGTGCTGATTCCCAAGGGAATCTAAACATGTTTGCGAAAAGTTTAAAATCCTTATTTTTGTCAACAAATAAGGTAAAGACGTACTTGGCGGACGCGAACATTGCGGCGACCTTTGACCTGGAAGAATCGTTTCTCCACTTTGTCCTTGTCAACGTGGTGAAATCCAGAGGCCACGCCGCCAGGCATGTAACGCACACCTGGAGTACAGAATGTAATTTATTTTTATGGGAAAAAACACACAAAATTGCCTGATAAAATAAGTCTAGCAAAAAAAACTCCTAAATTGTAAAAATTGCGACTGTTGTAATATTAAACTGCCAGATTTTTTTTTAAATAATTAAAAGTGCCTCCGCAGTCCACCAAGATCACCTATTGTTATAACGTGTCTTTTATTATTTTCTTTGTGATTATTTTTTTAATGATTTCAAATTCAAATATAATTTAAATTGTCTGAACCCTGCTTTCAACGCATTTCTTCAAAATGAAAGTTTATGAAAATTTAAACTGGGCTACATAGTTGCTAGGAAAAGAAAAGAGTAAAAAAATACAAGGTGATTTCAATTTTAGTTTCAATAAATGCGCTACAAATCGTGGCACAAAATTAATTTTGCAATTTCACTTCCATTTGACGCATTCGACGATGAAAAGCTGTGATGTACGCAGGCTGAATTTTAATGCAATAAGGAAGTTGCCCTTGGTGCGCGTGTGAGAACGCGGCAGGGGATGGAGCGAAGGGCGCATGCATCGGGGGTAGTTCTGGGCGCGTATAACAGGTGGCTGGTTCATTTTCCCGGCGGCTGGGCACGTTCGGTGCGGCTGCGGAAAATCAATAGAAAATGGCAACACCTGTGGAGAAGGCCAAGTGCGTCCTGTGGCTCGAGTCCACGCAGTCCGTGAGCACCGTCCAGCGGCGGTACCAGGCGCAGTACGGCAAACCGCCACCTTCCAGGGCGTGTGTGTACGCGTGGTACAAAAAGTTCTCAGAGACGGGCTGTCTGTGTCCGAAGACGGCGGCGAGCAGGCCCGGCAGCGTGTCCGACGAGACGGCCGAGAAGGTCAAGAGCGCGTTCGCCGCCAGTCCGGACATGACGACGCGCCGCGCGAGCCGCGAGCTCGGCCTCCCGCCGGCCACCATCACCAAGATCATGCGCTCCAACACGCACCGCGAGCCCCGCATCCGCAGGTACCGCTACCAGGTCAGCCAGCCCATGGACGAAGATGCACTCAAGCGGTTGCTCTTCATTAAGGAGATTCCCGCGCCCATCGACGCCTGGCTCGAGAAGGTCATCTTCAGCGGCGAGATGAACTTCTTCCTCAGCGGAGAGGTTCGATAATTTTCATACTTTGATCGCTTTAGAAAAATGCTGATATATTTAATTCTCTTCCAACCCAAAAATAATTTATATTAATTGATTATGACCAGGAAAAGTATGATTTTTTTTGGAGAATAATTCAATGATTCCTCGGTTAACCAAATTTAAAATTGGATATTTATCTATGTGGTTGGCAAGTGAATTTAAAATAAAGTTAATTAACCACATTCAATTGAACATGAGGAAAAAGAATGTATTTAAAAAAAAAAAAATTTGGTATTAAATAAGAAAAATAAAAATTTACTCCTTCCCTTAATTTTGGGATTTTTTTAATATTTAGTTTGAACAAAAATATCTAAATAATTTAATGTAAATAAAACTGTTACCTTTGATTAATTTATTCTGCTTACAGTCAATTTTAACCAATTTTACAGTACAATTTGCAAAAATTATAGTTCAAAATTTCAGCTTTACTTAATTAGCATCTTTTTAAAGCGCTTTAATTGTTTTGATTTGATTTAATTCCTGTTCTAAATCTTTGTCAGGTTTCGCGCAAAGACCTGTGCATCTTCGGCAGTGACAAGTCGCAGGACGTGATGGACATCGAAGAACCTGAGAGCGACAAGCTGACCGTCTTCTGCGCCATCTCAAAGAGCAAAGTGTTCGGCCCGTTTTTCCTGACGGACGACGCACCTGAGTTCTTCTATCAACGCCTCTTTGAAGAGAGTTTCATTCCGCAGATGAGTCGGGACGGGATGCCCGAGGGCGCCTACCTGCTCGTCGACGTCCCTTCGAGCCGGTTCTCGGATGGGCTTCGCCACCTGCTGGACACGCGCCTGTCTGACCGCTGGATCGGCCCCGTTTCAGACTCGATGCCCCCCTGGCCCCCCAGGTCCCCCGAGCTATCGCCGCTCGATTTTTTCCTCTGGGGATTTGTCCACGATTACGTGTACGATTCGGGGCCGGTGGCATCCGTGGCCGAACTGAGACACCGAATCGCGAGGGCCGTGTCCTCCGTGCCAGACTCTCTGCTCGGCCAAGTCTGGGACAAACTGAACGCGCAGTACGAAGCGTGCCGGAGGAACCGAGGCCACCGTCCCGAGTAGTTTAATTTTCCCCCAAAGTTCCATAACCGACTGATTATTTAAAACTATCAAACGGAGATCGATTTTGTTGCTTTTCGCGAGATCGGAAGTGCAGGGATTAAAATTAACTTTGAGAGTCTTAAGATGCGTCTGACTGATATGTGAAGGAGTTTATGTTGATTCGCAAGTTAAATTTGAAGCGAAAATTTAAATACCGCTGCACGATTCAATGGCTTGCGCATTAATAACACCAAAACTTGTTTTCCTTTTTACGCAGAATTATTTGAAAGTATATCAATAACAATCAATAGTTTTATTTAAAAAAAAAATAATAATAAGCTAATAAGTAATTAAATAAATCGTGCTGGACGGGATGGTCGAGAAAGGTTGTATGATAAATAATAAAGAAAAGCAATTAATTGTAGTTAAAGGATTCATTTCATAATTAAAGGTATATGTACTTCACAAGGAAACAAACAATTTGAAATCTTCAGCAACCGATTTGTTTTTGGCCTTTTTTGAGAAAAAGTGCGATAAAATGTGATGATGAATTTTAATTTTAATTTAACTTTGAACCTTGTTACATTAAATTTTTAATTTCAGAAAATGATTCTAATTATATCACAATCAAATTTCCATTTCACTACCACTTTAAAAGTAGAAAGCTGTTGAAAGATTTTGATTTTCAGAAATTAAATAACTCTAAGAGATCAAATCTCAGTATTAAACCAATCTGATTTATTTTACTTATCAATTCTATTGTTCCATGCGTTGCATACTTTCTATGAAATGAAAAGGTGGACTGAAGCAAAATATTCAACTTTTTTACAGTCACAACCGTAATAGGCTAATTGATGAAAATTTGATTAAAATTGGAGAATGAATATTTCATAAAATGCGTTTCATATTTAATCAATTGTCTTTAAACATAAATTACACTTCAATTTTACGCAAGCCTGAAATAATCTGCAGCCACCGATCCGAGAAACTCTTAAAATTTGGAAAGAAATACTCATAACAGGGTTGATCGTAATTATAAATTAACCAAACACGCCTCTTCCATTTGGATGTTTGTGTTTCCTTGTCGTGCTTCTCTTTGTGTGCCAAAATTTTTAATTTCACGGCGCAGAATCAACCACGATAATAGCATAATTTCATAAAATATGAAATTAAACTGAACGCCTAAATTTCAATCCGCATACTGATATGATCAGTTTATAAAAAGGAGCCTATTTGTATGTGAAAAGAAAAATTAAAAATATTCACCTGAGGGGAAGTGTGAGAGGAAGAGTTGCGACTCGTGGTCTTGCACTTCCCTGTACTGGACTGGCGCTCCTCCGAGGGCGTCGTCGAGTTCCACAGACATGATGGCTGCAGCGCCAGCTTCGTCCTGTAATTCAAGCAAATAATCACGCATATATTCGCAAAGCCATAAAAATTCACAGCTATTTTTTTATCGGGACCAACCAACAATCAATTTGCAAAAAATATACAAAACCAAAAAACGCAGACGAGAGTCGGTGAATAATTTAAATTTGAATAAAAAAGCTTGTATGAATTGAAGCGATCAATATATTTAGCGACTGTGGCATATTATGCATGGTGTATGCGAATCCATATTATATACAAAATTTTTGAAAACTTTACGCTCTCAGCATTGATGGTCTATGAATCCCTAAACCAGCAAGTCTATTCAAACTCCACGCTGTGTTCTCTATACATTGTATATTGTGTGGAATTTTACGGGCTACTTGGTGCAGAAATCTGCTTCTAAAGCAAAAAATAAAAAATTGAATCTCGACAGCATGTTCAGTGTCATATGTTCAATGTACTGTGTGCTATATGTATCTTCTTGCCTCAAGTTTGTTTACTAACAATAACGAATTTTTATTTCCTTAATTGATGCTTGTCGATAGCAACAGTTTCAGTGAAATATAATTTAAGTCGGATTTTCCTAGATGTATTTTTGTTAAGCCGTTTATTGTTTCATAGAAAAAATATCCTGCCCCACAAAAACTCATTGTGGAAAATCTGACTTTTTATTAAGATTAAAACAGCGTCGTAAAATTCTTCTGATTCAAACTCAATTTTAAATTGAAAGCTCAACGTCTGATTTATTCAATTTTTTTACGTCTCTTTCTGCAAGAAGTGTAAAAAAAATGGAACGTGCAAATAACGCAAATAATCAAAATTTAAAAATAATAAATGACTCAATGTTCAACGAATATTTCTTATCGCATGTGGATAATTTTATGTTGTATTTGTGTACGCAAAAAAGACTAATGGGAAAGATGTCAATCGTTCGAATTAGTCAAATAAAACTATATTTGAAAAAAAAAATGTCTTTCTTTCACTCTCACCTGCGAAGTTTCGTTTCCGAGCCAGAAGTGAATGTCCCAGCTGAAAGCTCCCTTATTTTCTTTTGTCTGAAATTGAAAATTAAAAAAAAATATATATATAAATATTATGTCTACACAAAAAAATCTCACAAAAAGAACGATGTAGGAATCTCCACTGTAAAACTTTCCATAGTCTTTCTTGGGGTATGGCTTGGGCTGGAAACTCTGAAACATAACAGACCAAAAATATTTATCCAGCTAGAGATAAAACAAACAGATATCCCGCACACATCTACTGGAGCTAGGGACTTGTATAAATTTTATTGTTTTAAAAAAAATAATAAGTACATATTAATTTGGCAGATAGGGTATTTTTTATTTCAAAGGTTTTGACAGCATTTTTTCGAGGTTCAACAATTCAATGTTTCCCTCTTTCAACAATTGCTTCTTTTCAAATCATTTCAAAATAAATTTTTCATCATTGATTTGGACAAATATTTGAATTGTAATAGTTCGTTTGAAAATAAAGGAAAAAATTTAGCACTCCATAAATCTGTCAGTCCTAGGGTAATAAAGTGAGTGTGGTTGGGATATTTCTAGCCTAGACCGTCACTGCCAAAAGGGTTTCACTAGCTAGCATATCAGTCAAAATAAGGCGGCGCCGCGCGCGGGTTCCCAAATTTAATGAGCTAATTAATCTCAACGGATTTTGAACGTCCGCGCTTTGATCAAATAAATTTCGCCCCAGCTTTGATTTAAAAAGACCGCGTAATTTCTTAATTAAATTCTTTAATAAAGCTTTAAATTTTGATACAAAGTTTCGAGAAATTTTGGCACTCGCTCTCAAAAGAGATCAAAAACGAGCTGCGTGTCGAATAGATAATTATTTACACGCTCTTCTTGAATTTGTCGCCGCAAAAATAAATAGCGCGAAGGTGCGCGGACAAATTTTTCACGCCGAAGTTTTGGCACGCAACGACAGGATAATTTAATTTGAAGCTTGACCGTGTCTCATTTGCTGACAGACCTGTAGATTGAAAGTGAAAGGAGAGATTTTTTAATTGATGCTGGCTTAAAATTTAAATTTGCTCGGCTTGTCTCGCCGTCCTTCCATTAAAGAGAGCGCCTCTTTTATTTTCGGGCTCTGGGTGGGCCATGAAAGCGAAACAGACCAGCGCTCTCGGCAGAAACGCACACATGTGTGAATGTGTGTTTGTGCATCTTTTCCTGCCGCTCGATTATATGTTGGCGTGTCGCATTCTAAAAATACGCATTGGTTGGGCTCCCAAAGCCGCAGTTTGGTCCATACCTCGTCAAAATTTCTTTTTTTCACACACAAAGACTCAATTAAAAATAAATAAAATGAGATTTAATGAAAACCAAAATTAAATTAAAAAAAAAAGATTGAAATTCATATATCATTCATCTGTTGGGTAATTAAAAAAATTATTAATATTAATTAAAATAATGAAATAAATAAAAAAGCACTGGCCAAAATTTAAAAATTTATTGATAAAGGGGCAAAGGGCTTGAAAAAAAAAGTTAAAATTTGTGATTAAAACGTATAACCACGCTTTCGCTCGAATTCGCTCATTTGAGCATGTAAAAAGGAAAATATGAGTTTAATAAAAAAAATCATCATTTGAGTAAACAAAAACAAATTATTTTGTTTAAAAATGCATTCAAATAAAGGATCAAAACATTTTTATAAGAAATAAGCTTAAGTGAAAAAGGTTGGGTTTTTATTAGTGTTTTTATAAATCAGTGCCTGTTAAGGCAATGAAAAAAAAATCGGAGAAAATACGTTTGTGCTTTTATTGTTGTTGAAATTATTGTCCGTTGTATTTATCAAGATTAAGTACAAAAAGGGACTTCAACGCAAATAAATGCTTCCCTACGAAAAATTTATATGCAAATCTTTAAATGCTTCATTTGCCGTAATCGCGACACAGGTACTTGACTGCTCGCGGTGCGTTATTATTATTTGAACTTTATGGACTACTTGCTTTAGAAGGTAAAATGTAGTTGAGCGGAGCCTGCGGAGCACAACTGTAAATTTTGACAGTTCCAGCCAATGACTCACCACCACCTTCAAATACAGCGCGTTGTTCTATAGAGGCATCTGCTGCTTATCAGTGTCTGCGGCTTTTATGCACACACACAAAAACACGTCCAAGGATATCAATTGGTTTTCCTACGGAAGTGTAACATACTGCATTGGTTTGAAAGATAAAAAGAATTTTGCCTTAAAAATAAATCTCAATGCGATTATAATAATTTATAGCATTTTTTCATTAAATTTAAAATTTTTAGGTTTAAATAAAATATAATTATGAAATTGTACGTTATTTTGCAAGCAAAATTTTGCGTTCTTAATTGTTTTTCTTCACTTCTCTATAATTTATTTTGCTAACAAACGGTCTGCAACTTTATGTACCAAAAGAGTCTCACCTCGATTCTCCAGATTTCAAGTCCGGCAGTTTTGCCTGCGTTGCCGAAGGCTTGGTGAGTGGCCATCCTTGGTCTTGGGGTGGTTTCCGTTGGACTGATTGTGAGTGCTGAAGACGAGCCCCAACAACAAACTGCGACCGCGAACACAAACAACAGACTTGCCCACCGGCGGCTCGTCGGCGCCGCTCCAATCGTGCGCACGCTCATTCTCCATCAACTTTTTATGCGTCCCTGCTAAAAAGTTTTAAGGAGAGATGGAAAGCATCAATTATTCTGTAAATTTAAAATTGTACACGTTTTTACCGTTTTTACTTAAATGGCCGGGATGATTTAAAAATGGAAAAAATATATTTTCCTTATTATTTTAAATTTACCAAATTTATATCTTTTTGTCACTTTTTGTAATGGCGCAGTTCTGAAAATTATTAAAATTTTAACTACTACATTGATTAAATTTTGAAATAAAAAATACGACGAAAGTAAATATTTTTTTTAGTTATTAAAATATGCGAGAAATATGATATTACAAAAATGTATAAAAAAAAAACCATTTATTAAAGTAATAGAAAAAACATAATAATATAACCAAATGAGAACAGTCATTTTTAATGCAAGTATGGAGACTCGCTTACTTTACTTGCAGCTTGCATTGCATACCTGAACGAGTGAACGTTGACCTGAACCTTTCTGGTGACTCAGCCAGCACAAAAGTGAATCTCGCTTTCAATTTCCATCAATAGTAGAGGGGATCTTATTATAGATACCTGTTACTTACTTCAACGCTCCAATCAAAGACTGAATGACCAGTGTGATTTCTGAAGGTCAACTTGCTTTTGCAGCAAAATCAATGGCAAGAATTCCGAACTTCTTGTGATATAAGCACCAAATTCTGAGAATAATAGAAAGCGAAAAGCTAAACTTATAAAAATTAATTTATTTTATCTATTATACTTCATATTTAAATTTTGAACATAAAAATGATTTTTATACACAAACTTTGACCAAAATAAGAAATGAAATGCTGAATCTAAGTAAAATATGCCTGCAAAGGAATTCCTTTATTTTTTATTTTTACATCCCCAAAGAGTGGTGTAATTTGGTTTTACACATTTCCAGATATGTTAAAATTCACTTTTTTGCATTTCTGTCATTAACTGTGTACTTGTCGTAGCTCTTGGTTGGGTCAAACGGCTCCCAGCGACTTGCTGGGAAGATGTGCTTGTTTCGCTCATACCAATTTCTCAGGAGAACTTTGCCGGCATGGCTCTCCTCCTTTTCAATGGTCGCGTCACTCACTAATCTAATGTCGTCCCGGACGTCGAACTGAAACAGGGGACCGCTTTTGCCTCGGGCCTGTAAGAAGTAAAAACACATTTTTTAATTTAACAAAAAAACTAGGCCACAACTTTCAAACCTTGGTTACAATGAAGTCATAAAAAGTGTAATGCTGCGGAAGAATGAGATCTTCTTTGACGTACATCAGCTGGTCTGCGGTCACTGTTTTAAGTTCACTGAACTCTTTCCTGAGCATCTCGAGACACCTTTGCAAAAACTGGTAAATTGAATTACCTAAAAATAAGAAAATAATTTATTGCAAACTCTATTAAATACACTTTTTTTTATTTTAATCATTTTTTAACCGGTATTAAAAATTACCTTTCTTCATGTTGACTGTTCGTCTGTGGCCCGAACCGTCCCAGTAACTGAATGTGATCTCAATTTCCTCCTCTTTCAGCGACTGCTGCTTCGCGACCCACTCTTGTCTCAACTGCTCCCTTATTCTGTTTTCCTCCTCTTCCCGCTCTCTATCCGGCAAAAAACTTGTGTCTACGTCAGGGTTTTTCTTGATCTTCTTTGCAGCCACTTCCTCTTTGCTATCCGAGCTGTTTTCATCTGAATCTATTTCTCGCTTGATTTGCTCTTTGCTTTCTATTTCTGCTTTCGGCGACGGACAAACTTCCTCGTCTTCGTCTTCACACTCATCCTCATCTAAGTTGAAGGACAGAGTTTGGATCTGCAAAGAACTAATTACTGTAAGAGAAATTGTGTTATTTGTCTGATCGAACAGGTGTACCTGCTGTTTTTGTCTCCGTTTTTCCTCTCTCTTTGCCTCCAGTTGTCTTTCCTGCTCTTGTTCCTTCTCAGCCTGCTTCTGGGCCATTTTCATCTCTCGCGCCTTCACAATGTCCTCTTGTTTGGCTTTCATCTCGTCCAAAGTGACCAAACCAATGGTCGAGCTCTGCGAATAATTTTTATTTTTATCTTCTAATTTCCCTCTTTAAATTGATGTTTTACCTTCAACTGCTGTTCGACCGCGTCGTAGTGTGTCGCAAATTTGTTTTCCATGTTGGACAATTTGAGTTCCTCTTCTAGCTTCTTTTTCCTGAGCTCCATTTCTTGCTGGGCTTGTTCCCTCTTCTTCATCAGCTGCATTGCCCTGCCAGCCTCGCTCGCCGCGCCTTTGTAATGTGCCATTTTTCAGCCCTGGCTTTTAGTTCTGAAATTTTGCAGTGAAGTTTAATAATTTGCTCCTATTTTTGGTTTGACCAATTATTTTTTAATCGAATTTAAAACAAAATCGTTGGAATGAATGTTATATTTAACCTATTCACAAAAAATCGTTTAAAAATTTTAGAAAATAAAGATCACTTAATACTTTTTTCTCCGATAAAAGATTTAACCCCGGTCTTCTTTCTGCTCTATAAAGAAATAAGATCCTCCAGGCTCCAACCTCCAAACCAAATTATGCACAAGCACAAAATGTAAATTGTAAACATCAACAAGAACTAAAAATTTGCTCGACACGCCCCTGTCCTGGTCCTGTTGTTTTGAGCTTTGAGCGCAGGCCGGAGCGCCAGCGCCTTGTTGGCCAGCGCCAAGCCAGCGCCCTCAAAAGCGCCACTCACAATCAGCGCCCCCTTCCCCTGGCTCCACACAATTCAAAATTGCGCGGTGCCTGATCGTCCGTCACTAATCATATATGATTGCTGCTGGACCTTAGACCTTACAATTAGCTAGACTTTAGAAAACCTTAGACCATGCCATGGTGCCATGATTTATGTTCGGCGGTTTTTAGTATTTTACGCATTATGATATAGGTCAAACATATATGAAACGTTACATTTTGATTTTTTGATTTTGTTGGAATTTTAAAAACGTTTGACGTACTGTCCGAAAAACAAGGGGAATTTCGTATCATAATTAATACGGCGTTTTATTTGTTTAATTATCAACCATCAAAAAAGGACATCACGCGAAGATCACACAAAGGGAACATTATCGGTGAGTTTTATTATTATTGTTGTTTATTCTACTCAAGTCATCTGTTAATTATTTTATCTGTTCAGTGGTGTTCAGTTATATATTATAAAATAGTAATAATATAATATTCCATGACCGGCTATTGTCCACCTAAAATAATATAATAAAATACATTATTTGCATTAAATTTTGAGAAGTTTTTTTCATAATTTTTTTAAATTCATTTTTTATTTATTCATAACCAACATTTATATCAAAACCTCACAGAATATTAATTAATAACATCAAAATAATAAAAGGACAATGCAAAGTTATTTTACAAAGTTTATTAAAAAAATATTAATTTTTTAATGGGGGAGGCGTGCATTGGCATTAGTCTTTGCCATTTTCATTTCTCTGTATTAATTTTTTTTCCAAGCTTTTGTCATCGTAATCTATTTAAAAAATTTTGGTATGAAATTTAAAATAAAACTATAATTTATCGTTTCAAACGCGCCCGAGGTAGACTTTTTGCAACCAATTGCGCGGCATTGTGAAAGAGATAAAAAAAATGGTTTGCGCTTTTCCCTTTCAAATTTGAACTGAAGTAATAGGACGCTTTTAATTAAAGAATAATTATAGCAAATTAATTTGTTTTTAAGTTTTGCGCATTATTAATATTTTTTATATTGTGTGAATTTTGTATGATATTATTGAATTTATGCGTTTTGCAGCGGCATATAATAAAAATAATATAATTATTTACTTTAAACTTGATATTTATGATCAGTAGCAGATCGGATAAGCATAGCACAATTCACTGCTTTGGTTACAATTAAGTAAAACAACTAATACTATAACTACTCTTTATACATGATTTACTCATTGCGCTGCATCTCTATTATTTACAAAAGCAAAATGAATAACTTATTGAGATATAAATAATAATTTACATTACATAATAGGTCTAATAATTTTTTTGTGTAATGTAATCTAAATATAATATAATATTGTCATAATCCATGATTGTGATGATCCATTATTGGCCGTCTAAAACGATAAAAAAAGTTAATATTATAATAATGCTGTTTTTTATAATCTATTTTATTTGAATTTTAATTCATCACAATTGTTTTGAATCAAGAATTCTTTTGCAAAATATAATTTAAAAAAAAAAATTTAAATTTTTGTTTTAAAAACATGATTGTTTTATTGGGGCGCGCAGTGGCTCTCTGTTTTTGTAAATGAAAATTATAAATACCAGATAAATACTTTTTGTTTGTCGAGAAAAATAATTCATTCCAAAAATTTTATTGGAAATTTTAAAATAAATAAATCATTTCAAATCAAACGTGCTAGATTTTTTACTTATTTCAACTGATTTCGCGGCATTGCGAAAAAGAGCTTAAAATAATCATAACAATATTATTATCATTATTTTAAGAACTTAAGTTCTTAAAATTAAAGTCTTAAATAATTTTCTGTAGTATTATTTTTTTACAAATGCTAACAAAGTCTTAGGTATATAAAGTCTCGATCTCTTACACAGATTTATAATTCAACTCCACTCTTATAGGAGGTGCATTGATTGTGCATTTAACGGCATTTAAGTTCTGTTCCAGGCTCAGGAGAGAGATGAGTACTGTCACTGCTTCAAACACCTTGTCAAACGAAACGAATAATATTAAGCACAATTTGTCATCTGATTACATCACTTTAATAATCATATCACAGAAGCACCAACACAATTAGTAAAACCAGGTAAAAATCAGTAAAATCTTTTTATATTTTTGTGAAAAAATTAACCTCTCAAATTTTCTGCAGCGGATTTCCAAGTAAGATATTTGTATATTATGTATATTTTTACTTATACCATTATATACCAAGTATATTTTTTTATTGTCTCGCGCACTATTTGTGTAAAAAAAACATTCAAAAAATACATTCATATAGCGATATAGCCCATTTATGATCCTCCTTAAAACATTAAAGCACATTTATTTAAACTATTAAATTTCAATCTGACGTTTTTTAGGTGAAAATCATAGAATCTTTATCCCAGACGTCCAAACTGCCCACGTACAGCCTCAGCAACAATTACCAGCAAATCCATTGGTTATGCAGGACCAAGCAGGTCAACAGCAGCTTGATGTTGGAGCAGTTGGCAATGGACCGCCAAACAATCCACCACCTCCATATCCAGGGCCTGCAAACTCCAACAGACAAGATGAAGCCATAATTAATGCAAATAATGCAGAAGAACAGGAGCAAAGAAACGGCTATGGCAACTCGACCTCGACCATCAATATTGGAGATCGTAAATATATAAATAAGGGATATTCTGTTCACGGAGTAGTTATCCTGGGATGAACATGTTTAAGGCAGAGGCAATGCTATATATATCTCTTGAGGACTTAATTAATTGATAGAATATCCTCCATAATTAAAATCTGATATTTTAAATTTTTAATAAAAATTGATTCTACAATTTCCATCGATAGAAAAATTAGTTTGAAATTAACATTCCACTGTAATATGTTACAGAAGCAACAAACATTGCCATTTTCCAATCACAAAATTTGCGTACTGATGCCATGCATGTGAACATACCACCGGTTGGTGGTGCAACCTCAGCAGTTGAACAAACTAATGCACAAACATCAGCAGTGCAGCCCACTAGACCTGCATCTATTACTCGTTCTGAATCAGAACACACTACTTCCGAACATGGTATAGGTTAGGCGTTGATGAGTAATCAATTAATTAACTCAAAGATTTATAGCTTCTGCAGGAAATCCAAAGAAATTGGTGGACCTTCCCTTGGTGAAAAATCTTAACTTCGACCGATTTGTTGAATTTTTTAAGCAGCTTGGAATTAGCGACAATCAAATATTTGAAGCAAAAAAGAAGCTCAGGGTATCTCGTTTAGAGGTAAATAGTTTTTTTTTTGGTTTGAAAACTTATTAACTCGCCATTACAGGCCATTGCCGAGCTCTTTAAGATGTGGATTGACAACAGTGGCAATGGAGCCACTTTGGACAAACTCATTACTGCAGCAAACGCTTTAGAGCTGACTTTGCTCTCTACCCAGCTAAAGAAGTTGGAAAATGTCAATACGGTGCAGTCTCAATCCAGCTAATTTATGTACATTACAAATTAGGTGGAACCCTTGTTGGATTAAAAATGAAATGAAATTACCTAAACCATTGGTTTGCTTTAAAGAAAGTGCCCTTTTTCATATTACAGTTCTCTTTATTAATTTCATAATGCATATCAAATTAAGATGTTGAAGAGAAATCTGTTTTTTGTTGTGGCTAAATATTTTTTCTGTATTGAAGAGATGGCATGCAAACCAAATTCACCTGCATTTAACTTATCAGACTGTGTTGCCATTAATATTTTTGTTTTCTGCCATAAATAAAATATATACCAAGCAATATATTTATACACAACAATTAGCAGTTAAGCTTTTACTCTCACTAAGACTTGCCAAAATTCTTAAACCAAAGTGTCAATGTTATTTTTTTTATGTAGATTAATATGGCTGATCAATTGATGACTTTCTTTTTTGACAAATTCATAGCAAATATTCATTAGTCACAACATCAAACACCGCCTCTTTCGCAAGTCATGCAAATTTAGCAGTGTCCAGGAATTTCTGGATAGTAAAAAGACGAATTTGTTGACAATCATACGTTCAATTTTTTTTGGTACATTAAAGTGTGCCGCAAGAAATAGATTCCTTATCTGTTCCTTTTTTCAATCTCCAGAAAAGACTACACAGTTCCAAGAGAGTGTAATACACCATATTTAACTCATCAGTCCAGCAAGAGGGAACAAGTACAGGTGAATGAGTGTGTTTGTTGTTGCTTTTGTTGTTCCATTCCATTTAGTTCCATTACAATTTTTTTGCATGAGTGACAAATAAACAACAAAGGAGAGGACAATGTTTCTTTTCGAATTTGCTGTTACAATTTTCTTTAAAGAGATAGAGAGAGATAATGAAGGAGGATAGTAAAGGGATGTTGTAGTTGGTTGTTGTGTTATATGCTAGAGGCAGGTCTATCAATTGTCCCCACCCTCCTGAGGCTCGTCTCCGTCTCCCTGTGTGTCTGACGTCCACAACGTCAGGTTGTCCCTGAGCAGTTGCATGATGAGCGTTGAGTCTTTGTAGCTGTCTTCGTTCAGGGTGTCGAGCTCAGCGATCGCATCATCAAACGCCTAAAGTAACAATCAATGCTTTAGTTTTAGACCAAAAATTGAAAGCAAGCAGCGATTGCAGCTAGAGGTTTGCATTGCCAAATCAAAACAAGAAACAATATGCCGGAAGCAAGTGCTTCAACTTTTTTAGTACTTTTTTTTACAACAGTTTGCATTTTTACAGCCAAAGGTTATTACGCAGTTTGACGTTGCCGGTTTCACCATTTCTTTGTCTTTAATGATGTTAATAAAATACACAAAGTTCTAAACAAGAGTTAGACAATCTAATTTGTTATTAGTTCACTTTGCAATCAATCGAAAAGACTCTAAATTACATTTATTTTTGAAAACACACAATGTCATGCTGGTGAAATGGGCACTCTGCAAACCGAGCAATACCTGTTTGGCCAGGTGGCAGGCTCTGGCCGGGGAATTGATTATTTCGTAATAGAAAACAGAAAAGTTGAGGGCAAGGCCTAGCCTGATTGGGTGGGTGGGCTGCATTTTAGATTTGGCAATGTCGAACGCCTCCTGGTAAGACTTCTGTGAGTCGTCCACAACGGCTGCGAATCAAAAAAATACAGAGAGATCAGTCTCTGCGGTGCTAACCTGTTTTGCCAATTGGCATGCTTTGTCTGGTGAGTTGAGGATTTCGTAGTAGAACACAGAGAAATTGAGGGCTAGTCCCAGTCTGATGGGGTGTGTCGGCTGCATCTTTGCCTTGCTGATTTCGAATGCGTCCTGGTATGCCTTCTGTGAATCATCCACTACACCTGTTCGTTAAAACACCATGCGTTTTAGTCCATACGAATACCTTACTTACTCTATGTTAGTCCATTCATACTTCATGCATTTGACTCGACCACTTGTTTAATTGAATTTATTTTTTATTGCAAAGTTTTTCTTTATTCTTTTTGCCTCCAATAATAAGAAATTAAGAAAGAGCTGGAGTACAAATGTGTGCAGTAGTTGGCCTAGTTGTGTCAAGCTCATATTATATTGATTGTCAGCAACAAAGCGCGCTAGTGCAACATTCCCCCACCCTCAACATCAACACAAGTAAGACAAGGTGCCTCACGTACGATTAAAATTTACCATTTAAAAATGTCCTGCGCACTGTGTAAATAAATTTGTATGCAAAATAAAATGTGGCCATAAAAATTTGGTGACTTATCAAATCACACATCTAATTCCAATAGCCATTGTTTGATTTTTGCACTCTTTGGAACCTAAAGGGTCATCGGACCACATCAGGAGGGTTCGTGTGCACAGAGATGATTTTAAATAAAATAAATGCTGAAGCAAAACGTTTAAATAAATAATTTTGTGGCAGAAATTGGACGAGTCAAGGCAAACTGAAAATTTAAGCACAGCTTACAAAAAACCCAAGCAAATTTCATAAATAAAAGTTTGTGCTTAAATTTTTTAATATTGATCCGGAAGCTTGTATTCATACATGCCCATTCATTCAAATCTAATTTTACCATTCACACCTCTAATTTCAAAAAGCTAAGATAATTCTAGTAAACACAATTAAGAACTGAAAATAGACACTTACTATTTCTGTTGTCCCCAGTGGCAACTTCCGCAAGGTACCTGTAGTAATCTCCCTTCATCTTCAGGTAAAATACTTTGCTTTCAGCGTTGCTGGCTTTAGGGATCAGGAATTTATCTAGAAGACCCTGCGAACAAAAATTATTTTGTTAGTCCACACCACAGTAGTTAAATTTCAATTTTCAGCTACCAGAACGTCGTAACAGATCTCTCTGAGCTCCTTTTCGACTTTTTCCCTGTACTCCTTGGCCATCTGCTGTTTTCTCTCACTGCCTTCTGTCTTCTGTTCTATGCTGGAGATGACTCGCCACGAGGATCGCCTGGCACCGACCACGTTCTTGTACGCCACAGACAAAAGGTTCCTCTCTTCGTTCGAGAGCTCTACGCCAGTCTCAGTCACAGACTTCATGGCTGCAGCCATATCGTCGTACCGTTCCGCCTGCTCCGCCAGCTTGGCACGCTGCACTAGTTCCTCCTTGTCGACGGACATTATGTCAGGTGTGTGTGTGTGTTTGTTTCGGTTGCTTCTGCCGCGCTGCTCGCCGCCCCTGCTCAATACGCAGTATGTCCTCTCAAGCTCGCTGCTTCTGCTGAAATCAATCAAAATTTGCCAATTGTAATTCACAATTTAAAATAAAAGATATCATGAAAGTTTTGGGATAAAGGAGGGAGATCACGCCACCTTGAAATGAAAATAATTATTTCAAAATAGCCCAGTGCGCTTTCTAGTAGCAAGAAAAAAAAGCTATTTTAATTTATTAACCTGACTTTCAGTTAAAACTATTCCAATTGAAGAAAACTTTATATAATTTGCAACGGTCAAAATTTGAGTAACTTATATTCATTACCGCTTTCAGCATTCTAAAATATTTATATTTGTAAAATTCCAGCCACTAAAGACGAGAGTTTGTTTTTCCGACTGATTGTTTCATTGCTTGCTGAACTCAATTTACTTGCAAGAGAAAATTAATTCAAATGAGGCTGCAGGTGCGGCCAAATTGGTGCCACTTTCCTAACAGAGGCGCAGCCAAATTCAGTCGGTCCAAAAAAGGCGAAAATTCGCGTCAAGCGCGGAATGGTCACGGCCGGCGCGGAGTGGGCGACAAAAACAGCCGCGGCGCTCTCTGGCGAACGCCGAGGGAGCAAAGTGCGCAAGAGCCGGTGCGGCGGCGGCGATCAATTTGCGTTCGTCACACGCTTGCCCGCCGTGCTCCTTATCAGCCAAATGTGAATGTGTACGAGCGACGGCCAACGGAGCGGCTATCACAATTATCACTTTCAGCATCGCTTTGCCCCTTTGACGGAATCAATGCTTTTGCGTGCGGCCCGAAAACGTAATCGCTCAAAACTCGGTCACAAACGCTGTTGCAACACTAGCAACTGCTTGGAAAAAAAATTAAAAAAATATCAAGGGATTCTTAAGATTAACGTGCAGTTCAAAGGGCCAAGGATTAAGGTTTCACATCATGAAAAAATAATTACGTTTAACCCTCTACATACCACCTAGTGAGGTCTGAAGAGCTAAAGGTTTTCCAAAAATTCCTACAAGCAGGAGAAAAATTTTAATTTTCTGCAAAATTATTTCGATTCCCAAAATTACAAAATTAAATTAAATTTAAATTAAATAAATTATCGAGGTATTTTGGTCAAAAATTTTCTTCAAAAAATACAAATTCAAATCGTAGCACTAATTATTTTCGATTTTTTTTTTCACAATAATACTTGTGACCAAAACTACACTTCTAATCTGAGAAGGAGTTGTTAATTAAATTGGACATAAGAACAAGACTCAATTTGGACTGATTAACGAAGCGGCAAACAAATCAATTAAGTTCGCCAAGAGGAAGAACCTAATCTAGACCTTTGTTGCGCAAGGCAGAGCTTCTCCCCGGAGAGCGAAAAGGAGAAGGATGAATCGGAGAACAAAATTGGCTGCAAATGTCTTGTGCGAGTTGGAGAATGAAAATCTATCTATATGGGGAAAGCAACACGGATGAAGCCCAATAAATTAATTCAGCTTTCTTGGCTCCGGGGAGCGGCGCGCGTAGGCGGAAATTTCAAATTCGCTTTCACAGAGCTGTCTCGCAAAAGGAGGATAAACTCGACATGTCGTTGATTGGGTGACAATCGGGCGTTCAATTTGCGCGCAGACATGCGAGGACTGCAAAAAGTATAAAGTAAGTCATGATGACGAAGAGGGGAAAAAACGCCAAATCCGAACAGACAAATTGAACACAATTGAGATGAGCAAATTAAATATTTTATAAGTGCTCGGCCGAGGCATTAAGAAATTGATCCAGGCAGACGCTGGCCAAGAAGCATCGAGAATTTGCGGCCGGCTTAAACATACCGTACCATCCCATACGGTGCTCAAGTGTGAGTCAAGTTAAGTCTTCGAGGAGGAAAGTGGGTGTGACACACCTGGGCGTCTGATAAGACTCACGAAATGCTTAATTGTGCGTTATTACTCATGCCTAATCGGTTTATTTGCCATTCAAATGACTTGACGCACCTTCAGAAGCAGCAGCTGCAAAATTGCTGCATTGGCTGTTCGCTACCACCGAGGATTGCGCACTTCCTCGTCATGATTGATTATTAATAAAAAACCTAAATCACACTCAAAATAAATTAAATTAATATATTATAAAAAATTGAAACTAGAAATATTGAGGTCACCAATATTTTAAGCTCCGAGGAAAAGATTTTCCGAATATACGCACCAAATGGCTCCGAGAAAAGTAGGAACGTCTATTTCAATTGTAAAAATCAAATTAAAAACTTTGCAGATGAACGTTCGCCGTTCAAATCCCAATGCTTAGGGACGTAAACTAAACGAATGGTGGAACACAATGGAAGCAGGTGTAAAATGAGTCGGGCACAAAGACGAGATTTGGCAAGAAAATGCGTTGCTGAGGAATGCTCGGCTGGTAGGTGGTGATCAAGTGATTGCCAGGTAAAAAAGCAGGCGATTCCGCCGACTCCTCCCATTTATCTAAATCGCGCATTTGACGCCCGCACCGGCAACTCAAAAAACCCCGGCCCGCGGGTCGGCGTCTCGCGAGTGCCACCTTACCGACGGACGGTTCGTCCAGAGAGTGTCGGACACAGTGGTCGAGGTTTCGCACCGAGAAAACCCGGAAAAAGAGACCAAAATTCCGTAAACCAAGGCTAATTCAAGATGGCGCATTCGGGATACTTGCGGCACCGCGACCGAATTAGGCGAATTTCGGCGCGTGTGCGTGCAAATTCGGGCCACCCTTGACGCGACGGGACACTTACGTTTCAGGGTCACAACCCTCAGGTGTCAGGGATCCAGATGACAACTGCTACTCACTAATATCCGTCTATCGGCGCCCGGCAGTAACCTCCGCAACGAAAAGGGGTTCACAGTACCGGAAACAGAGAACCACTGCTCGAGTCAACGCCGTCTTCTGCGCAGTTGAGCCGCATTCCTGCATAAGTACGAATTCATAAAGCGTCCTGAGCACAATTCATTGCAAATGCGAATCATTCGTTTTAAGCAAAACGGATTTTTTATGAAATCACGTTTTTAAATCATGAATTTTAATTTTTATGTGGGCGTAAAACGCTGATGAAAATGGTCCTGCGGCATGAGGTCATACGTGACTTCCGACTCACGTAGTATGCGGCCCCACTTGCGAATGGGCGATCCCATTGATTAATTGAAGTCGATTTTAGGAAATTGTGCGTTGAAACGACGTGCGAGCAACCGATTTGTATCGAGAACTCACTTCACATTTATTTTTGGGTTCACCACTCTTCGCTCATCATAAACAAAAGGGACTGAGGCCGACCACGTGTGTTGATAATTATTCTGAGTCAAGATGCCCAAATCCAAAAGAGACAAGAAAAGTAAGCGCACGTGTGATTTTTTTGTTTTTCTTTGCTTATCAAATTTTGATTTCAGTCTCACTGACGAGGACCACGAAGAAAGGACAGCCTTTGAAGAAACAGCTCGTCGATGATATTCGGAAATGTTTAGAAAGCTATGCAAGGATATTTGTTTTTTCCGTGCACAACATGAGGAACATTAAGTTGAAGGAAGTCCGAGACGAGTGGAAGCAAAGCAGGTGATTTCAAAAATACATAGAAACTGAAACCATTGAAACCAATAAAATAATTATCTTAAATACCTAGTAACTAATGAAGATACAGAGATAATATTATACGTATTAGATGTCAGACCTCTTCTTATATTTTTGTGGCATTGCAGGTTCTTCCTTGGCAAAAACAAAGTGATGGCTATTGCTTTGGGAAGGACTGCCGAAGAAGAAAGTCAACCAAATATCCATCACCTGGCAAACACAATACAAGGTCAATGTGGAATTTTGTTTACCAACAAGAAAAAGGACGAAGTTATCGAGTAAGATTTGTTTTTATTGAAGAAATTTCCACTTGACGAGGCAATCATGGAAGTGAAGAAAACAGGCCCACGTTGAATTTCTTTTAGAAAATAACATTATGAATAATTTTTTTTTTTATCAAATACAATTTTTCCAACGAGGACAAAGCCTGTTTTCTTCAACTTCTAAGATTTTTCAATTAAAGTTTGGTTTAGAATTGTTTTCACTATTTCTTCAGGTGGTTTGAAAAATATTCTGAGAAAGACTTTGCGAGATCAGGTGGTGTGGCTACTCGCACAGTTAATCTGGAAGCTGGGCCTCTTGACCAATTCACCCATTCAATGGAGCCGCAGCTTAGACAATTGGGAATGCCTACATCCTTGAAGAAAGGTGATCTACTCATGCAAATTTTATATAAAAATTAATTTTGCGTTTTTGCATAATACAGGTGTTGTGACATTGACAAAGGATTATGCTGTTTGTAAAACTGGAGATATTTTAAATCCTGAACAAGCTAGGATTTTGGTATGCACTTGAATCTTGTTTTAAAGAACTATAAATTTAATATCAACGTCTGTGTTCTAATTTAGAAACTGCTTGGAGAACAGATGGCTGAATTTAAATTCACTCTCAGAGCCCTTTGGTCCAATGATGGAACTTTTGAGAAGCTGTGCGACGCTGTTGATCTCGACCCCACAGATGTACCTTTACCCTCAGACGATGAAGATTTGGATGATGAGAATTAATTGAAATAAAATAATTTTTTTATCATGAACTGAAAATTGCAAGGAGATTTTATTCATCAATCAAACTCATCCACGTTTAATGTGAGGAAAGTTTATTCTTGAAGTAATTAGAGATACATCTTACAAGGCGTTTTCCAATTCCTCTGTGTAATAGTAACAAAATCCAGCTAAACGTTGAAAATAAAGTAATTGTTCAACCCAGTTTGAAGCTGAACAGCTTAATACATCTGGTTTTGACATGTTCACATTTCACTTTCCTTGCGTTGAAAAATGCAGATTTGCTTACATTAACCAAAACCGTTTGCAGTGACCATTGAACTAGTCAAGCAGGAATGAAAAAGAACAAGTTATTGAGAAATTTTTTGGGCTTTCATTATTTTACGCTTTTTTTTGTCTCAACGTGCCTCTTTTCTGAAAAAGTTGCAGAACACTCTGCTGTTTCCAAAGTTTTACAATTTTTTTGTATTTTTTGTCATTATTATGTGGTTTTTACTTTTTAATCTTTTTTGGCCGCCTGCTTGGCCTGGTGAGCCTGCAACACAGCAACGGCTTCCTCCACCTTTGCTTTGAGGGACTCGTGGTGCTCCAACATGTGCAGCAACTCGGAGTTGTCTATTTCGAGCAACATGCCAGTGATCTTACCGGCGAGCTCGGGATACATCCTTTGGATGAGCGGGAAGAGACGTTCTCCCAGCATTTGCTTCTGCTCATTGTGAGGGGCCGCAGCCAACATAGAAGCCGTCAGAGGCTCCTGGCCTTGGATGAGCACGGCCTGTTGCACTTGGGGCTGCTGGGCCTGCGGCATGGCTTGAGGTGGGTTGCGCATGTTGGCGGTGTACTTATAGTTGGCAGGACGCGCCTGTCCCGAAACAGCCACTCCAGCCGGCATCGGAGCACGTCCTGGAATGGCAGTTGCACCCTGCTGTCCAGTAATGGGCCTGGCCGAGATGGAGCTACGCATGGCAGGCTGGCTGGTAGGTGCGCGCTGTACGGAGCGGAAGGTCTGTGGCATAGTGGGGAAGGCGGATCCGCTGGCAGTCTGGGTAGAGGGACGCACAGGAGGCTGTCCTGGCCAGCGGGGCTGAGGTCGGATCTGCGCCATCTGGGTGTTATAGAAGCGCTGAGGAGGCTGGGTGAGGGTTGGCATGAAGTATCCGGCGCCTCCAGCAGACTGGAACATTTGTCCCATTTGCTGCATACGCATATTGGCCATGCGTTGCATGTACTGGGAGGCCAGATGAGCCTTGCGGTCTTCTTTGCGCTGGGCCAGGGCCACATACAGGGGCTTGGAACCCACTATCCGTCCATTCATCTCCGTCACAGCCTTGGTCGCCTCCTCCGGAGAAGAGAAGCAGACAAAGCCGAAACCCTTGCTCCTTCCATCCTCCAGCATGACCTAAAAGTAGAGATAATAGTGGGTTCAGTTACTATAAAGGAAAATTTTTAATATATCGTCCTGGTAGTTAACTAAATCATGTCCGCCCATAAACTTGCATGGGACAGAGGTGATTTTTACACCACCAGGACAATATAATTGAAATTAAATAAAATTAATTGAATTAAAAAGTATTGAATGAAGCCACATACAACCTTGGCGCTCGTTATGGTTCCGAACGGGGTGAATTCCTTCCTCAGACGCTCATCATCGATGGTGTCATCAAGATTCTTGACATACAAGTTGACTCCTTGGTAGCGATTCATGCGTTCGATCTTCAGCTGCTCAAACTTCCTCTTGAGCTCCTGCTGTCTTTCTGCCTTCTTCTGAGCTCTTCCGACATAGAGTGGCTAAAACCATAATGAGGAAATTTCTTCAGGTATATGAAGACAATAAAATCAAATATGTAAAAATCTGTGTAGTTTTAGAACTTAATAATAAGTATTGTAAGTATTTATGTTTGAAGTTTGAAGAAGCTGACACTCAAGGAGATGATCATGGAAATTAAGATATCGGGCTTTTTCCTCGTTGGGATAATTGTTTGTTATTCAAAAACAAATGGCTCTACCAGTTTCGGTCACATTCATGATTAGTCAGCGGGCAGCGCGATCGCTCACGAAATAGGGTTGCAGACCGTGACCAAAACTGGTAGAGCCATTTGTTATTGAATAAAAACAATTTTCTGCAACGAGGAAAAGGCCCGATCTCTTCATTTCCATTGTAAGTATGTTGAAATATAAATTTGTTAGCACAACAAATATTTAATTAAAAAAACATCTCATTTTACCTTTCCATTGAAGTCCTTAGTGTTCAATTCATCACAAGCTCTCTCAGCGGCCTCTGGGTCCTCAAAGGCAACAAATCCAAAGCCCTTGTTCTTGCCATCGTCGGAAATCATGACCTTGTGGCTAGTTATGCGTCCGTACTTCTCAAACATATCTCTGAGCTGCTCATCAGTTATGTCGTCGGTGAAGTTCTTGATGTAGACATTGGTGAAACGCTTAGCCTTCTCGCCAAGTTCCTTTTCGCGCTCCTTGCGGGGGATGAATTTGCCCACGTACACCTTTTTGCCGTTGAGCAACATGCCATTGACCTTGTCGATGGACTTGTTGGCAGCTTCTTCAGTCTCAAAGTGGACAAACCCATAGCCCTTTGAATTACCGGTCTCGTCAGTAGCCACCTTACAGCTGAGTATGTTGCCAAAGGCGGAGAAGGTATCGTACATAGCTTTGTTGTCGATGGTCTTGTCAAGGTTCTTGATGAACACGTTGCCTACGCCAGACTTGCGCAGGGATGGGTCACGCTGCGACCACATAATACGAATTGGGCGACCCTTCAGCATGTCAAAATTCATTGTGTCTAGGGCTCTCTCAGCTAAAACAACAAAAATTTTGCGTTAAAAAACATATACTATCTTTGTCAAAAGTAGAATTATACAAGGCTGGTGATATAATTTTAGATGGATAAGATAAGAGAGTAAGCAAAGTGCAGTTGGCACTAAAAGGAAACCAGATAAAAATCTTTATGTGTTGACTTGAACATATTTAGTGATGAGTTGCGCGAGTGCATAATTAAATTCTTCAGGCCAACGTTTCAGGCCGAGAATACTGGACGCTATAACAGCACCAAACATGAAAAAAGGCAAAGTAAAGGGCGATGTGCGTTCACTAGGTCAAGGATATCAAAATGAAATGTTTGCGTTATAAATTTGCCTGGGCGGCAAGATTCCGTTGTTCGGTGAGGAATTATTGAATGCCTATCAAAGTATTCAGACTATGTATGTATTTGCAAAAGAAAATGTTTGTTTTGGCGACTGTTCGAAAAAAGGAAAAGTAATGCGCCACGAGTCAAACATAACATACCATCAGCAGGCTGTTGGAAATTCACGTAGGCATAGCCCAAGGAGCGACGTGTGATCATGTCGCGGCAAACTCGGATGGAAAGGACAGGGCCTGCGGTCGAGAACTTCTCGAAAAGCATGGCCTCGGTGACGTCCGCGTGCAAATCTCCAACGTAAAGCGAAGCCATTTTTCCTCGATGTGTCTGCTGCAAAACCAACAACCATGTTGGATCAGTCACATGCACCGTTAATAAAAGTAAATTTGTACTCACCTCAAAGTTTTATGGTATTTTAAAGTTATTTTACTATTTTTTTATGCTTTTATATATTTTATGAATTTTTTTGGTTTTTTTTAAATTATATCACGAAAAGAGTGGGTTGTGTGGCCTAAAACGAAGGAGCACACAACCTCACGACAAACAGTCCCTGCTTTTTCGAGAAGAGGCAAGTGAAAGTAGGGCGCAGCCGCTTTATATAACCTCGGTGTTGACCCTCCGCCTACCATGCCGAACGTTGAATAGTTCGCGATACTGTACCATATTTAACCAATTTATACAATGATTCAATCAAATTTATAAAAACCCTGATGTTGAATTGTCAATACAATGATAATTAAATCAACACCAGTGTAGTTCGCAGCTCCGAATGCAAGTAAATGCCCATCTATTGATCACAGAGCCACGTGCAGATCCTGCCGACATTTTATGTATTCCTCCGCCTTTCCCCCTTAGCAGTTGGCAGCGCCGCGGTTTACTATTCATGAATTATTGTTATCACTTATAATTTTGCAAAATACAAGCAAAAAAGCAAACAACTGGAGGCATTTCAAGGTGGAAAATTTGCAGCGCAATCTGCCAATGGCTAATCAAATGTTTTGTTCTTTTATTGTATGAAATAAAATAAAATTTTGAATTTTGTTTATCATAACAAAACCAAGTGACCAATCAACTGACTAAAGTGACATCCATCCGGCATCTGCTGAATTAATGCAAGAGGGGCGGGAAGAAAGTTTACGTGGCGCGCTGGGCGCTGCACCAAGCACCAAGCAAAAGGGATACCAAATTCATATTTATTTTGATACAACGCGAAATAAATAATTATGTCTTTACTTAATTATCTTTGATTTGCTATAAATATATGTAGTACACCTTTATAGTACCAAGCTGGTACAAGTAAGATAGACAAATATATTTAATTTATATTTTTCATTAATTTTCATAAATATAAAGAACCCACCTAATTAAAGATGTTAATATCAAGGTGGATTACCGATGCCTCCCATGCAAAAGCCTTCGTCCGACCCAAAAATTAAAAAAATCTGAGCTGTAGTCGGCAATAGTAAAAGGGAGATAAATGCTGGACAATCACTCCCGTGTGGGATGAAAAAATTATATAGTTGTTGATTTTTTATAAATTTTTATTTACACCAATAAAATTATTATAATTGATGTAATTTGATAATACATAAGGGTTTTGATCAATTCTAAATATAATTTCCTTTATATAAGTTCTAAATGATAAAGAATGATTGATTTTTGTTGCTCTGTATTCTTCTCCTTCTACGTTACGACGACCACAATCAAGAACTCAGCCGAAGGAGCTTAGTAATACATACGCAAGTTACGCGACTGAGCACCTTGACGGGCAATTTGGTGCACGGACTTTTCTAACTCACCCTGTTGTTAAAAATTAAATTGAATCCCAATTATGCTATGTATCGCATACAATTTGTAAAATTTTGTCGTTGACTGTGTAGAATAAACAATAAAATACCAGTATAAACTAAATGATTTAGTTTTTTTATACTTTTGACCCTTTTGCAATAAAAACATTTTTTTTACATTGTAGATTGTAGATCACTCTTAAGAAACATAAGAGTGAATTCAAAAAGAAAATAAATAAAAAATAACTACTTTCGCACTTTCAGAAGTTGAATTGCAAAACAGCTCATCAGACCACAAATTAAATAGAAGTGGAAAAACACATTAAATTTAATTTACTGGAAGCAATGCCCCTGTAATACAGTGAAACATATATAGGTGTCTGGTGTGGCGTCAGGTCGCCGCCGTCGCCGTCTCTTGGAAGACGATCGAGATATATATTTTGCCGAGAGAGTGGATAATAACCGAACCTTTTAAGTTACGCCATGCCTCCAATCTACCGAAACAAGATAACCTTGGTCAGGTTCAATTTTGAGAGAAAAATTGGAGTCGCCGAGTCCAACGTGGTACCTTCTCGCCAATCAGGTATCGGGACGGGTGGTCACACCTTCGTCACCAGGTAGCCAGGGGACGAGACTCAAGAAACTTCCACGCATTCCACTTCTTGCAGTAGTGCAGTCAAGAGGCCACCATGGTTTGTTTTTATTTTTTATCCCATCATCTTCAGTCAACTCGGGAAAACAATATATTATAAGCCATATATAATCATCTAATTAAATTCAACTACAAACAAGCATAGCTAATGTACATTTAAATTTATTTTACTTATTAGAGTAAAATTTATTTCAATTTTTTTTTTAAATATAACTCATTCTAATTTACAGACAACTTACACCGACAAAGGAACAAAGGTAAAATATTCCATTTATAAAAGTACACGTCTCCATTATTTTTCCTCATAATTACTTGAATTAGCCTGATGCTGGAAAGTTCTTGAGATTCGACCACATCAAGTTTTGGGTTGGAAATGCCAAACAGGTTAGCAGAAATATTTTTATAATTTTTGAAGCAAAATTTCTATCAAATTATAATAGCAATTAGAAAATTTTGATTTTAATTGCACCCGTAAAATATATCATTTATAAGAAGCGCATTTTATTAAAGCGCCACAGCAAAGTAGTTGTCCTTGACGGTGCAATTATTGTCAGATTGAAAAAAAAAGCTGGAGAGGTTCTTCGCGTGCGACGCGATACACACATGATTATCATTTGCTGAAATATAAATGACACACTGCGGTGCGCCTCAAGCATTATTCACAACAAGTTTATTATTGTTTTTGCCTGTGTGGTTGAGGAAAAGCACCGCGTTTAATTTTTAGGAGCTTAAATAGCCTAACTTATGAAAACATAAATTGATTACAAAATTTACACCAAAATTAATCAAAAATTTAACAGGCTGCGTCATTTTATTGCGCCCGAATGGGATTTGAGCCCCTCGCTTACAAAGGGCTTGAAACTGGCGAGCGCCGAGTGGCAAGCCATGCCGTCACTCAAAATAAGGTTTTTTCACTTATTTTCTATTTTAATAGTTTTTTCCAATAACACAATCAATCTTAGATCGTTTTTCTGTTTGAATCGGCGTATTTGCCCAACGAGAAAGAAATGGGCGAGCACTTGGTAAAGCACGGTGACGGCGCTAAAGATGTTGCTTTTACTGTCAAAGATTTAGACTCGATTGTCAAGGTAAAATTTAAAATTAAAATTTTTTAATTAACGCACGTCTTAAAATATTTAAACAGATGGCTAAACAGAGAGGTGCTAAAATTGTGAAGGATATTTGGGAGGAAAGTGATGATTTCGGTACTGCGCGCTTTGCGGTTGTGCAGACGGTGACATTTAAAAAAACACAAAATTTAAATACACAATTTAAACAAATATTCATTTTTTAGTACGGTGACACGACGCACACCTTAATTGATAGGTCCAAGTACAGAGGCCTGTTTTTGCCCAACTTCAAGAAGCCTCTCCACGAAGACAGCCTTTGTTCCAAACTGTAAAATTTAATTAAAACATTTAAATCATTTTATATTACTGAATTATTGAAATAGGCCTCCTGCCAAACTCGACTTTATCGACCATGTCGTTGGAAACCAACCAGATCTGCAGATGGAGAATAGTGCCAAATGGTAAAGATAAAAATAAATTGGAACAACTCATTAATTATGAAATTATATCAGGTACGAGCAAAATTTGCTCTTCCACCGATTTTGGTCTGTTGACGATTCACAGCTGCACACGGAATTTTCAGCCCTGCGTTCCATCGTAATGGCAAACTGGGAGGAAACTATCAAGGTTAATCATTTAACAACGATAGTTTGATTTTAATAATTTAAATTCAATCAGATGCCTATTAATGAGCCTGCTCCCGGAAAAAGGAAGAGCCAAATTCAGGAGTATGTGGATTACTACGGGGGTGCGGGTGTTCAGCACATTGCCCTTAATACAAGCGACATCATCACCGCTGTAATTTATTTCATTTAATTTTTTTGTGAACTTTTTAATTGTAATAATTCACAGATTCGCAACCTGCGTTCCCGCGGAATGGACTTTTTGTCCGTCCCCAAGACTTACTACACGACTTTGCGCGAGAACCTGAAAAACAGCAAAGTGGTAGTCACTGAGGACTTGGATATTTTGGAGGTTGATTGAACGTAAAAATAAATTTTTTCATTATTAAGCCAAAATTTACATCTTTCCAGGAATTAAATATCCTCATTGACTATGATGAAAATGGTTACTTGCTGCAAATCTTCACCAAAAACATGCAGGATCGGCCCACATTGTTCTTGGAAGTGATCCAGAGACACAACCACAATGTAAAATTTAATTAATCAAAATTATATAAAAATTATTTTAAAATAAATGTTATTCTAGGGGTTCGGAGCTGGAAATTTCAAAGCTCTCTTTGAGGCTATCGAGCTTGACCAGGCGCAGAGAGGAAATCTGTAATTTGAAAATAAAGGCATCTTTATTTGTTTTAATTTTACTGGTGTTCGGTGTGGCAAATGAACGTGCTATTATACGATTACTTTTAAATACTTTTCTTTATGTAATCAAATAAAAAAATTAGTAATTAATAAAATTATTTCATTTGCGGGTCGAAGCGAGAATTCTCGCGGGCTTTGCAGTTCGCGCCGAAAGTGGCAAACCCTCCCCGCTTCGTTCGACCTCTCGACCAATGGCGTGCTGTGGCTCATTAAAAAACAAACCACTCCTCCGCTGCAAGCACCCTCTTCTTCAAGGTGACCTTTGCCCTGCCTTCAGCCAGGGGTATAAGGACAAAGAAGGCTCAACAACCTTGACTTTGAGCTGCAGAGGTGAGAGGATCTTCAGCAGCGTCTGTCGTATTGTTTTAATTCAACTCGGTTCTGCATTCTTCTTCGAAAGTATGTGATTCCAATTTCAGTGATCAAGTCAAGACCAGCACACGGTATCATCCTGGGAGCTGTCAAAAACATAATTTTGGTTTTTTAACGCTGAGTCATTTAATTGCTTCCTGCAGATTAATTGTGGCAGAAATTTATAAAAGCTAATTTTTGTTTCAACAGCGTGAAATTTACAGACATTACATACATATTCCGGCCATAATTTTTTAAAACGTGTTGTGTGTTTATTTTAAATGCTGAAATAAGCATTGAAAATTGCAAGATAATTTTTGAGGTGCGAAGAGGGATATATTTGCTGTTGCAATCGACACCTGCATTTTCCAAGGTGTTTAAGTTAAATCATCGCTCGTGATTGTTAAACATTGTGTTTTAGTTGCCTTTTTCATATTAATTAGTATTAAATTTGAGTGAATATATCGAATATATTATTAGTTTTTAACAGTATTTATAAATTCTACTAAAAACTACTAGGACGCACTGAACGTTGAATTGCACGATTGTAGTGTACTTTATTGTATTTCTTTTTCTTTTTACAGATTTCTTACGAAAACAAACTAAGTATGGCAGACGACTCAAAAAAGAGATTCATCGAGCGTGGCTCCCACAAGGGCAAGGGAATTGCCGTTTTTACCAGCGGTGGTGATTCTCAAGGTATGATCCTTTCTTATTTTCTAATAAAAATAATTACATATGACTTGTTATCAGGCATGAATGCAGCCGTCAGAGCTGTTGTTCGAATGGGCATTTATCTCGGATGCAAAGTCTACTTCATCAAAGAAGGATACCAAGGAATGGTCGACGGAGGAGAGAACATCCAAGTGGCAAACTGGTCTTCCGTCTCCAGTATTATTCACAAGGTTGAAAACTTGAAATCATGTTATTCTGTATAAATATATCAATAAAACTTTCTTCAGGGTGGTACTGTGATTGGTTCTGCCAGGTGCAAGGACTTCAGGGAGAGGGCTGGTCGGCTGAAGGCGGCCAAGAATTTGCTCCAGAGGGGAATCACTAATTTAATTGTAATCGGAGGTGACGGCTCTTTGACCGGCGCCAACCTCTTCAGGCAAGAGTGGGGAAGCTTGCTTGATGAACTGCTGCAGAAGGGTACGTAAAAAAATCAATCTGCGAATAAGTTTTTTTTAAAAAAAAAATCTCTTTAGGTGAAATTTCTAAGGAAGAGAGGGAAAAGCACAGTCACCTGCACATTGCCGGAATGGTCGGTTCCATCGATAATGATTTCTGCGGCACCGACATGACAATCGGAACCGACTCGGCCCTGCACAGAATCATCGAAGCCATCGACGCCATCGTGGCCACAGCCTACTCTCACCAACGCACATTCATCATGGAGGTCATGGGCAGGCATTGTGGGTACGTCAAATGAAATCTATACTAAAGTCGTAGTAGAGTTTTCTTAAACATTCATCCAATCAGGCCTTTCTTACTCACATGACTTAAAAGAAATTCATTATAAGCCGTCCACAAAACCCATTTATTAAGGTAATTACCATGCACATGCCTAGGTACTTGTCAATTGTAGCTGCTCTCACGAGCGAAGCCGACTACGTGTTTTGCCCTGAGAGTCCTCCACCTACTGACTGGCCTTCCAAGCTGTGTAGCAAATTGGAACAGGCAAGACCAAAATCTCACACTTTCATTGGCAGAATAATTCACAGCAAGGCATAAGAACTCAAAAGTGCATTCCCTCTCATTTTTTTACGCACCCGAGTCCTTTCCAGCATAGGATCATATATTTTCTTACTTTGGCTGTCCCTTCAATAATCATGAACTTTGAGTAGCGCTCATTGTAAGCTTGCATGGTATTTAAGTCCACTTCTCTTGTGGGTTAAGGAATTTCTCTTCTGAGAACTTTATACAAGAAACTGTGGTAGAGTAAAAATATTCGTTGACTAACAAAAAAAATTGGTAGAGCGGCTTTGATTTTGGTTAAAAAAAAATCGTAAAACCATCTGCAGTAACATAGTTCCAGCCTTTAATGAACACTTGTGTAAATAACCTCTCGACAGATATTTGGCAACCGTTGCCGCTTCGTGTTCCGAAGCTGATTTTCTGTTCATCCCAGAATCTCCCCATTCACAAGAGTGGCCCGAACGGCTTTGTAAAAAAATGGAACAGGCAAGGCAGCTTTGAATATGCCCTTGCAGTTCCCAAGTATGAATTAACACATTTTCTGTCAAAAGTTTTGTCTTCCTAATTTGTGAGTTGGCTTGATACTTAATTGTGTACCCTTTGGCAGTATCCCCAAATAACATATATATTTATTTTACCGGAAAAGTGATTAATTAATGGAATTAAGAAACCGAATATTTTCCTGGGGAAATTGATTGAAATACCGCAAGCGCTGCAACATAGTTGGATTTTGCAGGTACTTGGCTCTCGTAGCTGCCTTGACAAGCGAAGCAGACTTTGTTTTTATTCCTGAGTGGCCGCCAAGCACAGATTGGCCTGCAAAGATGTGTAAGAAGTTGCTACAGGCAAGAAAAGTCTATTTAATAATTATTGATGTTCATTTCATTTTGTTATCACGGGGCACTTTAATTATAGCAGATTATTTTTCTTTCACTTAGGGAATGTCCAATTATTGTAAAAAACGTGATTGCCGCGTGCCGTATTAGTTTCAGGAATTTTTCAAAGGAGCTTTTGTGTTATAATGTTGTATTATATTTATATCAGAATTTTTTCCATTAATGCAGTTGTCTAGATTTTCAATTTATCTGAGTCGGTAGAGGTAATCATGATGTATTTTCAATCACTAATTTTTCTCTGCTAATTTCTGCATGCAACCTCTTCCCAAAAATATTATGTCATGCACGAGCTTTCTTTGTAAAGTAACTAAATACCTTTGTAAACTTTATTCCTGCTTATTGCTTATGCTTTACACAGTTTTTATGATTATTCATTTTGTAATATTTCCCCCAATATTCTCTAAATATATAATATAACCCATATCTGTAACAGGAAAGAGCTGCAGGTCAGCGTTTGAATATCATCATTGTGGCCGAAGGAGCCATTGACCGAGAAGGGCAGCCCATCACTGCAGAGAAGGTCAGGCAGGTGGTTGTTGAAAAACTCAATCAGGATACTAGGATTACTGTGCTGGGCCACGTCCAACGAGGTGGCAGTCCGTCTGCTTTTGACCGTGTTCTCGTAAGTGTCCCTGCTCTGTAAAACTCGAATTTTTGCAAAATTTAAAATTCTTTTAGGGTTGCAGAATGGGTGCTGAAGCCGTAATGGCTTTGATGGAGGCAACTCCAGAGACAGAAGCTTGCGTTGTTTCTCTCGATGGCAATCAGGCCGTCCGTCTGCCACTGATGGAGTGTGTTGAGCGCACTAAAGCTGTGGCCAAAGCCATGGCAGACAAGGACTGGGAGCTGGCGGTCCAACTGAGAGGACGTAGTTTTGCCAGGAATTTGGACACATACAAAATGCTGACTCGTCTCAAACCTCCCAAGTCAGCTTTCGACGAGTCCGGCCACGGCATCGTAAGTCTAAGCTTTAAAAAATTTGTATTTTCTTTTTGAAATTTTATTGCTTTCTAACAATATCTGTCCTGTCGTATGCTCAAATAATAATATATGCTCTTTTCTATGCCCAATTTTAATCCATAAAGGCGGCTGCACTTAGCAAGGTAAATCTTCTCTCTGGCTCATGCCAAAATCATGTCTTCAAGTAGCTATGCCTGGAGTAGAAAAGTACATTTTTTATGTTAGCTCCTTGTGTAGCTCTCATTTTCATTTGACCTCTGTGATATTGACTCAAAATTATCTTAAAAATTGATTTTTACACGCAGCAACTGACAATGTGGGGATCGGTAAGAAGAATTGCTTGGGAAGCATTTTTTGCTAATTGGCAAAATTATCTTTTTCCTGTTTGTATTTTCAGTTCTTTTTCACCTTCGCCTTTTGTATATTATAGATTTTGAGATGTAATTTTCTAGTATTTTGACAATGTTTAGCACTTTGTTTTCATTTTTGTTTGTCATATTGAAGTGCCAAATTTATTATTTTGAATGCTAACTTTCAGGAAGGATTCACTTTGGCCGTGATGCATGTTGGTGCTCCTTCATGCGGAATGAACGCTGCTGTGCGCAGTTTCGTGAGGAATTGCATTTACCGTGGTGACACCGTCTATGGAGTCCACGATGGAATGGAGGGACTTGCTAGTGGCAATGTAAGCACTTTTGTTTAGAAAAATAATCAACAAACTAATTTTTGGCCCAGATTAAATCCATGGATTGGTCAGATGTGACCGGCTGGGTGGCTCAGGGCGGTGCTTTCCTTGGAACAAAGAGGACTTTGCCAGGAAATAAAGTTGGTGCCATTGCTGAGCAATTGGCCAAATTCAAAATTCAGGCCCTGCTCATCATTGGAGGATTTGAGTCATATCAGGCCGCGTCCCAGCTAGTGGAAAATCGACAGACCTACAAGGAGTTCTGCATCCCGATTGCAGTGATTCCTGCCACAATTAGCAACAACGTGCCCGGCACAGAGTTTTCTCTTGGATGTGACACTGCCCTCAATGAAATCACAGAGGTAAAATAAAATAAAGTCAAGAAAAAATAATTAATTTTTTTTCTTATCGCAGATTTGTGACAGGATCCGCCAGTCGGCCCAGGGTACCAAGAGGAGAGTATTTGTAGTTGAAACTATGGGTGGCTATTGCGGATATTTGGCCACAGTTGCAGGTATGATATCAGTTTAAAATTTTTAACCTTGTAAGATATATAATTCATTTCAAGGATTGGCTGGTGGTGCTGACGCTGCGTACATTTTTGAAGAAAAATTTGGCATTAAAGACCTGCAGCAAGATTTGAGCCACATGGCCAGCAAAATGGAAGAAGGTGTGCAACGTGGTCTCATTCTCCGAAATGAGAAGGCAAATGAAAACTACACCACCGACTTTATTTACCGTTTGTATTCTGAGGAGGGCAAAGGCTTGTTCAGCGCTCGCAGCAACGTGCTTGGTAATTTGGAAAAATATTTACGAAAAAAATAATTTTAAATTTGGCCACTTCCAGGACACATGCAGCAGGGTGGATCTCCTTCGCCATTTGATAGAAATATGGGAACTAAGATGGGTTCGAAAGCTGTTGAGTGGATGATTGAAAAGCTGAAGGAAACCACCCAACCTGATGGGTCTGTCAACGCTACATCTCCAGACACGGCTGTTCTGATGGGTGTAGTAGAGCGGCAGTATCGATTCACTCCTTTGATCGATCTCAAGAAGGAGACCGACTTTGAGTAAGAATTAAAGCATGTATTATTTAGAGTTTCATTTAATAATTTTTCCAGTCATCGTATTCCCAAATCTCAGTGGTGGCTGAAACTGCGTCCTCTTCTGAGAATTCTTGCCAAGCATGATTCGACATATGAAGAGGAGGGCGTCTACATGACTATTGAAGAAGGGTGCGATTTGGATGCCTCCATCATCTAATCTAGAGTCTTATTACAATTGATAGCATAATTTAGCTGCAAGTAATTGCAAGTGATAGCTCATAATACACAGAGTAGGAGTAAGGCTATCTATTTGAATAATTTGTCCTCACCAAAGAGCTGTTTTGTCACATAATTTATCAAAACTATTATCTATTTAGCATTTGTAATGCAAATTTAGGCCTTATCCTTAAAATTCTTTCATTTTGTCTCTGATCAAAGTAATCCATAAATTTTCTCATTTCTAATATTAGAATGATGCAGAGCATGAATTTGTTAAATTTGTGACAGATATCTATATAACATGGCTAGGGTGTTTTTAACCCTATTTTAATTGAAATTGCCATTACAACCCTGCTAATATTGTTATCACGTGATTGTTAAATAACTTATGATGTGTATTAAAAAAAACTGTTAGCAACATTCAGTGAAAAAATCTGTTAGGTAATTTCACGAAAAACCAAAAATTTTGTTACAAAGAAACATTTATTTGAAAATTTTCATCCAAGCTTGCTCAACAAAAAACATTTGCACACTACCCAAAACACACGTTTTTCCATTTCAACATACTTCAATTAATTTCACTTGTCCTTTTGTTCCCTTTCCACTCGAGAATTTTCCTCCTCATCAGTGATGCTGAAGTCGAGCCTTACGTAGATGATGACAAGCAAGAAGAGGGCAAAGAAGGCAAAGATGACCAGCAGCGGCTCTTGGAACATGAGCACTTTGGCAAAGGTGTAGCGCAACTCAAAGTCGTCAATGTGATTCTCGACCAGGTTTGACTTGCTGACGGACACAACCGGACGGCCCTTGGTATCCAGATAGGTCTGGTGCAGTGTGTCCTTGAGGCGCTTCACAGAGTAAGGGGCGGTCAGTTCGATGGAATGGCACCCTTCGGGCAAAATGATCTTTGTCGTCAGCTCCTCCACATACATGTCATCGACAACGTGGTCCATCAGACGCATCTTGAGGACAAACTGGTCGCCTTGGTTGAAGAGGTACTCGTAGCTGGGCACGTTGTAGCCAAGGGTGTAGTGCGTCTTCCAACCACCGAACAGGGGGAAGCGGGGCCGCAACTCAAGTTCGACCGAGTCGCTGAGGACTCGCATGTGGGAAGTGGAGATGTTGCCAATGTCGTCGCGGTAGTAAACGTCAACGGCTGATGCCGGCAGGGCCGTCCGGAAGGACTTGACACTGGCGATGCCACTCTGAGTTTCTCTCTGGTACTCGTAGCGTGAGAAAGGACCCTTCAGGGTGGCGCCCTGGTGCTCCATGTCAATAGTCTCTTCGACGGCAATGTTGCCCCAGTGCGAGACCTCGATGACCCTTTCGAGTTTTGTGATGGTCAGGAATGGTGAGTTGTTCTCGTAGTGGATGTTGAGGCGTTCCTCCTTGAACGGAGCCACCTTTTCGTACGGGCCGTAGGTGATCTTGGTGTCCGACTGGGACACAGGCTGAACTCGGGCGAAGCTCTCAACCGAGCTGGTGCCCAGGTTGACGGTCAGGGTCTGCTTCTCGGTCAGGTACGGACTGAAGTAGTAGGCGTTTCCTTCGAAGAGCACCAATTGCTTCTCCTTTTGGGTGATCTGGCTCGGATGCGGAATCAGACCTCGGCCGAGCACCAGGTCGATGCTCAGTGGCAGGGTTCGTCCAGCGGTGATGTCCGAGCGAAGTTCCAGTTTCCAGAAGCCACCTTCCTGGTTGTCCACCTTGGTCTCGGAGAGCCGCAGCTGGTGTTCTCCGACCTTGGCTGAGATGAAGGACAACCTTTCCTTGATGTGGGCCGGCACACCGAAGATCAGGGACTTGACCGGCGTCTTGCCGACGTTCTCCACGGTGACCTTGTGTGCGATCTTGACGAGTTGCGTGGAAATGTCCACGGCGGTGTCGACGTTCTTGTTGACGACGTCGGCCTGCACCGAGCCGGCGACCAGGAACACAAGTGACAGGAACAAGAGCCGCACTCTCGACATTTCGGTAGAGAAGCGGGGAATGTGGCGCGGAATTGCAAATTCAGGGTCCTACGGCCCAAACTTATCTAAAATTTTTACTAATCTCGCCGGTAGGAATTGTTGACGGGGCGATTCCGCATCGGTCGGTCAAGTCAAATCAGTCAGTGCACCCGTGGAAGAACGCTAGGCTGGCAAACATAGCAAATCTGAATTTAAAACCTTCCATTATTGATCATAAAATGCTATATAATTTATAAAAACAAAATTTAAATACGTTTTAAACAAAATAATTTAACGAAAAATTTGTTTTCTTTTGATTGTCCGAGCAATGTTGCGATTTCATTGGAAGATTTTATTTGGTTTGGTTGGCAATGCAACAAAAAACTTATTAATTTGTACTTTTTGCCATCTATGAACAAAGAACAGAAGCTCTGTAACTTGAACCAACCAATCAGAGCATTGAATTCAGCGAAATCATTTGGCTGTTAACGCTTGGAGGGGGTAAAAAAAGAGTAACTCCCGATGCAAGCCGATGTATCGATTGCATTCTCCCATTCCACCCTCCTGTCTCGTAAATTCCAAAGGCAAAGGAGCAAATATTTGGGCGGATTATTTCTGAACGGATCGGTCTCGATGTGTGCGAGCACCGTTCGTTTTCGCTAAGAGTCAACCTGTCAACCTTGCTACTTTTCGAAACAGGCATGGCCATGCAACTCGGCTGTTAATTACGCAAACCTCTCTTTTCTACGACTGCGAGACCGCTGGACAGCAGAAGCGAACCGTCCGCCGGACACCCTTTAATTTCAAATAAGCGACAGCATGCTGAGATAACGATTGGAAAATTGTCGGGAGAGGAAGGAGCAATGGCATCGATCAGCTCGTCCGCAGGGCCCTCGGCAGCCCGTCCGAAAGTTTTGACCTCTGTCTTCAGCCACGTCAAGTACGAGCACCTTCTGGCCGGAGTTTCGGGTGGCGTGGCTTCCACCCTCATCCTGCACCCCCTCGATCTCATCAAAATCAGATTCGCAGGTGAGCAAAAAATAGAAAATCGTTTTCATCACATCGATCGCTCTCATTTTTCTTATGGAAGGAGCAGGAAGGATTGCGTCATCCTCCAGAACCGACTTTCCTCATACTTAAGTGATCAATATGAGGAAATACTGTCGTGATTTTCTTTATTTTTGTTATTCCCCATTTAAAAAATAATTATATTGAAGCCGTTTTAATCAAGTTTTTTTAATTTTTTTTACAGAACAGCAATAGAAAGGGTTAAAGTTTAAAACTAAACAAAAGTTTTGTAACAAGGGGCCTGTGCGGAATTTCGACAAAGATTTAAGAAAAAAAAACGCAAGGTTGTGTCGAATCGTGTCTCTGGCCAGCGTCCAACGCAATTGAATCATAAAAGTCACGAGGCGAAAAGCTCTGCTCGTCCGAAATAAATCACAGCCACACTGTCTCTTCTTCTTGTGGCGCTCGTTCAGGCCGCCGGAATTGACCTCCAAGTTGAACTTTGGGGCCAAGTGCAGACTTGGTTTTGAAATCACATTTATTAACGACTGCTCTCTGCTCTGATAATACATACGTTGTTAATCTCAAATACACTTATCAAGTTCCTAAGTTATCAAAAAAATTATTTTTTTATCTCAAGTACAATTAAAATGAATATGGTTGTATAGAGAGCCTAACTAAAACTGAATTAGAGAATTATAGACAAATAAGTCTGATTTTGAAATATTTTTTCTTCAACTGTTTTGCTGATGAAGAATTTTTTTAATTTTTAAATCAAAATAAAATAACTAAAAATTTGAAAAAGGTCACAAGGGTCACAATTTAAGCATCAATCGTTCTTCCATCAATAACTGAAACAAGCCAAAACGCAGAACTTAATGAATTCAGTCGCAATATTTTTTATCTTTTGAATGGAGGGCCCGTTGAAACGCTTCTTGTAAATATTATTGACCGTGCCAATATCAACACCAGAAGTCGTCGAAGCTGTTAGCTTAATTATATGGTGCGGGCAAAATAGAGGCTGTGACGTCAATTGCCAGCGGAAAGAAACTTGTGCGAGCTTTCATCTCAAAACAATGCGCAAAATACAACTTTCCCTTTATCCCTCACGGTCAGCAATTGATTTTCCGTTGCAAAATAATTGAATTATTTAATGTTACACAATTTTTAATTTTTTTTTTATTTCAGTGAATGATGGACGAGTTGCGAGTCGGCCGCAGTACCACGGCATGTCCGGGGCGATGACCACCATAATCCGGACAGAAGGGGTGCGAGGTCTCTACCGGGGTGTGACCCCCAACGTCTGGGGCTCGGGTAGTGCGTGGGGCTTCTACTTTTTGTTGTGAGTAGTACAAAGAATAAAAATGTGGTCCTCGGAGGATCGATGTGCGGCATAACCGGTGTCCTTCTGCAGCTACAACACAATCAAGACGTGGATCCAGGGCGGCAACTCTAAGGTGCCTCTGGGACCCAGTCTGCACATGCTGGCTGCGGCTGAAGCGGGAGTGCTCACGCTCGTGATGACCAATCCTATTTGGGTCGTCAAAACTAGGTAAAAGTTCAAAGTCAATTTATAAATTCATCTTCTTAAAAATTAAATATTAAATTATATTAATTTTTTCTATTTGTCATTTAAGGCTGTGTCTGCAATATGGTATGGAGGGCAGCCAAGGCTTGAAAGTCTACAGTGGCATGATGGACGCCTTGAAATCCATCTACAAGCAGGAGGGCATCCGAGGTCTCTACAAGGGTTTTGTTCCCGGCATGTTTGGCGTTTCACACGGCGCTCTGCAATTCATGACTTATGAGGAGATGAAAAATCGCTACAACCAATACAGAAAGCTGCCAATCGACACTAAATTTGTAATTTACATTTTTATTCATTTGCAATTAGAGTCAGATTCCCATTCGGATGTTTTGATTTGATGCAAAGGGGCAGCACTAAAAGCTGTTTCCTCCGTGCTTTAATTTTTTTTTTCCTAAAAGAATTTGCCCAGTATAAGATTAACTTTTAAAGGAGAAAGGTATTTGTAATGTTGATCAAGTTAAACAAAAATTTTATAAAGATCATCTTATAAGGGGTCTGAAAACGTTTTGAAAACCAAATTCCATTTAATATATTTGAAATTCTAAGCATGGTTTTTTTTTAATTATTATTATTTGTTGATAGTTTTTTTAAGTTCCATGACTTGCTGAGAGGTTCTTTTGTTGTCCAAAAATAGTTCATAATCATTGTCTAGAGATCTGTCTTTACTGTGATTTAAATTCTAGAAGATTTCCAGACCCTTGTGAAACAGACTTTTTTTTAAATTTAACTAACCTCAGATGTTTCAATATTTATACCTTTGTTTCGTCTGTAATTCCTACATGTTTTTACTTAATTTCAGTCAACATCGGAATACCTCATGTTTGCCGCCTTCTCGAAACTGGTGGCGGCTGCGACGACATACCCGTACCAGGTGATCAGGGCGCGACTTCAAGACCAGCACATTGTCTACAAGGGCTCCTGGGACTGCATTTTGCAAACTTGGAGGTATGAAGGGGCTCGGGGATTTTACAAGGGACTCGCGCCCTACCTTCTGCACGTGACCCCGAACATCTGCCTGGTGCTGCTAATCTACGAGAAGTTCACCAGCGGCTAGTAAAAGCAAAAAAACGCCCGGTCGAAAGTGCGACTGCTGCTTCTCCACATTCCCTTGGTCCAGTTGTCGAGTCAGTGCTTTCGACAGCACCGTTTGAGCTTGGTGTTATCTATAAAGTAGCCCTCAGCCCGATTATGGGAATTTTTATTATTTCCGCCAAAACGTTCAAGCCATTTTTTTGGAAAATGTTTGCAGAGCTTGATAAAAATCTTCCACATCAGACTGAAACTTACCTGTTGCACAAAACTCAATGACAGGAAATATCCAAGAGCACTAAATGCTATCCAATAAAAAGTTTAAAAAATTTTTATTGGCATCTCATGATCTTGACCTTGGTTGTACTCATTGTCAGTCGATTTATTGTTATCATCCAGGCATTTTGCCTTTGATAGATGACGTACGACTTCAATTTTACACTCAGATAAACTGCATTATCTTTCTTTATTTAAAAGGTATTTGACAGAAGAAGGTTAGAATAAATACAGCACAATTGAATCAAGCGGAATTAGTTTTTTGAGATTTCACCTTGTTCGAAAAAAAGACCTTTGTGCATGCTGAGAATTGTTATATTTTGTTGGAACAAGACGAGTGCTTTAAGAAGGTTCACTGAACTTTGCTGGTATACTGCGACGGCGTTGGAATTCCTCTCAAGTGAAATTAGGACAAAATATAATATATTGTAGTAGATTATTAATTATTATTTGATTTGTCTGTGATGCTCGAGATATAGCCGCAATAAGCATAAAATAATTAAAAACCTCACAAAGAAAACTATTTTTATTCATACCAACCACTTCCTCTCTTCCTGTTTTCAGATTTGAGGGAGCCAAGGGTTTTTACAAAGGCTTGGTTCCTAATTTGATTCGAGTCGTCCCAGCCACTGCCATCACGTTTGTCACCTATGAGAATGTTTCTCGAAAGCTTTTGGATAGGAACAAGCGTGTTGAGGGAGAAACCAAAAATTCGAGCGCATAAGATGACACTTGCCAAAAATCCAAATAAATATTCCTACTTTCAGTTATACCCTGTGATGTAGTAAACGCTTTTTCGACACTTGTCATCTATTGCGATAGAAATGGATCATTTGTGTGTGCCTGTAGTGTAATAGAGGAGTCAGTATGGTGGTGCTTGTAGAATGACAAAGAACCATTAAACAAATTAAAATTACAAAACTATCTTAACTCTAATTCCAAACCTTACACATAACACGCACACAAGGAATAAAAATATTTTTTAGCTAGTCCTTTTATTTTTGCATTAGATGGTTGGCAATCGTTCTATGAAAACATTGATAATTTGGAGTGAAGCTAGCAAAGTAAAAAGAGTAATGATATTTTTTATTTTGGAAAGAATGCCTTTCTGGTAAATAAATTATGGCTTGGTTGAGCCGGGTTGAAAAAAACGCATAATTTGGATTATACCAAGAAACTATTGGAAGGTGTAGCGTGTAGCAAAATTAAAAATTCTATTGAGCGCCAAATTTTATGCAAAAACTTTTTGCTTGCTTCAAATAATTCAAATTAATATTTGGAACTCTGGTATAAGCATTTAAAAATTTTTTAATAAAATCTGAGGTAGAATATCAGGCACGGTTTTTATAACCACCAAAATTTCCCTTTGCCGCTCGGTTTTCCAAGTCATGCCGCGCTGATAGGACGCGCAGAGACCAAATTCCAGGACAGTTGTTTCTGTGCTTGGCTTGCAGCAGGCGACTTTTTTTGGAAAAAACTTATGTTTTTGATATTACTTTGAGAATGGAACTTGGCGTAAGATAAAATGACCATATGTATGTTTTACGTATGGGTCAGAAAGTCAACTATTTAAGTCAAAATTGCAGCAGAGACTTAACTAGTTTTTGCCAAAGTAGTTGTATATATTTCAAATTGCCTTAAAATTACAGTTTGTTAATATCACGTTGCAGACGCAATATAAAAATGACTATTATTATTCATGTTCGCTGTCCAGAAAATAAATAATACAAATAATATATATGATAATTTTATAATGTAAATCTTGGTAAATCCCTTATGTTTACGTCCTAGCAAGCTTGATTTTTTTTTTAAAATTTGATTATTGCAATAATTGAAATAGGATCCTTTTTGCTGCCAAGAGAAACAAAAATTACTTTTTCAATTAGGACTTGTTAATTTATTTATTTTCTTGGCAATGTAATAAATTTTTAAATTAAAATATTATTTTTCTTGCAATTATGTGTATTTTAATTAATTTAATATTTACTTTATTCTTATAAATTTTTGCTGAATTTATTATTTCAAATAATCTTGTTAATATGGCAGACTCTGTTTTTTTTTTATTTTTTTTTTTGTAAATAGAAAATTTGTTTATTATAAACAAAAATGTGTGCAACTTAATAAAAGTACAATAAATTTTTGAAATTAAACTTTATTAATTAAATTTTATTAATAACTATAAATTATTTTGATCATACGAAAAAATTGCAAAATTAATTTTCTCATTAAAAAACGCAGGTATAAATTAATAGTTTTGATAGAACTGGCCTAGAGTGGATAGGAGCGCGTGTCACGTTCTCCGTGCACTCACCCCCCACCCCGGGGTCGCGACCAGGCGGTGGCGCCGACTTGTGATAGAGGAGCACGCTCGGTGCGAGGTGCGCGTCACATGGTCTGGCTGGGAAGGACGTGCTGTGCCGCAAACACACAACTTACCTGCCTCCGTATCAGCTGGCTGGCGCTAAACAACGTGAGCCGCCGATCACCTGCACTTTCGAGGGTGCTCCTGGACCAGGGTTGCCCTGATCTCCACCCCAGTTCTCAGTTACCATGGTGAGTACCGAAAGCAGAGTCGGTGGGCGCGATTCGGCCGATTTTTGGCGCCTGTCGGCCAAGGTTTCGATCAATTTAATTCTCCCCAGCAGTAGCACGAGAGTCACGTGAATGAATTAAGGAAGAAAACAGCCGTCGGATTCGGTTTCTTTATAATGTTATACACGGCGTTGCGGAGCTCGAACGGGTCGATTTTTTATAATATTTTAATATTTTATTTGAGCGCAGAGCAAATTAAATTCCTGACTTGGGAGCGTAATCATTATTTGATTCCATATCAATCGCATGCAATGTGTATGTAATTGACACAGAGTACATACATAGTGGGTTTTTATCTGACTATTATACAATGCTATAAAAATGTAATTGAATCTACTTCAGGAAATTGTCAATATTAAAAAAAAATCGACAACATTCCATTTCAAATCTTGCTTTAAATTATAGAATTGAGAGATCTACATGATTTCGATGTTAATTATGAAAAATTAAACAATTTCCGCAGAAAAAAATTCACAGGATTTTTAAAACCAAATGTAAAATATCTAGTAGAGAAAATTAATTTTAAAATTGTGTTAAATAATTACAGTATTACTTTAAGAATTAATTTTTTTTAATCCTTTATATTTTACTTAAAAGCTATAGTTTTTTAGCATCCGGAAGTGTTTTCTAGTGATTTTTTTTTATCGTTTTCAAGTGACATTTAAACTGCATTGTATTTTAAAACCCGCATCATTTTCCCTTCCTGGCTCCAGCATGCTGCGTGAAGTGCCATTATTATTTAGTTGCAAGTGTTATTTGCACCGAATGGTAATTTTATCGGCGCAAAGCGGATCGGCGCCGCTCGTCATTGCGTGCAAACTAATCTCGTCACTTGGTTCGTGTGTCACTTTACTAGGATGGATCGAGTTGAAATATTAATTGATATTCCGCACCTATATATATGCATTCGACGCCACCGCAAAACACGCGGTCGCGAGAATAGAAACGGAGGAATTCGCATTTTATTTCCCTCAATGCCGAGTCGGTTCGAATTCTGTTTGCGGTGCTTTGTGAAGGCTGCCGGAAAGACACAGATAATCTGAGACTGCGAAAGAAAGAATGACACCTCGCGATGGAAAATGTTGATTATCTCCAAAGTGAGTCACCGCGAGGACGACTGATAAGAATACGCGTCACCCAGTCGATATTTTCGGAAGGTTGTTTACTTTCTTGTATATCAACTCTCTAGATTGATCTCCGACTGGAACAATTTTTCTTTAAGCACAAGCATGCAAAATGTTTGTCTAAATATTGTCAATTATGGTAAAAGATCTATTTGCAAAGTTACAAGAAAATGAGAATAAATGAAGGTTGAAATACACGGGCTTCATCCTCATTTAAAAAAGGGGTTTGATTGCAAAAAAAAGCTACAAAACGGCCCTACCTGTTTTAGTCACGATCTGCAACAGTATTTTTTGAGCAAGAAAAATTGCAACTATTACAATGAATACAATGAATGTAAAAGATAAAAAGACAACATTGAAGCAAGCTCAATAAAGAGCACAGGCTAATAAAATAAATTTTTTATTTCTTTGGCCGAACTAAAAAAAATGCACGACCTCACAGTTTTATTTTTAATAATAATTGAAACAAAAACTGATAATGAGTAAAGCGATCGTCTGTATGGCCATGTTTCTAGAAAGAATTTTATGTTAGATAAAAGAGCGATATAATTTTCCTTGGTCAATGTTAAGGCACCATTGAGCAATTTATTTCTTAATGGAATAGGTCAGTGATATTATTTTTATTCAAAATTATTGTAAAATTTGCAAAGAAAGCAATCAGGATTAAACCACTTTTGCTCTCTCTTTGCCTTAATTTAAAATTTGTATGCTGTTTTGCTTGAAAAACTGGGACAAGGCCGTTTTTGATTAGCTTTTTTTGCATCACAAGCCAGTTTTTTTTTAAATCTTAATATTTTAATCTTATTTTTAATTAAGTTTTCTTGATTTATACGTTTTTAGTTTTTAAGTAAAACAACAATTCTAAAAAAAGTAAAAAGTGAGAAATAAATCAAATGTCTTCTCTGATTAAAAAAATCGGAATCAATTTAAGAAAATTTTTGTCAATTTTTTAACAATTAGAAGGTTAAAATGATTCGTTTTTAAAAATCATTTCCACTTTTGTATATTTCAGTTTATAAATTTAAATCAAAGTGGTTCACTGATATAATAACTATTTTCTTTTATATATATTTTTTTCGTTTGGGTTGTAAAATTTTGAGAATATCGGCGCATACTGAGAACTACAGAGTTTATACTGTGTTATCAGCAGAGCAATCAGTTCAGTGGGTCATCCTCCTCCGGGCAGTTTGCTTGACCTTTTGCTCCCTCGCGCGTTCGGGACTTTATTTTCATTATTTCGCTGTGACGCGTGAAGTGATCGAGATGCTCAATTCGGTGGCGTCCGTCGCCTCGCTGGTCAACCCCAACGACAGGGAGCAAATCCTGCCGCCCCTGTCCAGGGCGGAGGCGTCTCGGCGGAAGCACTCGCGCGACTCCCTCAGGCCACCCCAAAACAGGCAGCTCGAGTGCACGGAAATCGCTCAGGAAGCGCACACGGTCAGTTGTCGCTCGTCGGCCATTATTTTTAATATTATTTCTAGAAATTGGAGCAAAATGTTGGCGTTATTTTATCGTTTCTATGCCAAAAAACGTCACAAGCGAGAAGAGTTACAATTTTATATTTATTCTAGTCGATCAAAAAAAAAAAAAAATCAACAATAATTAGTTAAATAATAAACCCTGGACAACTATAATATTTATACTTTTGCAGAGAAGTCGTTCTAAAATTTATCATGAATTTTTAAACATACATGAAGTTTCCTGTGAGAATTTTGGAATCTTAATATCTGTGGGCTTAAAAATTTTCCTCGCATCTTAAAATTTTAGAAAATAGTTATTTAATTACAATAATAAAATATGGAATTCTAATAAAAATAAAAAAAATATTATGAAAGACAAAATTATGAAGAAAAAAAATAATAACAGCCTCTTGTGATTGCTTTTATTATGTGTTGTCGTTGCAAAAATTTCATTTTGCAATAGTTGCACTGTAACTGTCTAGTTACTTATAATATCACTTTGTTAATTAAAAATTTATATTTAATTCCTAATCTTCTTTTTGAGATATATTGCATTTTTTATTTTGCGTAGTTATGTGAACTATTTTTAATTTTTAACTGAATCAATCAACATAAACAGCCAAATAATTCCAAACTTTATCCATTTTGAGAAAATTTAAACAGGGCAAAAGTCAAAACAAAATTCTTTTCATATTTTTATGTCCACATGTTTATATCAAATTTATTGATACGTCCTTTTCAAAATAATTTTTTAGAGATGGAATAATTTACCGAAAAAAATTTACTTAATTTTTATCAATAATTTTAAATTTAAGTAAAACTGAATTGCCAAAGTAATATAATTGTTAATTTTTTTTAAACGACCTTGAACTTCACCATTGAAGATCATAAATTCCACAAAACCAGTTTCAAAAAATAACTTTATGCATTATGATTATTATTACATTATGCAATGTACCCATAATTTCTCATGTCTTGACGTGTATAGTTGTTTTTTAATGCAATACTGCAAAGCTGTTCAGTAAACCTCGGCCATTCCTTTCGAATTCACTTGAAGCTGGGCAGGTGTGTATAATTTATTCACACACCTCTTGGGGGCAATTAATAAAAATCATTTTCTTTGACCAACTCCAACGTATTTCACATTACGTCCACGTCTGTTGCTTGTCATTTGAAACCCCTGATCAGGGACGAGTGGACGAAACCCGTCAACTGCACGCACAATATTGCCTTAATTCATCATAATTATAATCTGTCGTCCAACCGCAATCACATTGCCACTTCGAATTACTTTCAATTAAACAAGTGAGCCACGTTCGCACAAAGGAAGTGGTTCGTCGAACGCAAAATGAATAATGCGCAACGCGATTTGCAGCACACGTGCATTCCGTCATAAGCAGTTCCACTGCAAATGTAAACAACAAAACTTATGGTATGGTGCATCGCAATTAGGATATATATTTATTTTTAGACTGAAACGCCAAAGCACCGTGTTAATTGCGCAAGTGCATGCTTGCGCACAAGTCATTCAAAATATTTAGTTCTCATTCATCTCATCAGTTTGAGTCAAATGTTCAATCTCTTTAGTTAAAAATAAAAATATTATTTAAAAAAATCCAATGTAAAATTTGAAACTTCAAAACCTTTTATTATTATTATTTTTATGAATTTCTACTTTTTATGTGGCTTATTCTTCATTAATCAAGTCATTACTCATACAAAGATAAAAAATTTAATAAATTTACCCAATTTACTTTGTTCAGCATCAACAAATTGAAAATCCTAAGGCTGGTTTCTAATTCGCCATTTCGTTACTCGAATGATTATAAAAAGGGCTACAAATTTACTAAAAAGTGCATCTAAGTTAAGTGTTTGAATATATAAATTTTTATTGATATTTATTTGCACTTGTTTGTTTGTTACTCACCTTGAAATTTAATATTGCAATAAAAAGTATTGTTGTGTTTCAAGTAATATTAAGAAACATCAACATGTTTATGTTAAATCATATTACTTTTTTCCCAATAATTTTGCATAACGTTGCACCTGACATTCCTAATTCAGTTACAAAACGACAGGAGAGTCACCTTTGGGAAATTTTTCCGCGACCTTTAGCTTTTTTCATCGCGATTTCCAGTCAGGAACTTGATCAACTGCTTCTTCCGCCCCGTGTGAAAAACTCGTCGATCGGTTTGACACTTTGCGGCTTTGATCGAAAGGGGGACGCGACTAGGATGCCCTCACTTACAATCAGGTGACAATCTCGTCAATTAAACAGCACACTAGAAAATGATGCAGGTATACATGTGTGGTTTTCATGCTGCGATGCTCTCGGCCTCGCAGTCGCTAGACCGCGTGATGCTGCTTTTAATTAATATGCATACATGCAAATGCACGACAGCGTCTTAAAGAATTGCCCCATCACTCCATCAGCCAATAATTAATCGTCCACTTCCTCTTCAAGCACGACTTGTTTTATAATTTCTAATATAATCTGACCCGATGAATGGAGCATTTAATTAAAATAATAACTTTAATTTCACGTATAAAATTAAAATTGCAACTAAAAAAATATGCTAAATATTTTAACTCTCATTTTTATGTTCAGGGATGTGAAAAAATTAATTGACTATTTTTCTTGGAGTGACGTGCTATATTGGGAACGTCAATTGAGCATGAAATTGGAAATTTTGAGTATTTTAGGGTGTATTAGGAATAACTAATTGACCAAAAATAGATCTTTTTACACACACAAAGTTGCCTCAAGACCGATTATTTCCTTTGATTAAAATAAAAATGGATTTGGTCTAGAAACACATTTTTCAATAAAATATTTTATCATTTTTCGTGAATTTTTACATCTATGTGATCGCTATTTTGCCTTATCAATTATTCAATTGTCATTATTGACAAAATTCACAAGCATCAACAAAATATTTTTAATGAAAGCCAAATTATTAATTTAAAATAATAATCGCTGAATCAATGGAACTTCACATTTTATCAGTTTTCTCTGCGAATAATATTTACCTAAAATTTTAACTTTTTTTTAAAAAAAGAACAGAAAAATAGTGACTTTTATAATTTTCATTCTTTTTTTTATTTGTTTCAACTTAATAAGGAATGAAGCTATGCAAATTCTAAACACGGCTGTAGCGCTGGATGCATCAAACAGCGCTAACCTGTTTATTACGTGATTAGAGTCCAGTCTCACGTTATATAATCATAGGAATTTTTTATTTTATGCCAATCTTGTTGTGTTAAAAAAAATAAACATTTTTAGTCAATTTTCAAAATGCAATTTATAGCTTTCATCGATTTCTATTTAAAAATGTTAAAATTCTATGAAATTTGATTCAACTCATTCGTTGAATCAACTTGCATTCAATTGAAAACTCGTTTCGTTTTGAAATTCGCGTTACTTGAAGTGAATGAGAGGTCAGAGACCCGCAGTCATTGGTGAAAAGAGCAGCCGCAGGTTTTCTTGCTCTATGCGCGACTGACTGGGTCGCAGAGATCGAATGAAATCAAACACCAATATATGTGACGGAGAATGTCTCTCATTGATGGGTAAATTGATCCGCGTTTGAAGGTTTTGTTCGTGAGGTTTGCGGTCCAAAGTCAATTGTTATTTTTAAACAAAAGTGAACGAGAGAGGATTCCCACCTCTCGCATTCGCAGTCGATTTCCTAAGCCAATAAAATATGTCACTTGTTTGCCAAAAAAAGAAACTCTTTCAAAATGCTAGTGCTAAAAGGGGTCACGATTAAAAATAACTCTGAATTTGCATAACGCCCTGTTTATTTCCACATCGCTGGGCTAAATTGCACATTTTTTTAATCTAGCGGTTCTTAATAAATTATGCGTCTTGTGATTTGGCAGGATTTCGATTCCAGGTGTCACGTGCCTAATTTATATTGTCGGCAGATTGCTGGTGCCTCGCGCTTGCATTATTTGTTTGTCAGAGAAGAAGAAAATTCACGCTGACCACGTGGGTAAATCTAATCCGAAGGACCTTTGATAAGAAACCTGTGTTTGCTTCAAGTGAAAGGGAAAGACTTGAAAGCATTTTATAAATAGACTGCAGGCGACAAGATTCTCGTCGATACATACTTTTAATTCACTTGAATATTAATTCTGAGTATTGCAGCCTCAGATGTGAATTGTTTCAAAATGATTTTAAATTTTATGCCACATAGAAAATCGTGTCCAATTTTTAAGAGACTGTTGAACATATTTTATCGCTTTTTATCTTGTTTACAACATTTATAAATTTTTAATTCCAATAAGATATATGGAGAAGATATAAAATTAATGAAAGAAAGAAACTTTTGAACTGTTGAAGTGGTGAAAAAGTCTTTTTATTTGTATATCAGCGAAAATTGATACTCAATAGCCACAATTGCTTTTTTTACGTTCTTTTTTAGAGTTAAAAAGTCAAAAGCTTGTTGAAAGATGGGAGTTGGTGGTTTCATTATTGTCAAATGTGGTTAAAAAATCCATCTTCAACATTGAAACTTAATAATTATTAATTTTTACTAAAAAATTACAATTTAATAATACAATTGTGATGAAATTCAAGACCAAAATTAAGAAATTTGGAAATAAATTAGATTTATAAAAATTTATAAATATAGTTCCTCTGCTTTCAAAACCGGTTTAATACGGAATCTAAAATTAACCAATTGTATTTAAATCTTATTTAATTAGGTTGTAACATAATAATAAATAGGAATATTAAAGCATAAATTAAACTTGCACTTTAATGATGAAGAAAATTGAACAAGATTTGTTTTGCAGTCCACGTAGCAAATCTTTTACTTTTGCACTAGGTATTACTCGATTACTCAACATAGTGAGGGATGTTTTGTCTTGTGTGTTTGTATTTATTTACATTGGGGAGTGTAATCGGCTTGGGGAACCCATAGAGGAGAACGCGCGGCTCGGGAGGGCGAGAGAGTGCAGCGTGTCTATCAGAGCGGCGGTTTCAATTAACCTTGGGTGCATTGCGAGGAGGAGGATTAATTAAATTGCGAGAGCCGAGTCAGTCTCTCAGGTTGGCCGGTGGTGAACATTGCCCAAGTGTGGCAGTCAGTCACGGGACGCTGACGCACAATACACCCAAGAGGGGCTGGTGAAAACCGAGTTGGCGGCTCATTCTGCTTCAGTACCTCGGTGGAAGCCTCAGAGCTGAGTCGGAAAGAAAACGCGGAACGCAAAAGCGACTGAAGGAAAAGAGCGACAGGAAAAAGAAGGAAAAGGATATTAATTAAAAAAAGGTCTCCCTCCTCCGCGATGGAGGAGCCGGGCGACCTGACCACCAGCAGCAGCGAGCACCTGTCCACGAGCGCGGCCAGCACCAGTGCCGCCTCCACTGCCACCAAAAAGAAGTCGGCCAAAAGCCGGCTCGCGCAGCCTTTCAAGAGCCTCGTCGGTCGGAGTCACACGCTGAAAGCAAACAAGAGCGCGGCCGGCGCCGAAGAAGACGAGATGCAGCGCGCCTCCGACCTGCTCGCCACCGACACCCTGCCCCGCCCCTCGGCCAAGACCAAGAAGGACAAGAAAAAGGCCCCCAAGCTGGGCTCGCCGGCGGCCACGGCCCCCGCGGCCTCCCCGACGCCCGCCGACGACTCCCCTAAACCAAAGGAGCACGCCTCGGCCGAGGAATCGGCCTCCGAGGACGGCAAAAAGACCCGCAAGAAGAAAACCTCCATTGTCCGCCGTCTCAGCAACAAAATCCGCACCAACAAGCAAGAACAGGTAAAAAAATCACAGTAACTTTTTAGCATAAATTGCAATTTTATAAATAACTGAAATCATAATTTTTTTGCATGCTGAAAGTCAAGAAAGTTCAAAATTAAAAAAAAAGCTTTTTAAAACGAAGCAAGAAATTTAAACGTGCTCAGATCTTGCTAGAAATAATTCATTCAAATTATTTTAAAGATGTTCTTTTTACGTGCTCTGTGTAGGTTGAACCATCTTGTTGAAAAATTGCAAATTTATAGCCGGTTGTATTATCCAATCAATCCGGTTTGTTATGTAAGGCATTTTTTCCACGCACGATCTTGTGTTCATAGGAGGTCTCTCTCTTCCCAAAACCAATAGACCGTTTTTTATTTGAATTATATAACTCTGAGGAATCACGCACTCACGAAAATTTCTATCTCCTTCCTACGAGAGAAATGATCCTTTTTCAAATTGTTATCATTAAAATTAAATTTATTATCACTGCTGTTTCAACTGGATAAAAAATTAAAATAAATTTTTATAAATAAAAAGAATATTAACAATTGGATCAAAAATTCGGTTAATTGTAAAGCGACAGTATGTAATTTTTTTAAAACCTGTTTTTCTCATTTAAATAACTTGATAATTTATTTGCCTTCTGAAATTTTCGCACCTTTATATGTATAGCTGCTGGCGACAATTTTATTCCCTTCTGCAAAACTTGACACCGCAGTCTCTCAAATATCTGGAGCGTGTACAAACGCACACGGGTGCTGCTATTTTCGTCATATAGAATAAAAATTATTTTCCGTGTCCGTTTATTGGGCAATAATTTCTCACAAACGAGGAGCTAAACGCCACGAGTGGCACAAAGTATCAGGGCACGGAGACAACTTTTTAACCTGAGCGCGTGACAGCTTCCTCATTTCAAGGTAAAATCGAATCGTTTGCATTCTCAAACTCGATCACTGAGCACAAATCTTGCAACAGAGTAAATCGGATTAACCAGTTTTCCCTCCTCAGAGCTGCTTTTTTAAAATTTGAATCTACTAAAATATTGATCATTGCAGCAAGAGTCGGCACCAACGTCGGAAATGTCGACGGCCGAGCTGACATCGGAGGACACGCAGTCGCTGACGAGTTCGTCGACCTACGGCGCCAAAACACCCGAGCACCCGTTGGCGCCGCAACCCTTGCCTGTGAACAAGGAGGACGACGAGGAGTGGGGCGGCCCTTCCGCGGAGGCCTCTTCCCTCGAGCCGTCCTCCTCTTCGGTGGAGCCGACGTCGCTCGAGCCGTCCTCGTCGGAGCCAATTTCGTTGCCCGTGGCAACCAAACACCTCGAGGCGGCGCCGCCGCCACCGCTCGCCGAAGGGCAGAGTCTGCAGGACGAGTTGCAAGAGGCCATGGCCGCCATCCAGACCGTCTCGGAGGCCCCGGCACCCAACGGCCCCCTCGAGGAGCCGCCGCCCCCGGCGCCCAAAATCGAAGATCTGGCGGTTGCCCCCGTCGGTGACCCCACGCTAACGGTTCCTGGTGACACGGTAGGAGGAGAAAAGAATTTTGGTTCATTTATTTCCAGAACTGTTTCTAGTTTTTAGTGCAATAAATAATTATTTTTCGTGACTGCTGTGCGTTGAAAGATATGCTTTTTTTAAATTTTTTTATTTGTCAAAATTTTACATTGAAAGAAAAACAATTGATGGGAGTGAAAAATTAATATTTTCGGACAAAAAGGTGCAAGATTTTGTTGAAATACTCAATCCGCCCCAGTTAGTCTCGATTTCTGTTGAAAGTAGTTTTAATTTTTTTAAATGAGTTTCATTAAACAAGATCGAGTACCCTCCGTACTGGAAAAAGTGGAGCGGAAGGCAACACAAAAGATAAAAGATCGATCTGCTCTAGCTTAGCACGCGATGCTTGAAATTGTGGCGCGCAGTAACATTACCATTATTGACAAGCTAACATGACACACGCTGCCGCCGAAACTCAACCCGTTCAACTCGAATTTCATCAAAAGACAAAGTCAACAGTTCGGAAACAATTAGTTTCTATATCTGCCTCTGCATTATTGTTTCCCATCACCAAACTTTATAAATTAATATAAGATTTAAACAAAAAAATTAATTTTTTTATTATTAAAATAAAATATAAATAAATTTAGTTGTATTTGTTTCTCTAATGAGACTCTTATCGCTAACACCATCAGCCCCCAGTATTTACTCACAGTGGCACACCTAAATTAAAATTTCAAAGTCGAGCTATCTTGGTGCTCTTTGGATTCCTCTTAGGGAACAGGTTTTGTTTGTTACGTAAGTGGGAGAGTCACGTGCTTCTTTTCCTTGAGGATCTCACATGAATATAAATCGCTGCAGCGAGTCTGGTCTCATGACCAACGCGCCTCTTTCCGAAAGTTAAGGCATCTCTATCTCTCTGAAATACCGGATTTGATGGAGATGGGTTTTAATTTTTAATTCAAGTGCGTTCTAAGGCAATTTTCTGACACGCCATTGCTTACCGCACTATTGGTCGCGATCTTGGATAACGAGCTGCCAGTTGCTTTTAAAGAGTAATTATTACGCAGCCGCATGGAAATTTGTTTCGCTTATCTTGATGCGAAAAGGCGGCGCCATTCTTGAAAGAGCTCTTTAATAAATTTACATTCTGAGAACGTGTCGACTTGTTTAAAGGCACCGGCACTTTTCACCAACGTTCCCGCCAATAAAACACTATATTGCTAAAATTAGCCAGCAACTTTCTCCATAGAACTTTCCAAAATTTTTTACGTTTGTCATCCGCGAGTGTGGTCCGACTAAAAATAGCCCCTGATTTGCAACTCTTGTCACATAATTTCAATGTAGAATAAGGCGAGTTTTAGATGTGCCGCGCGATTAATTAGTCGGTCAAGGAAGCTTAAAGTTCCCTCCCAAAAACTGGACTCTGCGTCCACAGAATCGCACTGTGTGTGTGACATGACCAACACGACCACCGACCCGCTTAAAGACTCACTTCTCACATGTCTCTCAGCATCAAAACAAACTTTGTGGTAAGACGGAAAAAGCAGGCATGTCCCATTTTCAATTGCAACTTCATTTACACTTCAAGAAGTTAATATTGAAATTCAGTATTTCAGATCTGCTGATCGATTTTCTATTAAATATTCAGACTTTTGTTCAGAAATTTGACAAAAATTTAAGTTTCCTGAGAAATTTCAAGTAAAATATTGATAAGTAAACGTTTGAATTGTTGTCCATGATCAGGAGGCGTTTTGTTTAATTAATAAATTTAATATATAATTTTTTTAAATTTAACCTTAATTTATTAACAACAAATAAATTACTTAGACACTTTCATGTGCTAATTTTCTTTTAAATTTTTCGACGCTTTAATTATAAACAAAATTTTTATCACTTTTTGATCAATAACGATTTGTTTGTTTCTATGGCATTGTGTTTTGATTTTCCTTTCCGCACTCATTGTCAGCTCGGTGCGTTGGCGAAACGTTTACCGAAGCCTTACAGGGCGGCTTTCGATGCAGCGCTGCGCGCATTATTTGCGAATAAGACCACGCGCTCGGGTCCGTGAAAGACGGTGTTAAGTCTCAAGGTTTCAAGCTGGTTTCGGATTTCACTGCGAGAAAGTAAATAAAATAGTAAATATACATTCGTAATCCATTCATGTGCTCTCTGGCTGGGGAGCGAAAAGTGCAGCGCCGATCGATTTTTGATTCGAGAGGAGAACCAGTTGCTCTGCTGCTTTTTTGTTTTCAAATTTTTTACTCACAAAGTCGAAATGCTTTTTTGCAGGCGCAAAATGGAGAGCGACGCGAACACCTTTACAAGATCCTGGTGATCGGAGAATTGGGCACCGGCAAAACGTCCATCATCAAGCGGTATGTGCACCAGTTCTTCTCGCAGCACTACCGAGCCACGATCGGAGTCGACTTTGCTCTCAAAGTGCTCACCTGGGACCAGAACACGATAATCAGACTCCAGTTATGGGACATTGCAGGTAGGAAAGCGAGGAAAATAATTACTTAAAAGTATTTTTATTATTTCATGAAATTAAATATTAAAAAAAGTCATACTAGAAAATTTGGTTTTAATAATTCTCTCAAAAGAACTATTAATTAACTATAAAACAAGTATTAAAATTTAAATTTAAACGTATCTAATAAAGTTTTAAAACGATTTTTTTGTAATAAACAGTTATATATTTTTTATTATTATTTCTTTTATCCTAATTAATTATTATGAAATACAGATTATCAGATTATCTATTTTAAATCAATTTTTAACATTTTACAACAATTTTCCTGCGTAAAATTGAAATATTATATTGATTATTATTATTTTGTTTCTTATCGAAAAGGGCAAGAACGCTTTGGAAACATGACAAGGGTGTACTACAAGGAGGCGGTGGGCGCGTTCATCGTGTTCGACGTGACCCGAACAGCCACTTTTGACGCCGTCCTGAAGTGGAAGGCCGACCTTGACTCGAAAGTGCAGCTGCCTGATGGTTCCCCCATCCCATGTGTTCTCCTTGCCAACAAGGTACATACGTGAATTTCGGATCGAATTTTCACACGTTTATTCTCCATGTATTCTCCACAGTGTGATCAGCAGAAAGAGGGGATTGTGAACACCCCAGCGAAGATGGACGAGTATTGTAAAGAGCACGGTTTCTCCGGCTGGTACGAAACGTCGGCCAAGGAAAACATCAACATTGATGACGCAGCTAGATTTTTAGTGTCTAAGGTACCTGTCCTGCTTTCTTTTGAATCAATTAAATGTGTTAATGTTAATAATTTGCAGATTCTGCAAAATGACAAGCTGGCAAATCACACGAGCAACAAGGACGATGGATTCTCTTTGGACAAGGCTGACCGAGAGCAGAACCAAAGATCGTGCGCCTGCTAGCGACTATTTTTATAGTGATAGAGCTAGTTTTTGAATGAACAGTGCCATTTTGAGTCACATTCCTCGAATTTGAGGACGGAGGGAACCAACTTCATTTTAAATTAATTTGCTTTTTGATGTTATCCAATTATATATTACGCGAAAAAAAAATGCTTCTAGCTTTTATCAAAAGGAAACTTGTGCCAAAATTGGAGGAGATGAAAATTTTTATTTTGTGACGTCTTATCGTATTTTTTAAATTTAGTTAAATTACTGTGTTGATAGATAGCGTAGGCTTAATTGCACATTGAATGAACAGAATTGAATAAAGCAATCAACCATACAAGTTTCTGCTCTCTAGGAAATCATCCGTTCAGTCCGTCTATTATGGAAAACTGTGCCTTTTGAATTTTCAGGACCAGCACGCTTTGGCGTGTGCGACAAATTTTCAAACATTCCTATAATTATCTTCGCGATCAGTGTAATAACTACGGAAAGTATGAAGAATATAAGCATAATATTGTTATCAGTTTTTTTACATTATAGATTTTTACTTTTTTATTATACCAGTGACAAATTTTGTAGCAGTTCCATGAAATAATGTTCCCGTAATTTGAAAATAAACCAAACTCAGATTTGAATTATTATAACGCAAGCCAGATTTTCATTTTATTGACCTTCGAAACGCACACAAAATCACCAAGCACTCAAATTACCTGTCAGTAATTTGCCGCAAAAAAATACAAAAAACATGTCATAGAGAGAAAAGATAATTGCACCCTCGGTGAATTATTTATTCTTCCACGCCAAACAATGAGTGATTGACACACGCGAATGTCAACTCTTCTGACCAAATATATGAGCTCGATCCACTCTCAGTCTGTTCTGAATTGCTGGGCTCAACGTACAGTGAAAAAAATGGCAGAGAAAACGGCAAAAAGTCTCAAAAGTAGAGCTATGTGGAAGAATGCTGTAAACGCCGCAACCTTGTAAGGATTTTATTATTTTATTTTTAAAAATTTTAAGTTTTTTATGGTCAGGCCATGACTAGTCTGGTCGGCCTGTGTCATTTATTTTTTATGCAGAAGGCACCACGCGATTTTCTTTTTCTTTATTTTCTCTTATTTATATTTGATTCAATTTTTTCAACTTTATTTAAAAATTGTCTTTTTTAATACGGGCCCTGTCATTTAATTTTTTATTGTCGACGTGGCGATTTCTATCAATATGCTGCAAAAGGAAAGATAAAAATATGAAAAGATTTTTGAATCTGTAGATGGATTTAAAATCCAAAATATAAAATTTTTTAGTGCAGGAAAGATTTATGCGTAAATACATTTTTTTTTTTTTTAATTTGTAAATGTTAATAACAATTTTTATTAAATTTTCCTTGTTAAATATTATTGATTTTTTTTAATCAAACATTGTTTTTCATTTTTTTTTTTTTTTTTTGTAAACTGGATTTCATTTATTATTGTATTTTTTTTTAATTTTGGTAAATTTTGCACGCCTGATTGTGAATATATTTCTATGAATTAATTAATGAAAATTATAGCCAGAGCAAAGCGAAAAATTTTGTGAACACTTGGGCTGGCGCAGACGCCGATTCGCTGACCTGGCGGTCGTTCCGTGAGGTCGGCGTTGCTGGGGTGGACGCAGCCATGGACAAAAAGTCGCCGATGCTGCGACGGGTGCTGTGGTCCGTCGTTCTGTTCGTCTGCTTGTCTCTCATGCTTTACCAGGTTATATACCAAGAAAACAATATGTTTAATTTTTCAACTTCGACAAATGATATGCGGTTTTGGTTTTTATTTTTTGGACGATGGACCCTTTTTCCTTATTTATTTTATGCGTATAACTATTCTTATGAAAAAGCAGTGCCTGGACCGCATTCTGCGTTACACGGCCGAGCCTGTGAACGTCAACGTTCGAATCACGCACAACGAGTCTCTCGAATTTCCCTCTGTCACGGTTTGCAACAAAAATGTGTACAACCTCACTCGCGCGCTTGAGTTACTCGTCGGAAATAAAGTAAAGATAATTTTTTTGCTCAAGTTTTTTTTTCAAATTGTTTTTTCGTCTCTCAAAGCTTTTGCCAAAAACCGCGACCGAAGCGATGGTGAATGTGTCGATATTGGTCGGATTAAATGGCATGACTTCCACGGATGTCTGGAACGAACTCGCTTTGCAAAGGAAGAAATTCATTGTAGAGGTAGAAATTTTAAAAAGCCATGTTTTTAACAAAAATAATTTTCTTTTTATAAAAAGTGCTGGTTTGGCCGAGGGATTGATTGCGACAATGTTGGGAACTGGACTCTGGTGCACACCACCATCGGCCCGTGTTACATGTTTGAAATGGGTATGACGAATTAGGAAAAAAATACAATTAAATAATATAAGAATATCATTTTTTATATAATAACTGTCCTTTTTTTTTAGAAAATTCTCAAACAAATTTAACCAGCTCGTTCAACAACCTATTTCTGCGCTTTCAAGAAACTTCCAAACTGGAAAAGTCCGATTCGGGTGTTAGGGTCGTTCTGCATGAACCGGGCGACTCGGCCGTTCTCCTTGTGCGCACAGACAGCATGTCTGCCGAGTATGGCTGGGCCAGAGATGTCAAGTTAGAGCTGAGAAAGGTTAAAAAAATCCAGAAAAAAAAATAAATTGAAATTAAATTTTTGTCGCCCTGGAGGGTGAAATGAAGCAAAATATAAAAGGCGAGGAGAGTTTCTTTTGTTGAAAGTCAAAATTCAGTTCCAGATTTTGAGCACGAACCACAATCCATGCTTAGATGACCCGGCGTACTCGAAAGAAAGATGCCTATCCGATTGCTTCCAGGCGGCCGTCACTGCCAACACCAAATGCAGGATGCCTTATATGACTGCCGCAGGTCGTGAAAATTTTTACTATAAAATAAAATTTCACTTCTATATACCAGCATATAAGAAATTTTTAAATTATTATTTCAATATTTGAAAAAAATTAAAAAATATTGATATTTTATGGCTGGTAAAAAAAAGGCTTTTTAATTAGTTGAATTTAAAAAGGGCAAAGTCTAGATTTTTTTATTGAAACCCTTCAAAGAGGACTTTCCGTCTGAAAAATTCGATCACTGGATTTATTTTTATAACATGTAAATTAATGATCACTTGACCAGAAACAAATTAACATAAAAATAAAAATCACAGCGAGTATTTCATTAAATTAATAAAAATAAATAACCAAAGTAGGGTTGAGTTTGGAAATGAAGGAATTGTTATAATTTCATCATTTCAAACATTATAAAAAATGGTAATTAAAAGTATTCAAACCTGCTGGTAAAATGTTTTTTTTTTCGATTCAATGTTGTGTAAAATAAAGTACAAAAATTTTCAGAAATTTTAGAAAAAAAATTAGTGTAAATAATTCAAAATAAATATAAAATTAGTGTATTTTTTGTATCAACAAGACAATTTGTTTTTAAAGAAGTTTAATATGCAAAAATCTTTTGTCAGCATAATTGTTTTTTTTTACTGAGTTCAAACGACATATTGTTCTCACAAAAAATTCTTAAATTTTATTGTAAAATGTTTTCATTTTTAAATTTTCCCACAGAAAAATCTGGTGATGTGAATGGAAGCACGTCGGTTTTCCGCGACTGCATTACTCCCAACGAGTATGAAGAGGCGTTTTACACTCTGGACCAAATGCTGTTTCACGGCGTCGGCTGGAACCCGCACGAATGCGACTGTCAGCACGAATGTCAAGAGACCACTTTTCTCAACTACCCTGAAAACCTCGTTTACAAGCCCAAAAACATTCGAATGCGAATCTTTTACACCGTACGTGTCACATCAATAAATTATATCAACTTTTTTGCAACAAAATGCTTTTTTTATACATTCAGGAGCTCGTGTACGAAAACATTCAGGAGGAATTCGCGTACACGATGATCGCCCTTTTGTGCGACATCGGCGGCACCCTGGGACTGTTGATGGGCGCGTCCGTCCTGACGGTGTGCGAATTGCTGGAGGTCGCGTGGTCCAGAATGCTGCGCATAATTTGCGTGACGAAAAAGCGCTCGCAAACGCCACCGGCGCCGGCCCTGGTGTCCATCGTCAAAGTCAAACCCAGCAAGCCAACCGTGGTTGTGCCGAGGGACAACAGAAGAGTCCAACTTCAGCCCAACTACCTTCGGCCACCGGCCTTTCACGACTTCGACTTCAATCGGAGAAGACTCGAGGATGCCTACTTTGGGGAAAGAATTAAAATCTAAATTAATTTAAAATAAAAAAGTTTGATGTTCGATACAAATTAATTTAACGAAATTTAGAGGTGCAAGTTATTTTTTTTTTAAATCTTTCAAGGAAAGGTGGTCAAATGTTGCTAAAAATCCACTTAATTAATTGATGGAGGGAGTTAAAGCTTAATTTGGATAAAAATTTAAACTTTGATTTATGAAGTGAAGATAAAAATAATATCTTGAAATTTGAAATAATTTTTCAAATTTAAATTTGATAAATTTGACGTTGCTAAAAAGCCTATTTTTCCTATCTTTAGTGCCTTTCATTATTTCAAATTTTATTCCTAAACGAATAAAAATAAATGCTGAGCTGCAATCTGCAATGTTTGAAAAAAATTATCAATTTTATTTATTTATTAAAAAAATGAACCTCAAGAAAATTTATATAGATCTTTGGTTCTAAAAACAACAAAAAATGCTATTCTACATTATTAAATGCAGATTGAGTATTGATCTATCTTGATTTACTTTGTATAATTGTTGTTTTGCGTGTTGCATGGTTCAATTGGGAGCTCCCCATATAAAAAAAATACACCTTCACCAAATCAGTCAATTCAAGTAAATTTTATCAAAATAATTAGCCTCTTTGTTATTTTTCTAGATGATAATAAATAAATCTATTGCGTTATTGTAAAACGAGACAAACATTTTGCTTCGTTAATTGCAGCTTTCTGAATTTTCGCACCTCTATGACGCGCGTCTAATCTAACAATATATCCTTTCTTTCATTCTTGTCACCGATGCTGCTGATTGACGTTCCCATCGACCGAAATTGACCAGAAAAAATAAAAGCCCACCAATTCCCCGCCCTCAAGACTTGCGCGCCTTTGTCCGAAAAATGCTTAACAACGTTTTATTTGTCAGAGATGTTATCTTTCCCTTCTACACAACCTAAGGAGTTTGTTGGCGCTCATCAGTACTCCAGGACCTGGGCGAACATATACCATGGACCAGAGTTTTGAGCGGGTTATGACGACCTTGGAAAAATATTACCAGCAGAAAAGATCGACCATGACTGTAAGGATTCATCATATATTTTACTCGCGTTTTTATATATTTTTTCGCCACGATTATTATTTATTTCCATTTTTTCTTCTCACTCAATACAAAACTTCTTTAATTATGAATATCAAAGGAAAATAGTTTAAACTTTAAATTACTTCTTTCTGTTAAAGTCATCAGATTCAATAATTTGGCCACCGCCTGATCTTCCTGGTGACCTTTGGACATCACCCCCTGACCCTAATAAACCACCCTTGCGTAAAGCGTGGTTGCAAGCTAAGGAAAAATCGACTGCGAAATTGGCGACAAACAACGAAAAGTAAGTAACTTTAGCTATTTTAAGGACGGTCTAGTGCTAAAAATGGCAAGATCAATTTCAAATAAAAGCAATAAAAGTGCATTAAAAAATGAAAAGAAAGTACGATCAAATTTTCCGAACCACGAATTTTCGTCGCTTTTTATGAAAATTTTGCTATTTAAACCATGTTATTTTTCATCAGTGGCCGAAGCTGCCTAAAATTATATTATGTTTTAATATTATCGAAACTTTAATGCACACTCTAACTTTAATTTAAGTACGTACAAACAAGTATGAGCATAAGTAAAAAATTGCCTGCTTTGATATTTCATAAACATTTTTGCTCAATGTAATAGGACTAATTTTCAATCGCTTCGCACTATTTGCACATTCGCCAATTTATTGACGGCTTTCGCACTTTTGATATCAACTCCCGCGCGTGTGATTTGATTTCTAAGCAGCATAGAGAGAAATCACCGCGTATCAAAATATTTGTCCAGCCGCTTTCCAATATTGTCACTCGGTGCACAAACACGCAAGAGCACCTGCGTTAATATTTGTCTGGCTTTCGACATTGTGTTCGATCTATTGGCATCTCTTTTATATAAATTTTATTACTCTTAAATTTTCACCTTCAAAATATCTTAGTTGAATAGTCTGGTGGAATAATTTTACTAAAACACTCTAAGCGCTTATCATGAAACACCCTTTTTTTAAATTTCATAAGTTGAATAATCCAATTTTCTAGAAATAAAAGTAATTTTTTTAGCATAAGTACGCGAGGAAAAGGAAAGCAGAGGACGTTAGCGTGGCGATCCTTCAAACAAGTTTCGGTGGCGGGCATCGATGCTGCCCTTGACCGACACTCACCCCTTCTGCGACGCCTCCTGTGGGGGTGCGTGCTTATTATCTGCATGACCCTTATGATGGCACAATGCCTTAACCGAGTATACAGGTATTTAATTTGAAATTACAAATTCCTAACTAATTATAAATATTTAAAAAAGACGAAAAATTTAACTTTTTAAATAATTACTTTTAGCAAATTAAAGGGAAAATTTATTAATAATTGAATTCTAGATATCTCGAGGAGCCTGTAAATGTGAACGTGAGAGTGACTCACAATCAAAGTTTAGAATATCCTTCCGTAACAGTTTGCAACCGTAACAGCTTCAACGTGACCGCCGCCCTCGAAATGCTAATTGAAAATAAGGTTTACATTTTTTTTTGTCTACCGCGTGCCTCAGATTGTTTTTTACAAGTTTCAAGGCTAACTACCATTTTTTCTGCCTTTCGGAAGCTTTTGCCACCCCAGGCAACCGAGAAAGACGCAAATATCTCCAATCTTGTCGGAGTAAACGGACTGACGCCTACGAAAATTTGGGAAAGATTAGCGCATAACATGGACGTTTTTGTTACCGAGGTGTGTGCTAATTTAATGGCAATTTTCAATCCAAAAGGAAAAAGCCACGAAGCAAATTTTTTTTCAGTGTTGGTTTGGACGTGGAACAAGATGCAGATCTCAAGGGGTTTGGATGTTAGTGCATACAGTGACGGGACCTTGCTTGACTTACAGGCTAAGTAAGATTTTTTCGGCTAAAATAGAAAAAAAAACAATTGTTATTAAAATACTGGCATTGAGGTTAAATTTGCTCGAAAATACTAAAGTTCTTGAATTCTTTGTGAATTGAGTCATTCCTCTCAATGGAGATAATAAATATATGAATTAATCTGACTCAAAATATATCTGTGAGAATATTTAATACTTTTTTTGGAATTCTTCATAAAAATAAGAAAATTTTTATGCATGTTCATTTCATGACTATTTAGAGACTATTTATAAAGTTTTCAAAATTTTTTAATAATTTTTGGACTTTTTCATGTATTTGCCAGTTTATCATGATTTTCGTTTACCTATACAAATGTTTGAAAAAAGTAAATTAGGTTAATGTCAACAAGAAAATAAACTTATTGTCAGTTTTTAACGAAAAAGTCAAACTTTGATATCTGTTTGATAAATCAAAATCAGATCGTCAATAAATTTTTAAATAAAATATATTTATTAAATATCCGGCGTCTTCAAATTTTTTTCTGTGCAAAAATTTAAAAAAAAAAAATACACGCTAAAAAAGTAACTATCCAACAGTCTAATAATAAATAATAAATAAACAGTCATATGTATTTTTTCCAGATTACTCGCACGTACATTTTGTAGGCAGTTTTCACAATTTGTATTTGAAACTGTGGGAGTCGACACCAAAAATTGAAGATTGGGGGTTTCGGATTCACGTGCATGAAGCGTCCGAGGTGCCGATTTTGACCTCTCGGACGCACGCCATGACTGCAGAGCTCGGCTGGAGCAGAGAAGTCAAGATGGAATTACGAAAGGTACGAGATATTTTATTATAAATTTAATTGCATTTTATAATGAAAAAACGTGGGCATGCATTTGACGGCTATTTAATCACGATGCGCTCCGCAGTTTAACACACTGAGCACCGCAAAGTCGCCGTGCAACAATCATAAAGGTTACTCACTGGCGCAGTGCCAGCTCGATTGCTTCCAGGCGTTCATGTTGGAGCAAAGTGGCTGCAGAATGCCCTACATGACTGGTATATATAATTAAGGTCGTTCTGTTCAACAGCTAAATTGCTATTATACATCCATGTTCACAACATTGTTGCTGCTAGATGGAAATGAGACTTATAATAATTTATACAAACTTTCACGCCAGGCGATTTATTGGATTTTTTATTCCTTTTCTGTAGAGAAATATTCCAATCTAAGCGAGTGCGCGACTCCAGACGAGTACCAGGCGGCCATGAATGCAATGCAATCGCTTCTCATCTCGGGCGGTTGGTCGGCCAACACGTGCAATTGTCCGCAGCAATGCAGGCAAACCGCTTTTCAGATGTACCCGGAAAACATCGCTTTCGAAACTGACCGAGTCAAGCTGCGAATATTTTACGAGGTGTGTCATTGTCATTAATTAATGTTTAAAATATGTAAAATACATGGTCACCTTTTAAACCTATTTTTTGTAAAAGTATTAAAAAAGCGACTTTTAAAGGTAAAATTGAGCTTTCAAAATCGGCTAAAGCCAACTTCTTGAAGCAGTATTTATTTCATTTTGAAATTTACAAAATTATTTCACCTGAAATCACACATTTTTTTAGAAAATTGTCTAAACTTTCTTTTTCTAATAAAACTAAAAATAATTTCCCAAGCCAAGAAAAATGATTTAGTTCCTTTGAACTTACAGGATCTAGTTTACGAACAAATAACGGAGGACATCGCTTATAACCTGATCGCCCTTTTGTGCGACATCGGAGGCACTTTGGGCCTTTTGATGGGCGCCTCGGTCCTCACGATGTGCGAGCTGCTCGAAGTGCTGTGGTCGCGCTTCATGCAAACCTGCTGCCAGTCCACGAATCCGTCGGCAAACGGGAGACGCCGCAAAAAGAGGAAAATCTCGACGGTTGCAGAACGGGTTTGAAAGTTTATTTTTGTGGTGAGATATTATGTCAGTGTGTGATAAAAATGTTCAATTTGTTTTTGAAATGTTGTAGTTCATATCATATATATTTTATTGAACGTGTAGAAACGAATTATTATATAAATTTGAAATAATATGATTTATACACACACATATAAAATATGTACAAAAAATGTGTCAATAAAGGCAGAAAGTTAATAAATCGCTTGCGCCTTGCTTCTTTTGACAATCGCTAGGAATCCGACGAGGTGCGAAACGCAGTAAATGGCACTCAATCCCAGCAGGTCTAGCGACAAATTGGAAGTACTGAATCCGTAATTTTCGAGCACTTCCTCTCCATTGTGCAAACACGGCGCTCCGGGAATGTCGTCCCAACATTCTATAATAATTTAACATTCAGTTCTGGGCCTGTTAATAAATTTTAAGTCAATAATTACCGAGGTCTGTCACTTGTTGCCACTGAAGAATGGAGACGGCTTCATTCGAGAAGTAGAATTGCGACAGGTATTTCAGCCACGAGAGGTAGATGGGCAACGAGCTGCAATTAAGCAGTAAATTTTAATTTTTTTAATGACCGCCTTTTAGAGATAATTGAAATCTCGTGAGCAAATATTACTCAAAACGAGGTTGATCAATTTTGGCAGTGCAAAATTATTGACTAGATCGCCCCTGCAAATTTCCAATCTATACAACCCGCGCGACTTATGTGCGTTGCCAAGCATACATTTAGGGGCTAAGTGATCAAATAACGCTTTTTTAAATAATATTATGATGATGGGAAGTTAAAGAAAATGCTGTACATTACCTCAAACGGAGGAAGAGGCCAGAGAACGAAATTGTGACAAGGTCGATTGGCACTGAGAGCAAGGAGGCGGTTGACACAGACTCAAATAATGCAGACATCATACAACCTGTAAAAAAGTTTTTTCCTTAAATAGGCTGAAAAAGTATATTTGAGGTGAAAATTATTTTTATTTATTATCAAAATAACCAGGAATAAAGAAAAAAACTTAATCTGAAATGTTTGTAAAAAGATAATATTGTGATATTGAAATATAAATTTATGATTCTTTCTCACAAATAAAATTTTGCATCAATATTTACTATTAATTATTAATAATTTTAATCTAAATTAAGTCAGGTTAATAATATTGTTAGAATTGAAGACATACAGAACATATAAAAAATTTGTATTCTGAAAAAATGAAATTTTGGCCGGAAGTCTAAAAAAGTTGAACAATGACAAAAATAAATCAGGGTTTTGTGAAACAGATGATTTTAAATAATTCAGTTTAATTCGCAGCAGGAGTTTTAATATATAAAAAAATAAATTTAATTTTTAGGAAATATTTTACCGTAGGCTGTGGCAGACGCCGCACACAACATGACTGGTACGCAGAGAGCGAGAAAGCCGAGGAAGCCTCCGTTGAGACCGACCACGCTGAAAATCAACAACACGTAGAAAAACGGACCAACGATGCATCTCGGGATCTGTAATTTTGCTCATTTTTATTCCTATCACAATCCTCAATTTCTGTGCGTTACCAGCATGATCATTTTCGACAAATAATACGGTCCTGGTTTGTAGAGATCGTCACTGATTTCTCTGAGGAGAATTGGGATTTCTTGGGGGAATGTGTTGAACACGGAATAGGCGAAGGTGAAGATCGTCTCGACCACGATCAAGTAAAACAGACCCTGAGTGTTTTGAATCCCGCGCTGGTCCTTTTCAGTTCCGACGAACGGCATCGAAATCACCAGTCCAACAAACTAAACAAAATAATTAACCGAATATTTACACTTGAGGTTGGATTTAATAAAAATTGAATCTGAGCTTTTACTTAAAAAAATATTTTTTTTTTTTTTGGAGATTAAAGATATTGACGTCAATTTTGACTTTTTTTAATAAATTAAAATTAAAGAAAAATATTTTTACCATGAAAAAGAGCATCCGGACCATGATATCAGTTTTGTCTCTTCGTGCAGCAACCATCGAACGCCACAATATCCAGTACAACTGCCAAGCTCTCGAAGGCGTCGACCTATTACATATTTATGAGCTTATTTCAAAATTTTATCTTAATCTGCATCACGACTCACAATGCTTTGTTGTTAATGTAGTCCCCGAGCTTAAATTTGACACGAATTTTAATATCATGTTGACAAAAAAAAGTTATCTTTGCATACTTGGTGTTTCCACTGAATGGCGCAAGGGCCGTCGGAAACGATGCCTCCCTCGTCGATGGCCTGCTGAAGGGCATTGCCTTCGGGGGAGGCTGCAAATTGATCGCACAACCATAGCACTTGCTTCGTGCATTTGTCCTCTTTGCCGGGACGAATCGCCAGCTGCGTTACGTAAAACTCGGCGGCGCTGTATGTTGCGGGACAACGCAGGCCCTTGCTAAAAATTGTTAAATGTAAATGAACTTGGAGCATTTATATGAAAAAAGTAAAAAAATTGAAATGTATCAAAACAGCAATTGATCAAAATTTTTTTTTTAATTTAATTTTTAATTATTGTAGGAGGATTTCTGTGAGAGAAAATCATAAGCTTTTGAGAAACAGTTTTCAATTGGGAAAATAAATTAATTCAAACATTTTTTATTGTTAATAGTTACTTTTCTATTTAGTTTTTAAAAACACGACCTAAAAAATGGCCAAAATAATTGATCAATTGTACACAATTTCGATTCCAATTAATAAATTAGGTATAAAAGTCACAGCTCAAATTTCAGATTAATTTGATGTTCTTCTACATGTTATATAATCAAATAATATTAAGGAAAATAATTTTTTCTTAAATTCAAATAAAATATTACTAAAATCTGATTTACTTAGAAACTGGAATTAAGTTTGACAACAACAAAAATACCATAAGATATAAAACTTGAAACATTCATGGATACATAAGTTAACGTTAAATTATTATTATTACTGAATCGCTTTCGCACCTGCTGAAATACTGATTTGCGGCAGAAACCTCGCCTTGATAAGCGACCCTCCCGCCTGCGAGCAGAATGAGCTCGTGGAAAAGGTCGAAGATTCCCGAGGCGGGTTGGTGAATGGTGCACACGATGGCCATGCCCCTCTCACTAAGCAGACGCAGCTTCTCCACCACAACCGCGGCGCTAAAACTGTCGAGACCTGTCGTGGGCTCGTCGCAAAACAGGATCGGAGGATCCGTCAGCAGCTGTGCAATTAATTAATTATACAGTGGAAGAAATTAACTTTCAAATTTTACTCGTTAAATAAGCGACTGTATTTATTTTGTTTTGAAAATAAACTTAGATTGAATCTTTTAGAGAAGAAAAAATATAAATATAATTAAAATTTGAAAAAAAATTATTTTTTGAATTGGAAAATTTGAAGATACTATCGCTATTAAAATAAATTTAGAGCAAGTTTTCACTGAAATATTAAATTTTCCACAATTTTACTCAAATTTTCATGTGGATAGGATTGCGTTACTTAATTTTTACCTTTTTTATTTCATTAATTCTTCGACGAAAAAAAAAATAATAATAATTAAAAAAAAAAATGATCAGTCACTTGAAATTTATAAGTTTTAAGGAATAAATATCACACCTGGACGGCAAGCGAGAGCCTTTTGCGTTCGCCCCCCGAAAGAGCGGACAGACGGGTGTCCTCGCACTTGAGCAGATTCAACTCGGAGAGCAGCGACTTGACCCACCGCGTCCTCTCGCTGTTTCGCATGCCGTTGACCACTTTCAGATTTCCCTGTTTTTTTTTCTTCCATCAGTTACGTAACAAGCAAGTTTGTGCGAAAATTACCATGAACTCCATGTGCTCTCGGACGGTTAACGAGTCGACTGCTAAGTCCTGTTGTGGCACAAAGCCAGATATTTTTCGCAAAAGATCTCTGCCCACAACTTTGCCGTTCACTCGAATCTCCCCGGAGCACTCGCCTGAGGTGAAAAATAAACATATTGGCGGCGGTTCGATCAAAGTATAATTGTTAAATTAATATTCATGAGGATATATTGCTTTGGTAAACATTGAGTGTCTCACAATTTTTTGAGAAAATTCCAGCTAATCTTGTTTGACGGATCGGAATATCTTTGATCAACACCAAGCTTATAAGTTATGTAATACAATTTCATATCATTAAGCAAACGAAACGCAATAAAATCAATATTTTACGAAAAGCCCCTCATTATTTAATCAAAACAGTGGAAGAAAGATAAGCTGTGCACTTCCTCAAAATTTGACGCAATATATAGAGTTCTAAAAACTGTAAAATTAGGCTTTCAAAAAGTTATTTCTTACCTTTAGTTCGCTGACTGATTGTGGCCAACAGAGTAGTTTTCCCGGCTCCACTGCAATTAATTTTACCAACATTTAAATTAACAACTTATTATGTAACTTTGTGACAAAAACCTTGCGCCCATTATCGCGATCAGACGACCTCCTCGCGCAATACCGCTCACTGCAACCAAAAATTATTTCAGAAGCGCACCTTTTTTAAATTCTTTTCTCTGAAACGATCGCACGCTAACTAATTAGTTTTGGCGTTTCAATTGAAAAAAAAAAATACAATTATTGGAATTTGGCTTTGGTAAAGGGTTTAATTGATCTGAAATTTGCAAATAAAGCAAACCAAAATAAAGAAGAACATTCAATTGTTAATTAATTTACTAAACCCATCATGATAAATTATACAGCCAATTAGAGCGCTATTAAAAAGAGTACCATAAACGTGCCAATGAATCTTTTTAAGAGAATATAAGGGCACAGTAATTGCCGTTTTTATAGTTGAGCTTGTTAGGCCCACCATGCTTTCGCAAACTTGAATTTTTTATGTGAAAATATTAAACTTCATCTTTTACCGTTTTCTTTCTAAATCAATGAAACTTAGTTTTGAAAAGATAAGAAAAAAATAATACCAAAAGTTTTTAAATATCTAGTTCAATAAACAACGCGGAAATTTTGATCTTCCAATTCAGCTTGCCAGTTTTAATTAGTTAGCGACGTTAGCGTGTCTTTGGTTTCAGAGCAAGGGTCGAAACAATAATCATATTTATGGGGAGCGCTTAATTTATTCTGGTAACAATCATTTACCATTTCTGAGAATTTGCGTCTGTTCTTTTTTTCTGCCCCAAAAAGTTCTTTTCCGAGCGCCCCACACTGAAAGGTCCTTCCAGGACAGCGTCAGTCTTGAGTTTGAGTGATTGTTGGTTAAGTGCCCGTTTGATGCGAACGAGCCGAACGGCCTGTCCATTTCCAGCAATGACGGGTACATGCTTAAAATTTAACCAAAACACACACATGCAAAATACAAAAATAGAAAATAATTTTTTTAAACATTGATTTTTCTCAATGAGTAGAGAAAAGATTTTTTGTGTCATTGTGAATTAAATTAGATTTAATATGAAAAGTTTAATTAATATCATTAATATTATGTTCTTCTGGAGAAAAATATGCAAAGAAATCTGTGTTAAAAACTTGCTTTTTGGTTCCAATTCGTTTATTCTCTCAAAACAGGTCAGAAACAGGTTATTTGGAAATTCACATTAATGAGAGAATTGGCAGCCAGCTCTAGTAAATAAAACTTACTAAAACACATATATAGGCTTAATTTGAAAGTAAAAGCGTTCCCAAATTAAACCTACTCGCTGAACTGGAGCCGTAAAAAGGTCAAAATATCAAAGAGTTGGCTTATTTAGATTAATATAAACTTATAAACTACTAAAATTTAAAAAAATAAAGTCTTTTCGATTATTAGAAAAATAAAAATTTAAAAGCGTTCTTTATTTATAATTGATTTCTCAAAATTCAAGTGATATAATACTGTTTGTTTTGTTTGCAATTATTATGGAATTTGAATGAATTATTTTTAATTGCAACACTTTTTTTTTAATAAATTGAATCATTCAACAGCGTTTATTAAAAAAAATTAAAACGACGAGAGGAGCAGTTTTCACTTTTTGATCCGCTGCTGTCAAAAGCACTGTTTGTAAAAATATGATTCGAACCAAACTTACCTAAGTTTGTCCGGCCGTCGAATGAGTAACTCCTAAGCTGCTTTGTTTTGGCAAATATTCGCACGGTGTGTGTACCGCGTGTTACGTAACGTGCTCCGGGGTGCTCACTCAGTATTCAATGAATGGCCATGATCGGAAACGTAAAGTGAATCGCAATATCAAGAGAGCGTTAATCGTGTCTCTGCGTTCTGCGTGGATACTGACTCGCGACTCGAAGCGAGAGAATTTTTCAAAAGCTCCCCTCTCAACTCTTTCTCTCATGTGACCGACCATACAAAATCTTACTCTTGTATGTATCTCTCTCGAAGGCAGCACCAGAACAGGTTTTGGGCACCAAAAATGTAAGGCCGAAGCTCAATATTTGTACCTCTCGAGAGCGGCAGCGCAGCCTTTCCACGTGACTGCGATCTGATTTTTTCCTCGCGACTTTTTGCCGCAGCCGTTTAATGGGCAAAAAATCGATTGCTCGGAGCCGCCGAGTCACCACCCAGACGCCCGGGGTCGGTGTCACGTGCGTTTTTCAAGGGAACGTACGCTTCCTTCGCACCTCCATATCGGGTTGGTCTCGAGCAAACAGACCGTTTCGAAAATACAAAAATAATAAATAGTATTTTTTCCTTCGTCATCTTCGTTGCAAATTTTTTGTCACAAAAGGAATGTTAAGAAAAATCCGCATATTTTTTAGTTCTGTGAATTATTCTTTTCGTTTTTCTAATTTTATATACGTTGTAATATACATTTAAAATTCACCAAGAACTGGAAATTTAATTTCAGTAAAAGGAAAAATCTCAAAAGTATAGTTTACTCCAGAATTATTTTAAGCATATTATAATAATTTATGTTACAGCGTAAATTGCGATTGCTACATTATTTTCATTCGTTGCAATTGAGTATAATTTATTTCACTTATGTGTAATGCAATAATTTTTCAGCGTAAAAAAGCAATATAATGAAATGAATGATCATTCGAGCCAAAATTTAAAAATTAATTTAAAAAATTTTATTTGCAAAAATTTGATGGTCAAATTCTGTGTCAGGGTGGTAAAATTTCTTAACACTGGTGATGGTGACGAGCATTGATTTTGATTATATAACGAATACGAGAAGGAATGTTTACTTTGTTTTACTCTTTTTCTAAACGCCGCGTGCTTAACAAACGGAGCGCCGCCACTTGGCACCTGATTCGAATAAATTTTATTGCGAGCGCGTCAGATTGGAATAAAATAACGTTTTGCAAGCCGAGATGAACAGCACAAGCCCCCCATTTATGTTTTTTGATAGCATGCAAATGGATAAATTATGCTCAGGGTACAGAAAGAAACTGTTGAGAAAATTTATGGCAAATTACTTTTGGCTGCACTTCATAAACAATAAAATTATTCATTTCTATTCGAAATAATTTTACGTCGCAGAACTTTTCCAAGAATATAAGATATATTTTATTTCCAAACAATTTTCTCATGTCTGCGTAGAATTTCTAATTTAAGAAAAAAATGACAAAAAAAAACGTTAGATCAAAACCTTGTTAAAACCGTTGACATCAAACTGGAGTATTTCCTTCGCAGAGAATGTTCTTAAAAAATATAACCTCATTTATAGTTTCGTCAAAAAACTACAGCCATAAAATTTTATAAAATGAAATTTTTGACTCATTTAGAGGGACTTTTTTTATCAAATAAGGCTCAAGCAATTAGTAGTTACGGAGTGTTTTGAAAAACAACCTTCTCAACAAGGATAATGCCGGTTCATTTTTTAACATCATCTGCCACTGCTTTCTTAAACTAAATACTTACATTATCTGCCTTTTGATTTTTTTTTTTTAATATTAGAACTGCGAGTTACCAAACGTGTTACAGTTGGTGAGAAGAATTTCACCGGATGGATGTAATCCAACCAACCAAATCAACTTTTAGCCTGGTCTGGTTTATTTTTAGCTCACCACCTCGCTAATGGATTTTCTTTTGTAATATCCAGCAAAAAACGAGACGAAAAATTTACGGCATGAAATCACATCAATAAACAAATAATTTGATAAAATAACTGGCAAAAAAAATCAAAAGGGGTGTTGGTATTAAAAAAGGTTTTGCTCAGATGTACATTCGAAAATATCTTGGAAGTTTATTTGGAATGACATAGGTCGACAGGGAAGGGCGATTTGCTTATTTCAGCTTCTTCTTGGGGCGCAGATTGTTGGTGTGTCCGCACTTCTTCTTGCGGCAGTTTGTGGCCCTCGGGTGCAGCCTGGCGTAGCACTTGCGGCAAATCATTTTGTCACAGTTGTACTTCTGCGCCAGAATGCGCAAGCTGGGCTCGATGATGCCGCCTCGGAGGCGCAACACCAGATGAAGGGTCGACTCTGCGAATCACACAAAATTTTTTTCATTAGAAAAAAGTGGAATAGGCAAACGAGGGCCACATGCTGAATAGCAACGTGACCAGTGCTAAAATGAAAGGCGGAGTAATAATTAAATGGCGTCGAAATTGGCTGCAGTCCTCATCAAGAGCAACATTATCAGTTCGCCTGACAGCACTGGTCAAACTAGTTGCCTTTTAGAATTAGACCCTCTCTTGGTAACACAAACGCTTGGTGAAGTTAAAAAATTTAACAAAAACACTTGGCTAAAAATTCAGTTTCACAACAAATTAAAATTTGGATTATGAAAAATAAATTTACAATTTAAATAAATTTCACTACAAATTTAACTGAATTATTTTAACAGCTCTAAATCTCGGAAGTTCAATTCGTGACATCTGAGCCCAATATTAATTTTCGATTTTCATCCATAAATTTTAGCAGAAAATCATAAAATTGAACTTGGCGTTTTTGCAGATTGGAAAAAAATTCACATTAAATTCCTAAAACTTTTGCACGACTTTTTGTTTTCTAAAAAATACAAGTGAACCGAAAATCTTTGCTCTAAAACTTGTAATTTTTAAGTAAAAGGTTTCAAAAACAAATTGAATAATTTGACATTATTTTCATTGGTATAATTTTTTACAGGTTGGAAAATTTCTGAACAAAAATAATCTTTCCAAGAAAATTTTTACAGCTTCTTCAAAAATTACACCCGAGGCACACGTAGGAGTTTTCTTTTGAGCAATTAATTATAATTGCAGTTATTGCATTTAACATGTAAGTGGAAGAAGTAAATAAATTGATAGCCAATAAAGTACTTTAACATCTTCTCGGCCACTTGCGAAGCACTCAATGCAGATTTGCATAAATTCTTGATCGCAAACACTTGAATTTAAATAAATTAAGATAAGTATCTGATGGAAATAAAACATTGGACGCAGTCTCGATTGTAATCGCAACATCCAAGACCAGTTTCTGTCTGCAGGTGAGACATCAATGTGGGATTACCTTGATGAAAGTAATGAGAGCTTAGCACCGACACTTTCAGGCCAACAGAGAAATGCATATCTCGAGTGCATCATGCAAACATCCCACGGCAGTCGAATCGACAGCACCACACTCGACTAACCAAGTGTTACAAAAACATCTTTGACTCGATATGATTGATGCCAGTCAAACCACAACGACCAGGGATTGATCAAGTTTTTCTAACCTTTTCTGCTTTAATTAAAAAATCTCACTTCAATTCATTTGAATTATTAATTCTTCATTCCTGCTAATTTGCAAAAATCTGATGATATGAAAAAAATTCAAGAATATTTATAAAATGAGAATAGCTCACAAAAAATAAGTACATTTTTTTTTTTATTAAAACATTGAATGTTTTGATAGGCAAATGGCAATTTCCTTTTCATATAAAAATGTTTTACAATCATCAATTCTGAAGAAAATCTCTGAATAAAATTGATTTGGTGTAGCAGGAGTTAGATTTTATGAGAATGAAAATTTACCCCGAGTGTAGAATTAAATTATAGGATTAAATAAAGAACACCTGCGTTTAATTTACGTGCTGTTAATTTAATTGCAGCCAACAACAGGGTGCATTGTTAATCCATCAATTAAAATATCTTAATAGGCACTGCAATAAGCTCAAAATTTTATTTGTACTTTAGTTGAATAAAGTTTGTTTCAATTGATAATTACAAGTAGAAAATTACATTAAAATTTGTTCAAAATTGAGCTCCTTTATAAAAAATACTTGCATTTACATTGAATATGATGGTGTTACTTTTAACTCAGTTGTAAATTGGTTAATTACAAAATATACTGTATTTATATAGCATCACACCATCACAAAATAAAAAAAATTATAAGAGCAATTGATAATAATTTTTTTCCCATTAAATTACAATTTAAAAATAAGATTTAAATTTAGTTTAATTTTACTACCGCAGAGGGGCGATCATGATTAACTGTTACTTTAAGACACCTCTCGAATTTAATTTATCCCTATTTTTAATTTGAATTTAGTAAAATTGAAGCAAAAAAACAGAAAATTTTTAAATTCTAGTTCCTCAAGTCACAATTCAAGAGTCTTATTATTTTCCTGTGGACCAGGATACGTAGCAATGCTTTTTGTAGAGGAAATTTTAGGATTAATATTGTTAATATTCACCTTTCTGGATATTGTAGTCGGAAAGGGTGCGACCGTCCTCAAGCTGTTTGCCTGCGAAGATCAACCTCTGCTGGTCCGGAGGAATGCCCTCCTTGTCCTGAATCTTGGCCTTGACATTCTCGATTGTGTCCGAAGGCTCGACCTCGAGGGTGATGGTCTTGCCCGTCAGGGTCTTGACGAAAATCTGCATTTTGGCGACCTGCGAAAGTAAAAAAGTCCAAATTAAGCAAAGCCATCATCGTCCTCCGTCAAGGCGGCACTTTTGCAACCACCTGTTGAGCCGCTAAAATCGGTTTTTGCGCACGAATTCAGCGATATTCACTTGCAGAAGGAAGCAGAGCTTTCGTTGTGCAAAGCAATTTCCAGATATTTCACTAATTTATTGTAAAAAACGACTAAAATGTGCATACCTATGTGATTTCCACGTGGTCAGGACAAAACTTTGTGCTGGTAAAATGGCTTTTCTCCCCTTTTCCATGCACGGAAGTTCGTAAAGGTGGACGACAGTGCCATCTAAGTGCCGGTTTTGGAAACTTCAGAAGGAAACAAAACGGGGGCGTGGCGTTTTGGCTTGATTTGTTTTGGTTTGGAGAGAAAAACATTTTATTTCCTGGAAAAAATAAGCAGCTGCTCAAATTACACATTATAGGGATTTGAGGTGATTTTTCGCTCCCATTTTGAGTCTTAAATTTTTATCTCCATAAACTTCTGTTTGTCTTTCAGGGCTTGTAAATCGAAATGGTCTCGAATCTGAGCCTTCGAGAGACGGACGGGGAGGACTACAGGTCCAAGTACAGAAGACTGAAGCATCGACTGAAATACCTGATTTACGTAAGGCGACTTGTAGAAAAAATCCCTGATTTAAATTTGCACCTTTTTAGGAGAATGAAAATTTCCAGGTCATTCTGAAGCAAGCGCAACAAAAGTATTTGAGCGCAAAACGAGACCGGTCATTTTTACTGGACAGACTTATCCAATATGAACAGCCGAACTCGCATTCCAGTGACTCGAATCCCTCAGATTCCTCCGAGGAAGAGGAAAAAGTAAAACAGGAGCCTATGAAGAGGTATAAATTTTTGCTACCTTGTATTTTTTAAGCTTTTTTATGTTAAATAGTTTTTTTAATGATATAAAAAAATATTGTCTCTATAAATATACTTTATGAGAAATGAAATTCGTGAAATGCTGTCAAACAACAATTTTTTTCTTAATTTATGTATAGAATAAAATGGTTTTAGAATTCATTTATTAAAATTTTCTTCATGCAAAGCGAGAATTGTTAATTTCAGATCAATATTTTTTTTAATCACAAGCTAATCATTATTAAAAAGTTTAAAATATGCTTGAACCGGCTAATGTGGTCTTTCATAAAGTAGAAAAAGAAGCGAAGGCAGCAGTGGATCTCAACCGGCGGCCAAGAAGCGCAAAAGGTTGCCAGCCAGTACGGCTGCAAAACAACCTGTCACAAAGAAGGTGAAATTTAACCTTGATTTTATTTAATTCACTCTGAAATTAAATTTCCCAGCTGAACCCTGCAAATTCATCCACAATGTCACCAATGTTGTCTGAAGGTCAGTTGACCCCAGAAGAGGTGGAGAGGCATTTGCAATCAAGGCAGAGCTTCATGGAGTTGCTGCCGTGCCGCGCACCCCCAACAGTGCCCTCTGAGCTCTTCAGCAATGACCCTTCCTTAGATAGGTATAATTATAATTGAATGAAAAACACCCTAATTTATTTGAATTAAGTGCTCCTTTTCTTTTTTTTAATTAGATCTTATATTGAACCTTGTTTATTGTTTTGCAGTTTCTGCTTCAGCGAGTCTAATGAAATGGAACTTGTTGAGACTTCTCCAGACATGGGAGACGAAAGTTATGGTGTGGATATTCCTGACGTCGCTGATTAATTGTTCTCTTCTTGTAAAATAATTATAACTAACTTTCCACTACTTAGACTATTGATTAGATTCTGTTGAAAACAGGTTAAAATTAGAATAAATTTAATAAAAATGTCGGTTTAACATTTTTATTATTTACAATCATCCTTGAAACTATAACAGTAATTTGCACACCATCTAGATATTCTTATTCCATTCCTCCTTCTCCAACCTCTCCTGGATGACTTCCTGCAAGTACGGCTGCAAATACTTCTTGTCTTCTTCAAACTTGGTCCACTCTTCCTGAGGAAGGTAGGCTTTCTGCAGGGACAGCTGCATGGCGCGGACAATGCGGAAGGTCCTCTCGTCCTTGAGGTGTTCGGGCAACCGGCGCAGAGCCTCGACGACGTCTGGGTTGGACTCATCGAGGACATCGTCCTTGTGCAGTCCTGCAAAAAGAGGGGAAACATAATTTTTGAAAAATTAGATCAAAGCAATGGGCACCCATTGCAAATCTTCATCGCTCTATTTACCGTATTTGTTGAAGCCAGAGAGGTTGTACGCCCATTTTTTCAGGCCGGGGAATTTGTCTGAAAAATAATTTAAATCCAGATAAATTGCAAGTCTCTCGATTATGCAATAAAAACTGACTGAAATATGCGGTCAGCCGACAGTTCGCCATTTTTCCAAAAGTCCTGAAGATGGGGGCGTGGTTTTGTTCCTTTGGTCGATAAACTCGATAGTGGTGCCATCGTGACACGAATTTGCAACTAACAAGCAGATGTTGGAAAAATCATAAAAACACGATAAAATTTCCAACATCGAATTAGATTTCTTTGTCTTATCTAAATCAATATAGGTACGTATTCTCTTCATTGACTGATATGTCAATGATTTCACTATCTTTTCCTATTTACGCCACTCCTCGCACCGGTAATGAACTAATAACATTCCTAAAAAAATTGATTTTCGGCATGACCGCTCTATGCAGTTTGGCATAATTTTTGTGCCGTTGCATTTGCCCTTTACACAACACACCTCTCGAAAACCCTCATAATTTAATTTAATGAGCGCAATGGTTTGTATAAAAAGATGATGTTTCCATTTTCAAGAAAAAAATGTGCTTTTCGCAATTTCACTGACAAAAAAATTAATGAAAGTGATAACATTCTAGGTAAAAATGTCCGGCAGCTCGGACTCGAAGAGCTCATGGCAGAACGTGACCCTGAGAGTGATCGCCAGCACGGCCACTCACCCTCTAGAGCTGGCCAAATTCCTGATCCAAATCGGACACGAACCGATCGTTCCGTACCACACGAAGACTCTCTTCGGCCGACCGACCCTGGCCTTGCCTAATGTTTTCCAATACCTTCGACACATCAAGCAGATTGACGGCCTGGCTGGCTGCTATCGAGGCCTCGCCCTCAAACTCACCTCACAGACAGTCTTCTACTATGCACAGCACTGCACGTCGGAGGTGCTGAAAGCCCATGAAATTTTCACCAACGAGCCCATTCAGAATAACAAGAAAGACATCACGCAAAACGAGGATAGCGTCGACGACAGTGAGGAGGAGGAAGACAACGAGGACGGAATTTATGACGAAGAGCTGCCCATCGCTCAGAGAAGAAACAGGTTCCTGAAGCAGTTAGGCTTCAAGCTGAGCTGCAGATCAGTTGCCATCATTGTCAGCCAACCATTCCAGGTTTGAATTTTGTGAAATGAATCAATTTTCAAATTTGATTAAAAAATTATCAAGGAAATAAATGAATTTTTATTATTTCTCAGGTGGCTGCCTTCCGAGCAATGGCCCAGTTCGTCGGACGGGAGACCAAGTACCAAGGCACAGTTGGCGCTGTTGTGAGCGTTTATCGCGAAAGTGGCATCTGCGGCTTCTGGTCCGGCCTGACTCCGAGACTAGTGGGCGAAATTTCCGCCATCACTGTGAGCTCGTCGCTAATTTTCCTGGTGCGCTCGTACCTGTCGCAGGACAGGACGCTCAACAACCTAGTCTCGGCGGTCATGGGCTTCCTGGCCTCGACGGTGACCTACCCCTTCCATGTGGTGGCCAGCTGCATGGCCATCAAAGGGTCGTCGCTGCGGGCGGCCGAGCCTCCGCAGATGCCAGCCACCTACACCAACTGGGTTGCGTGTCTGACGCACCTGAGGGCTGAGGGCCAGTGGATGCGCGGCTCCTCCCTGCTCTGGCGCTACTATACAGGACCCCAGGTCATCATAGGCAACAGGGCCATTCCACTCGAGCCCTTCAAACCAGCCAAATACTAAATTTATTCAAAAAAAACTTGTACTGTCTCGGGAAAAAAAACTTGAAGTTTAGAATGTTTGTTTTGTGAGGAATTGTTTTCAAATTGATTGTTTGAAACTATTTTTCTCTATGAATTTGCAAAAATAATGTATGTTTGTGTGTATAAAGACGTTTCCCATGTATAGTTTTTTTTTATGGATCAGTATGACCGAGACAGAAGTGAGTTAAACTTTTTAAATAACAGTTATCTTTGCTCCTGTTGACGTAGGTGCCACTGCATTTTGTTGGAGATGTTATTTTTACCGAGATTTTTGCACACTGCAAACAGCTTGAGTAATGTTGCTATTTTGTGGTCACACCGTTGGTATTTGAATGGAATCATGCATCAAAGTGATGCCTATTATAGTTCACTGTGTTGATGCTCAGTTCAGGAATCAAACTAGCAGAATATATAATGAATTAAAGCCGCAATAAATTTCAGACTTACGATCTACTGATGGCTTTGTTATTTTTATTTCAAGTACATGTATGTTATAGTAAATTTATTCCCAAATAAATGCATCCAAAAAATTCAGTTCTCTTGCTCCTGATCAACTTTTATAAATTCGCAAGCAATTCTCTTCACTGGGGAATATCAGAGCAAGGAAACGTTCTTAGAAATTCCAGTAAAACATTTAATTGCTTTAATTGAATGACAATGATTACAGCAAAACAAAATTCACTAATATTTATATATAATATGCCTATACAAACTGCATTTTACTGTTCAATCAGATCAGACAGAGCCAAGCCAAAATACAAGTTACTATTATAGAAATAAATAAATATACACTGACTTCTACTGATGATTTCTCTCGTTTTTCCCAGCCTTCAAGTTCATACTTTAGGAAACCGTGATTTAAAATCGAAATAATTATTAAAACCGAATAAAAGAGAAAAGACAAGCGACACTGAAAATAAAATCTGCTTCTGGGGACGGGGTATTAAATACCCATGACAAATTTGAACAACCCCTCAGAAAACGGTCAATTGGAAATAAAAAATAAATACCTTATTTCGCTTAAGTATTGCTAAGAACATTAGCAAAAATGCTTTAGAAAATGGCAAACATGCCCTACGTAAACACTGGCATTCTTTCCAAGCAACCTGGTAATGTCGAGTGTCTAGTCAAGAAGAGGAAATTTCCAGCAATGTTTGTTTTTTATGGAAGGGGGGACTGACAAGTAATAAAACCTGGGATGCTTTGCCGCTCTATGAGTAAGTTTGAAAATAACAATGAAAAAAAATAATCTGCATTTAATTACTAATTTTTTCCGCCTCCTCCCTTTCCTTCCCTTTGAAGAAGCCGTCCTTTTTCTTGCACTCTCTGATGGTCACGGTCATCAGGTTCACGGTCACATCAGTGATCACAATTTCCTCAGCCATGGGGGCTCTGCTGAGCCAGTACTCGGCGCTTGCGGGACTTCGAGGCGCCTCGGCGCGTCCGGGTGGCAAATGGGGCGAGCCAGGCGCTGTGGCCAGTTCGCCGTTCTTCATTCTTTGGCCAGATGTGTCGATGGCTAGTTGAGAGCCACTTATTTTTGTCACCGAACTCGCCGGCGCCACAGCTTCGCAGGACTGCGTTGACTTGGAGGAATCGCCAATGTCCGAGCTTTTCGTATCACTTTGGCTCGCCTGTGATGCCGTTTCGGCTGACGGCCGGCGATTTACCTGTGAAAAGAAAGAAAAATCATCAGAATTTAGTAAAACCTTTTGAAAAAATTTAAAATGTTGCCGAGTGAAAATATTCTTCAATCAGGCCCTCGATTCTTGCAAATTGGTGTTTGAAAAATTTAAAATGGCTGCATTTTATATTTTGAAATGCGCAATATATTTGAGCCACAAAAGTTCCAGCTTAATAAAAATGTCCCTCATGTGAATATTAGAAAAACTCGCTTGACGTTTGTAAAGAAACTGATAAAAATGAAAACCCACAGAAAATAAGTATAACAAGTACCTAGTTTGTATTATAAGTATTGAATTATGACTCTTTAGCTAAAGCGCTGAAAATTAAGTGTATAAGTTTAGGAGAAATTCTATGATATGTATGACTTCTGGAAGTGCCAATGTTGACTGTAGCCTGTATACTGTCGTTTTTGGAGGGTGGTTTTTCCTACTGACATTGGAGTAGGTATGGTCAATTGCTTACCCACCCCCGCCAAATAATGAGGTGTGAACGCCCTCAAGTGCAGGTTTCTACTTCTTATTAGCATTAATTAAAATCGCAGAATAAAGATTTTAGTATGCATTCATGACATATTTACAAGTAACACACGTTACAACTTACAACTTGCATAATATAAAAATTTTACTCTTCTAATTTTACTTCGTTTCAGTCATTTATATTTATTTTTTATAATCCAATTATTTCAAATCTATATGAATACTTATTAATTGAATTGAATTCCTAAAAATTCAAGAAAAATCTATTTTTCTGAATATTAAAATTTTTTATCTTGAAATTGACCCTAATTTGAGAAATTATAATCCTCCTCTTTTCAAAATAGCTAAAACTTAAACCAAAAAAAAAATTGATTTTCCTTGGGGACATTTTTTTGAGCTTACTGGTGTGAGGTGGAGTGACTTGATGAATGTGTCTGCAAACGATGGACTCCTCGGTGGCGACATCATTCGCTGTGTCTTGTGTGCGTGGTTTGTCGTGATCGTCACTCCGATTTTTCCAGACTCAGTCGACAGCACTTCTGCTTTGCGTTTGGCTCCTCCGTGGTGATTATCTTTTGCTTTGCTCGAATCTGCAGGGGAGGACCCGCAAATCGAACTGGCCGCGACGTCCTCCTCATCCTCCTCCTCTTCTTCGTCAGCAGATGCGACTGATTACAAAAATATTTTAAAATTGAAAATAAGTTGAATTTATGGTGCTTTACCTGCTTCGTATCTCGGCCTCCTGTCCGTGATGGGCATGCTTGACGAACTGGCGTCATCGTCCAAAATGCCGATGCTGACAGGGGTGTGATCTTGCAACCGCTCTTTCTTTTTAGGACCTCTTTTGTGCGGCAAATCTTTGTCTTTCGTCCTGAAATTATCAAATGCAAATTATTTTTCAGATAACAATTAATATATATTTGTTTAAAATCATGCTTAAAATGAAGAAAATGATTGACACTGGTAACTAAATTTTATTTTTTCCATCAAAAGGCCTTTTGATTCACATTAATTTAGCAGGCAGGTTTAGGATAAGCAAGTGTTGCATTCAAATAAGGACAAAAAAAATACAACAAACAAAGTTTTAAATTTGAAGCCTTTTTGATTTACATTCTTATAAATTATTTCGTCCAAGACTATAAAAAATTTGGCCTTAATTTTATTTTAAATTTATTAAAATTTTAGAATATTGATTGAAAATTAATAACACTTTTGACAGTTAATGCAGACCTGTGTCTATTACAGTATGGATTCCAGCTGCTTGTAAAAATAACAAATTTATGCTCATGACATGATTTTTCAATTCACAAATGAAATGGTACTAAATTATTTTAAATAAAAACCGGACACTCACCCTTGTTCAAATATTTCAATCAATCTGCCGTCCAGAATGTTCTCCTCTGGCTCCCAAGTGCTGTGCCTGGAAAATCAATAAACTCGGCTTTAATGCAAGACTGTCTGTATCGTCTGCTGGGCAAAAACTAGACCAAATCCCTTGTTCGCATTTCAAATTCTCCGAAATCAAATAATTCATTTTTTTTATCGTTATTAAAATCAGTTCAAGGTGATTATTTACCTGTGGCTCCAGCCTTTCCATTTGACAAAATACTCCACTCGGCCCTGTAAAATTCAAAAACAAATTTTTTTTAGTCCAACAACACAATTTTATTTATTTAATGAATATTATATAAAAATAGAAGCTCTATATTATTTGAAACGGTTTAACAAAAACTTGAAATAAAAGGTATAAACAATATTAATTTTAAAAAAAATTGTTAGAAATTTGTTATTAAAATTTTATTTAAATTTTAAATCGTTCGAAATGAAAACATATTTAATAATTTGCTCAACATTTGACAATTATTTAAACTGAAAAATGTGATTAAAGTGGAAAATAAAATCTGGCAATTAAAGAAAAATATTCTGCGTCATTTAAAATGTTCAACGAAGTTTAAAAAAAATTAATAAATTTTGAGGAATTGATATAATTATATATTTTTTTACTGTAACTAGAATAAGTGTAATTTGGATATGAGAAATAAGGAATTATGCAAAAATTAAAAACGATTGTTCAAAATTTCTGGTAATATTAACAATTTGGAAATTAAACTTTAAAACCATGTAATTTATAAAAATATGGTATAAAATAAAATAAAATATTTAATATTGTTTAATATTAATATTTTTAAACGAAGGTGCTGCAGAAATTGTAACACTCTAAAAATTATTTTCAAAAACTATTTAACTTGACGGTTTGATTTTTTTAAGAAATATTTTAACTATAATTAGTGCTTTTTTTTTAATTTGCTGCAAATCAATTGAAATTTCAAAATTTGAACTGCATCAAAACAAAGTAATAAATGCACTTCTGGAAAGCGAAAGTGTGTCAGTGCCGGAAGTGCGTCTTTGAGTGAAGGAAGGACGGGAGGCCCTTCGGAAGGGGCCTGGGGCCCAACTCACCCTGCGGACCCGCTTCTTCATGATGCGTTCGGCCGCGTAAACGCGGTCCCCCGATTCCATTTCGAGTCTGCAGAGTGTCGGGGGTCCACCTGGGAGGGAAGACCTTGCGCTGGGCAAGTGTGGGCCTCGGCCGGAGGCCTCAGCGTCCTATCCGCACTTTAGCGACGGGAAGGGCCTCGCGAAAGGGACCCTAGGCCGAAGTGGCGCGGCCCAACAATGCACTTGGCGTATTTACAAACAACCAAACTCCTTCCAAGGCTTCACTCGCGCTGACGTTTGCTCCGTTTGCTTTTGCTCGCGCATTTGTTTCTCCTCTCTCGAAAACACTACCCACTCGACAGGACCAAAACCGCGAAAATCGATTCCTCTCTCGAAATCGAACTGATTTCCCGACTCAAAATTTAAAGTTTCAAAAATTTAAATTTACCCTTTCGAAACTTTTTACTACTTTCTGTTAAATCGCGAAGTCCTTCATTAACAATAATATCTTGAATATGAGCTTTTTTTAAATAAAATTTTTTAATAAATCGCATCGATTCTTCAATTCATTCACAGCAAGTCTAGCACTTTCTGCTACACGCTTCATCCACGGCCGCCACGCAGCAGCACCGTAGGCAATGAGTGCCAAAAACGGGACCTTCTAATAAATGGGGCCCTATCTAATACAGGTTGAAGTCCAGGGCCTTCTAAAGTCATCTAAAATCTTTGTAAAAGTCACCATTCAAGTAATAGAGAATTATAGTCATCATAAAATTTAGTAAAACAAATTATTGTAAGCAATGTTTATGTTTATACTGATGCCGAAGTGCCGAGCACTTGAAGTAATAATAAATGTTACGGAAGTTTATAATTTTTTATGTTTATTTTTTGATACTTTCGTTAGTACTTAGTATATTTATATCTGATAAATATTACTGACATTGCTCTGTGCCATAAAGTACATGAAGAATCGAATGGTATTCAATTCAAAATAATATAATTTTGTCTCTAAATATTATAAAGCATAAACAAATCCTACATAATTCAATTTAATCTGAATTTTAATTTTAGTACTTTAAAGTTAAACATTGTGTATGTAAAATGTCAATTTTTTTCTTTCATTCTTTCTTCCTTGCCCTGAAATAATTCTTTTTTTCCTCTTGAAAAAAGAAATTTCTTCAATTGATTTGTTTTTATTTTACTCCATATTCATAAAATTCCACTAATTTGATATTTTTTTTTTCACTGCAATAAAGTATGAGTACTAGTTGTTAGGGCATATTATTTTGGTTTAGATTCAAATTTGTTTGTTTCAACTTTCAACTGGAAATAATTTGTTACTTTTGAGTCGATTCAGGATTTAGATATGGTGTGTCGCGTGTTCTGTAACAAGCCGGGCCACAATCGAAGTGGAGAAAAGATTCTCAAATAAGAAAGAGATTATGATCGTTTTCGGCAGCAGGCGCGCTTAAATAGCGGCAGCTGCTGCCGCGAGAGAGCTTAGAAAAAAATCAGGCATCGCGCGCGCAATTGGAGAGCCGCGGCGGCAGCTGACGCGAAATATATATCGGCGGCCTACCCTCCGACCCTTGCCTTTGCTACGCATTACATTTATTATCTTGACAATAATATTATAATGTAGTGGTCCGCGCCAAATAGGAGAAGAGAGGAGAGAAGAAAAAAGGCGAACCTTTTCTTGGCCGCCACCTGACGCTTCCGTGGCCCTGACGTGCCGCCAGGTCCGCGTTTAATAATAATAATAACGCGATCTCGTCTATTCCGAATTGTCCGTTTCTTCTTTTGCACCTGCCTGCGCCAAACGCGCACGATTAGAAGGACTTATTTTTAAACAATATTTATTCAGCTCCTTGAATTTTATAATACGTGCAAAAGAACGTCGCTCGTCAGGCTCTATCAAGAGAAGGCACGCTTTTTCATATCATTTTCAAGAAATACTTATTGGGTGTCTTAATGAAGGGAAATTCAGGGCAACTTTGCTCCCTACAAGAAATTTAAAATATTATGAAAGAAATCAAATTAAAATATCTTTCTCAGCTTTGATTCAAACTTGGAAGTAAATTATTGGAAAGATAATATTTTTATCTTTTCAAAAATATATTTGGAATTTCTTACTGGTGTTGAAAGAAGTTTTGATCATTTATTATATATGCAACCTGCACAACGCTTGTGTCATCAATTTTAAATATTCTTATTTTAAATTGCCAATTATTTTAAAAATATAATGTAAAACTATAATTATTGCTTAAATGTAGTTTTTCTGACTTGTTATGAGGAAATAATCGAATTGAATTAGATGCAAACAAGTTGGGCCATAATTATGTGTTGATAATGATAAAAATTTCCTGATGAGGTTCTCTGCAACAATACATAATTCTGTACAGATGATAAGATAGACTGAGATAGACCAAAAAATGCATAAGAAATTTTCTTTGAGATGTTCACTAACATCACGTGCACACTTTTTATTCACACGAATTTTAAACATTCATAGGTATGTATGCACTATTTTTGTTTGGTAAAATAAAATGTTTAAATTTTGCTGCTAATTATTAATCTGAGAAAGCACAAAAAATCAAGAGTTAAAGTGGTAAAAACAATTGTAACTTAATTGCCAAATTGTATCAAAACGCACAATCTGGAAGCATAACGCTTGACTGATTTTTTTCTATCATTTTTATTAGAGTCAAATATCCATTTCCATTAATTATTTTTTGGATAAAAATATTTATTTATTCTTTAATTGGCAATATTGCCATTTTGTATTCATAAATTTATTTAAATGTTTCCCTGCTCAATTTGCTTAAATTTATAATTTATCCTCCATTTACAGCGATTGATTGCAGGATAATCCTCTGCGGATTTGTAATGAACGAATCGAACATTGTACAAGTGTCATTTAGCCGCTCGCGTATCGATCGTTTTCGCGCACACGCCATCTCGCAGCGGCGAGGATGAGGGAGACGGCGAGAGTTGTGTTCGCGACGCCGCGCTCTCCGATGGCTTGACTGTGGGCAAAACATTCCTCCACTCTCTTCTCAAAAAATGGCACCTGCTGAAAAATTCGCCGCCTAATCAAAATTCCTCTCCAAGGTTGGTTTCTGCGATCTCTGCATCCCTTTAAATTTCGCCCCCATCATTCGTGCTTCCTTCAGTAGTTTCTAATTTTGGCTTTTTCAACTAGAATCCACCACTTCTTAGATATTAATGTCACGTTTCTGTACAGTAAAGCCGTTTTTAATTGATTGTCCTGTTGAACGGCCGCGTCTCGCGATCAATGAATGGAGTAGCAAGTTTTACTCCAACACACTCGCAACCGTAACGCAGGTGCATTAAATTTTCATTCAAAAGATTGCTGATTCTGAAACGCCGCGACACACCCTTCGCGGAAATTATGCAAACTAGCGCGTGACTTGTATCGCAATTTTGTACTTATATGAAAAAATCCTTTAAAAATATTTTGATTGTTTAATATTTACACAAAAAGGATATTCATTATTGGTGAATGCAATAAAAAAATATAACTTTTTTCATAATCGAGATTTTTCATCAAATATTATTTTAAATTTTGCTATGTATAAATAAAATTTTTCGAGCTGTTTCGAAATTCTTTTTATAATCAAAGTTTTCCCTGAAATTCCTTTATTTTATGCAAGTTTATTATGTAATACAACCTCTTTAAATTATATAATTATTATTGAATTTTTGAAATAATTAGAAATGTATAATATATTTTTAGCTGTTCTTAATTTCTAATGGGGACGAGGTGACCCTGGTATGGCGATGGCATTAGCGTTCGACGCCGACAACTTCAGCGACGACGTGTTCGAGTCGCCGGACGAGGAGGAGCCGCCGACGCCCGCCGGCTTCCTCAGTGCCCCGCACAACTCTGCTTTGCCCAAAGCGCCTTCGCCCACGGGCTACCGGGACTACGTTGCCCCCGCCGAGGCCTTCATCCCCGCGTCGGCCAGCGCGGCCGCGCGAAATGCACCTGTGCACAAGGTACATTTTTTTAGATTCAAATTGCGGATATTTAAATTTCATAATCAATTTTTGTCAGACAATATTGCTGGGAGACAGTGGGGTTGGTAAAACATCCCTCCTGGTGCAGTTCGACACCGGAACGTTCAAAATGGGCACTTTTTCAGCCACCGTTGGAATTGGCTTCTCGGTAAGTTTCTGTTTTTGAAATTAATTTTAGAGAGTGGAATTAAATTTGAAGGATAAAAAAAAAAGAAAAATTCAACTGTGAAGAGGAGAAAAGGTTTTTGTCTTTTGCTTATTGAATTTATTTTTTAACTTCATGAGCTGAAGCAACAATCTAAATATTAGAAGATTATTGGAGAAAAAAATGAAAATAAAAAGGTTTCTCAAAATATTTCTCTATTTTTTTCCATTAAATTTTGAATTTCTCCCGTTTTGAATATTGGTTAAATTTTATGAATTACATGAAAAATTAAGTCTTTTAATTTGTTGCATCTTGTGGGATTTTGCGAATGTTCTATCCGCATTAATGAATTGCTTGGTTCGTTGTGAAAAACGTCGCTTTTGTTCTGGTCAGGGAAAGCGGCAACCGCCAGAGTACCGTTTATTGACGTTTACCAAGTGCGCTATGTTAATAATTGATTAGAACGTCGATGATTTGCACAAATCGTATCGCGATCGGTCTACCTGTTGCTATGGTGACCTTCTGGAGACGCAGGCGCTTCCAGAGCAAACGCGTTGGTCCTCGGTTTATTTTTGGACTAATCATTTCCAGACAGGTGCTCACCGTTTATTCCGACGCATTTCCCTACCCTCTCGGGAGCCTATTGTTGCATAATTTCAAAGGGAGCATCATCCGATAAAGCACCCTCGTTTCAGGTATTTTTGAAAATTGTCTCTATACTTTTTCTTCCGGATTTAATTACTTTTCTATTGTTTAATTCACCGATGCATAACAGAGCAATATGGATTTCCGTCAAGAGCCCTTGTGCCCTTTGCAAAGAGGTTCGAGGAACAACTCCGTGCGAAAAACGCCAAACGCCGGCCAAAGTGCTGCGGACGCGCCCGGCCAAAGCACAATTCTCGTCGGCCTGCCTCAGTGCGCGGTCTCGGCAAAGGTTTTCTTTAATTTTAAAGCAGAGTTCTTAAATTTTTGAAATTAATTTGCAAAGGTTCTTCTTTTGGGAGACTGCGGTGTGGGCAAAACTTGTCTCCTCGTGCGATTCCAAGACGGCCGTTTTCTCTACGGCTGCTACATTTCGACGGTCGGAGTCGACTTTCGGGTGAGAAAAAAGCGCCTGCTGTTTCCAATAGCAGGCCACCCGCGGTACATTGTGTCGTTGCCGGTTGTCTAGTTTGGTATCTGCAAAAGGCGTTCGCTGACCAGAACTTAGCCACACACACAAAATATATTATCAAAAGCAGGCAAAACCTACGAGGTTTAATTGATTTTATTTCACTTAATTTTTATAATCGATATCAATAATGTAAACTGTAAGTATATTTTGATTGAATGCGTCTAGAAACACACAAACTTGTTGCAGCTCAATTTAAGAAAATACAAAAAAATAATTATAAAATTTGAAAATATATGTTAAAAAATTTGAGTTCTATTTGAGTTAATTTAAAACTTTGATGATTTTTAGAGTAAAATTGTCACCGTGGACGAGGAAATGGTGAAGTTACAAATCTGGGACACGGCTGGACAGGAACGCTTTCGCAGTGTGACCCACGCGTATTATCGAGACGCACATGGTTGATCCATTAGAATTTAAATGAATTAACCATATTATTAATTTACATATTTTTTCCTGTCGCAGCCCTGCTTTTGCTGTATGACGTCACAAATAAAACAAGCTTTGACAATATTAGAGCTTGGCTGGGGGAAATTCGAGAGTACGCACAAGACGACGTTGTCATTCTGCTGTTGGGTGAGTCTAATTAATTACGGCGGAGGAATTTAATGTGATTCGATTGATTTCGCCAGGAAACAAGGCAGATTGCGAGAACCGGAAAATCAGGAGGGAGGAAGGCGAACGATTGGCGCGCGAGTATAACGTCATTTTCCTCGAAACTTCAGCCAAATCAGGACTGAACGTTGACCTCGCTTTCACTGCAGTAGCCAGGTACATATCTCTAGACCTAACAAATTAATAAATTATATTTTTCTTCTTCTCATTATTTAAATTTTTAGAGAGCTTTTGTCGAGAAGCACTTTGGGTCCTGATAAGGCGGCCGGCGGTGACGCGCCATTTAGTGTTCACGACTATGTTAGAGAGCATTCGGTGAGAGTAACCGAAAATGCCCCAGAGTCAAATTGTGTTAATTGCAATATATAATTTACATAGCCAATGCATGTGCAGCCTCAAAACGACCAAACCGAGTTTATATATCTCACGGCTGCTTTTACTAAAACTTGTCCAATAATTTGGTAAAAAGTTACTTTTATCTGTGCCAATATTCAAATTTTGCAAAAAAAGATCTCAAGACTCCGCTATTGCCTTTGCAGACAGTAGAGTAATTTCTGTGCTTACGGAGTATAAATATTTATCTTTGGCTCTCTATTAAAAATCCTCATAATGATGTTAACAATTAACGTATACATGGTAACAAAATATTTGCTGTTTAATTGAAAGAAAAAAAATCAATATTCATCATGTATCACTGTAATACAGATACATATCAAAACACGACAATTTGAAAGTTTTGATTTAGGCAGAGCTAAATAAACCTAGCCTTCATGTAAACGCAATCCATTAGAAAAGTACATTATCAAAGTCAGTAAGAAAAAATTGTTGAAAAATAAGTGAATGAAAAATACAAAACGCAAGACTAACTTTGGTTGTTGTTTCTTTCCTCAAAACCGAGGGCTGTCCGGAAAATTAATTCTAGCATTACATTTTTTAATATGAATCACTGAAGAATTTTTAATCTAGTTGAAAAGAAGCAAAGCCAAAAATATCATTGAGCATGTCATAATGTTTACTGCAATTTTATTTTTCTGCAATCACCAAACTATATATCATTGCAATTTTGTGCACATTTTTCTTGTTTAGAAATTAAGAGATACAGTTCTTTACATTGCTATTTTACTATTAACATTCAATTTGTAACACAAATAACAAGCAACGCTTGCATACTCTTTGTGGTAAAAATGCGTAAGTTGGAGTAGCAAAGCTATAAAATGTTTGGCTAAAAAAGGGGACAGAAAAGTCCCAAAACGTAAGTATTGGAAAAAAAACGGTATAATTAAAAAAAGGAAGCTTGCTCTTAAGGGGAGGAAAAGCAATAAGGACTAGACTCAAAAGTTAAAAGAAAGTCAGACTAAATGTATAGACAGCTACATGAAAGAATTAAAAATTATTACACATGAACTCTAGTTTTAAGTCACGTAATTCACTTCACAAAAGTAAATTATGCTGCTCTTTATTCTGGGAAACAGAGATGAAGGTCAGATGCACGCGCACTTGATTGCTTTGTGACGGAAGAAGCTTTACAAAAAGAATGAAATGCTACATAAAATATTAAAAGCGCATGTTATAAAGACCCTCATTTAAATGTTTTGGGGGCGAATTCCTTCACTTGCGTGTTACAAAAGTTATTTTTTGCCCTCAACAAAAATTCCGACTCATGACAAATAGCTAACCAATAAAACACTTTTTTATAATTGTTTTGAGAGGGCCTGTCACCTGATCTTCTATGACAAAGATCATCACATAGCAACCAGATTACCTCAACTAAGTACCAAATTGAAATGTTTATCATTGACTCATTCCATTTGAAATAAAGTTGCCTTTGGATAAAATTTGCTCGTTCAAACTCACAACAGTTGAAATGTGAATGAGAATTGCAGTTTAATGAATGAATTAAGAAGTGGCTGCTGATTCGGTCGAAAACTTCCATTTAAATGCTATGACACAAATTCATTTTTGACACGCACGCCACTCACACTTGTCGAAAATTCTTAATCTTTACGTTATATATCATGGACATGGAATGATTGAGAGGTAAAAAAGAAAAAATAAATTAAAAACTTTGTACAATATGTACAATATACAACAGCCAGCTGTGTTTCTGTTTATGACAGTGACCAGGTTGTTATTTGCAGCGTCGTCAGTAGTTTTTGTTTTGTTTTAAGTATTCCACTACTGTTTAGAATTACCTATGTGACATTTTCATTTATTATTTCTTGCCTCCTCCCCTTTGTAATTTAAGTCCCCTATCAGTCCAGTGTCTAAAAAGCGCATTCAGTTCTTTTTTTAACTGCGAACCTCGACAAAAATTTTCACGTATTAGGAATCTCTCGTTCAAAATGGCATAATCATGTTACATATCTGGCTCATCGTTAACAAGAGGAAAACATAGCATGTTATGCTGCAGCTCCAGCAGGATGCAAAAATTGCAACGGTCAGAGAGAGAAACAGAGAACTGGGCCATCCAAGGCATTTTGACATAAAACTCATTAGATGTGAAAGCAATGAATTAATTGCACTTAAAATTGAAAATTGTCATTAACTCTCGTTCGCAAGTTATTAAAGCTGAATTCTCATTGAGGCAAGGATTTTGTTTAGTTACCATAGCAGCGAGTACAAATATGAAAAAATGCAGTAGTGCATGTAGGTGGACACGATAAAAGTGCAATGGAGAATGACGAACTTCAAATTGTCTTGCTGCACTGGCCGTCTCAGCAGATTGCCATCTCCCATTTCGACGGGGAACTTTCCTGTGTTGTAAAAGTGCTGCAGAACATCGTCCTTTTGCTTGAACAAGTTGTACAGCCATTTTTTCATCCCTTCAGTGTCTGATGGGATCTAAAAAACAATTAGAGTTTGAAGAAAAGATAAATAACATTTTTGACATACTAGAATTATGACTCACCTGTTTAGTGTCGTAAATTTTGTAAAGGAAGAAAGTGTCTCTAGGTTCTTTGGAGCCAGTGACGATGTCCAGCAGACTGAGAGGTTTTCCGCTGGGGTAGGCAATGGTGATATCTAGGATGTACTTGAGACAAGGCTCGTCCGGAGGGATGATGACATGGTTGGACAAATTGGATAGAGGATCGACGCCTTCTTCCGCAGCTGAATTGTAGTCAAGAGTGCTGTCTAAGTGAACTGCGGGAGGGGCGAGGCTCTCAATGATGGCTTCCATAGCCCCAACACGAGGCAAAGTCACATTGCGTAGTTCGGAAAAGCCTATTAATTCAGCATTCTTTTCAAGATATCTGAAAAAAGGAAATTCTTTAATTAGTAAAAGTATATAATTTAAATTACGAAGATGTACCTGTTGCTTGCTTCACGTCTCTTGTGCAAAAAGCCACCCTCCGGAAACAAGATGAGCCACTTTCTATTTAAAGTCTTGTAGACCTTTTCTAAATGTCTCCTAAGAAGCTGCACACCTCTCTCCCTGTTTTCAGGACCCTTCAATAAAAACAATAAAATATTATTTGCATTTTGGAAAATAGCAAAACTACTAACGGAGAGAATGAAAAAATCGTCGTGGAAATAAGAAACAATGCCAAAATTGGTGTATTTGAAAACGCTGTCCATTATCCACATCAAGTTGGGCAGCACTCCCTCCTTTGCATTAAAACACCCCATCATCAAAGGTACGTCTGCCGTTGACTGGTGGTTAGCGATGACCAGAACAGTTTGATCCAGAATTCGAGTTACATCATCGCCAACTTCCACAACTGCAAAAATAACAAAATTTCCTCAATTTATTATTATTAATAATTTAGCAATAAAACATAGTTAAAAAAGGCAATATCGATATTTTTAAAATAGCACCTTAATGTTACACAAATTCAATTCCTTTTGGAAATAAATGTAGTTTATAGTTAAAAAAGTTGGGGGAAATATAATGTTATTTAGTTATTTTCAAACGTTAAGAAAAATTTAAATCCAATTTTAAACTTGTGGGGTATTTTATTGAAAAGGTTTTTGCTCTTTTATAGATAAATGTAAGGATTTTTTTCCAAATCATTTTGAAAATTTCAATATTGAATCAAATATAAACTTAGGGTGAAAACTAGGTTTTGTTCTTGCAAGAGTTTCTAACTGCAGTCAAATACAGCAATGATTGCTCTCACAACAGTTATCACCTATATTGAAGGAATCCACACGCAATCATGCGCCTGAATTGAGCATTTGTATCAAACAAAAACTTTGGATATAAAATTTACCACAACTCTGAAACGGGATTTTGTCTCACCATTGTAGCCGGACACCCAGCTCCAGCAGCCGACCATGGAGATCATCCAGTGGTAAATGAGGCCTTCGATTTTCCAGTACATGCTCGGTTTACATTTTTTCAGCGGGAACAACGTGAGCATCCACAGGGTGTGTGTAGGGAAGCAGTAGAGATTGTTGGCAATCACCCATATCGTCTTCAGGATGCCCCGACAGAAAACGTAGCTGCTGTAAAGCAACCCGCTGCAACTGAAAAACACCAAAAATTAATTCACTTTTCGCGCACAAGTTGAGAATTTACAAGGACAGCGCGTCCTGGAGGAGCAAGTGGTACTTGATCATCGTGCGACCGGCACATGCAGACTGCAGGTAAACTGGGTGCAAATCGGGAGCAGCATCTCAAGAGCGTAGATGCAATAGAAAGTAAGGAGCGCGGTGCATTGATACAAGTGCACTTGTGTCAAGGATGGCCACTCCATAATAGCAAGCGGTCAACTTGCCACACTCGTTGATCAATCGAGAAAGCTATTTACTCCAATTGCCCGATTTTATTTTATTATTAAATAAAATACTTCAGCATTAAATTTAATGTAGATAAGAAAGTTTAAAAAAAAATTCAAACACTGAATTGTTTTTATTTTATAATAAATTTAAAAAATCAAATTTATAAAAATGTACAAATTATCAATTAGCAAGAAATTGCATATTTTATTTACTTGACTGATAAAACGGTGTTCATTGTGTAATAATAGTCTGATAAGTGTTCGCCGTGCTTTCGTGAGAACGAGCGAGATGGTGTTCAAGTGGCTGCACAGAGCACAGAGAGGGGGAAATGTCCAAGGTTACGTTTGCAGGCTCTTAATGTGCAATGCTTGCCTGCATTATAATTATTGGCGATTAGATCGTTGAGCAACTAGTCAGAATTTAATAAAAACAACAAGACACCAAACCGTCTAGATTTTTTATGTATTAATAAAAATTAAGTATGAAAATTAGGTATTTTTTCCCTAAAAAGTTGTTGTTCAATAATTTTTACTAAAAAAAATACCTCAATATAAAATTAAATTTCTGAAATGAATTTAGAATGAAATAAACTTTTTTTTTAAATCTCGGCAAATTTAATTATGCAGTCGAGAGGAGTTCTTTTTCATCCTATTGTAAAGGCCTGTGTTGACTGAAGCCTTATAAGGTGCAAGTCCACGTGCAACAAAACCCAGAAGAATTTCAAAGGTCGAAATGTAATTACCACATCTGGTCCATGGCCGTGAGGTTCAGATTGACGATCTCAACAAAATTTGTACATCCTGTAAAAAAGATTCCTTGGCTCTCCTTATTTGCCTTCCGTGTAGTAATTTCATCTTGCTTCTCGTTTTCTAAACTGAAACACACAAAATCCATTTTTCAAATTAGTATAAATTCTTGCCACATTAATGTTATAATTTTTTCAGCATAAAAGCAACAAATTTATAGCACACCGTTCCGAGAAAACGGGGTAACCTTGAGCCCACAAGGATTATTATGATCCGCCAAGGTAAATCACGAAATTAAGGAGCCTCTCTTAAGGGCACATTTTAAACTCTAAAATCTCAGTTTTGGAAGACACAGGAATGTTGATGAAAAGAAAAGCCGGGATGTGAATCAGAAAAGTTGGGAAAATCTAGAGAGGTGCATTCGTTTAACTTATGCAACCGGGGAATGCAATTAATAACAGATCAGTGTGCCAGAAGGAAAAACTACCACCAATTCGAATAAAATAAATACAAAAGCAGTGTTTACAGCAGGGTAATTTCGTCGGCGAACGCTTCCGGGGGCTCGAAAATATCCGGAGCCATCGCTGCTTCGAGGAATAATGCCGAGCAAAACAAATCGAAACGGGTGGGAAGGCTGTGCGTGTGTGTCGGTCGACGAGCTGCCGGGTGAGAGAGATCGGAAGACCAACGCAGGCTGTCAAATTAACGAGCTGCACACCGAGCGGGCGAAAAGAGATTCGCAAGTGCGATGGTCAGTTTTAAGTCCCTTGCAAAACGCTGACTGGAATTCGGGCAGAGCGTTCGGCTCGACCAGGAGGAAGGGTGCACGAGGAGCGGGTTGCGGACAGGATCAATCGCGGCCGGTTCGACACACGGACATTGCCTACCTCATTTAAGTGTGGGCGAATTCACGTGCTTTCGCGATGACTCATGTGTCCACTCGACTCGACGCCCCGCTCTGGCCGCGCTAAGAGATCGTAACATCCAAATATTAATTAAAATATAAACAAATTAACTGCGCTCGAGGCTGAAAAAAGCGGAGCAAAGGTGCCGTTTGCGCAACCTCGCGCTCATCCTCCTCGTTGCACACCTCCCTGCTTTTCGCTTTTGGGGCGCCAATCGCACCAAACTGACACCACCGACCCCCCGGTTTCGAGGGTGAATTCTCGCCTTGGGGTCCGTTCTATCCGCGGAATTTGTGGCATGGTAATTCTTTAATGAAAAATGATCAAAATCGCCGTTTTTATTTTTCTCTAATCGCGGCTTCTTTCGTGAATGGAAGCCTTTCAGAATTTGAGACAATGGAAGTCGCCGTTTTGTTGGCAAAACTGCTCCTTTTCGCACTATCCTCGAGGCACGCCCCCTTGAGAAAATTTTTGCTCCAGATCCAAAGACCTCTTATCTCAGAGTTCAATTAAACTCGATTTTTTCACCTGGCAGGTGTTCCAGGCGAGATAAATCGTGTGCGTAGCGGGAGTGGGACAAATATTATTGCATTCTAATTGAACGAAAGGGGAGCAGACGCGATGGCTCTTTTATCAAACCGCATCTCGACTGGCTGCAGAGTGGCTGACCAGTTCAAGCTGGCACTCAATAAAACGACAGCCAGTCAATTTCGAACCAGCGCTGCAATCATGGTGAGGCTTATTGAATGATAGCGCAATTGCACATTTTTCTAACTCACAATAGATTACAAATTGAAGGATAATAGAGAGCACACGTATTAATTTAACATGCCAGGATGTTCACTTTGAATTAGAAAATTGCACCGCAGTGCTCTTTTGATTGAATTATGTAGTGAATTTTGAATTAATGAATTAATCTTTAATGCTTTCTGGCTTATTAACAAATAGCTGCATGAAATAGAATAACAATTCACTTAGATGTGAGCAATTCATTTAAAAATTAAAGTGAATTTTAAAATTTATGCCATAATAATTTTTTTTTACAAAATACGGATACATAATATGTACAAATTGTTTCTTGGTGCTCAATATATAAATACTGATTTTAATTATTATTCAGAGTCTTGTGTAATTTCAGTAATCCCTAAAAATTTATTTAATAATCTAAATAATTAAATTATTTTCTGGCTATAAATTTTTTCAACTACCTTTTATCATTGATTATTAATAGTTCTTTCAAAATTAAATATTCAAGAGATTAGACAAAAATTAATTTACGAAATATTGAAAAATTAATACATGGTTCCTGTTCACATTTTGTAATTACCTAAATTATCAAACTAAATTGATAAACTATTTACCAAGTTTTTTTTTTAACATCAGAGCTATGCCTTTTTTGTAGCACGCAAAAATCTTATCTACGTCTGACAAAAATCCTGAAAGAACCATATGGCCAAAGTCTCTTTTACAATGAAATAAATATTTTTTCTTCAAAATACAAATATTTTATAACTGCAAAAACTGTTGACAAATACGAGCAAAGTACTTACTCAAGCAAGCAGACTGTCTCCTCCTCTTGAACGTCATTGCTTTTCTGTTCGTCTCCGTCCATTGCGATGACCGTATCCTGTTTTAGACGATAGATTTGATAATGTGAGTGATTTAATTGAGAGTGCCAACCTTTCTTATCTTGCTCTCGATTGCCGTCACAGTCTGCACTCTTTGATCCTGGGTGTATCATATATTTTTTTAAAACAAAACTTTTAATCAGGATGTTTGTCCTATCAATTTATAATGTATTTTGACTGATGACACGAAGACCTCAAGATACACCCATAAAAAAATTATCTCGGTTTTAAAACTGTTAGCTTTTGAAATATAAAAAGCAAAGTTTGTTTGAATTTATGCATGGGTTTTATTCAAAACTGTTTTTTTAATAATAGTTAAAAATTGTTTTTAGGAGAAATATAGGTTGGAGAGGGACACTTTTGGCGAGCTGAAGGTTCCTGTGGAGAAATACTATGGCGCTCAAACAGTCCGATCGGTGATGAACTTTCCCATTGGCGGCGAAACGGAGCGAATGCCTGTGAGTTTTTAACAAATTCTCTCAAAATTTGGTTTTCATTGCATTTCTAAAATCAGGTCCCCGTCGTCACCGCAATGGGAATGCTGAAAAAGGCTGCGGCCCTCGTCAACAAGGAGTACGGACTGGACCCCAAAGTGGCTGACGCCATCAGCCAGGCGGCCGACGAAGTCATCAGTGGCAAACTGTACAAGGACCATTTCCCCCTTGTCATCTGGCAGACTGGGTCCGGAACCCAGACCAACATGAACACCAACGAAGTCATCAGTAATCGTGCCATTGAAATCATGGGTGGAGAACTCGGAAGCAAAACTCCCGTCCACCCCAATGACCACGTCAATAAGAGCCAAGTGTGTTGAAATTGTTTAATTTCAATGTTTTATTTATCATAATCAAAAAGTGTTGAGTTGAATTATATTATATTGGAACATATCTGCATTTCACATTTATTAATTGAATAAAAAATGTTGTTTCAGAGCTCAAACGACACTTTCCCGACTGCTATGCATGTTGCTGTTGCCGTTGAAGTCCAGAAAACTCTCTTGCCAGGACTGAAGGCTCTGCACGACTCACTAGATGCGAAAGCAAATGAATTTAAAGACATCATCAAAATTGGCAGAACCCACACCCAGGTTTTATTTTTCAAATCAATCTTTAAAAATTGTTCCAACTGATTTTTTAAGGATGCAACACCTTTGACTTTGGGTCAAGAATTTAGCGGCTACGTCCAGCAGATCAAGTTCGGCATTGACAGAATCAATGCCTGCCTCCCAAGGCTGTACCTCCTGGCTGCTGGCGGCACTGCTGTCGGAACTGGTCTGAATACAAGAATAGGATTTGCTGAGAAGGTTGCTGCTAAGCTGGCAGAGTTGACTGGTAATTTATTTTTCTCAAAATGATGATTGAAGTTTATAAAAATGTCCTTCAGGTCTTCCTTTTGAAACTGCCCCCAACAAATTTGAAGCCTTGGCTTGCCACGACGCAATGGTTGAAGTTTCCGGCGCGCTCAACACAATTGCCTGCAGCTTCATGAAAATTGCCAACGACATTAGATTTCTTGCCTCTGGACCCCGTTGTGGTCTCGGTGAACTGAGCTTGCCTGAAAACGAACCTGGAAGCAGCATCATGCCTGGTAATAAAACACTATTGTTAAGCAATTTATTCATTTAATTGCTTATATTCAGGAAAGGTTAACCCAACTCAGTGTGAGGCCATGACTATGGTCGCTGCCCAGGTTATGGGAAATCACGTCGCAGTGACGATTGGAGGCAGCAACGGCCACTTCGAGTTGAACGTCTTCAAACCCATGATGGTCGCAAACGTCCTCAGGTAGTTAATGAAACTCCATATTGGGAATTTAACTTCATGAAATTTTGTTTCAGATCTATTCGTCTGCTTGGTGATGCAGCCAACGCCTTCACCACCAATTGCGTTGTTGGCATTGTGGCCAACAAGGAGCAAATTCATAAACTTCTCCACGAGTCTCTTATGCTGGTCACTGCTTTGAATCCTCACATCGGCTACGATAAGGTATATTTTCTATAACAAATAAATTAAATGGAGAATAAATGACACATTTCTTCAGGCTGCGAAAATTGCAAAAACTGCACACAAGGAAGGTTCTACCTTGAAAGCTACAGCCTTGAAACTTGGATACCTGACAGAGGAGCAGTTCAACGAGTGGGTCAAGCCAGAAGACATGTTGGGCCCCAAGTAAATTTGTTTTTGCTTGTGTACATACATTTGGGAAAATTGAAATAATAATATTAAACAACACTTAAGGTACATTCATGGAGTATTTCTTACTATTGTACCTCTATCCTATCGTCATGCGTTAATTTTTATATGAAGTTATCATACAAGTTTTTATTGGCTTGTAATCATTATTATGTTGTTTGCTGCATGCTTGGATTGCCTATTGGCACGATGAAAACGTCTTGGTTCAGGCTTCTGTCCTGATCCAGGGAGCATGTGATCTTGTGTACAAAAACTGGTCAAGATTAGTGGTCACAGCCCAGCTCAGGCTGGCCACTGAGCATTATTTAAAGACAAGTTCAACATCAATAAGGAATTAGCAATAGCAATATGTAAATGTAAAGCCGCTGTGCAAGACAGGGCACACGTTTTAATCTGTGCCGTTCTTTTTAACCAAATTGACCGTCTGCAAGTTCTGAGCAGGACAGAAAAAGAATCCCAACTCTATGGGATTGCTCGAAAAATTAATACCTGCAGCTAAACATATTTGACAGAAAAAAAATGTTCAGCACATATAACGCATTGCAGGGCCAGTATATGTTGCGATCTATTTTGTGTCAATTTGCAAAAATTATACTTTTGTGATTGTGATCAATAAAATAAGGAAAATTTAACTTAACTACGGCAGTGATGGATTTACACAATCTGTGTGACCCCTAGAAACTTTATTCTATTTGGTAGCCCCCTGACCAAACCCCGTTTATTATTATTACGATTATTACAAATTATATATATATTATAATATAAATATTTTGTCATGGTAGACCGAAAGGATATCGTGAGGAATAAAAAGAAAAAGTTGGATTTTGGGAACTAATTTTCAATTCTTGTTAATATTAATTATTTTTGATGCTCTTCATGCGCTTTTCAGCTTTCAGCATAAAATAACCAATATTAAATCTATTTTAATTCCATGAAATATTTTAATGAAAAGAGTGAGGTGTGGTGTAGAGAAACTAAAAGAAAAATAGTAAAATTTGGCTTAAAATGATCGCCTGATCGAAATATTATATATAACATTTTTAGGTGCCTGACTGAGATTTTGATCAAATTTGGCATGTCAATTAGTATCCTAAAGTAGAGGCCAGAATTAAATTATTAGCTGCTGAAATGCATTTTTCACCCCCAAAAGAAGGTTTAAAGTTTACCATAAAAATAGTCTGGCATCAGTTCTACACCAGATTTGAACCAAGGGTCAATTTCTGTCATATAGAATGGTGCCATTTTCATTTATGTTTCGTTTTCATGAATATATATAAATAAATTTTTAATTTTTTTTTAAAGTTTTTCCTTAAAAAAGTTTTTTAAAATTTGGAATTAGTTCAGACCTGGTTCAAAAATAGTACGTAACTAGTGCAGAACCGGTTCAGCTGTTCTGGCATCAGTTCTACACCAGTTTTGAACCAAATCCAAACCAGATTTGAACCAAGGGTCAATTTCTGTCATATAGAATGGTGCCATTATCATTTATGTTTCGTTTTCATGAATATTTATAGAAATGAATTTTTAATTTTTTTTTTTAAATTTTTTCCGAAATTTTTTTTTTTTAAATATGGAATTACTTCAGACCTGGTTCAAAAATAGTACGTAACTAGTGCAGAACCGGTTTGAAACTGATTTGAGCCAAGGGTTAATTTCTGTCATATAGAATGGTGCCATTTTCATGAATATATAGAAATAAATTTTTAATTTTTTTACTTTTTCCTTAAAAAAGTTTTTTAAAATTTGGAATTAGTTCAGACCTGGTTCAAAAATAGTACGTAACTAGTGCAGAACCGGTTCAGCTGTTCTGGCATCAGTTCTACACCAGTTTTGAACCAGATCTAAACCTGATTTGAACCAAAGGTTAATTAATTTGCTACCACACTGTGGTACCACAATTTGCTACCACACTGTGGTACTACAATTTGCTACCACACTGTGGTACCACAATTTGATAACAAAATGTGGTACCACAATTTACCACCAAACTGGTACCACATTTTGCTACCACAATGTGGTACCAAATTTTTTTTATCACAATTTCGTACCAAATTTGAGATAATAAATAATGTCACATACAGCTGAACCGGTTCTGCACTAGTTACGTACTATTTTTGAACCAGGTCTAAACTAATTCTAAATTTTAAAAAACTTTTTTTAAGGAAAAACTTAAAAAAAAAAATTTTATTTCTATATATTCATGAAAATGGCACCATTCTATATGACAGAAATTAACCCTTGGTTCAAATCAGGTTTAGTTTTGGTTCAAAACTGGTGTAGAACTGATGCCAGAACAGCTGAACCGGTTCTGCACTAGTTACGTACTATTTTTGAACCAGGTCTGAACTAATTCCAAATTTTAAAAAACTTTTTTAAGGAAAAACTTTAAAAAAAATTAAAAATTTATTTATATATATTCATGAAAACGAAACATAAATGAAAATGGCACCATTCTATATGACAGAAATTGACCCTTGGTTCAAATCTGCGGTGTAGAACTGATGCCAGACTATTTTTATGGTAAACTTTAAACCTTCTTTTGGGGGTGAAAAATGAATTTCAGCAGCTAATAATTTAATTCTGGCCTCTACTTTAGGATACTAATTGACATGCCAAATTTGATCAAAATCTCAGTCAGGCACCTAAAAATGTTACCTTGTTAGATGCACTTTCGCATGAAATGCAGTTTCATCCTCATTATTGACCACTGTCGCGGCCTCGTCTAAATGAGGAAAACTGCGTAAACTTGATCTGATTAGGTTGCTGTTTAACCGCAATATAAATAACGTCTTTTTCAGGGCAATATAATCGGGTTTAGTTCAATCGTGTAATCTCCTCGTTTTCAAAATGGTTTAATTTGATAGAACACTGTTTTTGTAACAAATTTTGGAATTATTACTTTTTTTTAGCGCAGCGCTCATGAGCGCAAAGAGCGCTCTGCCCTTGCATGGACGCGAGCTTTATATTATGCATTTTTATTCATTTATTTGAGCATAAAATATACCTAGTCATTAATTTTTTCCTAATAAATCGATGGACGGAAACCTCCCTTGCGCCCTGCTTGTGCCCACTGTTCTCTTCAAAAAGAGAAAAACTTGGATTTGATAATGCTGCTGGGTATTTTTTAAACGTGATAAATGATTACATTATTTTTTGTTTGCGGCTTTGCGCCGTTCAAAGGAGTTCAAATGTCAGAGATCAGATTATTTGAAGCAAAAAACGCCCGGTCAATTTGGGATTTCCAAGCCATCAAATTACGTCACGCGGCCGCGTGATTAAAAATAATTACCACCATCCTCTCGATATATAAAATCTCTAAATCGCAAACGAAATTCATTTTAGTCATTTCAGCTCTCAGAGCAGTTCAGTCCTCTAGTTGATTGTGATTGTCCTAGGTACATCCCATTGGGTCACTCACGTCGGTTTCTCTACAAATAATTTGAGAATGTGAGTTTTGAAAGCTACATATTCTCAATTCTTAACATTTCCTGACTCCATTTTTCATTTTAATAATTTGGCTTAGTGCAGTGCTATTGAATTACATTTTTTATATTCTCCCAGAGAAAAAGTTGCTCTTATTCTACCTTTATCGATATCATTTCAATAATTATTCTTTAAATTATCAGTTTATTTATTCTCTTGGCAGGACATTAAACAACAAGACCAGCCAAAAAGGCTCGGCTCAACCAAATTTAACCTTCACACTCACACGGTACAAGATGATTTTTATTTTATCATATATACTACATAATTTACCATGTGTGACATTTGTTTAAAATTTTTGCTAAAAAAAGAATTAAGGAACAAGAAAATTTTTTAATCCATAAGTATCTCGTATGTTTTAGCAAAATTATTGCTAGAGTGGTGGTGCCGTTTGTTCAGAAAATTCCTTTCTCTTCAAATAAATTGTAAACGAAATGCGATGTAAAAATTTGGAAAAAAAATGTATTGAAACTATCCTGATCAATAAAAATTAAAAGCACGAAAAAGAAAGTTTAATTAACTCTCGAATAATTTTTTTATTCAGTAGAAGACATATTTAATTTTATTAACTTATAATTATGTACTTGTACAGGTCCAGCCGATTAATTGAGCTTATCGGTTGGTGCTCATTTTAACTTATACAAACTAAGATCGGGAGGGCATATCAATAATCACAACTTCTTAATCCTCAGTAAAAATAAGAGCCCATATTTATTAAAAATAATAAGTGTATATTATGTAGTTTTCTTTGTTCTATTATCTCTATCTAATCGAAATACTGATCAAAATTATCATATATTTTTTTTATTGCATTTTGAATTAGTTAAAGTTCTCATTTTTTTTTGGAAATGGCTATTGTTAGAGAATGCTTAATTACTTTATTTTACATCAATTCTCTATGAACTATTGCTAAAATTATATTTTTTTTTTTAATAAGGAAGAAATAATTTTTTTAAATGTTTCAGATGTTGGCAGCAGTTCAATGGCTGTTGATTTTGCACTTACTCCTAGGTATAAATTTGATGTTTTTAATACAAATTGTCATCATGGTTCATATAATCTTCATCTTTCCTCTTGTTAATTTATTCTTTATTTCATTAATTGGCACCAAATCACCAACAATATACTGACGTTAGTCCTTCTGGCATTTTTTTTTTATATGGGTATATTGTGCTAAAATGCCAGAGAATGATAAAAACAAATCATTATAATTATTATTTTTTCTCCGTCGATCCAAATTGGCAAAAATATAAATTTTTTAATTGTGGAAACGCAATAACGCGAGCCCACCACTCCAAAGTATTAATTCAAAACAATTTAAATGTAATCTTAGTTTATTTGCAACTTATTGTCATATTTTTTATGATTCCTGCTGTCGTCCATAATTAACTTCAGAAGTTTTGAAGCAAAGCTTGATACATTTTAAATGACAAATATGCAACAATAATAATTTTAACTTCTACTGATACATATATATTGCCAGCAGAAATGTCACAAAATGCATATTTCTCAAGCCCACACCCTCAAAATAACATTCTTTAAATAATTTATAATTTTTTTACAGTACTTCCTAGGAATGCAATCGCCTTTGAGGTATGTATTTTACTAATATGTGTACTGTATATGCATGTTACTGCTATAGGGTTGCTCAATGGGCCGTTATAGCTCATTGGAACTCATTAGCCACGAAGTGATAGTGATAACTTTTTTTTAATATTTTTTCAATCAAATGAGTTTTCTATTTTGCATGAGAAAAATCTGTTAAAATAAATTAAATGAAAATATTCTAATGAAAATATTTTACAGGATGCGGAAAAAGAAGCTGAGGCACTTAATTTAGATGAACTATTGTCAAAAGGTGAATATGTGGTGGACTTGGATAGGTTAAACTACACAAAAGTAATTGCAATTATCGGTATGTCCGGGACCGGCAAAAGTACTTTCAAAAAACTCTTCCTGAAGAATCCAACGCTGCAGATGGTCAGAGCTGGAACAAGTAGAAATAAGTTTCTATTTTCCGACGGAGGAGACAAAATCAGCTCGGTAAATGAGACTCATAAATCTAAAACCTTGATACCCAACACAGTAATGGACCCCAGTTCAGGAGCTCTCCTTATCGATTGCCCTGGCTTCAGTGACACGAGAGGAGTGGCTGAAGAAATTGCAGCCAGTTTCATGACAAAGAAAATTCTGGACAAGGCCAAAGAGGTCAAATTCATTGTGATGGAGAACCACCCCGGACTCACCGCAGGTGGTGACAGATACACCATAAGGACGATGCTGCGCCACCTTGCCAAATTCTTGCCTGACATCGATCGCATCAAAGACTCCATTGCGTTAATTGCAAACAAAGCACAGCGAGATGAGCATTCGTCAATTCAGGAAGATGAAAGAGATGTTACGCACGAACTACAAAGCTTTAGAAATGGTTTAACGGAGCCTATAAATAAGGGTTCATTTCTTAGCCTGGATGAAATTAACAAAATGAAAAAGTTGATCGATATTTTCATACGTGGAGGCCGTGGCAATAATATCGCAATCATTTACAAGCCAAACAAAGAGGGCAGTCCCTGGGATATTGACTTCATGAACGAGTGCCACGAAGATCTGAAAGACTTAGTAGAAAACAAGTTGAAGTTCTCCAACAACATAGGATTGGAATACAACTACAGCATAAGCGCCGAGAGCATCGCTCTCATTAAAGACGACTTGATTCCTATCAAAACCGAGCAAATTAGTACGTCCGCTTCCGAGTGCCTGGATTCGATTTTGGAACAGTTGAAACAAAAAATTCATTTAGAACGTTCAATTCTAAAGAAAATAGATTTTATTGAAAATACGATGAAAGTTGTTCTCACTCACCAAAACGTTTCCAATTTATACTATGTCGATTTTTTCTTTGAAGTGACAAACTCTACTAGTTTAACTGTGAATGATGGCGCACTGAAAAAAATTAAAGCGTGGGAAGAAATTTTGCAATTTTTTTTCCAAATGGCTCGGTTTTCCCCAATTCGCTATTCATCCCAACTAAAAAGAGTCATAAAATTCAAATTGATTCAGCCCTTGACGGAATACAACAAGTATTACACATTCTTAAAAAATTTGAACACATCACTGGATACTGCTGAAGCCCATCTGAACCGAGAGGACTTCAAAATGTCTGTAAACCTTGCGAAAGGCATTGATTCAACCAGTGAATTTTCAAATGTGATCCTTCAATTAGGCACTCTGAAATACGAAGTATCTGACGCCAAAGCGCTCATTTCCATGAATTCCATCACTAAGGAAATGTACGCCGAGTTGAACACTGTACTGAGGGATCATCTGAATTACGTATTGGAGAGAGAATATAACACACGTACTAAGGGGCTGACTGTAAAAGGAAAAGCGATCATCTTAAGCGAAGTTAAAGCTATACTTCAAATGTATCCTGAAGCCAAGAGCATAAAGATTTTTGCATGGCACAAAATATTTATAGACGGAAACTTTCAGTTGTCCGACACTAACCTTGCAATTGTTGCTCCCTTGATAGATGTCCTTGTCCCAACTCACATCACAAGCACTGGAAGTGACGCTGTAGGTGCAGCTGAAGCAGGGAAAAACTCGGGTCATATTTTCATCACCACATTGGAAATACAGAATCCAAGCCGATGGAGCATAAGTACCACTGGAGGAAAAGGAGGGAAAGGCACAAAGGGAACAGATGGTGCCTGCGAGTTTCCTAGTAGCCACCCTAGTTTTTCGATTAATTTTGAAGACGCATTTTATGACAAGATCTTTACAAAACTCAGTAAAACGAAATACAAGTATGAAAAACTAATTGATAAAGAATGGAGGACGGGTACCTTTTTTATGTTTAAATATCATCATAAATTAAACCTAAAGATTACTGACCCTTCATATACAACAAAACCTGCTACTAATGGTGGACCAGGAGGCTCCGGTGGGCATCCAGGGAAGGTTGAAATCAAAAGCAAAAAACTAGCTTCTCTTGCCATTGACAGGAAAAATGGCGCCAACGGCATTGTAGGCGATCCCGGTCAAATAATAACTTGTTTTCAGCAGATTCCATTTGTGTTGATGGAGTTTGAAGGCACCGAAAATAGAAATACGTTCACCAAAGATCAAGGAATAAGATTTAATAGTAAGGTAGAATCCAAAAACACGGAATATACTAGTAACAATGTGGCACCGATCTATTACAATCCTTATGCTGGAGTTAAACCTTCTCAAGGTAATCAACCGTTGGAAATTCCTTCCACCCAAATCATTGATGAATACATTAATTTGTCATCCACTGTTAACTATAATAGAGATTTTGTGAATTTTATTAAAAAATAATAACCTGAATCATGCTTTTCTGGGCGGGGTTACTTTATTTGCTTTAACATTTAACATTAGAATCTTTAATATGTTGCGCGTGTTTAATCAGAAATAAAATAATTCTCTCAAAGAAATCTTTTTGTTTCATTCATTATTCTCAATATATATATTTTTCTTTGTTCATTTCACAGAGAGATTTTAATGTTTTCAAATTTCGTTAACCAGCCTTTTTTTCGCGATTAACATCTGGCAGCACCCTTATTGCAGCCCCAATTAAGACAAAAATTTTGAAACTGGTTTAGAAATTAATCTTTGTTCAAAACATAGCTGCCAATCTAAATTTTTTTAGCTCTGCATATCGGAAAAACAAAGTTCCTGTGATCATATATAAAAAGAAATAATAATTATATGAAAGCTAGAGTTTCAATAGCTTTATTTTGCTCTCATCCAATTATTGTAAGATTAAAATTGCAATTAAACCAGGAATGGCCAAAGATGCCGAAAGTTTCTCCAAATATTCAAAAATTTGATATAAATGTATAAATAATTTTTATGGCAAATTCAAAATTGTTGAAATATGTATACTTACACATTTGCTGCTTTTTATTTGGCATATAATTTCCACGGAACAGGCAAGCAAATTACTTTGAAATATGATATGCGGTTGTGAAATCGCATTTGAATTTGAAAAGCAAAATGACAATTTTAATTAGTTTTCGGCAATCAAATTGCTTTTGCTGGAGTTGCGGCCGTAATTAAATTTCGCCTTTGCTAGGATTCAGTTCAATCAGAGTGTGCTTGATGCGGATTCTTCTTGATTAGTTTGTGAGTGACACTGAATTGATTGTGAGCGAAATTGGGAAAGGAGAACATGCGCGTCACCCATGTGAGCTGGGCAAAAACTGCATCGTGGTAGTGACAAACAAGCCTCTTGGTGCACGGCCTCTTTCTCTCCTTGCAAATCAACACGCAAAATTTTACGCAAATTAGGGACCTTCGTAGAATAATTGTTATTATAGTATAAGGTAAGGATAGTACTTTTTGAAACACTTTGCATTATTTGATTAGACGATTTTACTGGATTTTACTATCGAAATGTCTTTCATAAAAAAATAAATAAAAATTGAAACCGGTCTTCATCCCATCCTCACATTTGGTAAAATTTCTTTTTTTATTAATAATTTTGCAAAACTAAAAGCAATCATATAGTTAATTATTAATTTGTTTTTGCGCAATATTTAAAAAAAAAATTAAAACAAACACTTATTTAAAAAATAATTTGATAATATTAAATTATTTTATTTGTCTTCAATTAAAATAGAATAAAAATACATATTGAGCTATCCAGTTTAATATAATTTTTATAACATGATGTATTTTTAAAGTGCATTTTTTGGTGTAATATAAGTTTCATGTAAATATTTAACGTTCTTATACATTGTTATACATTTACATTTGGTACTAATTTTAAAGTTTATTTATTAAAAAGGAATTTATTTTTCTTTACATTTTTTTAAACAATTTCCTTCGTTCACAACTTATGCAATTAAATTATCGAACTCTCTGGAGCCTTCAGATACTATGCGATGATACTTTTTATCTTTTCATACCATTTATTACCATTACGATGATTGGCCATGTTCAGAATATTTACTCTTGGCCTTGCAGTGAATAATCATCTGAAATATAATGAATACTCGGTGATCAATAAGTCGCAATTATCTGGAGAACGCAATCTTTGGGGGAAACACGGCGCCCGCAAGGTGATACTGCCAAGTTCCTTCTCTATCTGTTTGATCAATCGATCGCTTCTCCGACGGAAATTGATTGCTTTTATGTGTTCTTCCTTCCCTCTTTCTTGGTAACAGGTGTCCGCAGATAGCAATGAGCCAGCACGACGACCGCCTCCGTGGAGGTGGCAGACCACCATTGACCAGATCTTCAGCCGTCAACCCAAACGACCACCCCTTGAACAACCGGCCAAACTCTTCGCACAACCAGATCTTCCCGAAAAACTCTGAATCGACTAACAATTCTTTTTACGAAAACAATCAGGTATTTTTTTTGGAAAAGGTAGAGTATATTATAAAAAAATTACATTTTGATATTAATTAGATAAAGTGGGCGACAGAATTACACCAAAAGAAAGATATAAGTGGCGATAATGCAGGATTAAGTTCGGTTTGGCAAGGTCTGCACTCGCTTTGGGTCAACAGCAACCCTTCGCTGCCTGTCGATTCTAAGGAGGAGAATATGCCAATTGCTCAGAGGAACTCATGGATTAGGGTATATTTAATGAACTACCTTTTTAACTTAAACAATTGGAGCAATGTTTAATACAGTAACGTGTAACATTGAAATTTTCTATTCCATAAATATTAATACCGGTCTAAGCCTCATTGAAAATTGAAAAAATTATGTGACAATTTAATTTCTTGAATTTTTAAATTGTGTTTATTTTACACTGTTGAACACAAATGTGTAAAACGTATATTATATAATTTTGTTTTTAATCTATAATGTACCTACAATTAAATTTCAATGAATTTTAGGTTTTGAGTTTTATCTTCATCCAGCTACTTTTAGCATATTCGGTTGCTCTCTTTTAGGAATTAAGAAGGAGTTTTTTTTTTCAAATTGGCTGATTTTAATTTATCTTTTTTTAATCCTTTGCTTAATTAAATATTTTGCTCTTCTCTTTTATGCTTTCCGAAATTCCCACTTTTTGCGTGTTGGACGATAATTAAAGTCGACTTTTGCCACAAAACGCACGCATTCGTTTTGCAAGTAATAAAAGCGTCCTGCCTAGTTCGCGTCCCACGCACTGTCCCCCGCGAACTCACACGCTCCCTACTTTTCAGCGAGGGGTGCGGCGCCTCTTATTCCGGCAAAACGCACAGCAGCACGACGAGGAAGCTCTTCAGGAAATGCTCAGGGTGAAGGGCAATGCCTCAACCAACGCGGACTCGAAGTTCACGGGCGAGGTTTGCCTCCTGCAGGACAGCCCTTTCCGAATTATCAGGGTAAGTTGAAATTTCAAATATCAAAATATCACTTACTTTGCCCTAAAATAAATTTTAATTGATTTTCTTTAAATAGAAATACAAATTTTGTCAGCAAAAAACGAGCTGTCTGCATTTTTAGTGCTTCCGCAATAATAATGAAATTGATTAATTATCTGATTATTTCCTGTGTTGCAAAAAGACCAATTTATCAGTCACGTGTAAAATTAATTTTCTTTAATACGGTCCACGTGCCCTTGTTCATGAAAACAAAGCAACAACCACCGCAAAAAGCACGTCTCGATTGCAATTACATATTGCCGATCAGCCAACCCCTTTTCCCAAGGGGAAGCTAATCTCGCTTATTAAAGGCAACACAACATGCAATTGGAAGCAAATGCTTGCCAAGATTTTGCCCAGATCAGTCTGGTCTTGCTTGTAGTCAGTGCAGTATACCCTCCACCACAAGATAACACGCAATAATGAGTTACCGAAAATTTAGAGAAATCATGCTTTTGAAAAAGCTGCAGGGTATTTATAATTTCCGAATTGAGGAGTTTCTTGAAGTAAGTTTTTATATATTGCTCATTTTTTAGCACAGGTCAAGCTCCAGCGTATTGATTAAAAATTTGCACTAATTTCCAGGCGGCGGAAAGCGGGAATGTCGAAGAATTCTCTCGACTATTTTTCACCGACCCGAACCGCATCAACGTCCGCGACTCGAAAGGTCGCACGGCCATCCACCAGGCCGCGGCCCGAAATCAAGTCCCTATTTTGCAATTTATCCTGACGAACCACTCTGGTATAGACAAAATTTGGAATGAATTGATTGATCGTAATTTGATTGTGAAAAACTTCCTAGATCTCAATATGATAGACACTTCGGGAAACACGCCTTTGCATCTGGCGGTGGAAAACACGGCGCTCGAGGCCGTCGATTTTCTCCTCACAAAGTATTATTTGCAATTTGATTTTTGTTCATATTTTTTACAACGTCCGATAATGCCTAGTGGTGCGGACGCGTCCATCCTGAATTTGAAGAACCAGGCGCCGATTCATTTGGCCACGGTGCTAAATTTGGTCACCGTTTTGGAATCGATGTCGCGGCACCGCGACAAATTTGACGTCCAGCAAGGTGGCGAGCACGGACGCACTGCACTCCACATCGCAGCCATCCACGACTTTGACGAATGCGCCAGAATTTTGGTGAGTTTTTTTTAATTTAAGACATAATTGCTCAATTTTAGGAAATCAAAATTGATATGTTGACGTCCTGATAATATAAATTTGCATGATGCTTTAAACAAATTTTGATTAAAAGGGATGTGTTATCTTAAGTTAGGCTTTTAATAATTTTGCAATTATTTGATAAAATATTAATTTACAATGAAAAAAAAAACAAAAAACATTGAATCGTAATATTATAAATTGTGCAATTTTATATGATTTCATTTTTTTTTCTTTCTACAAATCAGTTTTAATAAACTAAATTATTTAAAAGATTACGCAGTTTGGCGCGGTGCCGCGCAAACCGTGCAACAATGGCTACTACCCTATTCATGAAGCAGCGAAAAACGCCTCGTCAAAAACCATGGAGGTTTTTCTGCAATGGGGCGAAGCTCGCGGTTGTTCTCGAGAGGAAATGATCTCTTTCTTTGATTCCGAGGGCAACGTGCCCCTCCACTCCGCAGTCCACGGAGGAGATATAAAGGTGCATTATATTAATTAAATTAAAATACGTTGAATATTTATGTGATGCAGGCGGTGGAGTTGTGTTTGCGATCAGGAGCAAAAATTTCTACACAGCAACACGATCTGAGCACCCCTGTGCACTTGGCGTGTGCCCAGGGAGCGACCGAAATCGTCCGACTAATGTTCAAAATGCAGCCTGGAGAGAAGGCGCAGTGCCTAAGTTCGTGCGACGTCCAAAAAATGACTCCGTTGCATTGCGCAGCCATGTTTGATCACCCAGAAATCGTCGAATTTTTAATTGAGGAGGCAAGAAAATATATTATTTTTAATGTTTTTAATCCTCATTCAAGGAATTATATAAAAATTTAATTTCACTAAATTAATTTTTTTATAGGTTAAAATATGAAAATGAATTTAAAATATTTTCCCTTTAATATTTAAATTGGTTAAAATTTAAAAGTAAAATAATGTTCAATTAGGGGGCTGATATGAATGTGGTGGACAAAGAGCGCCGATCTCCACTTTTATTAGCAGCTTCGAAGAGTGGTTGGCGCACAGTTAAAACTTTGACGCACTTTGGCGCCAACATTCACATTAAGGATTCCAGTCTGAGAAATGTTTTGCATCTGATTGTCATGAACGGAGGAAAACTGGAAGAATTTGCCTCCTTGGTGTGCAGGGTGATTAAATATTTTGAATTAAAATGTAACAAAAAAAAAATGAGAAAAATTTATTGTAACTTTAGACGCAGTCTCCGCAGCAGTTCGAGTTGCTGCTGAACGAGCGTGACATGTCAGGGTGTTCACCCCTGCACTACGCGAGCCGCGAAGGTCAAATTCGTTCGCTGCAGAATCTAATCACTCTCGGTGCTTGCGTCAGCGTTAAGAACAACAAGAACGAAAGCCCGCTTCATTTTGCGGCGCGCTACGGAAGGTACAACACAATAAAGGAGCTGCTCGACTCAGAGCGCAGCGCTTTTATCATTAACGAAAGCGACGGCGATGGATTAACACCTTTGCACATCGCCTCGCAGCAAGGTACATAATCATAAAATATTATCTTCTAGCAATTCAACTTACAAAAAAAGATTGAATAAAGGTTTCCACAAAGCCGTTTTTTTGTGGATTATTGTTTGCTCTCCATGCTTCGGCTGCGATCAATTCATAAGTTATGATTTATATGAGAAATTAGTTCACATTTATAATAAAATTAAGAGATTTAAAACAGCTAATTTATTTAAAAAATGGAAAATTAAATTTTATAATTTTTTCAACTTTAATTAAAATTATATTCAAATTGCAGGGCACACTCGTGTTGTGCAATTACTGTTGAGCAGAGGCGCACTTCTTCACAGGGACCACTTAGGTCGCACGCCACTTCACCTTGCAGCCTCGAACGGCTACACACAGACGATGGAACTTCTGCACTCGGTCCATTCGCATCTGCTTGACCAGGCCGACAAAGATGGGGTAGATCAATATCTTTTTTATTTAATCTTTATACTCTGTTTGGATAATAACAGAATACTGCTCTGCATTTGGCCACCATGGAAAATAGGCACAATGCCATTTCTTTATTGCTCTCCCTCGGCTGCAAACTGCTCTACAATAATTCTGATTTGAGCGCAATTGATTACGCTATTTACTTCAAATTTCCGGAGGCTGCTCTTGCAATGGTCACACATTCAGAAAGGTAAATTGTATTATTTAAATTATGGTTTCATATTTACTACAAATAATGAAATAATACATAATTTGTCAAAGTTATTTAATTTTTAAATTTTATTTTTTGATTTATCACTCTTAATTTTATCTCACAATCAAAGTATCTAAATAAATCAAATAGATAATATTTATTTTAAATAAAAATTAAAAAAAAAAAATAGTTTTCAGAAACTATTTTCTAATATATACTTACATATTATCATAAATTTTATTTTTAACTTAAAAAAATGTGTAGTCAAGTGGGTTAATTTATAATTTTAAAATTTAGATAGTATTTTATTATATATATTGATTTTGAATTTAAATTCTTACTCATGTAAACAATTAATGCAGAGCGGCTGAAGTCATGGCTCTGAAATCAGACAAGCACCCTTGCGTAACGCTCGCCCTGATCGCTTCGATGCCGAAAGTTTTTGAGGCCGTGCAGGATGGATGCATCACAAAAGCAAATTGCAAGAAAGACTCAAAATCATTCTACGTAAGTACAATGAAAGCACCACTTTATTTCCAATGAAACAAAAAAATATTGCGCTAATTATGAAAAATATGGGATAATTATTTGTTGGTTGGGGTAGATCCGCTACTGTTTCAGTTGTCTTCAATGTGCATACGTAAGTTCAAACTCGGATCAAAAATCAAGAGAAATGATGTCGGGGGCAAAGCCAAACCCGTTGCCCGCCCTCAACGTAAGTACGCTTGCGGAACAAGCGCGGTATTTTTTTTTGTGTATTTTGCTTCATTCACTCCCATCTGATTTTCAAAATTTCTTAAAGTTCAAACGAAAAAATTCAGATTGCATGGATGTTTGATGTTCACAGGTAAAATATTCGTTCAGACACTACCAATATTCACCAGAAAAGATAAAACGCATGCGAAATATAAATCCCGCATGGAATCCACCTCCTTTATGTGTGGCAAATGTGAGTTTTTTTTTTACTCAATAATCATCTCATCCTACATTTAAAACAAATTTATTTTGCCACTTTCCACCTTCTTCAAATTTAAATCGTTCGATATTCAAAATTAATAAATTCAAAAGGCCATGGTGACTCACGGTCGCGTGGAGCTGCTGGCACATCCTCTTAGCCAAAAGTACTTGCAAATGAAGTGGAACTCGTACGGCAAATACTTCCACCTAGCCAATTTGCTCCTCTACACAGTTTTTCTGACCTTCGTGACCAGCTTTGTAACAAAACTCATGTCACGGCCATTCGTGTTCGCGCCCAGCCAGAGCGCAGCCGATCTCAACTTTTCTCTACCGGCCGAACAGGTGCGTCTTTTAAACAGGGTATGCAACTCGCTCGACTTGTGCGTCGGGCTGGTTGCCTATTTCAGAAAATTTCCCTTGCTTGACTAATAAAATTGCAGAGTTTTGGAGAAGTGGAGGATAAAGATGCGACATTTGTTATTTGCGGCATTTGTATTCTCGTGTACATTGCCATCAACGGGATACGAGAAGGAATGCAAATGTACCAGCAGCGTTTGCACTACCTGCTCGACCCCTTCAACATTGTCTCCTGGATGCTCTATATTTCGGCCGTGGCCATGGTGCTGCCGATTTTCGACCCCAACCTTGAACCAATTCAGTACTCTTGTGCCTCAATAACGGCATTTCTCGCCTGGTTCAATCTCCTCCTCTACCTTCAAAGGTTGAATTGCTTTAAAAAATTTTGTATCATTATAATTTTGGTAAAAATTAATTTCAGATTTGACCAAGTTGGAATATACGTGGTAATGTTTTTGGAGATTTTGCAAACATTGATCAAAGTGCTGTTCGTGTTCTCGATCCTCATTATTGCTTTTGGGCTTTCCCTGTACATTCTGCTCTCACGAGTGAGTTCTAAATTATTTAAAGTATATAAAACTTTAAATGGAAATCTCCATTCAGGGAAATCATCAAGCTTTTGAGACCGTTCCAATGTCACTGATGCGCACTTTTGCTATGATGCTCGGCGAAATTGACTTCTTGAACACCTACGTGCACTCTTACAACCAAAAGGGCGACAGTGATCGCACCCTGCCATTCCCAGCGGTCACTTTCGTTATATTGGGCATATTCATGGTGTTCATGCCCATCCTGCTGATGAACCTTCTTATTGGTTTGGCTGTCGGAGATATCGAGTCGGTGCGCAGAAATGCCCAGCTTAAGCGTCTGGCTATGCAGGTTTGTTTATTGTAGTTAATTTTTTTTTGCCCATTATTCTGAAATTATTTTAGGTCATTTTGCATTCCGAGTTGGAACGAAAATTGCCACGGATGCTTTTGGAGCGAATTGATAAAATGGAAGTAATTGAATATCCAAATGACTCAAAATGCAAGGGGAACATAATTGATCGCATTTTCCGTCAGTGGTTTTTCAACCCTTTTACTGATGAATTGGCCGGTTTGTATAAATTTATTTAAAAATAGTTCATTTTAATTTAGTGTTATTTGGCTGAAACTTGACTCATGCTTGTAGTAAAATCAGACGGTCGAAATGATTATCGCTTAACTGGAGCGCAACCTGATCGCACGATGCAGCATTTTAAAAAGAGTACGTTTAATGTGCACACATGCTTTGCAATTAAAAAAATATTTAACTTTTTTAATTAACTTTCTATTTTCATATTTGTCAAGGTCTTCAGTCTGACACTCCCATTGATGATGATGTGTTGGAGGAATTAGACTCACAAAAGCGGTTGATGAAGGACGTGCTGGCCAAGTTAGATTCGCAGCAATATCTTCTACGTTTGGTCCTTCAAGTAAAATTTAAATTGTATTTTATTTCTTAATTTAATAACGATAATTTAAATAGAAAATGGAAATAAAAACGGAAGCTGACGATATTGACGAAGGAGTGTCGCCTCGAGTTTTTAAATCTGATGGGACTTTGGTGCGCTGGACGTCGCCTCGATTCAACAAAAAATATAGAATGTGTAGCATGAATAGATCTTATGAATAAGCTATCTGGTTTTTCTAATCTGTTCTTGTCTGCTTTAAAATTATTATATATTTAATCTCGTAAAATTCAAAAATTTAATTTTCACGCCAACATTGTTTTTAGTAAAACTTTACAATATTGTAACCTCAACAATTTCTAATCGCTTATTGCTTATTATACGTCATAATTGGCTGCAATAAATGTACTAACGTTAAAATCACAATTTGTTTTAATATTTTTTTTTTACATACAATTAAATGGCAATTTTTAATTCCTATTCAATCCCTTTTTATTTACAATGCATACAATATAATATACTCAGAAAACAATTCACAGTTCATACAAAATGATGGCTATATTTTGACCGAGCGAGTAAATGAACAACAAAATCTACAAAAAGACCATTATTGAGCCTCACTGTGGCATGTAGAAGTCCCAGTGGTGATGGTGAACCGCGCTGCTATCACCTCCCATGCTGGCAACCAAAATGATGCCAGCCACGAGCACAAGCACCACGCACAGGGCCATTTGCAGACCGCTCCTCTCGCGCGTTTCGTCTGCCAAACTGTTCGCCTGCAGCTCCGTGTACGTCACGACCCTGCGGAGCGCAGAGAGGGTGGCGCAACAGCACGCCCTCGCTAGCCGGTTGCCCAGTTCCACAATTCCGGGGTCCATGTCTTGCTGCCGGATAAGAGGGGCGCTGTAATCCGGGGTGAGAGTTCTGCGCGGAGGCAGGGGTGGAGGTATTGAACGATCACGCGAACGTTCACGAGACGCACTGCTGACGGCTGCTGCCTGAAGGGCGAGGACTTGTTCCGTAGTAAAAACAGGCAGGGATGAAGAACTAGTGGATGGTGCAGAATGTTGGACTTCAGAACTTGAAATTCGTTCTTGTGTTGATTCAGAATCGACGAATTCCGACGCCTCAATTGCAACTGGCTCAACAGCTCTTGTAATTAATTGGCTTTCCTGAGGGGGTGGCGTTGACATTGGCGTTTGAGTCTGACACTGCATGTCTGAGTGCGGGGGTGGAGGGTTGGGAACGTGTATGATCTGAGGAACAGGCGGCGGTGGCATTATTCTTTGGGCAGCGGTCATCAGCGCCTCAGCCAGTGCCTCCATCGGCGCTTGAACGGAACTCAGCACCAGCGCGCCACCCTTGCTTTGGAGGTCAGCGACGTTCAGGGCCATCCCCTCGATGTCTGACACCAACATTCTTCCAGCCTGGAGCTCGCTTACGCTTAATCTGCCTACGTCAAGGAAATCTAGCCTCAGCTGTCCGGAGCGCAAGGCTTCTAGTAAAGCTGCAGCGGCGGGCGAAATCTCTTGCGAGGAAGAAGGCACCGGGGCTACAACAGGTACTTCTACCTTTTCAACAGGAATCTGCGGCTGCAAATCTAATGTTCCTGTGCCTACGTCTTCAGTTTCAACAGGAACAATATCACCAATAAGTTCATCTTCAGGAAGAGGGTCGGTTTGTGTTGAAACCGTTACTTCCTCAACAACAGGTGCCTCTTCAAACTGCTTTGGCAGCTCCTGAGCACTTTCTTGAATTGTTTCCACCACCGGAACGCGTTCCTCCAAAATTATTTGTTGCATCTGTGCTTCGGGAGCAGCTTCGACTTTTTCAATTAATATTCTTTCTATTGCTTTTTCTTCCTGAATCACTTGAGAATCAATTTTCTGAGGGGTAAGAACCTCAGGAGCTTGCTCAGGTGCTGCTGGCGCGACTTCTTCAGCCACAAGCTGCTCTTTAATTGGCTCGGCAACAACTTCTGGTGTGGGCTCAGGAATAATTTCTACTTCCATTGGGGCTTCTGATTGACTTTGAACTTCTCTCTCATCAGAAATAGTTTTGATGGTTTCCACTTCTTCTACTTTGGGCTCCTGTTCTTCTGAAGCGGGAACAATTTTTGATGACAATTCTTCCTGAGGAGGTGACTTTTCATTTTGAATATCGTCAGCAAGTGCAGGGAGGTCAGGGGTTTTGCAGGTGATTTCCTCCCTGGTTACAACAATTTCTGAATCAGCGACGATCATGTGGGCTGTTAGTACGTGCTCCTCACTTTGCGTTGGGCTTGCGTCTTTTTTCTTTTCAGGTTCAGCGCTTCTGACAATATCCATGTCTTCGGATGGAGCGATAGGAGCGTTTTCAGAGAGGGCGGCAAATTCCGCCTCCATAGTTTCCATGTCTCCTTCAGAACCCCTATCTTTCCTCGGGGGACGTGGAGGCGGCGGCAGCGGCCTCTCCTTCATTTTCTGAATCACAGCTCCTGACTGCAAACTTTCACTGCGCACGTCTTCGAGGGACGCCCTGCGTTGCTTTCGAGGTGGACGTGCTGGACCAAGAGTGGCGTAGTTACGAGCTGGTCGCACTGGCAAATTCTTGCGGTGCGGCATAGTAAAAAAGTGACTGGTGCCACTTCCACTCACAGGACGAGTTTTCCTCCTTCTGGTTGCGGTCGGGTATTGACCCTTTGCCCTTCTTGGCGGTGGCGTCGCCTGGGTTTGCTCATAAGAAATTACACCGGGCTTAACAACGTAAGCATAGCCAGGCTCCTCAATCTCGGACGCCCGTGACGTATAAGAAACGTAAGAACGGCTGTCATCTTCTCGTTGCTTATTGGAGAACCTCCTTCCTCTCTTAGGGGCCGAAGGAGTACCAACGTCAGGAATAATGTAATCTGGCTCTGAAGATTGGTTTGCCACCTGAAACGTAGAATAAAATAAAATTTTTAAAAATTCTATATTATATTTTTAAACTCTTTTTAATTACTTAGAAGATATCTGCTCAAATATTATTATTTCTATTTTATCACTGCTCGAGCGCAATTTTCCCATTATTTACATTTTTGTCATCGTTGCAAATTTCCCATTTGTCAATTTTCCCAATTGACAAATAGTCCAAAAACTGACGAAAAGTGAAATCCTTGTATAAATGGATAAGGAGGCAATAATATACAATGTGCGGAAAAGATGGGCCACTTGCATAACTTGACACTCTGATTATAATTTGAATCGCAACGTAGAATGCGGGTTGCCTACGAGAGCTAGAAGCTCAAGCCAGCGCCGGCAAGTGAGAGACGGCAGGGATAGTTTTTCCATGTGTGTAAAAACTGATAGTTAATAATTTTAATGTTCACCAAAGGTAGAAAATCAAATCAACTAATATTTCATCTCCATGTTTTGCATACATTTTTACGCGGAGCGGAGATATAAAGCAATTTGTTATATATATTAAATATTAAAAAAAAAACTTTGATGGAAAAATGTAGCAAGTGAAGTTGTCACTTTTTATGTTTCACAAATTTAATGGTGTGAATTATATTTTTTTTATTTTCCCACGGGAGCTCCAAATCAAAAATATTATTTTTCTCACAGAAAAAAATATTTTGAAATGTTTCAAGATAGCCAATTGATTAGAAATTTAATTTTGACCCTGAATCTCAAATTTTATCAAAATATGTTCAGCCGTTCCAAAATTACAATATTTAGCGGCACCTTGAACTGCCAACAAGTGGTACTTTTTAGAAAACAAGTTGTAACTTGCAACGGCTGAACGTATTTTAATAAGATGTTGGTTTCAGGGTCCAAATTAAATTTCTAATTGATAGGATATCTAAAAATTAAAAAGATTTTGAAAACTTTTCCACCTGAAAAGTGCATTTCCAGCGCATCTAACAGCAAATTGAGCGACTGCATTGCTGGCATAAAATTATATTACACAACTTAAATTAAAAGCTTTTTAATTTACTTTCAATAAAATGTTTTTAAATAAAAAACAATTTCAAAGTTTATCTTATTTCATGTCACCTTTTAAGAAGTAATTAAGCTTTTTCTTTCTGTAAAATCCAGTTATATGCAGTTAGGAAATTTTTAAATGACGAAAATGCAAATGGGAAATTTGGCAGCTTTATATTGATTATTTTACCTCTTTTGGTTCGATGTGCGATTCAATATCCCTGAGCCATTCCTGATCCGGTGCCACGCTCCATTCACTATTTTGGCCGATAGCAAATTCAGATCTTGTCTTAGTTTTGCGCTGAGGGGCTTTGGGCACAGTTTTACGGCCCATAGTGTTCGCCTTTTGTCTCTCTTGGCGCAGCTGACGTCTTCTGCTTCTCGTTGGCTTATTTGGAGGAAAAGTATTGAAGTACCAGGTTGTGTCCTCCTTTTCGACTTTCTGCACTTCGGTGGCGACTTCTGTTACAGATGTCGGTGGTGTACTCAAATTTGAAGAGGTCTTGATGGACCTTGTTTTTCTCGGTGGTCTCGCCTTGTGGCTCGGACTGACCCTCTCAGGAGTTCCACGATAGCTCCTGGCAAGATCAGCCTCGTTGGCAGCATTTTCCAATTGCAATACGTCGCTGTCAATCGTGGGACGGAAGGTTTCTTTGATTTCCCTCGACAAATATCTTTCAACGTCCACGTCTTCCTGACTGACACCTTTCTCACGCAGGAAAAATTCATCCGAACTGATCTCTTCCAGGACTCCTTGTCTCCTCCTGTCTGAACTGCTTCCTGAAGAGTGAGCCGCGCCGTGTTCAGATCCTGGCAGGCTGATTTCTTCCTCGTCATCCACAGGTGGTGCCACCGCCCTCTGGAGGGTTTGATTATTCCGTGGTGGCAGCGGCCTCATGGGACTAAGAGAAATGGCGTAACCAAAATCCTTGTCCCTAAAGCCGGACAAAGACTCCGAGAATTCTTGGTCGGACTCGTTTGAGTGCTGTTTGCGGAGCTCCTTTTGCAACTGGCGAATTTCTTCGTCCTCCTCCTCGTCATCAAACGGAAGGGCCGTCCCATTTTTCCTAAAATCCTTATAGTTTTCCTCGTCCATGTAGTCGAGTTCACTCAACTTAGAAACCCAGCGATTCCTATTGCTGTCCTGCGACCCTTTGCGGCGCGGTGGCAGATCAGGTTTGATTGGGTCAATTTCCTCCTCGTCGTCATCATACTGATAAACTTCCTTTGGAAGCTGCGGAATCCGCACTTGGACAGGGGCACTTATATTAAGCTCGCGTCGCTTGTTTTTCCGGTCGAACAGCCGAGGATAGGTTTTGAAGTCAAAGTAGCTGCGTTTGCTGGGCGTATCGACCATCGGTGTGTCGGTATGAACGGTTTCCTGTTCACCGTTTTTCTCCCTGAGAACTCGTCTCGGACGGGGCAGGCTAATGCTCGGAAAATTGAAATTGGGCCTCTCTGGCATTTTGAACTTTGGCCTTTCAGGAAAATTAAATTTAGGCCTATCCGGGAAATTGAATTTTGGGCGTTCAGGCATGTTGAATTTCGGTCGTTCGGGAAGTTTGAATTTCGGCCTCTCTGGCAGGTTGAACTTCGGACGCTCTGGCATGTGAAACTTGGGCCTCTCCGGCAGGTTGAATTTGGGACGGTCGGGAAGGTTGATTTTGGGGCGCTTCATCGCCTTCATTTTTGCCCTCAGCCGGCCTGCCTGATTGCGAATACTTTGGAGGCTCCGAGCGGCGGCACCTGGACCTTGGTCCTCAGCCTCTTTATCAAGTTTGTTTTTCCTGCGCGCCTCTCTAGAGAGTGGTAGATCTTCCAGGGCCGAGGAATCAACCTGATAAAAAATTGAAAATAAATTTGTTGTAAATAAATTTGTTGCTCAAAAGAAGAGATGGCTGAATTGCTTTATTGATAAAAAGAAACCAATTTTATAAAAGATACAAAAATAAATCTTCATTGCTCAGAATAAATATAATCAATTAATATTTAATTTTATTTTATTTAATTAAGTGATTCATATTTCTACCTGACTAGTGTTGAGGTCCATGTCAGTTCTCGAGCTGGTTGTTCCAGCAGGTGAAGGTGCAGCGCCATCGCGGTCATAACCAGGGTAATGTTCGTCAATTTTCATGGCATGATCCTCTTCGCTGTTCTGCTGATTTAATGGGGCTCGGCGGATATAGGTCATTTCGTCATCGAGGGAATCGTGGTGCAAGAATTTGCGCTCCTGAAACTATCACAAAAATTTTCACTTTTCAAGGAAATTGTCCATTGTTAAAATACATTGATTGTTTCTACATGCAATTGTTGAAAACAAAAATTTATTTAAAAAAGGAATTGTTAAACAAAACGGCATTTAATCATAAATTTTATTTGAGAGAAAATACAAATAGTCTGATAAAAAATTATTTAAATTTATATAGAAATTTCTTAAATATCATTAAATATAAAATTTGTGCTACATTTCATTAGCGTATAATTAATTATTACAAATACCTTGATGTATTTTTTTTTTAATTAGCATTTATTGAAATGATTTATCATATTTTTTCTTATTAAATTGAAGAAATGAATTTTTTTAAATAAATCAGAATCAAAAATAATAAAAATGACGTAATGAAAACAATTTATAGAAATAGTTCAAAAAATTATGTTGTTTAAATAAAATCACAATAGTTACTTTTTTTATTCTCTCTCGGGTACTGTCTGTGGAGCCCTCGCGGGCAGGCGCCATGCCTAATTCAGGTTCGTATCGGTCGTAAGGTCCTGAGACCAGAACCTGCGGTGGTCTGCGAGGAGACACGGGTTCATATTCGTGGTCCCTAAAACAAATTTTATATAATGAATAAATTTTATTATAAAAATTCAAAAAATTAAAATTAATTTTAAACGTAACAAAATAACAGCAGCTAATTATTTGAAGTTTTTTATTTAGAGTGGAAAAATCCCAAAATTATTCACACTGTAATGCGACAATTATTTTAAGTGAAAATTCTAGGTATTTGCACTCATGTAACTAGAAAACGGAAGATTCATTAGCGAGCAGAAAAGAGCAGAGGTCACGTGACGTTTTGGCAAATTGCCCTGGCCGTCTTTCTTTTCTCGTCTGTGAGAGAATCTGCACCGTGCAAAAATAAATCCCGTCTCTCGTTTTGAACAATTACGAGTGCGGTGGCTTTTCTTGTTTGCACTCTGGCACAAGAAAGTACGATAAAAAGCAAATAATTCCCGAGATAAATAAAAAAAGAGGTAATCACAGTGACTAATCCTTTCTGGCGAAAATAAAATTCGCGAGAACGAGCCATTTCGCGTGTGTCGGCGTCGCACGCCAAGCAAAACGAGATCTCTCGAGAGAAGAGCAAAAGGCCAAAACCTACCCCATGTCGGCGGCAGGTCGAATTATGAGCAGACACGCGCGAATTTCGGCATGAGAAAAACAGCGGACCGCACACCTGCGGCTTGAAAACTGCCGAGATGGAGAGAGAGACAGACTCACAGCTCGGCTAAAGATAGTCGCGACAATTTGGCATCGGACGGAGCGGGCGCCTTCGGCTTGGACCGAAATACGCGCAGCACAGGAGATGAAGAAGAAGAAGTGGTGGCGGCACTGAAAGCGCTTACCCGGCCTCGGAGGCGCACGTCCTGCTGGCCGAGGTGATGACGGCCTCGCGGCGCAGGACTCCAGGCCGGTTGGGCACCGGCGAGCGGAAGCTGCCGCTCGGCGAACTCGCGGTCGAGGTGGGCGCGGCGCGGCCCAGCGGCCGGCCCGCCAGCATCAGGGCCCGGCGCTCGGGCAACAGCGAGTCGGTGCCGAAAAACTGGCAGCCGCAGCGCACGTCGCAGCCGACGCTGGACGAGCGCAGGGTGGGTCGCGCCGGCTTGACGTTGTTGAAGGGCAGGATGTCCTGCGGCCGCGGCGCCCGGTCGGCGCTCACGCTGCGCTTCATCGTCGCACTCTTTCTGTCCACGGTGCGAACCCGCCGCCGCCGGTTAAAGCACGGCCCCTGCCGTATTTTTAGCGACGGCTTTTCCGTGCGCGCGCGAGGGAGGCAACCCGCCTCGCCCGATTGTCAATGAGCGTTGTTGTCTTTCGGAAGACGACGGCCTTTGTCGCTTTCGCCAAAACACAAGAAGTCTCACGTTTGCGCGCCGGAATTGGTTATTTTATGCTTAGATTAAATATTTTAGCAAATATTTCAGTTTTTAACACCTGAATTATTACTTTGAATATTAAACGCCAATTTTATTCTAGTGAAATAAATTTATCTACGATAATTAAAAAATATTTTTCATTTGTGTTGCATTTTTTTTTTTAAAACTATTAACTACTTATTTTTGTGTTTATAAATTTGTAATTGAAAAAATGCTTCTTATTTCAGTTTTGATTTTTTTCTACATAAGTATTAAGTTAGGAACTACTAATTTTAGTATAATTATGCATAGTAAATAAATAGTTTTATCCAATCAAGGCAATAAAAATCACAAGGAAAAACGAAAAATATAAACAAATTATGAAGAAACGGCAGCTTTGTTGGCAATTTAACTTCAAAACCACGGTGGCCTCAAGAGTGGTTGTCGCCTAGATATATAATTTTTTTTAAATTTAATTTCCACTAGAATTAAATTTGTATTTAACGTATTTAATAAAATGTAGTAATCACCCCTTAATTTAATTCACATTGGCCCAGCATTGGCCCATTGACAAAATATAATTATATAATTTATTTAACAAAATTACTCTTTATAGCTAAAAAATTTATACCAGTTTTACTATTTTTTTATTACAAATAACCAAGTTTCCAGCTTTTTTTTAATTTTTATGTTTGATTGTTTATTAATACATGTTAAATCATATCATTAAATTTTTTCTAAATTTTTTAATTTGTAAGCTTTTATTTGTATATTTTATTGTATATTTTTATATATAAAATACTAAAAACAGACAAATCAACAATTCTTTCCTGTGCACGACTTACTAATAATATAATGTCTGCATGTCTACATTGAAAAAGATTGAATATGATGCTCAGCGAATTAACGGTAGGCAATCTTCTATTAAGCAATAAATTACACTCAATTCATATCTTCTGTCATTCATGCATCTGGATGGATGAGATCCAAATAAAAATAAAAAATGGTCCACTCGCTCTCAATTTTGTATTTGTTGTTTTTTCAGCTGCCAGGAATAAAAATGTCGAAATCTTATCCCAACAAAAATGTGTGTCATTTCAACGCAGCCAAGAATTAACACTTATTCAGCGCTCGTGAACTCAGCCTCGGCGTTGGTTTTAAGCAGAAAGCAAGAGATAAATTTAAAGCGGTGCGCGTTATTCACGCCTCGCTTTACCCTTTCCTCTTTACTGCTCGCTAATTTAGGCGCAATGAAAAATGAAGTAGTCTTTGCGTTCGTTATCGCCTCAGATGGAATTAATTTTTATGATTTTCTATTGTGGTTTTACTTTCGTCGAGAGCGCATTCGAGGCTCATATTTGCCTTGTGAAGACGTGACAATGCGAGAGAGTGTGCGTAGTGACGCAATCTGCTGTTTGGGCTGACGTAAAAAAGTCAAGAGCATAATATATACGCCTGCATCTTATTTTAGAGACGGCTCTTTAACGAACCGGAAAAATTTATTAAAATATAATTAATTTTTCATGAATAATAATATTAAAAAAAATTGCAGAGTAACAAAAATGGAGCTGATTATGAAAATATTTTTTTTATCACACCTAACCTCGGATGTGACCTTTTGGCAAGGACAAGCTTCAGAGATTCATCGCATGATATAAAAATCATCTGATTTTAATAAATAAATTAGAAGCTAAAACCTCAACGTGCCTCATAATTTTCTATATTATATAAAAGTATTAATTTGAAAACTTGAAAAGTATGAATAACTCACATTCTGTCTTTCCACTTGGCGAGGTAGGTCCAGGGGTATCCTCCTCTGGCCCTAGCCCTCCTGACGTCTTCCCAGCGGTACGTGGACAGCGGCCGCTGTGGAGAAACCGCCCCCGCCGCCCTCTTGCGCAAAGTGGGGGCGTCGACGTCCGGAGGGGCGACCGGTGGCCCCGACGAAGGGTCACCGCCTTGCAGCCCCATGACTCTACTTCGAACTCGTCGCCGAAGCGCGAAAAGTAGAAATGGAGAAGAATCGACTGCTCGATGAGAGTTCGAGTACCAACTCTTGCGCTAAATTGGGCGCGCCAAGCAGTGGAGAGGGGCCCTAAGCTCTACAGTCACTCTCTCGTGGCCTATCTGCGCCCACTAATTAACCGCGCACGCGAGTATAAATAAACCCACCTTTTATCACACTCAGGTGTCATAATTATACACCCGCACACGAAAAGTAGCACCATTCATTTTTTACACTCAAAATTTGACTTGAAGGAGGAATCTCTACTGTATCAGACTTTTCACGATTCAGCATTCAAATTTTTCGGGGTGTAGAACACATTATTATTGAACCATAGCTCCAACCACAATGCTATGGAGTTAATTACCAATTTTTTCTGTGTAAAAACATGCTGATGTCGCCCAATAAGAATCGAGTAAAAAAATTATAAGTACTGCTATGGAAAATAAACAATTTTTTTTTAAACACACATTATTATTGAACCATAGCTGCAATTAATTTGCTAATATGCTATGCAGTTAATTCTATTCTCCAAATGCATATTTATTTATCTAGTTGGTCATTCAGTGAGCTAAAAATTTCGGCAATCATCCTAAGTATGATCATATTTGAGGCTATGGTAGAAAAAAATTATTGTTTTCAAACACACATTATTTTAGAACCATATATTATTATCAAATAATATGTTATGCAGTTAATTCTCTTCTCAAAAAGCAAATCTAGTTGGTCATTTTGTCGATATCTATGTTTTTAAACTTGCGACAATCATCCTAAGAATGATCTTATTTGAGGCTATGGTAGAAAAAAAATTATTGTTTTTAAACACACATTATTATTGAACCATAGCTGCAACTAATTTGCTATGCAGTTAATTCTCTTCTTGAAACGAAATGCATAATTTATTTATCTAGTTGGTCATTCAGTCGATATCTATGAGCTAAAAATTTCGGCAATCATCCTAAGTAAGTATGATCTTATTTGCGGCTATGGTAAAATAAAAACCGAAATAGTTTCAAACACACACATTTTTTGGTGTGCATATTGTCTCCTTTCAAGAATAATAAATTCTTTAAGGTATTTCAAAAGTTTAATTCAATGCAATTTTCAATTATTTTATCGAAAACTGTCGGACTGTAATTCTCAATTTTTTTTTATGAGCAGAATCTTTGTAAATTGGGCGGATTACGGGATAAATGCAGTTTTAAGGCATCTGTTGCATTTGGCTAATATTGACTCAATGATCACAGAGCATAATAATATTGCACTAACGAGATCCAAGAGCTTTGAACGACGCGCTCATCTATCTTTTAAAATTGAACAAATATAAGAATTGAGCAATTATTCGTTTTTGTTTGCATCCCGTGATATTCCTACATGAAAAGAGGCGATTGAGTCGCTTTAGAACAATCAAACTCACGAAAAACGATTCAAATATCAATAAAAGTCCTAATCCTACCTTAAGAAATAATTTTAGCCCTCGTCAACCAGCCCTAAAAGGCCGAAAACGCGACGGGAATCACTGAAATCGGCTCACGCGCGTCGCCGAAACAAAATAAACATTGACACGTGATGATTTCCAACACATACTGGCTGGCCAGCGTAGGGAACGCGATAGCTCCTGAAAGTAGGCAAATTTGCGTTTAAACTTGCTTTCTTTTGACCAAGTTTACCACCACACACGGTAGAGGCGCAGGCGGCGCGCATTTGTTTTCGCGCTGCAAGCGATAGCAAAAATCATAAAGCAACGCATTTTTTTTTTTTTTTTTTAAGAGAAACTAATTATATTTTTTTTTCAGTGTGACACTTCTTTCTTTTTATTATTACAATAATTATTACGTCTCATGTATATATTTACATACAAAAGTCTCTTGACTTGCGACACATTTTTCACTCACGCATTCTTTATTATTATTTTAAACAACGTTTATACAGTTAATCTCTTAAAATAAGTCAAGCACGATCGCATTTACTATATATTCAACAAACATCTGTTTATTTGTAAGTTGTCATTTCTTGGTACAGTCACATTCGACTTGTCCTCAATATCTGCCGAAACTTTCGATTTGACTCAATATTTATTTAGATTTATAAGTAAATCAATTCAATTAGAAGCAAAATATTGTACAATTGTAATTAATCTTAAAAGATAATATTTATTCAGAAGTTTTTCCCCCATATTAACTGGACCAAACCCAGTTTAATTTTAATTTAACAAATTAATATAAAATTTGATAAAGCAGCTATTTAGAGACACTATGCTGATATTTATTTTTCTTCCACTTTTTACAGTTTTGGCATTGAATTAGAGATATGCAACATTGAATTATTCCATCAGCTCAATTTTTTTTGCTAGCTAATTAAATTTTGGTAGCTCTTTAATCTGAATAGTATTCTTTTTAATATCTCACGTCATATTTCTCAGCTATTTGTTTTATTCATGTTTTTCTGCAATATATTTATAAACTCTTAATGCTCATTATTATTATTCTTTCATAGTGTTGGCGATCAACACAAGGCAAATTTGAAAAAATATTCTGTCATCTCCGCAATGAAAAATGATAATCATTTATCATTCCTATTATATCCACTTCCTGCAAGGGGTACAAGTTTTAATTAAATAACAAACACACAGCAGAAATTTATACACTTTCCTAGCAAGAAATCTGGACATTTGTAGTGGTCTTTGGAAATCAAACTTCTTCAAGAACTTAAGGCATTGATGGCTGATCAGGAGGTTCATAATTGATATGGTCTCAATTGCACATATGGGAATGAAAATTACACACCAAAACTGAATGGCTAAAAATTGACCAGCCACCAAAAATTTCAAGATTTTCAACGATCTCATTCTTTCTATTGAGACTTAAAAACTCATTTTCAAAAAGAAACTCTCGCAAAAAGCACTCAGCAGTCATTTCCTTATCTGTGAATGGGTTATTTGGACTCGAGTTCGATTTGTGGGCACTGCACTGAGAGAGAGCGTCCTTTGCCTGGCGATTCCCTTTACTGCAGTTGCATGGTGACCCAGACGACGGAGCGAGGGTGCACCAGACCGCCAATTTCGCAGTTGACAGTCCTTGTCTCTCCGTTGACCACAAACAGCGCCTCATTAGCAGGACTCACCATGAAGTGGCCGAACACTCCTGACGAAACTATTGGACGGTTCGTGTTGCCCCACTGGGCCAAGGACGCCACCATTGCGTGACCCACTCCAGTAATCATCTCCACTTTTCCTGAAAGAAATCAATTTTTATTTTTTAATTAAATTTACTAACTAAAAAACCAGTGTGCATTGATATTTTGAAAGAAAATTTAGTTCAATATGGTTTATAACAATTTTTCAAACCGGTTTTATTTAATTTAAAATCTAATAAATTTCTAAATAAGAAAAATCAAGTTCAATTTTAATATTATATTTTATAATTCCATTTCAGTAATTAAAAAAGATTAGTAAATGTACTTAAAAATATCGTTTAATGCAAATGTATTTTCTTAATGAATTGGATTGTAACAAAAATTTACCAGTGACAAGGTTGAGGAATAGGAGGTCCTCTTTGTCTGTTGCACTGGCGTACAGGTCATAGCCGTGCGTCGTTCTCGAAGGGTAAAATGCGATATCACTGATGTTCAGAGTCGTCTTCACATCAAACAGGAACTGAAGACCAGTCTCTGGAAAATTCATTTAATTGTTGGATTTGAGTTAAAATGACTTCTGAATTAATGGTACCAGTGATCTCTTGGACGACCAATGTGACGCCTTCGGGCGCCCTGTCGAGGGTGACCACCACTCGGCTGTCGGGAGACACCTTCGGCTGCCCTGGCAACTCACTCTTGAAACTGATAACCGAGTCTGTAAGGTAGTCCACCAGCATTTGGCCGTTTGGTCTGTCCGTCATTGGCTCTTTGCAGGACACAATCACAAGGCCATCTGCAAGAAGTGTTAAATGAATAATGCTTTAATTTCCAATTTAAAACTTAGGTACCAATTTGGACAAATATGGAACAATAATAATTTATTAGTCCGAATTGTTTCATCACATTGTTTTCATTCGATTGTTGAAAACAATTTATTTGAAAAATAAAAAAATTTTGGGACAAAATTTCAAATTAATGATAAATAAAAATAAAATTTATTAGATTCTTCATCACGTCCACAAGAAAATTCAAACTTCAATAAGCGGATTAAAAATTTAGACAACGTATTTAAGAGACCAACCAAAATTATTAAAGTTTAAATCTATTTTCCCATTCGATGATTCACAATTTCTTATTATGAATTAAGAGAATTACAATAAATATCATGTTACCACAATGGTTAAAATTTAATTAAATAATATAATTATTCATTAGTTCTAAAGTAAATAATTTAACATCAAATTATGGTTAAATATATGTATAACTTTTCTATTTAAATTTCAATTTTGAAATAATTTGTTTAAACAAAGCAACTGGAAGTTTTCTATGAAGGTAAATAATTGTTGAATGAAGAAAAAAATGGAATTTAATGGTCATACGATTAAATACTATGTGTTGCAATATAAATTCAAGTTGATCAATCAGATCTCAAATAAGTCTAGTAAAAAATATTGCGTTGAGCTGATTTTCTTTATTAAATTTATTAATATATAAATAAATATGATAATGATTTCAAAATCTGAACATAAATAGAATTTAAATAGTTCTAAAAATTATATTTTCCGGCTACATATTTTTTGCATATGAAATTACTTACAAAGTGCGGAGAATGCAACGTGAGACGGGACGCAGTTGTAAGCGTTGAAGTCGAGGGACCTGGTGTACCTCATGTTGGCCAGGTCGAGCTTGTACATGCCCCTCTGGTCGGTGTGCGTGACATAGCCGTACTTGAAGTTGTGCCGAATATCCTGCAACATCAAAGGCGGCAGAAGCCTCTGGTTAGGGTTATTTGCCACTTTGCTCCTTTCCCTGTCCTCGGGCAGGAAAAGACAAATTTCACTGCATGGGAGGAGGCGCACAAAACACCCAACAACAGAAGAGGAGCTCCGAGGAGCGCGTGCGGACCCTCATCAAGAAAAGGGAAACAAAACACAACGGCCGCGTTTCTCTCTCTCCATGCGTGGGAAGGCAATTTTCTTGAAATGCAAAAAAGAAGATGCGACGCTTGCTCGAGGGTGACACGGGCAATTTATCACATTTTTTTTTCTTTCCTAAGAAACCGAGACTAAATTTCTTGCTTGAAAATCACAAATTATAACAGTTAATGGGGTTTAATTAAATTTCGACACAGAATTTGCAAATTTATTGTTATTCAAATAATGCAAGAATTAGAAATCCATTTTTGTTTATTCCACTGTCCCTGTAATCATTCGAGGATTTGAAAGACATTTCAAATAAAATGTATTACAAAGTTTTAGGATTAAATTGCAAGAGCTGATCTTTTTTGTAGCCCGTGATAAGGATCAAGATTTGATCTGAGAAGGGAATTATTTAGCATGTGATACCAATTATTATGGTATAAATAATATTATTCATTTTTTGTGCAATCCAAATCTTTGCGATTGAGAAACAAATCTTAATTTAGTTTAATATAATTTCAAAAAATTTCAATTTTGAATAAATTTAAATTTATATCAACCAATTTTTAGTGAAATTTTCAATCCAATTTGAATTACAAGTTGCAAAACATCACTGACGGTTCTAAAATTTTTTTTATTTCTTTGCTCACCTGAACCGGCGGAATGAAGAGGCCCTTGACTAAATCAAACTGGCCATCGATCGGCTCGGGGTGAACCGTGTGGTGCTTTTTCTTCTGCGAGGCGTCTCGGATGACTTGGATGGTGCGCACCCCTTCGCTGGGATTGAGCGAGCGCCAGTTGAGCACCCAAACTTGATCCAGATGCGGAACATAATACAGCTCGACGGGGTATTTGTCTGTCACGACCACCTAAGTTCAAGAAGAGGGAAGCAATAATCAATTCACATGCCAATTTAAATCCAAGAAAAAATTATTGTCGATGAAAAATGAAAAAGTCCTGATTAAAAAAAATTCTATAAAATTGCAAGTTATATTAGAAGCATAATAATTTGTTGTAGATTAAATTTTTAAGTGATGAATTCTTTAAAAAAAAAAAAAGTTAATATACAAGGTAAAATAAAATCAAGCAATGAAATCTTCACGCTCGGAGAAAATTGGCGATGGTTTTTTTCAAATTAATTTTTAAATTAAGTAATATTAATTATTAATTAAAAATAAAATGCATGTTGATTGATGTAAAATATTTAATAATAAACTCGTCACTTTGGTTTCTGACACTTTTGACGAAAAAAAAAACGCAATACTCACATCGACCACGACCATTTGAATCTTGCTTATGACAAGCACTCTGTCTCTCAAGGGCTGTGTGACAAACACATAGCGGTTGTCCACGTTTATCGCGTGACCCCAGCTGCAGTTGACTCCCTTGTCGCCGCACACGTACTCCTGCAAAAAGCGACGACCACACGTTGCGTTACTCCCATGCAATAATAATAATACAGCTCGACAGACACCAAAAGCAACACGGAAAATGAATTCCACCCTGCTTCGGTGTGACCATTCCCAGTATTCTCGGTATGAAGGACAGCCCGAGCACCGAGCATTGCGGTTGCGGACCGCAAAGATTTTCCCAACGCCTCAACTCAAACGAGAGCGATTCGATCACACATCACAATTTTTGGGCAGTATTTCATGGAATGAAAGGCAAGAGCCGCAGCTTCGATTGCGGATGGAAACTCGATCGGCAAAAAATAAAATAAATAATATGTGAAAAATTCGCCTGAGAGAACAACGTGGAGTTTTTCTCCACCATGAATCAACCTTCGATTGTGAAATTCTACCACAAAACGTGGAGTTCATCTTTTTTTATAAAAGGGGTAATGAAAAATCAGAAAAGAAGACGCATTATTTGTACAGAATAAATTTCATTGATCATTGAAATAATGATCATCACGGAAAAATTGGTTTAATTTCTTAATCAAAACTTAGACTGTCGTCAAAACTGGTTGGGCCGATTTTATTTTACATAAACATAGACTTTTTTCGTGTGAATTGCTAAAATTTTAGAAGATATAGAATGACGTGTTTGGAAGAGATACTCGTTATGGCTTAGATTTAATTTTTCCGTGAATTTATCAAACACAGATTAAGAAACAGGTTTAGGCATAATTTATAAATTTAAGCAAGTGCTTAAATTGCCAAGCACTCTCTGTCCAAATATGTCTACTTTGCTTAAATTAAATAATTATTAAACTTTTTAAATTCAACCAAGACTAAAAAAAAATCAATATCAAAAATAAATTATAATTATATTTTTACTATAATATTTTATTTAAAATTTTTACAGTTTTAGAAACGACATGAGTTAAAGTTTTATTTACTTATTATTGAAATTATTAATATTGAAATAAATAAAACCACATGAGCTATTTTATTTAATATCTTTAAACTATTTTGTTATTTTCTTTGCAAACAAAATAGACGAAGCTATGCAATGTTGTACTACATCTTGTGGTCATTATTAACGAGCTGCAGTGGGAATCCAGTGCAAATATCCGATCTGCTTGCTTGCCTTGCTCCTGCGGTAAACGCTGCAATAATACACACACCGCCGCCCTCCACTGATTACACGGAAGAGGAATGTTTCTCTCTCGCGAGGGCAAAACAAGAGAGATGGAGAGGGTGCTAGATAGGACACCCCTCGACACGAACACAGATACAATACACATTATTACGTTGCAGGCAGCGAAACTTGCTCTCTCGTTTCAGCCTAGGTAACCCAACACAATGGAGAGCGGCTGCTCATTAAACTGCTGCTGACAAGATTTATTCTCGGCGCCATACAAATGAGAGGAGAGACTCGAGCGCGCTCTCTCAAAACTTGCAATTTATTCCACTAATTCCCCTGCCGCGAAATATAATTTGAATTTACCGAATTTACTCTTCTGCCGAAATAATTCATCAATTCAAAATTTAATCTCTGTTCTTCTGGTTGAATAAATTATGTAGGATTTAAATTTGGAAAAATTAATTGTTGAATTAAAAATTTGCAAAAAATGATTAGCACCTCAAGAGCTTTGTAAAAAATTTAAGCTCTAAATCTTCTTCAAAACTGAAGTTATTTCTATAACAAACTTTTCAAATGTTAAAATTAATAAAAAGGGGAAAATTTCCACACAAAAAGTATAAATTTTTAATAGTCAAATCAGTTATTTAATAAAAATGCATGCCTTATAATTTATTTTTTTTAATATCAAAATTTGTTTAAGCTAAAAAATTTGGCCGTTCAATAAATCACAATCATGCAAATAGATAAACATGATAAAATTGTTGGCACCTGCAAAGAGCTCGCAACTGCAATGCTGAATATTTTAAATTTAGTTTATTCGTCATTGACTGAATATTTCCTCTAAAAATTGTCATCTCATCTTTCAAGTGGTACAAAATCCAGAATCCAGAAACAATGTTGACGCATGACAGCTATCCTAATTTTGGTCTCTGCATGTCATATTTTGTATTAAGAAATTAGAGTAATCTGGTGGTCGCATTTTCTTTCCGTGTCATTAAAATTACTGTGCCACTTCAATTTTAATTTTTTGTGTAAAATTATTTACTTTTAATCCGTTATGTCAAAAGCTTACAAAAAACAATTCAGTCATTACATAGAAAATGTGCAAAAAAAATTGTGAAGTGGAACTGGTTCATTATAAAAAAGTTTTAATAATTATTTCAATATAAATAAAATAACGCAATTTTTGCGCCATATGCCATGACTATATATTTAATTATTTTTTTCTGGGTTGATAGAGCACCTTTGTATTGAAAAGATGGTGGACAAAGCGAACTGGACGCTAGATTAAAATTTAATTCAAATAACAAAGCTGGGGGTGGACGGTTGTGAATGCGTTTTATTATTAACCAAAAGTTGGCCGCTTTTCATTAGGCAAAAGAGAACGAAATTTCATCCCTCCCCGGCACTTTTTTGGGCGCTTTTGTTGTGCTCCGTTGACGGGCTGCATACAATAAAAGGTTGCTTTTTAATTACACTGTCAAAAAGTTGTTTTTGCTTGGGTATTGCGTGTGCGCGCAATTTCTCCATTTCGCCTTCGGCGACGGAGAAAATTCTCTGCTCCAGAGAAAGATACGAATCTTTGCTGGGAGAGCGAGCAAAGTTCAGTCAAAAGGAAAAGATCCATATACGAATTCTGAGCTGCATGCGTGTGCAGACTACAATGATATTTCAAGAAAACCCACGATATTAATTCCAAAGTTGTTTATGTATATAAACTGGGGGAGAGAAAGAGGGCGATTTCTCTCTCCCTCTTTCCAGAGCTACGGTTTAAATTTGCACAGAAATTGGATTTTAAATTGTTGAAAATATCCCCTCCAGCTGAAGCGAAAGTATTTTTGGTAATTTAATTCCATGACAATTTTACATAACAACTAACAAGGGAAAACGGGTCGCCATCACTTGTCAGAAATTTGTCTTTTAAAAAAAATCACTTATTACACTGATCAAAAATTAATTCAACAGGAAATTTCGGTTTCTTCGTGAAAATCGTTTTTAATTCAATTAGTTTATATTTTCACAGCAAAGTAAACTAATTAATATTGAAAGTTGTAGAAATGAAATATAGGTGATGTAAAAGTGTGCGAAAATAACACAATATTTACGACAAATTTGCGAAATTAGAAAATTTCGGCAGCATATGATATCGAAAGCAGCAAAAATAAAAGAAGATATAAATAATTTAATAATTAATAATAACCCGTCGTTAATATCTGATGCTTTAATTTTCCATTCTCTTTGTCATTGTTTTTGATATTTTTTGTTTGCAAATGTATCTTTTAACAAATTTTACATGGCATTTTGAAACGCAAGCATATTTCGGATAAATGATGGGTCCCAGGGAAACGAATTGTTTGCAAAATGAAAATCCTCTGCAAAATGAGTTAGTTTGTTTCTGGCGTTTTTTGCTTCACTCAAAATAGAATTTTCCATCATAACTCCTCTCTGGGAAACAAATACAATTGTATGTTATATTTTGTAAACTCTCATTTGCTTCCCCAGCTAGGGGAAGATTCGCCGAAATTTTCCACACAAACGGGCCTTGCGGTGCAGAGTGAGATGAGTTTTTGCTGCTGCCAGGGGCTCTGACGGTCTATTTATTTATTATTTGGTTGCGTCTCTTGCTCGAGTTTAAACGCAGGCGTCGCGTTTTATTGAAACTTTCTTTCTTGCAAATGGCCTGAGGAGGAAATTCAGCCGATTTGAGACGGCGCCATTATTTTGCTTTACGCGGCGACTTTAATAGGCTTTTCCTCATCAAAAGATAAACTTTTAATTACCTGCGTTCCGGGAATGATGTCAGTGGCTTGGATTTGGTGGTACAATCTGCACGCCGTAGGCTCGTAGACCGAAACTCCCCAGTCGTGGAATGAGAAGAATCGTCTTTCCTCACTAGGTGCAGCTAAAAGTTCAAAGGAAATGAGAAGTCTTTGTAATTAAAATGTACTTTTTAACTGTGCTATATAATTAACATTCAAACTTAAAATGTTTCCTTTTCCGATAAAATATACCCAAAAAATTTGGTTAAAAATTAAATATTGATAATTAGTTTAAAAAAAATTGAAACTGCATTTAAGTTCTACATTGATTTGATGTCGAAATATATTTCTACATTTGACTTGATGTCGAAATATAGTTCTACATTGACTTGATGTCGAAATATAGTTCTACATTGACTTGATGTCGAAATATAGTTCTACATTGACTTGATGTCGAAATATAGTTCTACATTGACTTGATGTCGAAATATAGTTCTACATTTGACTTGCTGTTGCAATATAGTTCTACATTTGACTTGATGTCTAAATATAGTTCTACATTGACTTGATGTCGAAATATAGTTCTACATTGACTTGATGTCGAAATATATTTCTACATTTGACTTGATGTCGAAATATAGTTCTACATTGACTTGATGTTGCAATATAGTTCTACATTTGACTTGATGTCTAAATATAGTTCTACATTGATTTGATGTTAAAATATTGTTCTTCATTGTTTTGATGTTGAAATATAAAATAAAAAATATAAAAATAAAATTTATATAAATAATAATTATGCAATTCACTTTCATTCTTGTATTTATATATTATGCAGTTAAAAAGATGGAAACAATTTAAAAGTTTTAAATTTTATTTAAATATTACAGATTGAAAAAAAAGTATAAAACTTCAAAAACTTTTTTTATTTGACTTATAAAATAATGATTAATTTTGTTACTTTTTTAGTCATGAAGTCGAATTTAAAATAGTTAAATTAGACATTTTTAAATTTTTATATCACAATATTCAGTGATTGCTAAAGTAGTGCAAGTGGCTTGTCCTAGGTGGAAACTCAAGAAGGGAGTGCATTATTATTTGTGTCCTTACTGGGCGACGGCTCGTCCTGCACGACGAGGGAGGAAATGTCTCTGGTGAGGCCGCCGACGCTGCTGGCCTGACACATGTAGGCGCCGGTGTCTGCGTAGGTGATGTGACGCACTCGCAGCTCAGTGCCGTTGCCCACCATCTCGTACTTGCCGGCCTCCATTCGCAAGGGCTCGTCGTTTTTCAGCCACTCAACCTGCTCCAGGAAATGATCTCTCGTTATTTATGGCTTTATTCTCTGCGACTTCTAACAATGCCTGTAGTGTGTTCGTTATACACTCGAATTGATAAATAAGTCTGGAAATAGTTCTTTTTTGCAGAGAAAAGTAGTTCCAGATATCAAATTGTATTACTATTTCATTTTATTTTTCATAACAATTCTTGGTTTTTAAACTCTCCGAACCACTCCGAACAATATTTCTTGATAAAAAAAATCCAAATTTTGTTACATCTTCACATTGATTTGTGATACATCGCACCATTAATTTTTTATTTTAAACATTTTCGGTTCAATAATATAGGCAACCTGCTCGCCTCAGCAAGACAGCCAGTTGCATAGCCACGTAAATTGTAAATGATATTTTATAAAACTAATTTACATTTACAAAAACCCTTAATTCATTAAAAAATTCAACTTTTCTGTGATAAAAATAAAATTTACTTGGGTTTAGTAAAAATGGTGATAATAATTTTTAAAATGAATGTTTTAAATCTCACTTTCAAAGTTTTACGACTTTTATGTGTCAATTTACATAAAGTGGTTGAATTAGCAAAATTTCTAACAGTTTTTCATCATCAGGCATATGGATTGCCCTCTTAAAAAATCCAAAACGAATTAAATTGCTTTAAATTTTTCCAACTTTCCTATCAATTGTTTTAGGTATATAATTTTGAACTAAATGATCCATGAATAAAGCAACAAAATTAAGTTATTATCTAACCTTTGGAAAGGGCTGTCCGACCACGTGGCAAAGCATGGCCGCGTCCTCGCCTGGTCGTCGCGACTGGATTCTTGGCGTGACCTTGACCTCGGGGACGGTGTGCACGGTGAGGACGTGCGTCTGCACGACGTCCCTGTTCCTCTGCGCGTGGCATGTGTAGTTGCCGGCGTGCAGCAGCTGGATGCGCGTCAGGTAGAGCGAGCCGTCGGTGAAGACTCGGACGGCGTCTTCGTCCTCGGCGCCCAGGCCCAGCAGGTCGACCTCGTTGCGGCGCCACACGATCGGCGGCGGCGGCGTCCCCGTCACGTCGCACTTGATCTCCACGTTGTCGCCCACCCGCGCAGACACGTGGTTCACCTCCAGGGCCTTGTCCAGAGAAACGACCGACACACCTGCGCGACACAAAACACGAAAATTCGATTTTTGAAATTGTTTTATTTTCTTTAGTGAAAAACGTCTGACTTTAAAACACTTGGAAAAACAAACAACACTGTTGGATGGATCATTTTGCCAAACAATCTTGTGCTTGATTTTTTTTTGTGTAATTAAAAATTAAAGATTTCATTAGATTTACAAAATTCTAGTCGGATTTTCTTCAAAATAAAAGTGCCAATTTTGATATTTTAATGAGAAATAATGAACTTGTTACTGTGAAGAATTTCATAATTAAACGGAAATTAAAACTCAATAGTAAAAAACAACTATAGATCATTATTAAAATTCAATTATAAATGTGTACTTAATGACCTAGTCAAATTAATTCTAAAGAGAAACCAATTTTTAACTCAAGTTTAAGAAGCGCTGAATCTAAAAATGTTAAAATTAATATATATTCTGCTTAATAAAACTGTCTTTTGGTTATAACAATATAAGCGCATTTAAATGAAGATTAACTGTAAATTTTGTTTACAGAGGTGGATTTATTTGAACTTTATTTGGTCAACACTAATTTATTTGTTCAATTACTAATTTCAATTGGTTGGCAAAAACTGAAATACTAAATTTACAGAGTAAATATAACTTTTTCAGTTAATTTGGCTGGAAATGATGATTTAGAAATAGGACGCTTACAAGCAGCAGAAAAACATAAATCAACCGCGACTAGATTTTGCAAGTCTATAAATCGTTTTTAGCACAAAGCCAGAAAACAAGCATGCGATAAAAATGCATTTTTCAATTCAATTAATTCTTTAAAATCATGTTATAAATTGTATTTTTTATTTTTCAATTAATACATTTTGCGTAAAAAAACCTATAAGTGTCATTTTGAACGTGAAAGTGTGCTTGCTGGATGGAATGCAGTTGCAGAATTTTTGAACGGGACTATTTTCGGTCAATTATATCAGGCGTTTATCAGTGCAAATATTTAGGACCTTCTCAAACTTTCGAGCTCTTCATTAAGACCAATAGAAACTGTAGCAGAAACTAATGATTATTAATCATTTCCATGTTTGCTTCATGTTCGAGCGTGCAATTTGCACAACATGGGACAGGGAGAGAGAGAAACACCACAAGAGGCTTTGCAGCGATCGATAGAGTCAACTTGGCGCGTTTGCTCGGCGAATGACCGGCCGTGCGTCTGTTTGACACAGAGATATAGTGTGTATGCAAAGCCTTTGTGCAATCGAACTGCAAATGGGCAAATGGAGCGGAAAAGCGTGCCGGTTTGAAGAAGGTCCTGGGGGCGATCGAGCCATTACGGTACTTACGAGTCAGACTACTAAAAGGAGCGAAGGGGGCAGGCCAGAGAAACTTACTGTATAACTTACTGAACGCCAAGTAAAACTCATTGATATTGAGGCGCGCGTCTTTGTCGACGTCGTCGAAGGCGATCATGTCGGCCAAGTTGCAGCCCTTGGAGAGTTGCTCCAGCTGCTCGGCGGCCGCGATCTGCGAAAATTAATGCAACAGTCGTGCTGAGGAGGTGTTGCTTCAGATTGGGCATTGAGCCCGACACTAATTGAATCAGTGGCGCGATAATCAGAGGGATTTGTGGCTCGAGATGCGCGACTCGAATTTCTATTAGGCGCAAAACACTCGCTTGTACTCAGGTTTGTGTTCAAACATTTCACCTCAAAAGCCTTTACATTAATTAATTAATCACTGAAAGAAAAGATTAATATTTAATTTAAAGTTTCCGGAGACCTTAAAACAATTTAATTTATATTCAAAACGATCCCATACAATATAAACAAATTTTCATCCTTTTAATTTAAATTGGTCTCTAAATATTTTTACTAACATTTGAAAATGAATAAACAAACAATTTGTGATTAAATGTTGTTAATTGTCAATTTGCAAAAAAGCCACTAATCTTTCGTCGGTAATAATTTTGATTATTTTTATAAATTTGCTGAACCCTTTAAAATTCTAACTAGAGATAAGGAGACCTCAGAATGTTTCCGCAATGAAATTAAAAATTGTGGCTAAACTCAAGAACTTCAACAAATTAATTTCTATACCTGAATTCCCATCTTCCTTTTCAAATCATTGAAGTAATTTCTTGGTTGTAATTAAATTAAGATAAAAATTGTTAGCCTCCCCTCCCTTTCAAACAGAAATCACAATCTGAGATGCATTTCCAGAAATCGGATTGGTGGAGCTTGAGTTTAATTGATTCCGTTGCTTTGATGTTGCTCGCCGGGTTCAACAAATTCTAAAGCCCTTTCTGTCAGCTCGGGGAATTAATTTTTGGAGAGGGCGTCGGTGCCAAGAGCTTGGCGCACAATTAACGAGGTATTAAGTTTCTTGCGCGCAACTTGAGTCTCACCTGCTGGAGCTCCTCCAATTCGAGGGTGCCGTCGTTGTTTGAGTCGTAATGCGAGAACATAATGCTGACTAAATACTCTTTGCCCGAGCTGCGTTTGTCGTCGGCCATTAGACGGGCGTGGTTGAACAGCAGCAGATTATCCTGCACACAGGGTTAAAGGTCTGAATTATTAAAAGCGCTTACCCTTTTTGTATGTTTCAGCCGTGAATGCTTTGGGATAAAAAAAAATGTAACTTTAATTGCAACAGGAAACTGACCTTCATAATTTCGTATTCCTGGAAACTGCACTCATCTGATGGACCATTCTTGTTAGGTGTGGATAAACTGGGAGTTGTCGAGGGCGCCGTTGGAGTGGTGTTGCTGGTGCTACTTGGTACTCGATCTGGAATTATTTTAAAAGTAAATAAATATTTTCGATTTAAATCTGCAACTATGCCAAATACAAAATTTATTAAATTATTTATTTTTATATAAAATATTGCGTAGAGGGCATTTTACATAAAAAATTCAATGTTGAAAAGTTCTTGGAAGTAGTTTTTAATGCACAAATTGAATATTATATTATTCTCTCTAAGAAGGCATTTTATCTACGTACAAGAAAAATAGAAGTTTTCTATAATATTGTTAGGAGAAAAAAAGAAGACAAAATGAAATAAATATTTAATTCAATCAAAATTTACAGCCCTTGATAAAAATTTATTTAGAAATAAGAATATATTGAAATCAATAGTTTTTAATAACCGACTTTGATTGAAAACCGCAATTAATTATAGAAAATGGCAAAATATAAATTATCATGAATAATTATGAACCTGTGTTGTGCGGTTTGGGATTTTTTAGACATGTCATGCCCCTGTCGACGCTGAGTTGTCTCTTCTCGACGCACGCCACCCTGTGCAGTTCGCAGTGGCTGTGGTACAGTTCGCCGTCCGTGCCGCAGACGATGTGCTCGTGATGTCTCGGACAACTGGACATGCACACGCATTGCGGCTGTCCATCGTCGTCCAGCTGACACTCGCGACCCTTTCCGCAGTACTTGCGCGAGCAGCCGTCGTCAACGTCGTCTGAAATCACAATTTCATCCAAGATGGTGAATAATAATAATGAACCTGAGGGAATAAAATTCTTTAACATTTAAAATTTCCTTTAAAAATATCAACAGTTTAATTTTATACCAATTAAGAGTTTCTAATTTAAAGCCGAATTTTTTACGAAATTGTTTTCAGACTAAAAATTGATTATCTTTTACTTGTTTTTGACTTTTTGAAACTAAATTTTTGTAATAATATAGGTTTTTGATTGATTGTTATTTATAGATTTTTATTATTTCATATTTTGTTATCATTTTTATTCTTGTATTATTGTATTATGGTGTGAGTTTCAGATCAAAATAAATTACATTTATTTTAGGTAACAATAATTCGGTGAAAATATATTAATTATGTAAAAATGTAATATTTCATTTGTCTATAAAATTATAAATTTCAGAATTCTATTTGGAATATTTTAAATGAAAAATCTTATTGTTAATTAGCAGAAGCAATTAAATGATATTCTAAAAAACACTTTTTGAAGTAAAATTAGGATCTGGTTGATTTTATTGTAAAAAAATTGGCATTTTTGAAGCCCTAGCTACGACCCAAAGTTGGGAAGGGAAAAGACACGTGCGATGCGCTGAGTTAAGAAGAAAAAACACAGTAATAAAAAAAGAAATAGAGAGCCATGGTGGGCGGGCAAGGGCGACTTTCAGAAAATTAGATCTAGTGGGTGCTTGGGCAGCAGCAGGAGGCACAATAAAAGTCAGATTTTCGCCGCGAGCGCTTCCTTTGTGCTGCGGCAAATTTGCAGCGGCTCGTGATGATAACTCGTGGCCAGTAGGTTATTTCGAGAGCAGCCAAAGGGGCCAACCTCAAGACCGCAAGAGCCTCGACCCGGCGGAAAAGAGATGAATGGAAGATCCATCTCTCTTGCACATTCACGGACGAAATTGCGTTCGCGAGAGCAATGAGCCCGAAGTCTTTTTATTCGCTCTTGCAAAATCCACTCGCGCGTTTATTTAACCCGACTTTTTGGTGATACATTTTCGTCTTATTTCGCCGCAGCCAACTTTGCGGCTGCACGACTTCACTTTATTTATTGGCGTGAACGAAAGAAACTTCGTCGCTTTCTCCTGTTCCCAATAAAATGGCAGAAAATCTTGGAATCAAAGTTTTATCAACCAGACTTTTGCTATTTCTTTTAGATGGTTGAAATGTTATTAAAATAATCCCAGATATTTCTCCATCAATGGCAGTTTGAGAAAAAAATCTATTTTCATTTGCAGACAATTAATTGGAACATACAAATCTTAAAAGCCTGGCATAAGAAATAAAATTTTCAAATAATAAAAGCAAATTGGGTGGAAAACACTTCAGTTAATGCCAAATATAACGATAATAATGATGGATCTAGAATGTCTTAAAAGCATCTATAAATTAATTTTAATATCTCTTTTGCTTTAAATTAAGTCTGATAACGACAGATAAGATATTTCCCGTCCTTTGAAGATATTTAGCGCTTATTGAGAGTTACTGCAAATCAAAAAGGAAATCTTTTATTGTTAAAGAAGTTGATTCTTTGAATTGCTTCTAATAATTTATTAATCAGCAATCAAACTATTAAATATATTACCGATAAGATACTTTCATTCATTTGAAAATAGAACTAAAAAATCCGATTAATGGTGGAATTTTAATTTGGAAAATGTCATATTCACAAAATGAAGCGAGAAAAATTGCATATTCATGTCACGCTGGTGATTTTATTTCCATTTTCATTTATATGCACGTTGGATTTTTTCATTGGCGCGCCGAGTGGAAAAAATCCAGGCTGATCTGCAAAGTCCTTTCTGTCGAGACCGAACTCACACAGCCCCTGTGAATATTGATCTGTGCCGTTCCCTGTGTGTTGGGCTCTTGTGCCGCCATCCGATCGCAATTACAAAGAGCCTCCGAGTAATTCATCGCTGCCTGCCCGTGTTGTTTATGTATGTACAATATGCGTAACTCGATAATTTATTCTCGGTGTGCAAATGTATACGTACAAACGATGGGTTGGCGCAACTATGGGTCGGCAGAATGAAATGATGATGTAATGCAATTACTCGTTTGAACAAACGCAAACTGGGACGACTGACGATAAATTTCTGTCCTTTGAAGGCACTTTGCGCTCGAGAATTAGTGCGAATTTGCTCGCAGTTTGTCGCTGACATCCGTTGAGGTTGAGTACATTTGTCAGGCACTTCACAATTAACAGACGTTCCTTTGACAAGTTCAGATAGAGGCAGAAGCGAGTCTACATTTTATTTAAATGTTCATAAATTTAAAGAGTGTTGTATTTTATATATTATTAATTTTACAATTTTTGTAAATGATTAAATTTAATTAATTTTTTATTTTGTATTTGTTAATTTTTAATTTTAGTTCATACAAGTAGTTTTTAAATAAAGCATAATAAATATACCTTCTTTTCTATTTGATTGTTTTCTCTACAAAAATTAGGTTTTTATATAGTTCATGCTAAGCAGATCACCAAGTTTTATTAATAATTGAGAACTGGTAACAAAAATACCAAAATCTTCAACATTTTTACGTGAAATTAATTTCCAATAATTACTTAAATTGTAATATTAAATTTCATACGAAAATTTTGAGTTATACAAAATTACATTTCGTTGTCTGGCCTTTACCATTAATCATAATTTATGTTTTAATCAAAGAATAATTTTGAATTGTGATTGTTTTGTTGGAATCGAGGAATCCGCAAATTGAAGCCGTATATATTGATTAAATTTATGGTATGCTATCTAGTGAAATTCTTCTTTGCCAAGCCATAGCTCTCTAATTAAGTTTGGTGTGGAATTTTTGAGAGCGCCCTCTCTGGCTGGCATTCCTTTCAGAAAACGCCACCCATCCGCCGCACTCGCACACAAGCAGCAAATAAATGCCACCCAAATTAAATTAATTTCCGTCGACGGCAAGTAATTAAAAACGGCAATTCGCCCGCCCGTCCACGATGCAGACAAAATAAATCAGCCGCACCATAGCAGCAGAGGAAAACGCTCTAAATCGCCGGATAACTAACGACGGTAGACAAACTGTAATTTGCATTTTAACTGCAAGGAAAAATAAAATGTAAAAAAAAATGCAGCCTGCTTAATGTAACAGGTGATAAATTAGGCGCTTTTTTAATTGGAAGAATCTGAAAAGAAAGATCCAAAGTACGGAAAAGATGGTAATGATTGGACTTTTTAATAATATGTTACAATGGTGATAGAAAACGCCAACAATATAATGGAAAATCTACGAAATAATATTCTACAAAATATAAAATAGTTTAATGGTGTATATATTTATCTAATATTTGAGAATTATAGGTGAAGTTTTCTAATCCAATTATAAAAATAAAAGTGAAAAAAAAAATCAAAATTGAATTATTTTACTCTATTATTTACTGAAATAGCATAAATTTGGCGATTTATTTTCATTTGAATCATATATATTTATAAATTATTAGTAATTCATGATAATTTGGATAATTCTATAGTATTTTTTAATTGAAACTGAAAAAAAGTATTTGGCCTTTTGTTATACTTTTAAACAAATAATGGACCAAAACCTATTTTTCCAATTGTAAGCGACTCGGACTTTTTTGCTGAAATCCAAAATACAAAATCCATTCTGCGCTAATATTAAATACGTTGGAATAAAATCTGAATATTTTAGAAACTTAAGTATAGAAACGCAGATCGATGTCTGACATTAGAATCATGGGAACTCACCATCTGCCGCGTCGTTATTTTGCGAGGGCCCGACCGCGTGGTGGTTGAGCAGGGCAGCTGGGTGGTTGACTAGATTTTCCGAGTAGGGTTGCTGTTCTCGGTGGTGCCGGGACCGCTGAAACACACAGACAAGGCAGGTGAGAACGCGCCATGATATAAACACAAACGTATCGCAAGCGTTCTCCTCATCACTTAATTAACAAGTGGCAAGAGAGCTTGCTTTTGACACACAAAACACTTTATTAAACTTTTCACATGAAAGTTTGTAAAATGAAGTCCAATTCGTTTTTCCAGATACAAATTTTGTTTTCATAAAATAGCCCTTGAACCTTTTAGCAAGAAATAAATTCACATTTGAAAAAAAATATGACACACGTAACGTGAAAGCAATGGACGTTGCTATTAATTAACAAACGCACGAAATTTATACTGCTGATCAACAAGAGAGTCAAATATTGGCCACAAATAATCATTAGCCAAATGTTCTGTGAACAAAAATGAAGAGTTTCATTTTCCACCAAACCCTTTTCGCGTGGACGCTGTGGGGAATTTCAAAAGCATAAATTTTCGCTTGAATAATCACCAAAAATTATTTTTCCTTTAGGGTTGAAATGAATAAATATTATTCCGTTGGTAAAAATCGCTGGAAACGCAACTTTTCGTTTATTCCAGGAATGTGTGTTTTTATTTACTCTTCCGAAAAAAGGAAACCAATTGAGTGAAAGTTTTGTTGACTCGGGCCGGCGCAGCCGCCACTGCCGAGGGAGTTGCTTCTTTTGCATGCACACGAGGATACAAAAGGTTTTGCGATGCACAGCCGCTCACTAACAAACTCGGCCCCTTGGCGCCAATTTCATGCTCGCTGCACTCTTTTCACCCCTTTTTCACCCCACAAAGGCTTCATTCACGTCAAGGTGCGAACAAGTTGCAACACTATAAAACTCGGTCTCGCGAGAAAGGAGGACGCCGAATTAATGGCTGGGCCAAATTTCTTCGCTAAAATAGCCAAACGGTCCGACAAGAAATAGTTTAATTTATATTGAAATGAAACCAAAACAATAGCGGGGGTAAAAAAAATGTGTATAAAAACATAGCTGATGAGAGAAAAGTATTAAATTTCTAAATAGCAAAAAAATTCGTTTACTCTCATAATTGGAGTTTTTTTTGTTTCTATTGTGAAAGCAAATCAGACAAGATAATTTTGTTGAATATGTGAATATACATATTTTAAGATATGACGCAATTTATATCAAATTTATAATAATAAATTTTTTGCAAAAAAGTTTTTCAATTTTTTTTTTTTGCATTTAAAAATGAAATTTAGATCGTGACTGAAATTGGCAGTCTTGTTTGTAATAATTAATAGAAGAAAGAAAAAAAAATCCGATTTTTCAACAGACAAACATGTTCTCCAAAGCCTATCTTCCTCTTCAGGCACTTCATTTGTTTTTTGTTCAAAATTTTAAACAAAAAAAATTAAATTAAATTGCCTTACATTAAAATTTGATGCCAGTTTGAAAAAAATACACTAAAAAGATTTACTTAAGACTTCAATCAACTAAATTTATGCTTAAAAAGTCACCTGTTTTGGAAAATAAGACGAATCACCTTTTATATAATAACAATTGTTAAAATTTAGTACATATGCAAGTAGATTTTCATTTAAGAACTTTTTAATAATCGAGAGAAAGATTTGTAAAGAAACATAATTGCAGCACATAAAAGTTTATTGCATATTTTCCGTTCGCAAACTTATGACATGATACATAAAAAGTTGTTGAAAAGCGCTTCTCCGCATCGGAGTAAATCTGGGGCGTAAAAAGTTGAGAACTCGTCGGCTGGTTGAAACGAGCCGTGCGAATAAAGAGGGAGGTCTGAACAGTTTTTGAGCGTGCATGTGCCTTTGATGGCGCAATCATTTCTCCATCAAATCGGCAAATTTCGCGTCGTTCTCCGAGCCGAGAAAAAGTTCCGCAGTTGGAAAAGTAATTTAATCGCGCGCGCACGACACGGGCTCAAGTCAAGTAGGGGTTGCTCGACGTCTCACTTGATACGCCCAGCGAGCAGCCGGGGCTAATTTGAATTCCGTGCAAGTCAATATTTTGCGCTGCTGCTGCTGCTGGTGTCAATGGTGGAGCGAAAAAACACCGTGACATGTCGCGCTGCAAATTGCTTTCGCCTGACGTTTATTCACCGGCATATTGATAGTTGGAAAACGTGCCTCGACTTATCCGCACCCGCCCGACTTCTTGTATTGTGCCTAATGCATCTCGCCAGAAAAACGACAAAGGGCCCAGACATGTATGCAACCTGCCCGACAGGCGTGTGGAACGGGACAGCTTGACTTTTTTGGTTGCGTTCACAAGAGCTTCCATTTGGTTCTTGGCGAGTTTCTTTCTTGAGCTTGAGTTTTTGAATAGAAAAAAAATGGAAATACGCAACCAGGACTGATGGGAAATTTTAAGTCGGTTCACATCTATTTTGTAGGTTATTAATTTGAATTCTCGAAGATTTTTAGAAACAACACTATACAGAATATTTTTCTAAAAACCAACTGTTTCACCACTGTTTTGCTTGTGTCAAATATCAGAACCATGAAAAATCCTAGCAAATTATTACCAACAGCAAACCTTTTATAATAATTGCTCATTCAAACATTTCTTTAAAATCTCTGCCCCAAACCAAATGTATAATAAAAATACATTTTTTTTGTCCCGATAATGGGACAAACAAAATAAATCCATAAATAAAGTACATTTTTTTGTAGAAAATGCTAAATTCTATGTTATATCTTATTTTAGAAAGGGTAATTAAAATATTTATAAGATAATTGAATAAAAAATGATTTCAAAATTAATCCTACAAATAGAGGGTACCTATTCATTCATATTACTGTATAATTTATTTTATTTATTTATTTTAATAAAGCAATTAAAAATCATTAATTCCCATATTTATATAAATATATTTATTTTAAGTATGTATTTTGTTTTTTAGTATTCTATTTGTAATTTGGCTGAATTTTATTACAAAGAAAGTTAATGTAAAAAACAAAAATACTAAATTTAAATTGTATTTACACTTAAAACTAATGATTAAGTACTAAAAAAATATTTAATGAAAACTAAAAGCTTACATAATATTTTGTTGTATAAAAGTTATATTATATCACAAAATTTGTAAATTTAATTTTTTTTTTATATTCACTTTTTTCTATTATTACCTACAATTATTATTACTAAAAAAAATTTAAGATAGTTACTTAAATTTTGACTTTTGTATTAACAATTCTGGATGCTGAAACTTCCACCAGCTGGAATGTACACATCAAAATGTGGGTTTGTGTGCCTTTTGGCGTTGCCACCACCAAGCACTTTCGCGATTAATCCGGCCGTGATCTATCTCTACGTGTGTGTATATTAATTCGAGTGCGTTTCGGGTAAACGACTAAATGTATGTAGCGTTTGAATCCGAGCATTAGTTGCAACCATGCGAAATCCTTGCTATTTCTGACTGTTTAGTTTCCGCGCGAAAATCCGACCCTGGGAAGCGGAGGCTGGGTTGCAAATTAATACACGCGCGCTTCGCCCACGCGCACTCGAATCAACTCAGAAGAGACTTGCTTAGTTAGTGCCATTGGAAAGGTTTTCCTGAACTAATTGGAGCTACACCCTCGTGAGATTTCGTGTTTCGGTCATTAAAAGACTATTTTTAATTTACTTTCTTTCGTATTTAAACCGTTTGCTTATAAAACATTTCTTACGCTTAAATTTAATTTCCACCAACATAAACTGCAAATTATTAATCGTTAAAGTAGAAACTGTGCTACTTACTTTAGGTAATTATCAGAAAAATTCATCCTCTCAGATTTATTAATACGCCTGACAAGAATATGGAATTAAATTTTTTTTTGCAAAATGATGGCGAATGAGTGATTTTAATTATCATAATTTTTTTACTATTTTCCTATATTACGTAATGCTTCAATTCAATTCAAAACTCAAACTTCAAATTATAAATTATAATAAAATTACACTGACATCCCAGAGAGAAAAAACCAAGGACGTAAGTTTTTACAATTATATTAATTGCAATATAAAATTATAAACTTTTTGAAAATTTTAAAAACAAATATTGTTTTTTGTTTCAATCTATTCTAATATTTTATAATTAATCTTTATAAAACCATTGTCAAACTTTTTAAATATTCAATATACTGATTACAGGGAATTAATAATGTTATTAGTTAAAAGCAAGAAAATATATAATAAAATTGTCTATTTTCTTTCATTTATTATTATTTTGCGCAGCTAGTAGCTTGCACTAAACGTTTTGAAGTAAACTTTTTTAATTATATCCTTTTATAAATGTGAAGCAAATTGAAAGCTATTGTTGTCTATTTCAAATAATCATATTTCTTTAACATAACATAGAATTTTTAGAATTAGCTCAGTGTTTGTGTGAACGATTTTTCCGGGATTTTTCATTGCACGTATCAAAAAAGTGATATTTCAAGTTGATTTTCAAATTGAGAAGCCTGTCAATCCAAAACTATGGAGGTAATAGGATTTGAGTTGCGTCAACACTGGAATCTCGCAAAAACATAAGCCTGCACTATCTAAGTCTCTTATTTCCGGAAAGGAGCGTTTCGGAAGTTCTTCGGAAGGAGCTCGGGAAAGCTTCGGGGCTTGCCGAGTTGATCCAACTAATGGAATGCGAATGTTTTGTGCCAAGCACTCGGGATGGATGTGACGTCTGTACATATTTGCATGCTGCCGAAAAATAAATTCTCGCCGGCGCGAGTTGCTGCCGAGTGCGTTCTATTTGGATTGCCCCTGAGGCTGGCAGGCTTAGGCAACCCTTGCTTCTTCTTGAGCAAATAAATAACACACACGCGCGCGCACTCGCATGTCTCGTGAATGCTTTTATTCACGTCACTAGCCGCTGAATTATTGAACAACGGCGCAAATACGCGAGTCGAACGGCGAAAGCGCATCAAAGGGGATCTTCCTTTCTTTCTTCGACGGCTTGATTTGGATGGAAAATATAAAGGTCCAATATTTTTCACTAAAAGGCATCCAAGAATTAGAATATCAATTTATTTTAGAAAAAATG